AAAACTGTTGAACACTGTTATTATATTTCTTGTCAATGCCAAAAATGTATAGACCGTCAGTTTATAATGGAGGAGCATGGAGAGCTAACAGTGGGAGAGACCAAAGGAAGCAGAATAGAGTGTATAAAAGGAAAAGGAGGAAGGACAGTTAAGAAAAAAGGTACAGTGAAAAGGGTGAAAAGGAAGTAAAAGCAGAAAATAATAATACAGTAACATAAGAGCAGAGGCTTAGTGATGTGTTGTGTAGCCTTCACCAGCACACACTACCATTTTTACACAAGAAAACCCAAGTGTTTTTTTTCCCTTCTGTATGCCAATCATCACGGCAACAACACAGGCAGTCACCAAACAGCCTTTCATGGAGTGTTCTGTACATGTGTTTGTGCGTTTTTGTGTGTCATGGTACAGTGGGTCATTTGGTTTTATACCGATTGTAGTCCTGTTACTTTGACCTTTACTTCTCTGCTCAACAATCAGCACAAACAAAAGTGAGATACCTCAAAGGTATGAGCCTAAACATCAATTTTGGGTGATTTTTTGTTGTAAACAGACGCCTTTCAACCTGAGTATTTCCTCTTTCGGCCTGTCTTTAACCTACATACCTTCTAATCTCACTCCTGGTGGATCTCATTTCCTCTTAATTCCTCCTTATCCTGATGGTTTCCTGATGGTGACCTTTCATTTCATATCCTGCCTCCTGAATCAAAGGCATTAACTCACACACACAAACAGGTGCACACATCCATAAATTAACACCCCTGTGACATATGTGACCCCTTAAAAACGGGCCCACATCATCTGAAGATCAACTGCCGTAATCTCCTGGATGAATAAAACATCGCAGGGATTCAGAGGTGGTATGTAGAAGTTGAACAGCTGGATGACGATTTCTCCAGTGTGGCTGAGTTCAAAGAGACACAATGACCTGGGCAGATCATGAGTTTGACACACTGTCTGTGTCTGTAGTCTTTTCCAGTCTGCAGTTTTCTCTTAATATTAACAAGGGGTACAGAACAAGGCTTCATAATGTTCAAGAGGTGTAAGGGCGCAGAGGAAGCACTCTGCACAGCTTGTCAAATTGCCTTCCTAATGGCCAGCTTGTCAGGCTTCTTCGTCTTCGTGGAGAAAGAAAGGACAAGTGGGGGGAGCGATCCATTCTCTCCCTTGTCATAGCAAAAATCACTCATTCCTCTCTTTGTGTGGTAGCCTTGGGTTCCTTTCTTTTAAGTCCTGCTACTCAAGTGCATCCCGCTCATATTCAAATGGCAGTAATGATTCGGTAGTATGAGTGTAGAATGTGGAGAGAAGCCGGCAGTATTGTTGGCCTGTCAATCGTTCGTCTTCCCTCTGTCAGAATTGCCTTACCTAGCCTTGAGATATTTTTTTTTCATTGAATCAAGTTAACCATCATTCACCTGAGTCATCAACAGCAGGACAAAGTTCACGCTAATTGTTTCTCTTTAATTGAAGGATTACAGCTTCAGACTCATTACTGTCTATTCATATTGTACTCTGCCCACAATCTTCTCAACAGCTCTTACACTTAATTTTCCATCATATCTACTCCACAGAACTTCACCTTCCAGAGTTAGACCCATTAACAGGATGTTTTTATTAGTGAGGAACCCACTTATTGGCCTGTGGGGCAGGGTCTAAAGTGCACAATACAACTGCTTGTTGGATTAAAAAGAGAGACAAATCTTCCGTCCCTGGTGCACCTATGATTGTTGTAATGCTGTTTTATGCTGGATCTGGCTGTTATTCATTTACTACATTTGATTGGAACAAAAAAAATCAACCAGTTTTTAAGTGACTGCCCTCTGTTGTTTCATTGGATGACTGTATCATTAAAATTGGACATTCACACTGATCTCTTGGTTCTACTTGCAGGGTTTCTTTCTTGACACCTTCAACAGTGATGATAAAATGCTTAACTCTGCAGCAGAAACATTAAAGCCAGGTCCGAATGCAGTTTTAGATTATGTAGCTCATATTTTTTATTTGAACACTCTGCACTGTATATCTGTTAAGATATCATAAAGGCTAAGTGTCACACATAAATTTGCAGGATTAGGGACATGGCTGATTTGACAGATGGGTGGGCAGGCTGGAGAAGTTTCCCCCTGGGGGGTCAAAGCTCCGCCTCTTTTGCCTGTTTCTCAGCTGATCGAAGTTGGGATGAGTAAGCCTTTCCAGTGAGTAAGCCTTTCCCTCTGTAAGTGGGATTCAAAATCACCTCTTCAGAATCTACTGACAGACATCTCTCTGTTGTTCTTGAATTCTCATTATTAAACACAGTTAATCAAAACTATCATCATGATTTTAAACTTTTAATGTTTGTTTTTAAAGCTTTTAATGGCCTCGCCCCCATCTATTTAACTGAGCTTTTAACTGTTCGGGAGCCGAGTAGAGCCCCAAAGTCCTCAAACCAACTTCTGCTGGAAGTGCCCAGGTCAAAACACAAACACTGGGGTGACCGAGCCTTTGCAGTTGCTGGTCCCATGCTCTGGAATAAGCTCCCCACCGAAATGAGACCTATTTCTGACCTGGGCCTTTTCAAGTCCAGACTGAAAACGTATTTATTTATGTTGGCTTTTAATACCTAGTAGCGTGGTGACACTTTATTTTATTGCATTGAATCTTATTCTTTTTTAAAAAATGGTTTTTATTGCTTTTTGTTTTTATTTATTCATTTTTACTATGGATTGTAAAGCACTTTGCTCCACTGAAAGGGTTGTTGTAAAGGGCTGTATAAATAAAGAACATTTACATTTACATAACATTTGCTGCATATTGATTAGGCTTGATGTACTACACATTTTCAATTTCATGGCCATAGATTGGTCAGAGTATAGTCGCCATCAACTTGAACATTACGGCTATGTATGTTACAGCTTTGTTATGGGTTAAAGTAACAGAGAAGATATTCAATTCAGGACATTAACTATTTGATTTGTTTACTGTTGGATTGTATCTGTTAACTGTCATGTAATTTGTTGTTGTTACTGTTAAATTTTATTGTTTTTTCTGCATTTTTTGTTTGTTTGTTTTTTTGATAACTTGCACTGCTGCCTAGATGAATTGTATCTATATCAGGGGGAGGTACTTTGACAAGCTTTTTTGGCTGCTAACCTCCCCTGCATGATGCTGTTTAAAATCTAAAATGAAGTTTGTTCTCTATTTGTCATGTGCAAATGAATAAACTAAACTAAACTATTACATATTTCCATGTGGAAATGTCCAAAACTGGAGTCAGTGAACTGTGATGTGGTGGTTTATGTCTTTTGATGGCACCTTTAAAACTGGAAATTAGAGGTGGAAGACTGAAGAACATACATATTTTTATAACCTTTTTTTGTACGTGCTTGTTACGTGTAATGTGAAATTTCGAAAAATTAAATCATAAAATAAAAATATTAAATGAAATAGCCATCGATTGTCCTACTTCAAAGTCTATCTTTGTTCGACATGTTGCCGTTTTAAATTGTAAAATGTATCTAAAAACTTTTATAACTTAGAATAAACCACCCGAAACTATTTTTATGATTCATTTCTTTAAAAAATCATTATAATCATCCATCCATCCATTTAGATAAGCCAAAAAAAAGCAGGAGGCTACTTTTGTTTTCAAAGTCCAGCTCTTCGTAATTTTCTCTTCTCTTAATGATTCACATCCCGGGCCTTAGCACACACACACACACACAAACACACACACACACACATATATATAAAGAGGTATGTTTTTGCCATGATGAGAAACCATTTGCTCATTTTGATGGAGGCCTAAAAGAGAGGTTGAGCTGCCTAAGTGGATTTTTCATTACTAAATGTAATAGGGCAAAGAAAATTACAGCAGCAGGAGGGGTATTAGGACTGCTCATGTACTTTTTACACTGATATTTGTAATGACCAAAGAGGTACAGTGCTGCTGTATATGAGCAGAAGAGAAATTAGCACAGTGCTCTCCCCTCTGTTTGTGTGTGTTCAGCCCCTCCCGCACAAGCCTCCTCAAACGCCTGCCATCTGCAATTTGGAAGGGTACATCCAAACTCAGTGGAATGAAAAAGCATTTTTCTTCCTCCTGCTGCCGCTTCAGTCTGAGACTGAAGTGGAAGACTTACATGGAGGAAATAATATTGCAAATGGAAAGCTATTAGGGCAGTCAAGCACTTCTCATACTGCTTCTGAAATGTGTAATTTATGATGTGCTGCTGCATGACAAACTTTTAAAGACTCAAAAATTGTAACTTCCTAACAAGACTGTGTGCTCCGGTGTTTCAATGGACCCAGACTTCATTGCACCTGTAATACAATTTTTTGAGGAAATGATCATGAAGTTAATTTCAAAATTCCTGCCAGTAATGATTCGTTTGTGTCCCCTTCTGCAACACAGTCGGTCCTGACCACTCAACCACTTTCACTTCAGTATAAAGCCAGGAACTAAAGCTTATTATGATGCTAATCAGTGCTTTATATGAACCTACATTTAGTGAGCAGTAACAGGAGATTGATTGTTACTGCAATGAGAGGCTTTGGGACTGATCACTGAAAATAAACAGAAAAAAAAAACACATCTCTGAAAAATAGAAAGCAAGTGCAATCAGTTCATATACTTCTTACACTGCTGTTAAAGAGGACAAATAAAACCATGCTTCAAACCTGACAACCACACCTACGGTATCAGATATACATCAGCTTTGATTAAAAGAAATAATCTATCTTTGTTGACCACAAAAATACCAACACACAACACCTACTAGTTGACTTTCTGAGTGGCAGATTACAAAGTAAGAATACACAAACCTGTTGATCATCTAAAAATACTTAATTGTGTTTTAAAATCCAACACAAATTCAGTAGTTTAGGTCTGTCAGTATGAGTGACCACACTGTCTAATGTATGAGATGAAGTTTGACTGTAGCATCACCTCCACTGAGACAGCCCTCCCATTTCATTTACTCCATCACCCATCATTTATTCCACTGGAACCTCCCTGGGGGTTGCTTTTCTCCCCCTCACCTCCATCGTATCCAGCCTCATTAGCACATAACAGCCTATCCACATGCATAGCAGGGTCCTGATTTAGACGTTCAACCTGATTAGCCCTTAATGATCCGAGACAAGCTACCTGAATGGAAGTACACACAATGGTGTGAGACAATAACATGCATGTGGGGCCCCCATGCGCAGAAACACAAATAAAGGCACACATGCATACTAACATACATTCCCTGTGGCACCTTTATTAGTCTGTTTTGTTCATTTTCACAATGAAGGCAGTGAAATACGAGAGACGGCAAACTAATTAAGTTTTATAATAGCAGAAAGGACACAGATTAATTGTGTAGTACAAATCGTTGAGATGTTTCATCTTAAAGGGAGATTTAAGATACTGCAGGGCGGCTTTTAATTATTACTATGTGTGCTTAAACAGCGCATGTCCCAAAGGTGTATTTAATAAAATCATTAAAAAGCTAATTAAGCCTAATTTGTCTGGTTATTTATCTCATCTTGAAGATTATAACACTCGTTTACCACAACAAATAAAGGTTAAATTAACAGCAAGGTCATTCAAACACATGTTTTATTAGTCGAAGACAGAAGAAACTCTTAAAACAATTATTCAACTGTATACAGCAAATAAAGGGCAAGAACTGAACCTGTGATACAGTATATATTCATTTAAGACAAATCCATAGATAAGGTTGCATAATGAGCGTAAATAATTAAAGCTCATGGCCTCTCATTTATCCCCCTCTTCTCTCCTTCTCATCTAAAAGAGTTTAATAAAGACCTGCAATGCCCTTGGCTATTCAATCATTTCTCAGTCAGAAAAAAATAGATGTACTGAATGAATGCAAAGGCTGCCAATTCATTACAACAATCAGAATTTAATTTCTTTTCTTCCTCACACCACATTCTCTGCTCTCATCTCTCATCCTGCGCTCCACTCAGGGCTGCACCAGTATGTTTATCGTTGATATACAGTGTGGATACATTTCTGATCTGTCTTTCACGAGCGTGATGCGTTTGAGCTAAAGCTGAAAATAGCTCCCTGAATAGATGAATGATTTCCTCTAATGGCAAATGACAGAATGTCACATTCACATGTAGCAGATGGATGCATTTAAACACAGTGCTTGCTGATCAGACAGTTCACACATTCTGGTTGTTGAATTTAAAGGAGCGGAGCAGGTTAATCACAATTCTCAAAAATTATCTTGCATGAGGGAAAAAGTCAAGGCACTGGGCAGTTGGTTATTTTTGTATCATTTTTTCCGGCACATTTTCATCTGTGCTTAAGACCAATATATTTCTCAGCTAACTATAATTTCCTCATTATTACCCACATCCCCTCAAACTCTCCTGTTTATTTTCTCACTCCTCTCGCCCTGCGCTCCAGCTCTTGAAGCACTTCATCACTGACTGGGTCTGCCTTTGTGACCACAGCTTTCCTGCCCTCTGGCTCCACCGTGATGGTCATAATGCAGCACATATCCACCAGCTCCTCCTGACACCGCTTCATCCCCATGTCCAGTTCTCCTTTTCGAGCAGGGTCTCGCTTCAGAGCTGCCTTTTCTGCCACAGAGAAGCCCAACAGGCTGGTCAAAACCTCATTGGACAGCTCCACATCCAGGTAACCTGTTCCATCAGAGATTGTGGCGCAAACACGCCAAAGACCACTGCTGCTGCTCAGCTTCCCCAACAGAGTCACAATAAAAGCTTTGACACGGATCTCTGTGGGCTGGTTGTTTTGTTCGGACATCTGCTCCTCCAGCAGGCATAAATATGTAAAAGGTGGAGAGGTCAAGGTAAGAGCGGGACCTGAGCTTTCACTTTGTGCTGTTTTTTTAGCTAAAAATCTATCAGCTTCTGCAGTGCTTGAGGGGGAACTTTGTCCCTGATGGGTTTCGGTTTTTAATGAGCTACTGGTAAGTCCGTGATTGGAGCTTGACGGTTCGGTTTTGCCTTTACCTGGTTTGTGTTGTACAGGGTGATTTGATGCCCCAGTCCTCACAGTTTCGACCTCTTGCAGAAAGCAGTCAATGTCTACATCCATGAAATCACTCTCATCATTAGATACAGATGCTGGTTGGCAAATTGGCTTTGCAGATGTAGAGAGGAACTGCTCTGAAGCTCCCCGGCTATACCCCTGATCGTCTCTACTCTTTGAGGTGAATCTGGAGTCAGTAGAACCAGGAAATGACCTAGGACTATTCCGAGTTGGTGGTTTTATTGCTTTGGTAGGATTCCTTGTGTTCCTGTCACTGCTGCTACTCACATCTGTACTTTGTTGAACAATCACACCATCCAACTCATCAAGGGGCAGATCCTCAAAGTCTTCATCTGGGAAGTCTACATCGATTATGTTGTGATCTGGGATGTCTTGTTGGATTGAGCCTCTGGAAGGTACAGGGTCAAAGAGGTCTGAATCCTCATCTCCGATGCTGTGGCGGCGGTCTTGGGGTGGACCCCCTCTGCTGTTTTGGGTCATGCTGTTTCTGTAAGAATGTGCAGAGACTTCACTCCCAAAATGCAGTGATAGCTTTACAAGAGCAACTGTTAACAGTGTTGCTTAAGGTCCATTGTTAAATCATCAAGTTTCATTCACTCAAATTCTAAGTTTTCTGTTTTTCCAAAGAGGGTAAAATTAGGGATGCAACAATCCGATATTTGGATCGGATATCGGCTCCGATATTAACAAATTAAGTGGATTGGATATCTGATAAATGATGCCGATCCAGAGTTCCGATCCAGTCTTTTTTTTCTATTAATTAATATCAGACACAACAACGCAGTGATTCTGCTCGCCCTATATTCTATGTCTGTCTGTCCTTTGGCACTAAAGGTTTACATGGAGGTCTGACTTCCTTTTGCTGTGTGCTAATGTGCAATTTGTTATTTGTTCATAAGTAAATGTATATCTGTGTTAATTTGTTACCTTTTTTAAAGAAGGCTAATGTCAAGCCTGATACCTTCACTCACAGGGCAAGGTATACAGTTCGTTCATTCATTCAACAGTAGTATTGGATCGGTATCGGCCGATACGCTCAGCCCAGGTATCGTTATCGGATTAAATCAGAAAAAAATGGATCGGTGCATCTCTAGGTAAAATAAAAAATAAATTCTGACGCCACATTCTTGAAGTCAAATTGCAAAATTTATATCACAGCCCATGGCAATTGTCTAAGTATCTGAAAACAGGGTAAAACCGTCTAGCGGAATTGAAGCTATCCCTCTGAACTCTCAAGTGTTGCATTTGGTAGCAGCCACACAGTGGTAAGTGGTCAATAATTTGCTGTTAGACAGCTTGTATGTGTTTGATGCTATAATAAGAGACCTGGCTCCATCCATCACATCAAAACCCCTGATTTATGAGGTAATTTGTCCTCGTTTGTTTCCAACTGTGCAGGAAATGTGTGTTCCATATGCTCTAATTGGAAACGGCTCTTTACTGTGATTTTTGATTCAATAAAGACTACTTTTTTTTTTACTCATACAGACGTTCTAAAAGTGTCCTCTGTCTGGTTATATGATGTTTTTTTCTTTAACCTTCTCTTTAAATCTAAAAGTTCTCCCTTGGTGCAATTTAAAAACCACAGGGTGAAAGAAAAAAGAAAAAAACATAAGGACACCCGACAATGTCAGACACATAGCACAGAGTACACCAGGTTTGTCTCTGGCTGTAGGATGAAAAAGATCAATTTCTCCTGGATGATGATAAAATATTTTGCTAAAACATAAAACAAAGGAGTTCCAACATTTCGAACCCTCACCTGGATGAGGCTGTGGAGATCAAGCTCCTGACAGAGCTTCTGGAGGACTGAATGGAGGTCTCACTTCGGGTCTCATAGCCGCTGTCTGGAACAGACCAAACAGGGACCCTCTCCCCTATCTCCTGGGTGTCTAGACTGGCCAACAAATCTGCATCATCAAGTTCAAGGTCCTCCACTTCCTGGTTACCTAAAGGAAGGACAGAACACTATGAGAAGGATTCGTTCTGAAATAAAACATGTGGCGTCATTTAACATCATCAGCAATCTTAGTAAGCACAAACTCCACTACCTAAGACACACACGCTTTAATAACACACCTTGTTGTGCTGGTGGGGCTTCCTCCCCCTCCTCCTGCTGCTGCCGCTGCTGCTCTTCCTCAGGAAGTCCCAAAGTCCGACACAGCACCCGGCCCTGTCAGAGAGGTAACTTGGTAACTCTTCCCTCACCCAATCAGCTTCAACTATTGGTCAGGCAGGTCAACATTCTTACCAAATAAAACAAAAATAAAGACAAATAAACATGTAGACGTTTAAATCTGACTGAACAAATTACTTGATTATTCCTCTCCACCAGGTCCTCCACTTCACCACCCAGGACTTTGATATTGGACGGCTTCAACAGAAGCATCCCGAGTCTGCAAACCATGGGCCCCTTCAACTGAAGCTTTACACCAGGCCTGAGGGTAACAAGAGTCAGATATCCCTCTTAAACAGTCTCTTTTTACCCTTTAAAATCCTACTGATTATCTAAAATTCATCTTTCAGTAATTTACCAACAAGAAAAATGGTTGCTTTGAGTAAAGACAAAGCTTCACACGTTTTAAAATGGTCTCTTTTAAGTTGTTAATGGCACAGAGCTGCTTAACTGTCCCAGAGAACCGTTTCTAACCTGAGAGCCGCGCTCAGTGCAGGGATAGGCTGATACTCCATGGCCTCCAAGCTCTGGACTCCATCAGTCACCTGTACAACAGAAACCACATATTGAACCTGCAACAACTGAACCTGAAATGAACGGGATGAAGCACGTTAAATCTCTGCTTAAATATTCAACTCTCAAGGAAATCTGACTTAAATCAGGCCTATGAAAGTTCTTCTTTATTGCTGTGCTGAAAATAGTCAGCATCAAGCAGGTGTAACAACGTTCAACAATTCGCTTTTGTTTTAGGATGCAACTTCTTTGGTCTAAGGCTACATTCATACTGCAGGTTATGATGCACAATTCAGATTTTTTGTTAAATCCGATCTTTTTGTGCAGTCGTTCACATTACAACAACGAATGCGGCATCTAATATGAATGGAATGCGTCCGTTAAGTTACCCGCATGTGCACAAAGCACCAATTGCTTTCCGCGCCTGTTTGTGTTGTCGAACAATGGTGACGTTTGTCGCATATTGATGACATATAGGTCAGATGAACGTGCCTGAGCGTCCACACTGCAGTCACACCGGATACATATCCGATTTATATCCACAGACAAAAGAGGCCTGGGTCATATTTGAAAAAAATCAGAATAGCACCGTTCACACTTACATGAAAAAATCTGATATGTGTCACATATGGTTAAAAAATCAGAATTGACCTGCAGTGTGAACATAGCCTAAGTTTTACCGAACACTAAACAAGAATTTGAATATGCCTTCCCACCGAAATAAACTCAAGTTATTTAGAGTGTAGAAAACACTGACATAGTCTCAGGCATGTCACCTGTTGGCTTCAAAAGACACATTATGAATGTTTAAAGACGGCCATTGCAACGTCCCTCACCTTTGGATACAGGTTTGAGTGTACACTTGAGAAACTAGTTTTTTTGCACTCGCTTCTTACCCACAAAACTGTAGTAAATATTACACCAGGGCAGAGTGAATCTGGATAAAACAGTTCTCTCTTCCTTCTGCACATACACACTGCCTGACGAGGATTTTCCGAAACAAAAAGCTGGAAAAAAAATACAGTGTTTCTGACCAGCCATTCAACCATCAGCTATAGCTTATCTTGTGAGGGCTGGAACAGATCCAAGCTGGCAGTGGGTGAGAGGTGGGGTAAACACTGTAGGGGTCGCCTGTCAATCACAGGGCCAACACAGAGAGACAGAGAACCATTCACACTGTGCTTTATTAACCTGACTTTTGGCAAAGCATTTTTACTGCTGGTGGTCTTTACACCTCATGACTCCTAGAACTGCGGAACTTGCTCAGAAGGTCTGCTGGAAAGTTGAAAAAAAAAAGAGAAAAGAAAAAAAAAAAAGAAAACTATGGCGACGTTTCTAAGCAACACCAGCGCTATTCTTGAGAAACCACAGAGCCATGACAAGTGTAATACTTAAGGTGAAAATTACAGTCTGCGCCTTATATCCGACAATTTACTCTTTCATATGCTTTCAGTGATTGTGCCTGTCCACCCTGATTCAGTTAGGAAGAGAAGAAAAAGTCTGTAGTTTCACCTAACCTCCTAAAGACACACAGCCTGGATGTATATAAGTGCAGGAGAGTCCACTGTAGGAAAGACAGATTGTAGATCCTTTAACTTACAAATACTTATCTACAATTCATATGCATTTACTGAAATGTATTTCAGTTTTGTGGGATTTAGGCTTGCAAAGCTTTGCAATCACAATCATGTGCGGATAAATGAAAAAAAGAAAAACGGAAAGCCAAGGCTCAACAACAGCTGTTTACACACACTGTCATTTCATCCCTCATGTCTGAGGATTTCAGACGGACTTCCAGAGCTCTCCACATCGTGAGCTTTAATAAATCGTGCCACAATGATCAGAGGTAGGGAGCCATCGCTGCACATAAGTGTCTTGAGCCTATTAATTTCTAGGCAAACATTAGCTGGCATACAAACTTTATGTTTATGTTAATGACGTCTGTTGAAAAGATGGGCTTTTAAAGTTCATGAAACAGCCTCACTTTATTTTGCACCACAGGGACATAAGCCTTTTTACATAATGTGACATGTTTTAACACAGAGGGACAAGTAGAATGCAAACAGCTCAATCTGTGGGGATGAAGTGGAGATGTGTGAGATGGGATTGAGTGTTTCATTTTAGAAGACAGCAAAGGAGAGCAGCTGTTAAAAAAATTACAAAGTTTCCTAATCTTCACACTGGGGGGTTGTTTTTTTTTCTAAATAGATATTGGGTGTTCCTCCAGTCAATGGCATTGATTATCTCCTGCTTTGCTTTGAGCGATGCTCTGAAGACTTCATGGTGGTCACACTCAATAATAGACGTGTGGGAGTGTCTTTTTTTATTTTCATTTACAGGAGCTCCATGAGGGTTTTGTGGGGTGAACACAGTTGGAATGATTCAGATAGCTGTATCCCATCTTATTTTTAGATTGCATGCCTCAGTAAACGGCAGCAGAGCAGAGTAAATTTTAATGCATCTAAATACTGTATGTCACTCTTACTTTTGAAATCTTTCATTGACTCTGATTGTTTTTTGCTATCTCTACCTTGTGAAGTAAGGATCTCTCAGACTGCAAAATTTACCACCTGACATACAGGTGGTGATATTTGTAAAAGTGAAAAAGGAGCTGTTTCTGCTTCTCTGCCTTCATCACAATGACCAAATTCATTCAGGTGATAAAAGGATAACTCCTTTTATCATTTTTTTAAAAAGGTTTATCTATGATGAATGAATATTTTTGGCATGCTTTAGTAACAACTTCACTGTAAGGTTGTTTGGTTATGGAGGCTGACGACTCACTTTTTTTTACGTTGATATGTCTCATATTTTTCACCGGTTATTTTTATAAACTAACCCTCTTTTTTCCCCAAAGAAGTCTCTTACCTGCAGCAGCAGCATACGGGTTGGTTTGGCCTCCCAGGGCCTCTGTGTGGACTGCGTGACGGCAGACACCTCATCGTTGGTACAGTCGCTTCCTCTCCAGCTTTGCAGTTGACCGTATGCAGGCTGACCGACATCCAGTAAAGAGTCAACCTATAACAGAGAGAAACCTTTGATTGTGACATTTCCTTGTGTATAATAGTCTTCAATTTTACAGGAAAATGTGACATTCATGCGTACTACATTATAATTTAACTTAGAGTGCACTTTTTCAAATTGTTCATCTTTGCCATGAGAGGAATATGCATCTTCTGTCTCTTAACATTGTATATTTGGAACAGATCTTTGTACATTAATTGATTTTATTTAACAGAGAAAATGTAAGTGTTTATCATGTTTGATGTGTGCAGCATAAAGGAGCTACGACAGAAATGTCATTATGCAACCCCGTGTAGCAAAATAAGACATAACAATGACTGTAATTCCTTGACCTATCACAGAATGACTGTTTCTGGGTTTCCAGCTGAGTTTTCATTTTCCATCCTAAAGGAAAACTGAAATGCGCTGGTACCTTGTTAGAATATAGCTCTCGACTAAACTCCAATCACTTTCTTTCTTTCAAATGAAAAGACTCATTTTTGGAACAGTGGGATTTTGTTAATTTTGTGCATTGTTGGTTGCTTTTATAATTTTCCACACTTTATAAAATAACAATAGGAAAAAAATGGAAAGCATACAGACCGCTCTAATATGGGGCCTAAATTGCTTTCAATCAAATGTTAATAAGAAATAACCCAGAAAACCACATTTAAACACATACACACAGCAAAAAAAAGAGAACTCAACAGCTTTAGCTCTGCGTTAGCTTTGTAATAATGTTGCAGATATTCTCCAGTGAATAGTGTAACAAAAATGCAGAAATGTCTAAATATATTACCATTATAAAAATGGATTTAATTACACATATTAAAGATAATGTGGACAGCATTTTTGAAATCCTAGAAAAAAACAGTAACATTCATGCTTAGCCTCTTATCAATCATTGTTGAGTGCTTATATGATTGAAATTTCAGTCAGCCTGGATTCAACATTTCTTAAAATTAATTACCTTAGTAATAAGAAAAATAAACAGAATACATATCATAAACATACAAGCAGTCAGATGATAGATAGATAGATAGATAGATCGATAGATCGATAGATAGATAGATAGATAGATAGATAGATAGATCGATAGATAGATAGATAGATAGATAGACTTCATACCTGTAACTGTATAACTCTGAGCAACAATATATCAACAAACCGACAAACGTACTTTCTCTCTAAGATTTAGAGTGGCAACCTTTTGCTAAGAAATGGAAGAAATAGAAAGTATTTGTGACAGAGAAGGTAGATGCTACCTCTTTGGGGATCTTTGGACAGGAGTAGACTCTTGGTATGAAATATCTACATTATAACCCCCCCATATCCTGGTATGCAAATGACAGCATTTCATAGTGCATATATATGGGTTGAACACCTGCACATTATAATTTGACTATTCCCTACTCAGAGTGGACCACTGTTGGACTGTTATGTGATTGTACTCTTGTGTTGTTGGTACGTATTAGATAGTAACTTTCTGTTAAGGCTGTGGGTATATAGATATTGTCCTTTGCATGCAGTTTTCTGGTTATATTTAATTTTTCAATAAGTAATTTTAGTTTGCTTTTCAAAGCTTCACCAACTCTGGCCAATTAAGACTTTTTTTTCCCCACAGAAAACTGGTATTGTTTCCACCACAAAAGGGTTCATAATAAGAAAGGTACTTCAATGATAAACAAACCTGTACCTGAACACAGAAGGTGCCGCTCAGTTCAGTTTTCTGGGCCTGGCTGATCCCTTCAGGAAGAACAGGGTGGTCCAGGTCTCTCAGGTCTGTCAACAACCACTGGTCCAGCACCTAAGATTTCAGGTCACATGAGGAGGAGGAGGGTGAGCAGGCTTCTGACTATTTCCTATTCAATCATATGCAACAAGTTTTCAAAACATTGTTCTGGAAAACCTTTGAATGAACTTTAAATTATGAGACACTAAAAGCAACATTGTTAGTGAACCTGGGTCAGATGAAATTTTTGAAAACATAAATCTTCACAATATTATTCGGCAAAGATGTAAAACTCTCATTGAAATAGTGAGGCAGTGTGACTCAGTCATGTCAGAATGTCTCTGCAGAATTTTCATCTCCCGGTCATTATGTAAATGACCTGAACTTTCTAAAAAGTGCCCTCCTTAAGTGAGATGCTGTGACCATGTGAGCTCCTTGAATGATCTGATATCACTGTCATGTTCCTGGAACCAATATGAGATGATGCGTGCTTTGACAAATGAAGCACTGCCTCCTCCTGTATTTGAAAATTGATAAAAATGTTGGCTATGGAGGGACACAGCTGTTCCCTGCAATATTTAGGTACACTTTGGTGTACAAATGATGCGTAAATGCTGGAAAACATACCCCACATGACGCCACCACCAGCTGGTACAGCTGACACTGGACAGGATGGAATCATGCTGTTTGTACACACACACACATACACACACACAAAGCTTTGCTTTCAGCCTGTTGGATTTGTAAGATCATGAGGTGCCCCTTCTCTTCTCAGTTGTCCATTTTTTTCCAAACCACAACTCACCGTAACATTATCTCTCTCTCTCTTTTTAAAGCTGAGAGAAATAGACAGTAGCTCAGGCTTTAGATCCTCTTGGGCCTGATTAGTGTAGCTGAATACTTGTTTGGATTTCATTTTATTTGACTATCATATCCAAGCTTACCTGGCACATATAATCTTTAATTATATATAAAAAGAGGGATGCACTGATCTACCTGTTGAATGTCCAATCCTGGCCTTTTTGACAGATACTGACCCACTGGCAAATAGTGTGCCATGCATCAATATCAGCAGCTGCTGCTTACTTACATCTTATTGGATTTTATCTTTATCTGTCAATTTAACACTGGAAAGCTAGTATATCTGACTGCTGATTCACAAAAGGTTTTTGTTCACTTGTTGAACAAACTCTGGTTTGTTTCCATGGTCAAACATGGAAGAAAATAGTGTCACTGTGAAAGCTGTACATCCTCTGAGAAAGTCAAGGGGCATGCAGTTTGTGTGACATCTCCAAATGACAATTTATGTGGGATTTACATACATTGAATATTATGACACATTGGAAAAACACAAGGATCTACAAAAAAGTAATGCAAAAACAAATCTGCATCAGATTTGGTTTCTGAACATAGATATTAGTACTAGCCTACACTTTTACAATCCATGCATGTCTAATAAGAAAAATCTCCTTCAGTATTACTATAAATTGTTAAATCTACAGTGTACGTCTGAGGCCTCTTCCTTTTACCAAAGTTAAGTGTAGAGGTGAATATTAAGGCATGATTCAAAACATAGAAGTATATTCTCACATTTAAGACGGCGATGATGTCTGCCAGTCTTAATCGCCTAAACAATCGTAATTTAGATCAATATTTTCATCCATCTATTTTGACAAACACAACTGTATTAAACATGTATAGGTGTAATAGCCCAGATAATCTCAGGAAACAGCAGTCAGAATGCACTTCCTGCTTGTAAGTGGTCAAAGGCCAGGGGCTAGAAGTGACCTTGGAGCCAGAATTAAAATTCATAAACATGTTGTTCACACCTGGACACTGAGAGTGTTCTGCATACCTGCTGGTTGATTTGCTGCTGTGACAGACGACCAGCTCCTCCTGCTTCTTCCTGCAGCCACTCCACACAGGCGTCCAGCCAGGTGGTGGGCACCTGGACATGCCAACAAGACTGCAGCCAGGTTTGAGTCGCCCGAGCAACTACCTGGATCTCGGGGGGCATTCTTCTTCTTTAAATGTGAGTGCTGCTTCTCCTATTTCTTCTTTTTATCCCCCATAAATGGCACCAACTCAAACATCTGATAGTGATATATTTCTAAGCTTCTGCAGACCAAATAGTTGAGTCACTGGAGTTTCAGCAAAACTGTCCTTAACTGTGTTTCAACTGTGAACTTTATCTGTGAGGTTACAGGTTTATATTTCTCTTAGTTCTGTTGTATTTCATTTAATTCCTGGATTTACCCAGGGGTCCTCAGGAGCTTAATAGGGGTGTATCTGTGAGGGTGTCATCTCCTATCTATATATCCCCTAAAGTACTTGACATCCAATCTTTTGGTGATTTATTCCCAGGGGAGATTAGATATTTATGAAAGAGGAAAAGGGTGATTTTGTCTTTTGTTATTGCTCAGTGATCATCTCAGCTCGGATAAGCCCTGTGTCTCTGCAGATAGTCACGGCTGAGTACTGTGGGAGGGAAAGAGAACGAGGTTGAGAGGAAAACAATAACCACAGAAGTTTAAAGCTGAAATAATAGTGATGTCTAACACGAAGCATTAAAACAGCCTCTTCCACGCTGTGCAGAAGAGCAAAGGCGCCAAAGTTGACCCACCCAGCCCGTTCATAATGCTAATGCTACTTTACCTCAGATTTGTATCCATTCAAGATGACAAAGGAGGATCATGCATACAAAAAGAAAGTCTTAGCCACTACAATTTAGTGAAATAACTACGAAAATATTTGAAAACTGGACTGACTTGACCAACCACAGTCAACTAACTAGTCTTCCCACCGGAAGGAGGGCTTACAGTGTAACTGTGGAAACGCCTCAAGATATATGATTGACGCTTTCTTCAACCAATCACATGACTCATCTATTGATTTGTTCTCGGTTCAGCCAATCAGCACAGTTAAACTCATTCTGTGTGCTTCCAAGTTAGGTTGAGGGGAGAAGGGACGAGTGAGGCGTAGCACTGCAGGTTGGTGTTTGGACAGTATTTCCTCCTTTTTTTCCTGCAACAGTGTGTCCTGTTAAATTGAAGTGCTGAGGTAACCTAGAAAATGTATTCTCCTCTTGTAGCTCTCGCTTTTCTTATTTAGGGTGACGCTACCTTATTAGCTGGCCTGCTCAGCTCGCCTTGTGCTCCTCCGAATTTATGGCAACATGGCGAAATTAGCCAGCAGCTAACCTCAACAACCCCGACTGCTCTTTGTAGCGAACCGATCGGTAATGTTTACCTCCGCGATGGTGTCAGATCAGTAATACATCCTTGTAATATGCAAGTAGTGCTAATTTTTAGGTGTTTTACACAAGGGAGATGGATTTGTGGAGAAATGGTTGTTCACACGCACACCCCGAAGCTCGCAGCTAACACATTTCCCTCCAGGCTAGCTAGTTAGCTGCTGCCTTGTTAGCTGACATCGACAACGGTGGACGACTCAGCTTTGCAAGACTCTATTTCGATGTAGTCAGCGTCGTCGTACAGTGAACCTAACTTTGATTTTAATGTCATTTATCAAAGTGATGTGACTGAAAGTAGAGGTGTTGTTGTGCTGTATTGGCAGTGGCAGCGATGTTAAGGCGTTATCGGTGTTCATTCATGATCGGCTTGTGTTTTTTTTTTCATTGTGGCGTCGGGTTATATGCTTGTTTTACAATATCTATTTCTCTGTCGTCCCAAATGAGTGTATAAAACATATTATGTCTCTTTCTCATCTCATCTCATCACAGTATTCAAAACACATGATGGTAACGTTAACAGAAAATAATGAACAAGAGGTGATTTACCATTCTGTTTCCCTCATATGCACTGAAACTGTACAATAGTTACGAATAAAACATAATAAATATCAGACAGTGTCAGTGATTACAGAGCAGGTCGGGCGATGGCCGATATATAAGGCCGATATTATATATTTACACATATCTGTTGTTGTTGCTTGTTTTGCATTGGAATAATGGATTAGATTAGATTCAACTTTATTGTCATTGAACACAGTACAAGTACAGGAACAACAAAATGCAGTTTAGCATCTAACCAGAAGTGCAAGGTATGTACATATGGGCAGTGCAGGTATGAACTGAATATACTCTATATATACATATATGTGCAATGAGTATGCTAAAAATATATACATGGTGTTGGTTCCTGCAGGTATGAATAGGCTATACAACAAAAAAATGATCTAATTATGTATATTATCTATATTTACAATAATAATAGAATTTTACTATAGATAAGATACAAATTACTAATCTTGAATGACTATTTTATTATTACTGGCCTCCCCTGGTGATGGTTCAGTAACATGTTTCCACAAAATGCCCTATACTAAATTAGGATTTGGCCGACTGATTAACCGCTCCATAGTAAAGATAAGGTGATATACACACATAAATATACTGTTAATTTAACAAAAGTATGATTGTATGCTATATTAATTCACTTGAAGATAAACAAACTGTGCAATTGTACTTGCAAATCAATCATGTTGTAATTTGATTTGTGTATAATTTACATATACAAGTTTATTAGTGAAAAGTGGCAAGTATGGGATACATATCTGAGTAAATGTCATATATTATTTGAAATGAAAGCTTTTCCGTTTTGCTCCCACGAATGTCAGTTTCTAATCGCCCTCTCCCATCCTCCCTCCCTCACTCCCAGGTTTCAGCAGCTGTTTGGTCCTTGCTTATTTAGTTCCGCCTATCAACACGCCCTTGTCCTTCTAATAAATACCGGTGAGTGCTGGGTTTGCTGTGATTTTTCCCTCATTTTGTCTTCCTTGGCTCCTCAATAGCTGGTTTGGGAGCATGCAGCTTCAATTATCAAATTTTTCTTCCCCTGTCACTATGTTGTCAGACCACCGTACCTCACAGGGGTCAGTTCTTCGCTTCGCTCTCCTTGCTGCTGTTGCCCGTTCCCCACTCCTTGAGGCTTGTCCCATCTCTTCTACCGTCAGAGGACCATGGAGACAGAAATTGAACAGCAAGAGGACTCTGCTTTCAGCAACACCGAGACCAATGGTATGAAACTCTATTTATTAAAGGGTTTTTGTGCATGAATAGTGTCTATAGTCTTATAAAAGGCTGGAAAATTGTTTGGGAATTTGGAAGTTATCCATATCTAAGACCATCTACTTCATATTACTCCTTATTCTCTAAATTATGTGTAAATTACACTACAATACAATAATTTTATCAATCCCCAAGGGGAAATTCATTATGATACATGAACATTTGGTATATTGTCAGGGTCCTTCCTTTTTACTCTTAGTAATACCCCCCTGATGTAGTGTCTGTATTCTCTTAGAAGAAGCACAAAAATCTCCTGCTTCTCCTTGTTTTGCAAACTGTCGTCTGTGTAAATTCAAATGTTATTGAGAGCGAATTCGACTGAAATGAAATATGTAATTGTGTGCTTCACTCCTACCTGTGGTCCTTTTTGATAATTTAATTTCAGTTTGTGAAAGGTTGTGTTTGCAGGATTAATGTTGCTGGTCTTTATCTCCTGATGCCAGGTAAGCGCCCCGCTGAGGATGCAGATGAGCAGAAATCATTCAAGCGCTCCAGGAACTCAGACGAGATGGTTGAGCTTCGCATCCTCCTGCAGAGCAAAGTAAATCAACTACCCTTTCATTTCACACCCATGATTAAACTCTTATGTGATTATAAGGATTTATGTCTCTTTTGCGTCTGCAAAATCTGCCATTTCCTTTTGTTACATCCTGTATAAATGTGTTTCTTGTTTGTGCTGTAACTACATATCTGCCTTCAAAACAATGAATAGTCAGCCTTTATTTTTCCACCAACTTTGGTGCTCATCCTTATAATAATTGTAACACCTGTTCTTTTAAAGAATGTAAGTTTAACTTTCTGTATTATTTTGATGTTTTGGTAAGAAGTATTTTGTGTTCCCAGAACGCAGGAGCTGTAATTGGGAAGGGTGGCAAAAACATCAAAGCCCTGCGTACAGACGTGAGTACCTGTACTTTGTAAATTCAGAATCTTTTTTTTTCTTTTTTTTTTGGTTTCGCCCTTTAATTTATTTATTTTTTCCCTTCACTGGTGTTCAGCATCTCAAAACTAGCCAGCCCTCCTCAACGATAGCTGTTCTTTACACAGACTCTTTAACTCATGTTAACTGAGCAGAAACAGATTTTGGCATTTGGCCATGTTTTCTTTTTTAAAACAAGGTGTGTGGTCAGCTGATGCCTGTGTAAGTCTTTCGACAAACCCTTGTGGGTCGGTTTTGTTGTTCTTAAACAAAAGCATCTTGTGATTACCTTAGCTAAACTGGCCCTTGAAACTTAAGTCGAAGTTCATGTCTTTATTTTTTCTCAATTTTTTAATTTATCGTTAAACCACTGATGCTTTCGTTAGTTGAACGTGGAGGCACAGTGTGACATTTACTAAGGTCACCAGCAGTGCCAGCTTACTTTTTAAGTGATAAGGCAACCTGGCCATTTCTTAATTCATTAAGTCATTGCCTCTTTCTGTAGCCCTCCACAATTTGTTCTACCCCTCTTTTTCACTGTCTGTGGTCTATTCCCCATCATTGAAATCTTCATGTTCTTAATATGCCATTACCCATTTTCCAATGTCACATGTTCTCCTTTCTCTCTTTGACAAACCAATCTCTGAGAGAATCAAATTAAAGTCACGTTTGAACAGTGTAGAGCCTGTATATTAAAAATGTATTCCTCTTCCCTCTTCCCTCTCCCTTGTTTATTATTTTACTGTTGACTTTTTGCCCACTTCCTCCTCTGTTGCCCATGTTCTGGATGGCCCCTCCTGCGCCCGCCCACCTGACACCCTGGTTGGCCCTGTCCATAATCGTGCCCTGTCCCTAAATGGGCGCCTTACTTGATTGACATCTGTGCTCGAATGGCCCTGGCCCCTGCCCATGCCACGCCCAGTACAATGCCAGTGTGTCAGTCCCAGACAGCAGTGGGCCTGAGCGGTATGTCCCTAAGCTCCTCCCTCTCACTGCCTGACTACAGGTCAAACAAACAAGAAGAGATGAATAATAAATAGACATCCTGCCTCTGTCAAGTCACTGTATTTTAACCTACCTGTTCTCACAATATATTAGCCTGAATCAAAATGCCTAAATGCGTTCATGTCCAAATCTGCCTGTAAAAGCCATGTCAACATCCTTCTATATGCCATTTTTAAAGTCACCTCAACACATTGAAATTTAGGCTGGTGTTGTCAGGGTTTTTCCACAATCTGCCACTGTCTTTTTAAAAATCTTTGCTATGATCTGTGCAATATGTCCGTGTTGCTTTATTTTCCTTAAATTTTCATTGATGATTATCTATCCTCTTTATCTTTGGCGTTTTCACCCCCCTCCCCCCTCAGAGTGGATATATTGGTGGTCTTGTTTTGTTAGTTTCATGAGCTCACTTGCTTCTCGCACCATCCCATTCTTTCCTTGTGATGTCCTCATTTTATCGATGGTCTCTGACTGTCCATCCATTGTGAAACGCAAAAAGGCAAGCCAGGGCTTCACTGTTGTGTGCGTGTGTGTTTCGTCCTTCCTGTCTTCTGCTTCATCTGAACTCGGCTGTTGACTGTTGGAGCTATTGAAACTACAGATAAGCCCTCCCTGTCCCATTCATCTCTATGGTTTTACATTTACCGCTTCTCCCAGCCCTCTTAAATGCATCAACCCCGGTGGTGGCAAACTTCATTTCCCGTGGTATAATCTGCTCTGATACTCTTCCTCAGCTGTCTACCATTCTACTTCCATTTACAAACTGTGCCGCAGTTTTCTTGATCAGTAAATTCATTTTTTATTTTGGTTTGTTGTCAGGTGGGTGCAGACTACAAAAATATGTGTACAATTCAACACATTTGAAGACGAGAATGCTCTGCAAACAATTGCACACCATCCTCGACTGCAAACAAAACAACAGTAGAGAGGATAAATTAGTTCTCTCTGTCTTCCATGAACTTTACTTTGTGTTGTCACCTTAATTGGGGTCTTTGAAATTCGAGTATTTATTTTTATTTTTTTTGCAGTGTGCATCCACTAAACTATGCTTTAGGAATTTAGAGGTCTCTCTGGCACCTTTTGGTGCTTACTCCTGCCAGATCCTCCTCCTCAGGCTTCACCCTCCCCGTCTTGCCCCTTCAGTAGTCACCAAATGCAGTCACTTTTCTTTGGGTCCCCCTTTATTTTGTCTCTTTTCTTCTTTTCTCTCGACAAGACTTTCCTTTTTTCATTGTATATTTTTGGGAACCAGCTTGTTTTTTTTCTTGTTACAGTGTTGGAAAATTCATGAAATACTGTTAAAAACAATTAGCAAACACTGGACCTCAACTGTTCGTTTAGCTCTTATTCTCAGGATTGACTTTGATTAATTGGGTGGGACTTTGAAGCTTTGGCAGAAAAAGGGGGATGTAGTGAATTCTCTCATCTGAAATGTTGTTCCCTTCCTCCTGGGATGCCTTGCTGGCTACCCTGTCCCCACCCCCCCACCCCCTGTGCGTGGCTGTGGCTTCTGATTGGTGGCTGAATCATGAAGCATCCTGAGCATCAGTGCAGACATCGAGACAGTTGGAGAAATCCTGCTTAAAATTATTCCAACATTGGAAGAGGTGAGGATTTTTTTTTCACAAGCTAACAAAGATGTGAACATGTCATGATGAAAGTCATCCACCTGTCTTTGATACGATGGACATTAGATATGCTGAAGTTAAAGGTTCATTGTGCTGTTGATCAAGGACATCCGTAGATGTATGCTCTTTCTATTTTGCATTTTAAGCTCTTTTCACTCGCGAATGGCTGGTATAGAAATGTTAAACTGCTCTTGTTGAAAACCTGCTCGCTGGTTTGTGAATTCTGTCTCAATATCCTCAACAGAGCTGTTGCTATAAGCTTTCTCTATATGCGTTTTATAGAGAATTGTAACCTTAATCTCTACAGACAGCTCATTTCTATTATCATGTTTGGTTATATCCTTCTATCCATCAACTTGACACTCATTACCTAACATTACCTTAGAATTATTGTGTGAGTCAGTTTTATGTATACAGTTTAATATTTCTAATATTTGGCCTTCGGTCTGCTCAGCTCATAGCTGGATATTACAATACAATACAATGTCCCTCTCAGTACCAACAGTACAACGGCATGGACTTTGACTGTGAGCTGCGTCTGCTGATCCATCAGAGCCTCGCTGGCTCCATCATCGGGGTGAAGGGAGCCAAGATCAAGGAGCTGCGGGAGGTATGTTAATGCAAAGGATCTGGATCATCTCTCTGTGATGGATATATCTGCCAAACAGTTGACAACCTTAAATTTGTGAGCAATGTCAAACACGGTATAGCCCTAATACTCTGGATTAAACGCAGCTGGTCCATCTTTTGTTTAATCTTAGTGTTTGTATCAAATCAATTTCCTTGCCGTTACATCCCCATTAGTCTTGATTTTCTTCGCCTGATCTGTCAAACAAACCTTTGCAGATATAAAAATGCCCTTAAAACTGTTGTGACACAGTATGCTTCAAAGTCGTTTCTTTTTCTGCAGTGTTATGTTGTCTTTTCTGAACATGTGCCTCTCCCGTTTTCTCGTTCCTTTCTTGCCTGCAGAACACAAAGACCAGCATCAAGCTGTTTCAGGAGTGTTGTCCTCAGTCAACAGACCGGGTAGTTCTGGTCGGTGGTAAAACCGAGAGGGTGGTGGAATGTATCAAGACCATGCTGGAGCTCATCGCCGAGGTGAGTTCCTTTCACAGTCCTTCACATGTATGTATTAAAAAACTGTTTGTTGAAGTCCTCTTATTGAAGGTATGTAGGTGATGGGGAATTTAGAAGTGCAGTCAAATGAAAAACAATAAAACAGAGCTCCAAGTTACATCTATTCCTTTGTAAAAGTGTGAAGTGAAATGAAATCAATTTTAAATGCCCATAAAATGAGTAATTTTCCTCTTTTTTCAGGCTCCCATAAAGGGTCGAGCACAGCCCTACGACCCTAACTTCTACGACGAAACCTATGAGTACGGTGGATTCACCGTGATGTTTGAGGAGAGGGGAAGCGGTCGCAGGCTCATGGGAGGGTTCCCCATGCGCGGGGGGAGGTCCAGCGGTGGAGACCGTGGTTTTGACCGAATGCCCTCCAGCAGAGGAGGACGGGGACCCATGCCTTCCTCCCGCCGCGACTATGACGAGATGAGCCCTCGTCGGGGTCCCCCTCCACCCCACCCCAGCAGGGTTGGCGGCCGGGGGAGCGGTCGTGGACGCAACATGCCGATGGGTCACCCACACCGAGGAGGGTAAGAAATGCACATAATACACGGTCTGTTTCTCTTTTGCCTGATTTTAGTCTCTGCTTTTACTTGAATATCAGACCTTACATGATCTGTGGATGCTTAATTGAATTTTTCTCAAAACCTGATACCAGATTAAAATTTTTAGACATTTTTAGCTGAACATTCAGTTTAACACTCATCAGTTTTCAGTCGTCCTTTCTGTCCATTTTGCCCCTTAAGTTTTACATGATTTATATTTTTGGCAGCTAATACCCCCTCTAGAGCTCATGGCTTTTTTGTCTTGCGTTTACGTATATAAAGCATAATTTCCTAATAAGTGCGTTCTGCTCACATTTTGCTTTACATCGTCTAGTTTAAATGGTAGATCAAGCCTAGTTCACTGCATGTGGCAGGATCCAACGAGCACCTTTTTTAGAAACATTTGTAATCATGATTATCATTCCATATCGTATGCTCATCAATGTATGTCTGGGTGTGTTTGTGTGTCTTTTTCCCATCTACATCTTGCCCACAGAGATGATCGTTACTATGACTCGTACCGCGGCTCTGATGAAAGGTCAAAGTAAGTCTCAGTCCCTAAATCTTTGCCTCAACCTCTTAACCTCTCCGAGCAGGGATACTTTGACACTCTCATACTCTTGCACTTGCCTCAGCATAGGTCGGTGCTGTGTAATGGTAATTCTCTGAAGCGATGATTCTTCATTGGTTTCATCAGGTGGTGCTTTTTGGATTTTAGCATTTAACCTTTTGACGTAATGAGGAATCTTTTGATTTTCATTCACAAGTGTGGCCTGATTGGGCCTGATGAGTTAAAATTCAGTGCAAGTGTTGAGGTATTCCCTAAACATTTTCTCACTCTGATACTCTGTCGCTGCACTTTTTATGAATGTGACTGCGCATCTACTTTGTGTCATAGCATTGTGAAAACATTAACACTCTTTAGTAAATGCTTGCCCTCCTGTTTTATCCTTTTCTTCTACTACTAACTTCTACCTTATAAATTTAAATCTCCCTGATTTCTCTTCAGTGCCCCTGCCTGCTGAAGTTATTTATCCTGCTGCTCGTTCGTCTGATCTGAAGTGCTTTGAAGGAAAACACAGCAATGTTGAAGTCCCTCTCTTACCTGTGACAATAACCCATCCAACTTGCTACTAACTCCTGGTCTCTCTTAGGATGAGATTATGTATTTGGTGGTGTGTGTATGAGGGTCAGGTGCCGAGCTAAAACTGACAATCATCTAAAGTTGTCTCAAGCACAGCAGACTTCCTCAAGCTGGTCTGTAATCTGAGATTAAGTCTACAGAGCGTTAATCAGAATGTAAATGATACTAAACAAACAGTTTCATTGTTAGTCTGCGTAGATGGTTGGGCCAAAGAATAAATGTCAGAGTTTTGGAGCCCAAATTAACATCCTTTTAATGTCACAAGATATACAGTTTACTGTTATTGAAGAGTGAAGATGGTGGTAAATGCACATTCAAAACTGTGGAGTCTGAAATTTTTACTGACCAAGAAAAAAATAAAGAGACTGATTGATTTTTATTTTTTATTTTTTACTGATTAATGTGATCAAAGTAATTACAGGTCATTTATTTCAGCTGCTCTAAAGAGTAATATTGTGACCCAGCTTTAGTGTCAGCTGTCCACACACAGGTATTATAATAACAAACTGCCATATGGGTGACACATTTGAGAGAAATATTCCCTGGCATCCTCTTGAGAAATGTGCTAATTGCACGTTGATTTTCTGAGTTTCATTGATTCCTGTCATCTTAGCCAATGGTGGTTAAATGTAAAACAAGACTGTTGAAACGTCATGTATGTTAAGGCGTAAGTTTGACATGACAGAGAGGAATGTATACGTGCGCTCTGAAGCAGCAAATAAATCCCAACCCATTGCTTCAGCTTAATTTGAGCTCAGTTTTTGTTGAAAAAGCGGCAGCTCTTGGCTCTGATAATCATCACCACCACCTGTCACTTCTCTCACTATAACACTGTCAGAGCTGTTCCTGTTACTGTGTGGGAAGATGGCTGAGAGGAAATGTGTTTATACTGTAATCTTGCTCAGCGTGTGTGCAGTTTGACCTAGACCAGAAATTTCCTTTGGAATGTTGTCAAGTTTTTTTTTTATTTTATTTTTTTATAAAGCATTTTCTATTTCTCTCCTCCCCACCCACATCCCTCTCTCTCTCTCTCTCCCATACTCTGTCTGTCTCTGTCCCCGCCACATCTCCCTCCTGTTATGACACTTTCGTCACCAGTGACAGAAGAGGCAGACCAGATCGCTATAGCGATAACATGGTTAGTGACCCTTTACTAAATGCATGCAGCTCTTGTTCTAGCATCTGGTTGGGCTGCAGTATCCTCAGGCTGGCCTACTAATGGAGTTAGCACCAGACAATATGTTTTGATTATCCATTGTATTTTATAACATCAAAACCATGGCTGGTTGCTCGTGGACATGGTTGTGCACTGGTTGTGCGTGAAGGCCAGATTTGACGTGGTGCAAGCCTTCCCACCAAATGACCATAATCACCACAGCCGGAGACACCCCATAATAATCAGCTATAATTGCCCTCTTACTGTGTACTTTTCATGGCCAGCCTGCTTCTCCTGCACAGAGAGGAAGGATGTGGGGGGTGGAGAGGGTGGGGGTGGCCATGGTTGGTTGCTAGGCAATGATAACGCTTTGTTGACAGACTGGAAGGTCTCTCTCTCTTTCTCCCTCTCTCTCTCTCTCTCTCTCTCTCTCTCTCTCTTTCTCTCTCTCTCTCTCTCTCTTCCATTTTTCCTCTCTCTCATCCCTCCTTCTCTCTCCGCTCTCTCCCTCTCTTTTTTTTCTCTCTGCTCTCTCTCTTTCCTCTGTCTTGTTCTCTCTCTCCTCTGTCTCTGTCTGTCTCTCTCTCTCCCTCCTTCTCTCCTTCGCTCCTTCTCTCCTCTCTGTGAGAGCTGGCAGGATACTGCCTGCCGTTGCTCAGCAACAGCTTTTTGAATTGCCTGTTGCCCTGGTGACAGCAGCAGCTGAATAGCAGGTGAAAATGGGGGCTGATGGAGATGCAAGGAGAGACTGGAGGGGGGATGAAGAGAGGGAGGGGAGGAGGAGGAGTCTAGCTTATGGATGAACACTGGGTGGCTTTTAGTTGAGTCTACTCTATGGACGAGGCTGCTGCATCACCTTTACATTAGATCTTATAATCCATATCTTACATCCATTCAGCAGGGATCTGTGGAAAGATGACAAGAATGGGCTGTTCTGTATGTAACCCGTCTATGTTTCTGTTTGTTTTTCACAGAGCGGAGGAGGATACGGTAAGAAGAGAACCTCGTGTTTTTTCTGTCTTTCATGGATAAAGTGTGTCCTAATGTGTAGAACTGTTCGGGCTCTAGTTTTCAACTAAGCATACCGTAGTGTCGAGCATTTTATCTGAATGTAATGTTCGTAGATAAAATGACCGGACCTGCACAGTGACAACACTGCCGTGGCATTTATAGCTCACTTTAGTGTGCCTTTTATTGATTTTCAACAGTATTTTGGTAGAACTGTATTGGGTGACACTTGAGTTTAAGCAGCTCAGGTTAAAGCAAATGTTGAAGAAAAATGCAAAGAAGATATATTTTGAAATGCATGACTGTTTTTTTTTTTTTTTTGTTATGTAAGAATGTTAGGCCAGTCATACTTTCAGTTAAGTATTTTGACTGATAATTTGAGTCTTAAAATGTCATAGAAATATATCAGTACTGAATCAATGTTTTTTCCTGCTTTTTCCCCCTCTCAGACAACAGTTCCTCCTGGGATAACTATCAGTCAGGTGAGTCCCTACACTTTTTTTTTCCATCAGCATGGTTGGAAAAATGTTAGGAGCAGAATGTGATAAAGAACAGTTTGATATCAGGTTTTTCTTTCTCCAAATTTTCTTGGGTTCTTCACTTCTCCTCTGCTTGTCTGCTCATCTCTTTTTTCCCTCTAACCATCAGGTGGACGTGGCTACAGCGATATGGGTGGCCCTGTCATCACCACACAAGTGACCATCCCAAAAGATGTGAGTAAACAACAGATGCATGACATGTGATCCCTTTTTCAACCAGAACTACCTTTATGTCATTAGAATATTCAGATTGCCTCATGTAATTATGTTCACCTGCAGTGTTCATTTGTCTGTGCAATTAAATGTCTCATTAGTCTTTGTCAGTAGGCAAGGGAACAATGTATCATGTTGTCAAACAGTAGTTAAGGAGACAGTACTCTGCAGTGTAATTGTTATCAGTCATGTTCAGAGTAGTGGTATTTGTTTGTTAGTATTTGGAAAAGGAAAAATCAGTTGAATAAAGAATTTTCTTTAACTTATTGGTCTCACTTTATTGAGGTTTGTGTCTCCCTCTCTATATTTTGTGTTTTTACATGTTCTCTCTTCACAAACATATAAGCTTCACCTAAAGTGTTTCTCCACGTGCTTGTTTTTTCTTTTCTCCCCTCTCCTCTTTTTCTCTGCTTGCTATCCCACCAACAGCTGGCTGGCTCCATCATTGGAAAAGGAGGCCAGCGCATCAAACAGATCCGCCACGAGTCTGGAGCCTCCATCAAGATCGATGAGCCTCTGGAAGGTTCTGAGGACAGAATCATAACCATCACTGGCACCCAGGATCAGATCCAGAACGCCCAATATCTGCTACAGAACAGGCAAGCTCTGACACAGCATCACCACAAACAACTGTCCGTTTAAGTGCTTGAAGTCTTGGTTTAGAGTATCAGATTTTGGGGCGCATTATTTCCATTGTGCTCCGTGCTCCTCTAGAGTTTGTAGTCATCCTAGGATTGAATCTCTTGGAGGAAAAAAAAAAAAAAAACTTGAATGCATTGGTTAGAGAACTCTGCCGGTCTCACACCTGTTGTGTTGCTTGACAGAAACCACTGGTGCAACCTCTCTTACTGCAGTCTTTTATAATCATGCTATCTTTTGAAGGCCGCAAATGCTTAAATTTAATGTAATACGGAAACCTGTGTTCCTTTTTTTTTCCTGTCATTGGAAAAACGTTGCCTTATTATTTTAAACGTATTATAATGTCTTTTTTCAAAATCATCCAAATGCTAGTTAGCCCACTCTTTTGTAGGGTTATGCTTTCCTGTTGCCTGCTGTCTCTTCTTCACTAACCCCTTTCCTTTCTTCCCAATGCAACCTGCATCTAGTTCAAACCTTCCTCTTGCATGAAATGGCTATGAAGGAGTAGACAAAGTTTAAAATTTCTTTTTAAGAGTCAATGTGATTGACATATTTCTTTGACTATCACATTTGTCCATTGATGTAAAGATAAAAATTAAAAAAGTCTATCTGCCATCTAAGCCGTTTCACTGTGAAGCAGGGAGTGGATTGATTCTTCCCCCGGCTGCTGCTGTGTGGAAGACTAGTGATTTTGTTGTTTTTAGTTAGTTGAAGCGACAACAAATCACAGTCTGCCAAATAGCACGGGCTCCTCCTCTTCTGTCTCCCTTGGCAACCAGTAGGCACGTATAATGCACAGTACTTCCTTGTTGATGCTACCCGAGCTTAGCCTGAATGCTAATACAGCTGTAAACCTGCCGCCACTGTCTCATGAGTAGTGTAGTGTTGCCATGGTAACTAACCCAGCCTCTCTTTTCCTCTCCTTCCTCTCCTCCCCCTTCTGTGTGCTGCACCTGCTTGGACACAAGGCCTAACCACACCCCTCCTTTTTCCTTCCCCTCCTCCTCCTCCTCGCTCTTCTTCCCTACCCATGTTCCTCTTTGCCCATCTCTCTTACTTGTTGCCTGTGCCTCCTGCTCATCCCCCCCCTACCCCACACCACCCCTTCTTCCCTCAGCTATACATTAACAATGTCACTGACTTGTGAATTGCATTTTCTTCTAGCGGTTTTATTTATTTTTCTCTTTTTTTTCCAGTGTGAAGCAGTACTCTGGTCATTTGCTGTAGATCCAGGAGACTAAGACTGAAGCAGACCCAGATTCCCCCCTACCCAACCTTTCTCAACCTCTAAACCCCAGAACCTTTCTCCCCCTGTCCAACATATCCCCTTCAGACTATAACTCTGGATTGTGGGTGTCTTTTTGAATTTTATTTTTGTATTTTTTAATGAAAAATGTCCAACATTCCTGTGCATACAACAAATGTAGATGTTCTGCATTTTTAAGAGTGTAGTCCATTAGTTTATCAGATACACTTTTTTTTTTCTAATATCAAATCTATAAAATTATTCTTCAGTCTCCTGACAGACAAAAGATAAACATAACCTTTATTTTTGATGGTTTTGTTTATTAACAGCTTGTATGTTTGTGTCTCCAGTTTAGATCTGTCCTCTGTGTGTAGCATGTGCGCATGTTAGTGTGTGTGTGGATTGGTTTGCTTTCTGTTTTCTATTTGGGTTCCTTCACACAGTTACAAATCATTAACATTACCCCGTGCAGAATGTAAGCAGTTTCTTTCATATTGAACTCATTATCATGTGTTTTTATTTGTTTGCTTTCTGCTTTTTTTCTTTTTTTTGAAAGAGTTGTGGGACATTTTACCGCCAGGATTTGATTGATTTAGGTTTTGGACTCTCGTACACACTGGGTCCTGGACAGTGTAACTAATTTCTAAGACTAAGACTTTTCTGAATATACTGTGGTATTTGTATGATCAAAAAATCTGAAAAATTTTGAGAAACTCCTGAAAAACAAATGTGTAGCATTTGAAATTATATTGGGGATTAGACCAATATTGAACTTATCTTTGTCCATCTTATTCCCTGTACTCTACACTTGTTTTTTCTCCATGCTGTAGACTTCACATTGTCAAATTGTAAAATGAATAAAGATGGTGCCACTTTTTACTGAAGCAGTTGTCATCTTCTCTGAGCTAGCTAATTAAGATTTTTATTTTACACTTAATTACACAGTTTCTCAATGCCACTGGACCAGAACCTATATAATGGTAAAGCTGCCTATTAGTGTTGTATATGTAAGCTACAATCCTCAGGGTTTTTTATCAACCCTTTGATTTGAATTTTCTTTGGTTCTATTCAGTTTTTCTAAATAAAAACCAAAACACAGAAAAATCAATTTCAAGCACTTAAGTATGATAAAACATCCCAAAACATATTAAAGTTCACTTGGGGAACTCAAGGATTTCTTCATGGAGTTGCCCAGGACAAATTTTGCCTCAGGGCTGTTTGCTGATGTTCAGTAATGTGTCGAAGAAGTGGTCTCTTTTTTGGGGGGGGGCTGTAGAAATAGTCAACACAGGTTGTTTTTCCAAGATACTTCAGCTTAGTTTGTCTCACATCTGCCGCTGAGGCATTTATAACAGGCATTAACCTGAACTGTACAGAAATAAACAATCTTGTCACTGTTAATTTGTTGCTTTTCTAGGTCATTCAGAGACACCAGAATTAATTTCAATTCCACAACTGGTGAAAAAAAAAAACTCACAGAAGCTTTAAATCATTACACAGCATGACAAATTGCAAAATGTGAAGCATTTTCATTTGCAAAGGACTAAACTCTGTCTTCTAAAAACTGCTGTGTCTGTTGGTTGACTTTTAATGCCAAGTTCCTATACTGAAACCGACACTATTTTACTTTCCTAGTTGATAGTCAGCACATTCATGTACATGATTAGGGGCTCATTTATTGGCTAATGCCATTTTATAATTAAAAGAGAAAAAAAATCCTGTAGCTAGGTTGCAAGTTAGTCTATGGTTCATGTCAGATCTGCATGAGCACTATAAGAAAGAAAGAAAGAAAGAAAGAAAGAAAGAAAGAAAGAAAGAAAGAAAGAAAGAAAGAAACCTCTCCATGTTATAATGCCAACTGCATTGGGGGGAGGAGGAGTATTAGAGCCACTTAAAAGATATCTGTCACGAGATTAAAGTTAAAAAATAATCAGAATTTTCATATTATTATGAGAATAAAGCCGCGAAAAATACAAAAATAAAGTCATTCGTTACAAGAGTAAAGTTAGGCTATTTCGCTGTATTACGTGATCAAAGTCATTATACTACGTTAATAAAGACGACATTTCGTCAACTATTATTAAGCAGGGTAATCACAAAAAAATAAAATACAGTACCAGTGGAAAAATACATGCTCTTCCGGTTTCCTTTCCTGGCTTATCCTGATTGGTCCATCAGCCATGTCAGCTGGTCTGGGGCGAAGGTTCCGATTGGTCAAAATCCGGAAATCAAAGTACGAAGCAGGGCGGCATAAGTCTGCTGTGTTACAAACGCTCTTTGCCTCCGGCGGTGAGTACAGTCAAACTTTAGTCCTTTCGTGGAGTAAAATACTGATAATTACCACTCAACAGCAAGTTTGTGTGTCATAAGCAGCAATTTTGTGGAATGCTGCGTCATTCCTTTGTGCTAGTGATGACAAAATGGAAGAGGTTTGTCAACACCTTTACCTCAAATACACAGTGAGATACAGAGAGTGTTCACTCTGGATCAAGTTAAAAATTAAACTTTATTATGTATACTACTTGGCATAACCATTGGCTAAGAGAAATACAGCCGTAAACAGAAAAATATATATATATATTATTAGTGTGAATTGTGTGACTCGAAACCATAGACTGTATATACTATATATTCCATATACAGTCTAAGCTCGAAACACACAAAGCAGAAAAAAACTAATTTTCATTCACGGAGCTACAATGTTGATGCTTAATTTAAGTTTATTAGTTTCTCCCTCGTTAATCATGTTTTTTTAGTTTTGATAATCTAATAAATCATGGAGTTCTACTGTTAAATGACACTTCCCTAGGTATACAGATGTATAGAGGATATTGGTGTATGAGTGTGTAAAGGGCATCATCAGCTTTACATCTAAGCCCTGAACCCACCATGCTCCAAGAGCCTGTCATCTGAAATACCAAGACTCATTCGCTAACTTGTAAAAAAGTATCCTGCCACAGTCAGTGTAACAATGTACATGTCTCCATACAGCTGTCAACATGGAGCCACCTCTGTGCCCCCGTGAGTCTGGGCAGTTCATAGCAGAGCGGAGTCAGGATGTGTTTGTGAAAGAGGAGGGAGTGCAGAAGGTGGCAGAGATGTTGTACAGCCTCCGAAACAGTGACGAGCTGACAGCCAGTGGCTGGAAGAAGGCAAATCCATTGGCTCCAGCCCCCAACTCTGACCAGGTAAGTCCGCCAACAGCGGTCATTGAATAAAGAGACAAAATTCTCAAAACTTGAAATTAAAAATGCTGAACTTTTAGCTTAAATTCATTACATCAGACACCAGTAGGTAATGCTGGCTGTGCTGATAACTACTGAAAAGATCATGACATACATCATATGATATGATGAAGACCATTCCTACTAGTTTTGTTTTGTGATTGGCCAAATGTTTTCAGTGTGTGTCATTCCTTGACTTCAGGCAGAGCAGTTTAACAGCAGGACTCTTCCAGTCTCTAATCATGCACTTATGATACATGTGGAAAATGTGTTTTGGCATTGTCTGGTTGAAATATGCAAAGTCTTTGCTGAAAAAGTATAGTCTGGATGACAACATATGTTGGTCCAAAAATCTGTAATGCTTATTAATGATGCCTTTCCAGATGTGTAAGCTCTTCATACCATCACAGATGCCGCCTTTTTGACTGATAACAAGCTGGGTGGTCCCCCCTCCTATTTAGAGGGCATAAAGTAGTATCCATGATTCATAATAATAAAAAAGTTTTGTTGTTGTCCCTCAAATATAAATTGAGAATATATTTTCATTAAAAATGTAATATTTCTTCCTCAGTTTTAGCATTTTATACTTTGCCTTTGCATTATATTCAATTACATATGGAGTAAAAAAATAATCTGTTAAGCAATGAGCATAAAATGTGTTTATATCAATAATTTAGATTGTAACTTTTTGTGAAATTAAGGTTTTAAAAACTTGTCCTTTTATGATAACACTTAAAAAGGATCGATTCTTCATTCAAAGTAATTACTTTATTGTTTAAATATTAATGCATTTCACAAATCAGTTCTATCAATACTATGCTCAAATCAATTGAAATTTAGAACTTCAATTTGTAGGGAAAGTACTGTGCTTAACACAGATTGCTTCTTCTTTAGTTTGAATAAAACAAAAGGTAGGAAAGGGTACTGGGTAGGACTTTTACTTGTACATGAGGAAAACAGTAACTTGATAGTTTTGTGTTTCTCATTGTGCAGGCCTTGAACTGGGTGTTTGTGGTGGACACTATGAACTTTTCTTTTTGGCCAGAAAAAGAAACTGAACAGTGTGAAGTGACCTTTAAAGGGACCACGTACACAGGCTACATGACCCTGTGTGCTGCTATCACCAGAGCCATGGAAGAAGGTAAGAGCACATGTAGAATTAAAGGAGTGTTAAAACAGCAATTTAAACTTTATCCGCCGTTTTATTTTATTTTGCAAGAATTTAGCTTGGACAGAACTGAGCCCCATACCGCACATTTGAGCTCTTTGCGAGATTCATTAAATTAATACCAAAAACCAAACTAGATTCTGATGTAGACATATGGGAGAAAAATGTCAGAAATGTGAAGAAAAGGTAAGGTCAAGCTTTTATAGAGTCTCCTGACATCTTTGCAATATTCCTGAGTAATTATACACTTTTGTTTAGTGGCTTTACCCTTGGAGAAAAAGACGTGCATACAAGCCCTATTACGACTTTTTTTGTGTGTGCTTTTGTTGTGCATTGCTATTACCAATTATTGTGTATGTGCCCTTTACTTGAACTTGGACTGCTGGGAAATTGCTTGTAGCGCTGCATGCCCCTTTGAATCACTCATAATTAGCGTGAATGACTCCGGATATGAATCAATTATGTCTCATATGGAATAGTGCTCTCAATGTGTGGTCGCTGTGGCCTTTATAAATTACAAGAGATTCTCTGAGAAAAGCACAGGTAGAATCTTGAAGGGTGACAGCGTGAGATCAGAACAAATTATGTCTCTGGAGCCTCTTGTTAGAGACTGTGGAGTTATATTCAAGCTTTTATAGCACAGGAAAACTTGGTGGCCTTGAATGTTTTATTTCCTTTTAGCTCCAAAATTTCTCATGAAAGTATAAGTTCTTATAGCTGTCTTTTTCAGAAGAAAATACTGTGGACTTTTGCTCCTGTAACTTTCCTGATGATAATTTGTAAAAAAAAGAAAAGAAAACATATGTCAAGCTTATTGTAAGACAGTGTAGTATTTGACTACATTACCAAGATACTACAATGCTCCAACATGTATTTGCCTGTGATGAAGCTTGTTCCAGATACATATCAATATTAAGAAATATTTTAATTTCTCTGGTATTTCTTCTTCTACTAATGTGAACACTTCTTTCGATACTGGCTACAGGTATTCCCATCACTGATCCAAAGTACTTCTCGCAGATCAGTGTGGAAGAGTTGGGACATGTCCTGCGCTCAGATAATAAAACAGCCATGCCCATGCTTCAGGAGCGACACCAGGTACTCACATCCTACAGTACATTGAAAGAGTCCATGTGAACAGTACTTGTTAATAGAACACATCAGTAGTGTAAGTCACCACTAACAGGTACACAGCCATTGACAATCTTCGAAATCCAATGGTTTCAATAGATCATACCGCTTACAAGAAGCGCAAAAAAAAAAAAATATGTTTCCCATACAAACACTTATAGTACATGTGAAGAGGACACGTGATGGATCATCTCATCGGTCTAATTTATACCCTTTGAAAAAAGATAGTTCACTGGATTAAAAATCAGTGTATTACTACATCCCTACATACTACAGAAATGTGTCAGCTTTTACAGTTGTGTCATATTGAATTGAATTGAATTTCCCTTCTGGGATTAATAAAGTTTTTCTTATCTTACTTTCTTACTGCAGCAGTGCACATGTGTTTTTATCTGTTTTTGTTGTGTAGAGTAAGAAATTATATTTAAACTCGTTAAAGGAATGCATAAAACTCAAGCCGTATCGTACAATTAGCTTTTCTCAGTCAACTGTTTGATCTGTTTTTCACTGCTTTTCATTTTAACTCATACAAATCGATTTTGAGGACCACAGTTGTATTTCTGGATGTACAGAATTCTGTTTTGAAAACATTTCTTTCAAAGAAAATAATAAAAGTTCCATTCTACCTGGCAAGGTGCTGACTGAGGGGGGACGAGTTCTCCTGGAAAACGGTGGAAGCTTCAGCAGTTTTATCAGCAAAGCTGGGAACGATGCCCGGAAGATGGTGGCGCTTATTGTTGAAAAGATCCCATCCTATAGGGACGAAGCTACATATGAGGTTAGAGTGAGAGGAGTCAGAGAAAACTGTGCAATATTTCATGTCTGTTACTTTGTTTTTGTTTTATTATTTTAATTTATTGGCTGTTCACAAGAGAAATCTTCCCCCAAACTTTACTTAAATTAGATTTTATACAGCTTTATTTATCCTTTTTGGGAATTCCCTCAAGGAAATCAAAAACCAAAACTCAAGCCTTGATTTCCTTAAAATGTTTGTCAAAAAACTAAAACCAACTAGAGAAGCGCTCATCTCGGTCACAAACAACATGTGGTAAGACTTGAACATTTTATCAACTCAAACTTGCTTTGACTGAAGAGGTGTCTTCTCATAAACTTGTAAAATTAACAACAAAAAAGAATCCACTGGGAGCTTTTGGTCAAGTCATAGTTCGCTCTCTGTTTTATCTAGTATTATTCAATAAAGATGTTCCACAGTTTCTGAGTAAAGTAATCTTTTACTCTCATAAAAATAAGGAAAATAGGAAATGTTTAAAATCATATAGAAAGTGTGTGTGACCTGGCATTAAAGTGCATTTGTTGAACTTGAGATGAATTGTGATGTGAGAGTTCCATCTCCTGGACAGACTCAGAGAAGCAGCATATTAATGTGTTCTTCACATAAGATAGCTATGGTCAGAGGAAGTTATACTCTGTACTTATTCTTTGTGACCTTAAATTATTTTCCTCTGTGAATGTCTGTCAAGTGTAGAACCATAATTAACAACAAATTAAGAAGCCAGTTAAACTCTACATTCAGTGAGAGCTCTGCATTTGTTTCAGGGGAAGAGAATCTCGCTCTACAAGCGAGCTCAGATCCTGGTGGCAGATTTCTGGGGCATCATGGCAGCCAGAGAAGAAGAGGACATCATCAACATGGACTGGCTCACCATGTTTGCAGACTACAGGGTTCCTCAGGCTCTTGTCTACCTTGGAGTGCTGCAATACTCTGACACACTGATGCAGGCATTAATGAACGGTGAGACAGGCGTGTGTGTTCTGGACCAATTTTGATTTGTTAATTATCTTTGCTATTTCTATGTTATGTGCCTCTCCATTGTCTCTTTCAGGTGAACTGCTGAGTTCAGGAGACAGGAGGGAAGTTGAGATTCGGGGTTGTTCAATCTGGTCTGTGGAGCTGATCAAAGAACGTCTGTGCAAGCTGGTACAGGAGAGAGACAAACAGGCCTGCGGCATCAACTCAGCTATCATTGACTTCTACCTGTGGCCCTACGCCAAGCAGCACCACAAAGAGATGGCCCACATTCCTATACACCACACACGCTGTATTTACTACTGAGGAGATGGCTGGCACTGTTGCATGCAGAAGGCAGCTCTCCACTGTGTGCTGGCTTGGCACAAGTGCCTCTCCTTGGGATAAAGCCAGTTCTGTCCCTTAGCCAGACTGATGTTAACTTTGGCTGCTCATCAGCTAAAACTGCAACAAGTGTCAAACTTAAAGGGATATTCCGGCGTAAAATTAATTTAGGGTCAAACACACCGCAACAATGAGTTAGACACCCCCTCGAGAGATGAATGTTGCCGACTGCATGCCTCTCTAGTTATACCAACTGTAGTAACGACCGAAGGATAGCAATACACAGCGGTCTGAGGAGCCATAAACAAACCTCAACCAAAACACCTAACTTCATCAACAGTACATATAGGGTCACAGCCATAGCACTAGCCACCAAAAATCATTTTAGCTTTGCCAAATTTCTTTATCAAAGAGACTAAACGCAACTCACCTGCTCTCTTCCAGCAGCCGCTTGTAGCAAGACCTCAGGCCAGTCCATTACGGACTGCAGGGGAGTTTCGCAGCTCAAGAAAGAACATTTATGATCATTTATGATTTGGTTGAGCTTGTGGCTCTCTGTATTGCTATCTGCGGTCGTTACTAAAGTTGGTATAACTAGAGAAGCAAGCGGTCAGCAACATTCATCTCTCAAGGGAGTGTCTAACTCGGTTTTGCGGGGTGTTTGACCCTAAATTAATTTTTACGCTGGAATATCCCTTTAAATGTGGCTTTGTGCTCTTTAGGCCAACTTAATTGTTAACTGGTTATGTGGAGCATTTAAGGCAAAGTTCTCATGCTGATAAAGAAAGGCACAAACGATCATATACTGAATTCAAAAAACAATGATGGATGCCTATCTGCTGCAATTCCAAAATGTGAACTGAGTCTTATAAGCAGCAAAAATGATATAAAAATAAATAAATAAATTGCCCAGATCCATTGGAGGCAACTCCATCAGGGAGTCTGCAAATTCCTCAAGAACACACAATACATCACATTAAGTCACATTTGAACACGAATAATGTGCTTTGAGTTTTGATGATTGGGTAACTTCGCAGTGCAAATGGTGAGAAATAGTCATGCCAAAGACGGCACGGATCTGAACTTCTTTATCTTGAAGCTTTCTCAAATTAAAATCTCAAACAATTTTTTTCTGTACCTCAAACTAGCCTATGTGTTGGTAATGTAGAGGTAGGATGTGGGAAAATTGCATAAGGAAACGACCTCAGAAATGTCATGAATTATCCATTATTAACATTATCCCAGCAGAACAGATTGTAAGAGGTGATAGAGTTACGGTCTGCAGAAATCAAACGATGGAAAAACGAGCAACAGTTTGTACACAGGATGGCGCTGTTGTCTCCACGCATCACTCGGTCCGCGCTCCTTGAACACTCTTTACGTGCACTCCTCGACCTCAGCAGCACAGCGGCAGTGGTTTCCCGGGCAACCGATGAACTAAAACAAACGGTTAAGTTAGTAACGCCACACTCAATGTAATCTCTTAGATAATTGATTTTCGGTTTACTTTTTAATTGTCATGGGCGAGGTGTGTGTTCGGGTGGCGGTTCGTATCCGTCCCCTGCTCCGTAAAGAAGTCCTCCACAACCGTAAGGTGTGTGTGCGAACTGTACCGGGTTCCACGCAGGTGATGGTCGATGCCGACCGTGTCTTCTCCTTCGACCAGGCGTTTGGACCGACAGCGAGCCAGGACCAAGTGTACGAGTCCTGCGTTCAGCCGTTGCTAGAGTCCCTGATGGACGGTTACAACGCCACTGTGTTCTGTTACGGACAAACAGGGTCGGGGAAGACCTACACTCTGGGAGGAGGAAACCTGGGTAGGTCATACAGAGTATTGCTGGTGGTTTAGGGATAGTAAGTGAGAGTCATTTTTAAAATATTAAATTTATGTAGTTTAACATTTTTACCCTTTAGAGTCTTTCAGGCTCATAATTAAGGATTTTATTGCAGATAGTCTGTAAAATGCACATTTCAAAAAAGTTTTCCCAACTTTTTTTTAATCTTAAATGTAGGGCTTTCATCAAGATCTTGAAAAACTACATTTAAAATAAAGTTCTCACCTACATCCATATTTTCATTTCATATATTCTAAATATAACTGATAAGCCTTTATTAACTGGTTCTGTTCCATCGGCTGTCAAATCTGCAATCATTCAACCAACTCTCAAAAACCTCTATAGAGCCCAAGGTATTAGAAAACTCTCCAAGGTTCTGGAAAAAGTGGTTTGAATTTTGATACTGTTGACCACTTAATTTTACTGCAACCGCTTAACTCTGGGTTGGTGTCTCTGGATCAGCTTTGATATATATATATATTTTATTCATATGCTGCCCTTTGGACAGAAGATCCATAGACACAGCATTGATTTTCGCTTTCATGCTGATGACATCTAGCTGTACCTTTCTTTCAACCATGACAACCCAGATCACATCTTCCCACTTTATAACTGTACAACTGACCTTAAAAGCTGAATGGTCCACAGCTTCCTGCAGTTAAACATGAACAAGACAGAGTTAATCATAGAGACAGAGTTAATCATAATTGGTCCACACCCACAACACTACACATCTAGAGCCTCTCTCAGCAAATATTTCTGAAAATCTTGGAGTCATTTTTTGATGACAACCTTAATCTAGAGTAGCATGTCAGTTCATTGGTTCGATCATGTTTTTATGAGCTTAGAGGACTTTCCAAAATCAGTCCCTTGATTCATCCCCAGAAAACACCTTGAAACAGCTATGAATGCCTTTATCTCCTCCCGCCTAGACTACTATAATTCCCTATATTGTTTATCACAGCAGAGCCTAAATAAAATACAGCTAGTCCAGAATGTGTAAGCCAGACACTTCACCAAAACAAAGCATAGCACCCCTGTTTTGCCTCCCTCCGCTGGTTCCCAGTTAATTTTAGAGTTGATTTTAAGATCTTCAAGACTTGCCCTTGAATGCATCACTGATCTCCTCACACCTTACTTGCCCAGTTGTACCCCGAGGTCCGCAGCCAAAGGGTCTGCTAGCTATTTTTCAGTCTTGGCTGAGGACTAAGGCGTACTGGGCTTTTTCTGTTAGAGCAGCCAGTCTCTGGAACAAATTGACTGAGGAGATAAGATAGGCAAGTTCCTTATCCTCTATCAAAACTTGTTAAAAAACCCACTTTTGTAAACATGCTTTCACTGGATATGACTTTTAAATTAGCTCATTTTAAATTGTTTTATATAATAATTATTTTAAACTTATTTTAAAAAACTTTTAACATGATGGGAGTTTCATCTTTTATTGAATTTGAAATCATTCCTATTTACTGTTTTTATGCTGTGAAGGACTTCTCAACTCTGTTTTGAAAAGTGTTGTATAAATAAAGTTATTTTTATAAAACCTCTCTTAGATGATGAGGGGGGAATAATTGACCATGTGGCCCAGGATGTGTTCTTGTTGCTGGAGGAGAAGAGGAGAAGCAGTGATGGATTCCAGGCTGCAGTGCGAGTCACCTACATTGAGTTGCACAAAGAGGAACTTCTGGACCTGCTGGAGCCGCCTACAATTCGCAAAGGGCTCCATATCAGAGAGGATGAGAAGGGAAACACGGGTAATCTGAAATTAGTTTTGACTAGCCAGCCATATGGCAAATGTGCTCATTTTTAGAAACTTCCCATGTGTTGCACTTTTATGACGCCCCTTCTATGCAAGGCAGAATAGATAAATTCATGGGTTGATCATGCTGACAACACTAGAGATTTAGAAGAGATTATTAATGTGTTTGCAAAATCCTTGAAAAAGTAATATTTTGACTCAGTCTGAAAGTGGTTCATTAAAATGAGATAACTGTGTCTTTTTTTTTTTTGCTTTTTAGTGGTGGTTGGAGTGAAAGAGATCGAAATCAAATCAGCCGAGGAGCTTTTAAGTTTTGTCGAGATGGGCAACGCTGTGCGCCACACCGCCACCACAAGGATGAACGAGCACTCCAGCCGCTCCCACACCATCCTCACCCTACAGCTCACCCAGCATTGCTCAAACATGAAGTCAGTTCGCTACTCCAAACTCTGTCTGGTTGACCTGGCAGGCTCAGAGCGTGCTTGTAAAACTGACAACAGTGGGCTTCGGCTCAAAGAGTCCGCTTATATCAACACAGGCCTGCTTGCACTCGGCAATGTCATCCGTGCCCTCTCTGACCCTGGTCGGAACCGCCATGGTGGCTGTAATGCATATATACCTTATCGCGATGCCAAGATCACACGTCTTCTCCGGGATTCATTAGGAGGCACAGCTCACACTTTAATGATGGCATGTGTAAGCCCCTCTCACGACAATGTAGCTGAAACTCTGAGCGTTCTGCATTTCGCATCAAAGGCTCGTCACATTTGTAACAGCCCTAGAGCGACATCCACTTACACCGAGGTTAAATCTTTTCCTGCAACATGGGACCCAGGTGAGGCTCGACTGAATGAACTTGAGAATGAAGTTCAGGCACTGAGAGAACTGCTAAAAGAGAAAGAGCGAGAGATGGAAACGAAGAAGACAAATGGAAGAGATGTAGAAGGTGATGGCTCCTCGCAGTCCAGTTATGTCAGAATTTCTGACCCAGACAAGGAGATCAACCAAGTGGAACTATCACAGTACCGCCTCCTGGCTCAGGAAGCTGCTGCCCTGCTTGCGGACATCTCTGGTAACAACTCAAGTAGTTTTTTCAGCCAGAGAGTTCAGGAATGGCAGGACAGACTGACAGCAGTCAACAAGTCACATCAAGCCATTGGAGAGGAGTGGTCAGAGAGAGATGATGGACGATCCGAACATGATAAACTGGGAGAGGAACTCAGCAAGTGCAAGGTAATGAAAAGCTGCAAGAAGAACAGTCATTTTATCCAACAGTTGATGAGACTCCATGAGAGCTGGACTGTTGTAAAAAAATAATTCACCTTTAAGTAAAGCTATGAAGCTGCTTTAGGTAGGCTTCTGATCAGAGATGAAACAAAAAAAGGTGTGCTGCTAGGCTTGTATTATATCCAAATGTCACGAGACAACTCTTTTCTTCTGTCTCTTAGGAAGGCCTTATAACTCAGGAACAACTACTGCAGCAGAGAGATGATGAACTGATACAGGTCAAAAAAGAAGTGGAAAGACTCCTTCAAGAGAACAAAAGCCATGTCCAAGCCCTAGAGAAGGAAAAGAAAAATACTCGAATCCAGGTGGGAAGAAAATTTTGTAATCAGCCCTGTTTTACAGAATATATAGGACCTTAACACTTGATGTTTTACATCTGCAAACAAAACTTGATGAATATGTCTGTGTCATTGTTTTGATCTGTTGTCTGAATGTTTATCTTTGTGCATGTCCTCAGACTGAAAAACTTGTGGACCAGCAGATCCTCATCGATCGTCTCAGGAGTGATCTAATGACCTTAAAGGATGCAGCATCGGGGGCAAAAGTGGACGCAGGGGCTTCGGAGAACTTAGGATGGAGGTCCCATAGCGTTCCTCTTATCAGACACAGCTGTGGGAACAGCAACGCCAGGAGGGTACGCTGATGCACTGCTTTGTCTTTTCAGTTTTTCCTCAGCGTTTGAACACGGTTCCAAAAACCGTGGCTCAATTTCTCAGTGCACAAACGAAAAACACTGAACACATGAGTCAAAACTCCACAAATCCCTTGCAAAATTAAACAGCCCTGAAAACCCATGCTCCCTCTCCTCAAAACTGACTCCTTCCTCCAAAACAATGCACACAGCTATTATATGCTAATGATTCATGCCCATCAGAAGTGTTCATGTAGTTTTGGCTTCATATGACCCTGTAACTTACTCAAATCTATTCAAATGTCTTTTCTTCTATTTTGGAGAATCAAAGGTTTTGCTCCTGATTTGACATTTACATTAACCTCAAACATGTATACACAGCACAATACAGAGTGTGAAGCTTATCTGACCATAAAGTAATACACAAAGAAGTAGATCACTTATCCTGGTCAAGCCAGAGGACCTCCTCCTCATCAGCTGTAATGTTCATGTGATGGGGAGGTTTATCTGGTATGGCACACCCATCATTTAGTGGGTCTCAGTCATTTGAGGCCTTTTTTATACTCTCCCACATGATTGAAGGCTTCTTTTAGTTGAGTCCATACCTGTGGGATATGAATGAGACTTACTGGTAATCAGGGTGTTTTATTTTGAGGGCCAGTGCTTCCAAGAGATCAGAGTGTGCAAAATGATTAAATTTGTGTTTGTAGATTTGAAAAACACTTATGAACCTGTGCACAGAGTTGATCTGTACGAAGCCATGTTGTTGATAAATGAGTGTCAACTTTCCAGCATTGTGTGCTTAGTTCCATTTTGTGTGTACAAAATTAAAGTAAAAAGAGAGAAACAATCCGCACACTTCTGGTCTGTTGCAAAAAGAAGGGCTTTACTGAAGCAAGCTTTCGGTCAGTTAGACCTTCATCAAGGCAGAGTGCAGGTTACAAACAGTGCTAGGGGTTAATATGCTTGATTAGCAGCACCTGTCAGCGGTGAAGCACTCTGGGTCAGTAGAGCATTATGGGAAATGCAGTCAGCAAAGACATGAAACAAACAGAGAGGAAAAAAAGAACAAGTTCATGCTGTGTACACATCAGGCTTTAGCCATCATAAAACAAAGCACAAAAAGTTCAGAATTGAATAGTTAAGTTATATAAACACACTCATGTCAAAATCCTCATTTAAGAACTGATGGTTGTAGTGCATCTAAAGTATAAATCCAAAATAGTTCCCGTTGGCATAACCCGCACTCTGCCTTGATGAAAGCTTGCTTCAGTAAAGCCCTTCTTTTTGCAACAGACCAGAAGTGTGCGGGTTGTTTCTCTCTTTTTACTTTAAAGTTTCTGCTAATCCTGCACCTTCTCTCCAGATTGAGCGGTGACCCTTCACTATTTTACTTTTGTGTATACACAATTGAAAAAAAAAAAGAAATTTTTCAATTGATCTATCTGTTGCACCGGACTGCATTTTCTTCCTTACCTCACATTTGTAGATTCACTCCAGTCCCCCGGCTTATTCACTGGAGCGGGTGATGGCAGCCTTCAAAATGCGGGGTCATCTCTTACTGGCTGAGATTGAGGAAAAGGAGGAGGTGTACCGTCCATTTATAAAGCCACAGATAGAGAGAAAAGACGGGGATGAAGAACAGGAGGAGGAGGAGGACATATTAATGGAAAACGACAGTTTCAGGTGAGAGTCTGTTCAAGCCCATAGCCTCTGTTTCTTTCCCAGGCAAACTGTCATTGATTCACGACAAATGCATTTCAGCTGATGAGCATCCAGCTAAACAATTCTTATCTCACATGTTGCAATAAAAACACAAACAATGCAACAGAAAGACAAAAAAATTGTCCTCATATTTCAATCAGTCTTGATGTTATAATTGCCTCCTTTTGACACACTGAGACTATATTCCAGACGTTCCTTAAACCTGACATGGACCAGCAGGCAGAAGAAATCAGCCCTGAAAGAGAACCTGCAGCAGCCTCTGCCAACCACAGGTTAACTTTCTATGTATTTCTAATCAGTCATGTAATATCTAAAAAGTTATTTCCTTCTCGCATCATGAGTGTTCATATCGTCTCAGGGGCGGAGGAAAACCAGTCAAGGCAAAACCAAATGAAGAAGGCTAGACTAAGAGCTCGTGTCACTCAGAGACGGATCAAAGATCTGACGGTCAACATGCAAATGAAAGGGGAGCTCATCAAAGAGCTCAACAAAAGCGGTTTGTCTATATAATTACACTCTTTTCATCCATGTACTCCTGTGTGATTTTTGTGGTTTTATTTCATACAATGGGTTCAGGAGAATTGAAATCTTGACAAGCTTGTAAATTAAAAAACAGATGAAACTCTCAATCAAGGTTGATTGGGACAATGCTGTTGCTCCTACTTTGTGAATTTTGGAGTTTATAGAGATCCGCAGCAGCAAAGACACTTAGTGATATTTTGAGAACATACATTTGCCCACTCTTGACAAATGATTTAAACTCCCTGGAGAATTCTGCAATAGTAAAACATGTCTCAGTTGTTTGCCCTATTTCAAGATATCAAAGAGAGATTTAGAGTCTGTGGGTTTTTTCTAATTGTGGGCATGTGCGAGTGTGTGAAGTCTAAATCACAGCCTGCCTAGGTTGCAGAAGAAACCCAGATTGTCTCTGCCCTGGATGGCATGTGTATAAGAAAATGAAAGTATCTTTATAGGGTTAATTGTGGGCAGGCTAGTTTTGGATTACCATAAACTTTGTAGCAATACTAAAATGCTGTATCTATGTGTTATCCAATTCTGAACAGTATTTTCATCTACAATGGCATTTTTGATTGACAGAAAAGGAGACCAGAGCTGTTGACCATAATGGCAAAGAAGCAGATGTGTTGACGAGGCTCCTCACGCAGAGACAGAGGGTCCAGTCAGAGGTCTACCATAGTCTGCAGCACTTAAGACTCCAGAGAGCCCAGCTTCAGAGCAGCCTGAGTCAACCTGACCAAAACTGGGTAAGCTGTGCAAATTCTTGAAAAAGACCACAAACATGATGTAAAGACTGTCAGATAGGCATGAAGCTTTCAGTTTGTGTTGGTTTTATGTTATTATTCCATATTCCTTTGCTAAACTTATGCTGTACATGCATAGATTATGTTTTCTGATTAAAAAAGACACTAATCTGACACTAATCCCTAATTGCAGCATTTAGAAGCATTTACTCATTTACTTTTACTTTTGTAACTTATGTTGAGGCATCAGACTTAATTTCAGTCTATCTTATGACCTGTAAAAACAAGTGCTATGACTTCTGTAGGGTTTGATTAAACTTGTTTGTCTGCTCTTTAGGTTCCATTGGCTGTTTTTCCTTTTATGTGATAAACAAATTTACTTAGAGCATTTAAGAGTTGACAGCTAAATGCATAATTACTTTGACAGGGAGTTGATTCTTTCTGGTATCCCTAAGCTATATTGCTTTCACAGTGAGTCGAAGAAACTTGAAAGAATACTTTGTTCTTAACAGCCGAACTTAAATGGTACTTTTTGCCAGTTCTCTTTTACACATACCTCCAGACCTTACACAGATGTTTTTCCCCTGTGTTTTGTATTTGAAATCGCTCTGGTTTAACTGAGAATTGAATAAAAACTTGGTGGAAGTTTGACTGATTGGGAATTACAAAACTGCAGACAACTTTCAGCGTGAGTGAAATACTACCTGGTTACCTGGTTAAGTAAACATTATCTGTGTTTTTTTTAAAGGAGCAAAGGGCCGGATATGTGACTGAGTTCAAAAGCACTTGTCAGAAAGAAGGGAAAAAGGTAAAGCCGTATGTCAACACGGAAATTTTGCTTACGCTGTCTAAAACAACCGTTGACAGTGTTTGATTTGACGTGCATCTTGTATACTGTGTGTACCTTTCACACCTTTCCTTTCCACTGCAGGACAGAAACTGGCTCGAGGAAGAGGAGGAGCGGATCATTCAGAAGAGAGCAGAGCTTCAAGAGATGGAAGAGGAACTGCGAGGGAGAGAAGAGGTGCTCCAGCGCAGAGAAGCCTGTCTGCAACAGAAAAACAAACTGGAAATCAAGAAGCTACACTCAAGTCAGGTCAGTCTGTGTATGTGTAAAACATTATCATGAAAGATGTGCTAATCCTGTTCATGAGATTTCTGGGTAAGAGGAGCATGTACTGTTATAGGTGATGCTGGAATCTAAAAGGCTTTTATCAATGACTTTTCAGGCTGTGAGTCAGGACCTGCTGCATGTGTCGATGCAGTTGGAGTCCCTGGAGGAGCAAATAAAGAGCAGAAGCAGTCTGGAGAATGGAAGAGGAAGACAGACTGGAGGAGTAACCAGAGAGAAACTGGAGAAAGAAAGAGATATTCTCAGAAAGAGGAGAGATGCTTTGGATGCTCAGCTGAAGGAATTCAGAGTGCTCACTGTGGAGGTCAGAAAAAATGGAGTCCTCTGTGTCTGTGTCTGTGTCTGTGTGTGATGCAGAGGTTTTAATGAACTGTCTCTCTGTTATCCCAGATTCATTCACTATATTGTTCATCAGTGTGTAGCTTTTTCTCTTTGTGAATTTGGATTTGTGGTTCCACGTGTAGGAGGAGCATTCACTGCTGGAGCTGGAGGAAGCAATTGAAGCTCTGGATGCAGCTCTTGAATTTAAAAACCGTTCCATTCAGGACAAACAGAGAAAGCTGTTAATCACAGACTCTGATACTCAACAGTCAAAAAACACTGAACCTGCCCAACTCTGTGACGTCTTCAGGAAACTAAAGCAGCTGTCACTACATGAAGTCTCTGAACTGCTTGTCAAATATTTTAACAAGGTAAGATTAAAAGTCCTACATGCTCTCTATGCTACTTTAAACCAAACACTGACTTCTTTTCTTTCTATTTCACTTGGAGATTTATTCTGCTCTTTCATCTACATCTCCGCTTGGCTCAATCTTGCCTTTTTTTCAAACTCTCTAGGTTGTATGTCTTCGAGAGGCAGAGCGCCGTTTGCATTTGCATTGTGAAGAGCTGCAGATTCAAGCTGATGAGCAAGAGGCAATGGTTGGAGAGATGGAAGCAGCCATGCAGCGTTTAGCCCTGGATGCAGACCGCAGGTTCACCCAGCAGAACCGAGATCACCAGAGCAACATCCAGCTTCTTCTGCAGAAACTCAAAGGTCAGGAAATTCAGGGTGCTTTGATACACTCATTAAAACAGTATTTATATTTGTCTTGCCTCCTCTGTGCAGACCTTTATAATTATAGTTGTTTTTTGTTACGTCTATGTCCCTTTGTTTACAGAGCATGGTTCAAGAGAGCCACAGCAGGCCATCCAAGCAAGACTGCAGCATGCAGAGAAAGAGCTGTTTTTCTACAAAAGCTCCAGCCGACAGCTTAAAAAGAAACTCAGGGAGCTCCGTGGTGGAGCTCAGAGCTCAGTTGATCAGCCTACGCATTCACATGTGTATAAACAAACAAACACAGGGGCAAACCAACTCCAGATGCAGAGTGAAGAATCACAAGCAAGAAGCCGAATTTTAACCTCATACACAAAGATACAGGCTGAGCAAAAAGGCCAACAAACACAAAATGATTCTCATTTAAAGCAATCTTCATGCCAGACTCCCTGCTCCGACCGTCATGCATATAAAACCACAAATATGCCCGACTACCACAGGATACAGACAGAGTCCCAGGGGCAGAGGGACAGAGGGACAGGTCACTCCAGGGAACAGTCAGTAACGGAACCAGTCCGACTGTGTCGCAGAGAACTGAGGGAGGTCTCCCCAGCTACCCTGCAGGACACAGGGAGGCGCCAGTGTGCTCTGGATGCTAGCTCAGAGTCTATCTTAGAGGACTCCATAGAAATGCCTAAAAACTCTGACTGATGATGTTACATTACACGTATTCAGCGGCTTCAGCAGATCACAAGCTGTGTAAACAACACACTACCACCTATCTACTGTTGACAGATTTATTCAAACTTCATATTTTCTCCATCTTAGGTTCCTTTTGAAAATGTGTCAATTTTATTGGACTTTAAACTTCTGCTCAGAAAGAGAAAAAATGAGGGTGGGCTGATTTTAAACAGGAAACATTTAGATAATATGTAGAAAGAAATGCTCATGCCTGGTTCTCTTTTATGATTTGTGGACTCTAAAGCTTTGAGAAAGACTTTCATAAACAGCTCTACATGGTATGAATCTCCCTAAATTATTTTAATTGGTTACATGACCTAAAATCTAATGTTTGTAGTTAGGAAGAGGTTTTTGATGCTAAAAGCAGTACTTATAGGATAAAATTACTGTGGGCAAAGAGGTCGTCTGTAAACTTAGGATCACCACCCACTGTGGAGCTGAGCTAATTTATTTTATATAATAAAAATATTACTTTAAAAGATGAAATAACTTTGGGGAAAAATCGTTCCCTTGACCTGTTGCTTGGTCATTCCTTTGTCTTCCACCCTAAAATTTCTATCACTGTGTAGCACTTAAAATAGCCAGTAGACAAAGTAATATAAAGCTCTGTAGAGTTGTTTTAATGTACTGGACCTTTTGATATAGATCTTTTATATGTGTGCACTTCACTTTTAATCATTAACTGTTTGTTTACTGATGTTTAAAATTATTTTCCAAGGTAATGAACTTTTTTTTATTAATAAACCTAACTATTCTTGAATCTCACTGCTGTCTCATCTGTGTGGTGCCATTTCACCCTGTAAACCATAGGATAACCCAGTGAACTACAGTTTGGAGATAAGTTTACTAGAATCTCCCCAAAATGCATATAGCACAGAAATATATGTTGTAATTTAGGTAAAAATATGACTGTCAAAGATTTCTGTTTTAATTTTCAGAACTAGATTTGTTGTTAAACCATTTTCAGAGACAAACTTGGGAATAATTCTACGAACGTATTAATATGATATGTTTATTGTGTACTTAATGTAGTGATTTGAATTCATAATAAATGTCTTAAGATAATCATCTTAAATTGTGATATTTATGCACTCATTGAAAGGGGCACCATATATATATATATATATATATATATATATATATATATATAATTTTTTTTGCATTTATGAGTGATGCTTTCTGTATGGTTGCATATATATTATTGTAAACATAAAATAAATAAAGTAAAAACATTTTAGTGCTGCTGCTGATCTATGATTCTTACTGCTGATATGTCAAAGCTCCGCTACCGTTATGTGCCTTCTGCTGTGCAATGTACACTGAGCATCCAAAGTACAGGTAGTTGTGGGGCAAAACAATGTCTCAAAAAAGTACATATCCTTCAGGAGCAGAGAACAGAAAGAGGAAGAAGAGAAAAAACACCAAGATAAAGGTATGTTTGCATGTCATGGAATGATAATCACAGAGATTTGTGAAGGTGTGTGAATGATCAACAATCAATATTATTGACAGAAATAGAGGGCCCCAAAATCAAATTTTGCTTAGGGCCCCATTGAGGCTTGGGCCGGCTCTGATCACCATGGAGACCGAGAGAACGCCATGCTCAAAGGAATACTGAGGTATCGCCGTAACAACTGTGATGCTGGTAAATTTAGATATTCGAAGCTAGTGAGCAGTTTCTTGAAGTACACAGATTTTCGCGTAAAACCATAAACAAATAAATCACATTGCGCATTTTTGCACCAAAGAATAGCAAACAAATCAATAACTTGGTTCCGCTTTCTGTGAACAGCCGTCAACTCTGGACTTTTAAAGAAACTGCGCTTCATCCTTTTTGGCCCCTCTGACACACCGTACTCGGTTAGTTTAGCGTACCTTCGTTAACTAACAGCAGCCCTGAATACAGCTCAAAGTATCTCCTACAGTTTTTCTTGAGAGTGCTGCCTCTTCTATACAAACCAGCGACTGAACTGAAGACAAAAGACCACCGTGAGTCGAGTATTGTGTTTGTGACTGTCATGCTTTACGGTTGTTGCACTTGTTAAGAGGCTAACAAGCCCGGCTAAGTGTTAGCTAGGTTAACTTGCTGCTATGTAATGTTAGCTGTGCCTGTCAGCAGACTGTGAGCAATTCAACACTTTACATCACATCACATTCATCAAATCAAGTTGTTAAAACATAATACTCATACATATGTTGATATAAACAAAGCTTTTGGTTTTTATGTAGAATGTAAGTCTGAGACTAGGAGCATACTCCTTGTTTGGAAAGTGACTTCAAGTTGTCCTAATTGTTCAGCTCTTCATTTCCCTTTTGTGATTAATCAGTTTCACCAGAGAAATGGCGTCGTCTGCAATGATCACTGTCCCCACCACCGCCTCCCGCTTCGCCCTGCTCCAGATAGACTCGGACTCGGACTCGGACGCCTCTGATGCGGGGAAGACGGGCACCAAAGGCGGACGGGACTCCTCCGGGAAGCCCCGGCAAGGAAAAGCAGGAGCAAGCGGGGGTAAAGCGGGTCAGCTCAACGACAAGAAGAAAGACAAGAAGAAGAAGAAGAAGGAGCAGCAGCAGAGTGAAGCAAATGCGGTGAGGAGAGGCAGGAGAAACACAATCTCCCACACTTTCAGGGCTACCTTTCTGTCACAGACTAAACCAGGATTGTTGTCCTCTGATGTTTCATTTCTCCTGAAATGAAACTGCTGGAGCTGGTGTCAGTGAAACAGAACTGAAGTGTCGAAATTCACTTTTAATTTATTGAAAATAATAATAATAATAACTTTATTTAGATAGCACTTTTAAAAACAAGAGCTTACAAAGTGCCCTAACATGCAGGAAGACAAAGAAGATAAAAACAACAGAACAACAAGAGAACACTTGAAGGAAATGACACGTTACTGGCAATAAGGAAATAAAATAAAATAAAAGCTTGGATGAATGCCACATGAGCTGAGAGGACAGTAAAAAGAAGACATTCAGAGCACAGGTGTCAAACTCAAGGCCCCGGGGCCAAATCTGGCCCTTGGAACAATTATATCTGGCCCACAAGATCATATCATATTTGTATTATTATTGTCCCACCAGTATGAAGTCTGCAGATTTCCTCCGGTATAATAATGTAAACTCGAGCACCATTATGTAGAATGTCCTTAATAAGCCATGAAAATCTAGGAGATTAAAGAGTAAGGAAGATTTGATAAACAGTCAAGAATGTGGAGAAAAATATATATATATATTTTTTTTCATGTTTTCAATTTTGCAAACATGATTGTAGTTTTAATTTCATGCGTTGATTTTGTTCAACTCAGTATTTAGACTCGTGTCATTTTTATACTTAAAAGTCATATTTTGACCTTTTGAACCTGATTTCAACATTCTCTTCGTGTATTTGCGCTTTAAAAACATTATTTTTCTATTTTTGATATCATGCTCTGATCTTTTGAACTATTAAATAAAAATAGAATAAAATATTAAAATAAAATAATTATTCCATCTCAGATTGCCTTTAAACTGATCTTTTTATCTTTTTTGAATATCTAAATGTTTTATAGTCACTGATGTTTTTGTTACTTTTTTTTTGAAAAGGAGGTTGACAGTTTTGGTGAAATGTTGACCCTGTTTGGCCCTCAGGTTAAATCCAGATTATGGCCCTTGGTGTGGTTGAGTTTGACACCCCTGCATTAAGACTAAAACATTGTAAGAGCCTGTGGTACCCAGCCAACACAGGAACCCAATCACAAAAACCTGAGATAAAAATTCAGAGGTCATTTTTATTTGGACAATTGATAGTTAAGTCTGTTAGTCTGGTCTTCCTGACCATGTCACTCTTTATCTTTGTCTTTTGATGAGTTAGAAATTAACTATCAACTGTTCCTGATTCAACCACCAGACTGAAAAACACAAGGCATTAAGGAAGTTACTTTGCATTCTGAAAAGATTCAACAATAATTTTTTCCACTTTTCTCTCATCTTTAGTTACATTTTCATTACGTTTAAATTAACACTTTTAATTTGACATTTCTCTTTCCATCAGTTACGTAATCTGGCCTTTAAAAAGATTCCTCAGAAGTCAAGTGCCCCACCTCCATGTATGAGCCTGTCGGGAATCGCCAGTGAACTCCTCAGTCCTGCAACGGGAGACCCCAATCCACCGTCTGAGGGGTGGCAGCAGTGGAAACAGAGGGATGAGCAGGTAAGAAGGAACAACAACCAAACAAGTGAGCTGTAACATAGGTTACGCCCTCTTAGTACCTACTTCCAGTTATTGGGCTGTAGCAGAGTTATGTAGAGCTTTGTCTTCTTCCCCTGATGGAACAATAATCCAACAAGTGCTTGAAATTTTCTTTAACATTTGTGTTTCACTTCCTTCTACAGATTACCTCTGAGTTGTATGAGGCAGACTTGGAAAAGGCCTTGATTCTGAGTAAACTGGAATATGAACAACAGAAACAGGTACATTGCAGACACATTAATGTAACTTACATATATAGCATATGCTGAACCTTAAAATGGTTTTTCAGTGTCTTGACTTTGATAAATCAATGTAGAGAAAGTTGATCCTCTTAACCTGTCTGATGATCAACAAACTTCACCATCAAGCAGAGCTAGTTTTTATTTATTAACCACCTAAACCTGGTAACTTCTCTTTTTTACTGGGTCTTTTGTTTCAGTTGTTGTAGAAATAAAGCGAAACAAAAAGCACAAAAAAGAGAGCTATTTATTGTTTGCCAAATGAAAATGCATGTGGATTAATCTAAACTGTCTTCAGATACTAAAATAGTTAATCCAGTGTACTTGAGTTTGGGAGGGTAAAAACAGTCATTGTCTTAATGATGCCAAATGGCGTTATATTTATAATTGAACTTTCCTTCACATAGCACAACAACACAAACACATCGTCGCCAAAATCCAAAGGAGGAAAAGAGGGCGGAGGGAAGAAGGACAAAAAGAAGAATCAGCAGGCGAAAGACAAAAAGACAGTGTCACTGCAGGACTTCCAGGCTGAAGGAAGTGCTGGTGAGGGCAGAGAAAGACTCATTGATTCATTTCTGAACTATGAAATTGTCTTGTATGGTTCACACAATAACATTAATGTCTCTTTGCAGAACATTTGAGTAAAAAACAAGAGAAAGAGGTAGGAAATTCCCTTCATTGTCTGTTACCCTCCTCCAGCAAATTAATTGCTGTGGTATTAAATACATTAAAAAAAACTTAACTACCTGCTACAAATGTGCATAAGGTTTTATTTAGGGTGTCATGTATGGTGCTGCATATTCATGTTGACAATCTTATCCAGGATGCCAAAGCAACTAACGTAGCATTGGCAGTTGGGCAGGAGGAGCGGTTCTTCAATAAACTTGAGGATGACGTCAGCCGGATCATCCAACAAGAGAAGAGACGTGAGCAGTACGCTACCAGCCAGGGACAAGAAGTCAACACCTCCACAGAACACGAACCAGTGAGGACACGCAATGATAAACACAAAATGGTGGACAGACGATTCCCTGAGCTGCCTGTTTATTTTCAGACAGGTTTATTCTTGAACACAAATGGTCCAGCTTTGGCCTTTATTTGGGTGGAGTATTTAAATTGAACCTTTTCCGACCCCCAACAAGCAATTAAACACCTCAGCTGTACTTTGCAAAAAGGCAGTCATTTGGGAGTGGGCTGAAGAACAATAGTTTCAATTGTATTTGAAAATGTTGGCCGTTTCAACACATTTTTAACCCTTTTCCTCATCACCCACTTTGTGGTCTGTCAATTCAGCTTTTCTCTGAATAATACTGTGAGCCTGAGTCAGGATATTAGTTTGTCCTAACTCAAATCTTTTTCTTCTTCTAGGACCCCCGAGCAGAACAATTGAAGTACGAGTTGGAGAAGAAAGACCAGGAAATCGATAAGCTGAAGAAGACCATTTCACAGTGGGAGGTCAGCAGTCTGAAGCATTTCTCCCTGTCATTCAATAATAACTCATTTATAACTAAACCTGGTATATACTTCATTTTCTCTGATAGAAGTCAAGTTTTGCTCACTCATGTCGTCCACATTGCTATGACAACAGACCCAACAAAATTTAAAAGGATTGGAGCAGGAAATGAACTAATGAATTCAGCTTTTTTTTAAAGTGTGCAAGAAAGGGAAGGAATTAGCTGATAAATGAAAAGTACAAAAGTTAGTATGGCTGGAGGGCTTCAGAAATCTTTACCCAATTCCCTTTGAAAATCTAATCATATCAGTACAGGTAACTTGTGGATTACATAGGACCATTTACAGCACAGAAAAAGAAACATTACAGAGATCCACAGTGAGTGATACATGTCACTGTTTTGAAGAAAGCAGGATACAGTTTCTTGTCAGAAACCACAACTTTCAGATGGACAGGACAAAATCGGAGAAGGCACAAGAGGTACCACTTTACCCACAGGGGGAGCCAAAACAGACACAAACATTGAGTTTCTTTTAAAAGCTTCAGGGTCCCAAGCAAGCTGAGAGGATTTTTGAAGATGGTCATTCAACACTTTGGAACCACTGACTTCTTAAAGAGAGCTGAGAGCTACTTTATTCTTTGAAGCCTTCTCAGTCCCTCACACAAAAAATGGCAACTTACAGAAGGGAGCAGTGGTTTGTGTTATTTTCTCACAGTGCTGGTGCTGCAATCGTCTAGTAATCCTGTCTACATAAAAGTATACAATCTAGGGTGGACAACTTGATCGGGTAAAGTGCTGTGATGGGGATAAATGCCTTAAAAGTGAACTTCTTTTGTTTTCTCTTCTCTTCTTTAACACTCCCTTGGTGCTGATTCCATACATGTTTTTTCTCGTACCCTTGCAGGTGAAATACAAAGAGGTAAAAGCAAGAAATTCTCAACTGCTGAAGATGCTACAACAGGGGGAAAGTGAGTCTTAACAGTATTACACTTGAGATTGTCATCCCCTCCTCTTGCCTCAAGATTTAACCTTATAAATCTTATATTTTATGTAATGTCTCCTCTCTGCTTCAGTGAAAGACAAAGCAGAAATCCTTCTACAGGTAGAAGAGCTCCTACATATAAAAGAAGAACTGTCATCACAGGTGAGAAAGAGTGGGGTTAAGATGCTGAGAGATAAACATGCGCGTGTGTGAGAGGAGAAAGACATTATGGTAGTGTTTGGTATTTCATTGTCATTTTTTTTTGTTCAGGTTTCATTACTACATGGTGCCCTTGAACAAGAAAGGTCTAAAGTCAAAGGGCTGCAGTCAGAACAACCAAAACATCAGGTGAGGGATCAAATAATCACGGACTCATTGAAACCTGATATGTGTTTCAGAAAGACGAGATGATGCATACTTGACCCTTGGAGAAGCTTTGATATCTGTTGCATTTATCTTAAAAACAGACTTGGTTGCGTGTAAGTAAATTTGTACTTTCTGGGCTTTTTCTCCTCTACAGGGTAACAAAAAAGGGAAGAAAGGCTCAGAAGCAGATCTATGAAAGTTTCCTGGGCAAATTAAAACGAATGAATGAACAAATGAAGAAAACCCTACTGATCACAATCAGGGTTCTGTTTGCCTTTTTTCTACAGCTTGGACTTGATGTCAGCATAAAATGCATGCCCCTCTAATTACAAACACGCACATACAAAGTACACTCCAGACAGGAGAGAAAAGGGTTGTTTTACACAGCCAAAAATGAATTAGAGAAGTTATCAAAAACATAAAGGTTTGAGATTGTGTTGAACTGTTGGCTGGACGCACAATGCTGCCCTCTGCATGCAAAGGTGTGTCACTGCGTTTGTTGTGCTGTTGAAGGCTGTGTGCCTGATCTCTCTTTGAGTTTTAACTCAAAATGGCAGATAAGAAATGTATGTTTCTTTTTTTTCTGTCCCACTGTCAAGGAAATAAAATACTTTTTCAATGAAAAACAAACATGCGTTTTTTACACGACTTCACATGCCAGAGACTTTTGAAAACCTTTGTGATCATGAGTTCAGTTTTGCTTCTCTCTTCAGACAGATCAGTTTCACCTATCAGACAACAAGCGTGGTCTGCCCCCATGGTTTGTGCAGATTTATTTAGTTTTTTAAGCCGTAGGCTTAAAGGAAAGAAGGCGCTAAAGTGTAGGGTTCGCTGTGCAATTACCCTTTTGAACTTAGGGAATAGGGGAGAGTGGGGTAAGATGAGCCATTGTTCATATTCCGGATCACTACATCAAAGCAATCATAGTTTTCTCTCTAACTAGTGTATCTGCATATATTTCAAGATGTTGTTCATCCCTGCAAACCAACAGAATGAATGTAAACATAACTGTCTCAATAATATAGCATGCCAAAAAAAGTGGTCTCCTATGGTCAACTCACCCTGTGTATGGGGTAAGTTGAGCTGTATCTCTACTACCCCCCACTCTCCACCCCAGCCCTCCCTCACCTTCTTTCTCCCTAAATAACAGTCACTTCTTCACATTCATGTATTTTTATCTCTCTTTATACTCTATTCAACTGGTACAATAATTCTTTTTATTATTATTGCATATAACTGCTAAAAAGCTGTTTTGTAAAAAAAAAAAGATTTTAACATGAGAATGTCTTTAAGTGATTCAGAACATTCACAGCTGTATTTTTGAAAAGAAAAAGTAACATTTCAACAATCTGAACTAAAACTCTGATCCTCTCATCAGACTTTACTACAGACTACTTTACGACCTCATGTTGTAGCTCCTAGATACCACAATTCATGTATAAAACAAATTTAAAATGATCTTTTTTGGTCTGAAGACAATTCTAATAAAACTTATGACAGACTAAATTCACTTTCAAGAGTGAAAAATGTTCTTTTGTAAATAAATGTCAAACCCCTTGTCAAATACCGATCTCCTAAATATTTGGTCACATGATCAATTTCTTTTACCATTTCCAAGCAGCAGGGGGTGGCTCAACTTATCCTTTGGCTCAATTTACCCCACTCTCCCCTATCTGTCCAAACTTAGTCTGAAGGCGTTTAGAAAAGTGAGTAAATCAGCGTCTATGGTGGATTCAAATTCAGTTTCCCTTCATTTTGTGGTGCACTGTAACTTTAAGACTCTGGTGTAACTGAATCCAGACATGTCGTAATTTTATCATATTTCTCGAAGTTGCATCCTGGTCAACCTGAACGTCAATAAGATATGAAATAACATAAAGGCATATTTTTTGTATCGACACCACCATACGCTGTCGGGTCACTTCCGTACAACTTTTTGTCGAGTCATTGGGACAGACGCACCTCCGCCCGAGACTGTGTCCTCCTCCTCCTCCTCCTCCTCCTCCTCAGCTCCTCTCCATCATCAGCCCGGACAGACTCAGGGATGTCAGGCACGGCAGAAGATGAACCCGGAGCACCGAGTGGAAGTCAGAGGTCCCATACCATTCATGTTTGCATCAAAGGTCTCAAAAAGAGCAAAGAGATCACCGTCAGACAGGTCAGCACATCTTTAGTCCTTACTACTGTGTTTTCTGTCATCAGTTAGCGCTGATGCTGGGGTATTGTGGGGTAACAGTGTGGAATTTGTGTGCATACAGCTGAAATGTGGTCTGGCAAAGCGCCTGGAGGTCCCAGCAGAGCAGCTTGTGCTGATTCACTCCAGTCGGGTCCTCAAAGACTCAGAAGTCCTGAGCCACCTGAAAGCAGCAGATGGCTCAGTCAGCCTCAGCGTGGGCCAAAGGTACGCAGAAATACACTAGTGGAAAAAAACAAGCAAGAAAGTATGTCTGAGAGAAGAGAGTAAATGAGCAGATCTAATTTAGAAAGGATTCTTCTGTGGGCTCCTCTCAAATCATGTTGACTTTTCAATAACACAATGTTATTATTGATTAATGACTGTCAAATTGTAAAAAAAAAAAAAAAGTGGATCACTATACTGTATATGATATACTTTATTCTTTAAAAATGCCATAATAACTGTGAAGGAGGACATTTAAAGGGATATTCTGGCGTAAAATTAAATTAGGGTCAAACACACTATAACACCAAGTTAGACACCCCCTTGAGAGATGAATGTTGCCGGCTGCTTGCTTCTCTAGTTATACCAACTTTAGTACAACCGCAGATGGCAATACAGAGAGCCACGCGCTCAACCAAAAGCCACTCTATAGCCATAAATAATGCTCAGAACAGCACCTAACCTCATCAACAGTACATATAGGGTCCCAGCCATAGTACTAGCCACCAAACATCTTTTTAGCTTTGCCTAATTTCTTCACTTGTTACTACTTGTAAATACTCTGAACCTTCATAGTAAAAACAGTCCACTTTATTTTACAGTAAAATTGAGTCATGAAGACACTGCTTCACTTCTCAGCTGCCAAACTCTTGACTGACAGTATAAGTCGATCATTAGAGAAACAGAACTGTATCATTTTACAGCTGACAACTTGTGTGCCTTACACACGGTTTAATAACAATACAGGTGTTGATTTTGTTCATGTTTTAGGCCTCAGCAACCAACTGCTCCTCCAACCAGTGATGCACCAGCCTCAAAAGTGGCGCAATCAGACCAGAAAGATGATCTTGACCCTGATAGCTTCACCCCCTCCCCGAGTTCTCCTCTCTGCTTGGGTAAGATTAATTTAATGCAAGAACCACATCCACCTCTAATAATGGTCAACTTTTTTTCTGCCACATATCTCTTTGTGCCAAAGATTTTATATTTTGTGTCTCCTGGTTGCATTACTCCCTGGTCTTCATTTTCTGTTTACCTCAGCTGCCCCTGTTCTGTCAGTTTGATCTTGTTTCCACAGTGGAAGCTCTTGATGGTCTTGGCCTGGCGAACAGCAGACAGGGTTTCTTCCCTGCACTCCAGCAGCAGATGGAAGGCCAGCTGCTGGCTGACCCAGAGATGTTGCATCATGTTTTGGGCAGTCACTTTGTTCAGAGAGCCCTCTCCACCTCCAGCCCCCAACTAATCAGGCAGATCATTTTATCTAATCCACAAATTCAGCAACTCCTGGAAACAAAGCCAGAGGTGGCAGATGTGCTCAACAACGCAGATGTCATCACACAGGTAGAGATTGAATACGGTGAATTGCAGTTAAGCAAGGTCAAACCACTGTAATGTTTTAGTGCTCCACTGTAATGAATTATCAATCCGATTTCACCATCTTGAACATAAATCGCTCCCCATTTTACTATTTTTTTTTAACACATATGCCTTCAATCTTCGTGTTCTCACTTAAATCTGCAGGTGCAGGAGTTTATCAGGAACCCTGATATGATAGAGGAAACATTGCATAACGAAGACAGAGCGTTAGACAATTTGCAGTCAGAGCATGACAACACCAAAAGTACCACCTGTGATACTGATAATGATCAGAAGTCTGACCCAAAAAGACTCCAGTCTCAGGTACATCAGTGGAAAAGCATATTTTATTTATTTTTTTGCATTAAAGCGGACTTACCTTATGCTCTGATCTGTTGTTTGTGGTCTTCTCTCTCATCTTTTTCAGGTTCAGACAGAGATGCCCCAAATTCTGACTTCCTCATTTATGAATTATCAGCCAACTGAAAAAGAAAAGGAGCAGACCCCACCGCTCTCCAGTGACTCCACAGATCCTCCCAGAAAACTGACCACTACGTCCTTAGATGATCCAAACCCTCATAATGCTGTTACTCCAGGTACAGAATTGGGTAACACTTTCTTTTATGGTACACTTATTACCAGGTTATTACCTAGTAACAACATGAAATTATCTAGTAATTACATGATAACTACTAAGTCAATACTGTCTAGCTACCAGGTAGGTAACCTTCCATCATCATACAAATTTGAAGCCGAATTGCTCTGGTATTTTCAGGATTTTCTCCGCTTCCTGGAACCACCGCTTGCACAGTAGCATTGTACATATTCAGCAGGTGAGTTGCTGTGATAACGCTTGGCTCAAACAACGTATCGCTACACAATCTTCGCACGCCCATAGGCTGTATCAAGTGTCAATCATAGAAAATAAGAACCCCAAATAGCTTTTGAAGACAGTATAGACAGTATTGACTTAGTAGTTATCATGTAATTAACAGATAATTTCATGTTGTTACTAGGTAATTACCTGTTAATTACCTGGTAATAAGTGTACCGTAAAAGAAAGCGTTACCCAGAATTACAAGACCAGTACTCTACAATAAGGCTGAACTAAGAGAAAATAGAGGGAAATATCTCCATGCCCAACTTTGTCACTCTTTATTTGTCTTTTATATGTATTTAGTTACTTTAAAGGCAGATTCACTGTCGTATTCTCCCAAACTCAGTGAGTCGGATAATATCAATTTCAAGTGGCTGGACTCTTATTTACATTTAGATTTCTCTGTTTTTTCCCTCATCTGGTACCTGTGGCCTCCTCGTTCTCTGCTCAGGCATGCAATCACTGCTGGAGGAGATTACAGCCAGTCCAGGTCTGATGGAGAGTCTGCTGTCCGGGCCCTACCTAAGCAGTCTCCTCAACTGCCTCAGTCAGAACCCGGACCTGGCAGCTCAGGTGATGCATTCACATGTCATTTCTAGGTTTCTGTGAGAAATCATGCTGGCTCTAATTCAGGGATGGAGAACTGGGCTAGAATCCACCTCTGTGTCTCTTCTTGTTAACATATCCACATAATCTCTCAACTCAGATCCCACACAGGTCTTACAGGCTTTAAAGCTCCGTTTCCATTCTGTTTCAGATGCTGCTGAGCCACCCTTTGTTCTCAGGAAATCCTTTGCTGCAGCAGCAGATGAAACAGCAGATCCCTCTCTTCCTGCAACAGGTTCCTCTGCGCTTGGATGTCTTGCAACAAGATAGAAAACAGTCATGTGGTTTACTCAACAATAGACTAAGATGTCAGATGTTTGATACAAAAAAACCTTCACTCTTCCATGATAGATATCTATTGACTACTTTTCTTTTATTTATTTCACAAAAAAAACTGAACAGATTTCTGCTACAACTCTAGTGCTGTCTAATGTTTGTTAACAATGAATGAAAAAAATGCAGATGCAGAGTCCAGAGCTGCTGTCAGCCATGTTGAACCCCAGAGCCATGGAGGCTCTGCTACAGATCCAACAGGTCCTTCAGACTCTGGCTGCTGAGGCTCCTGCACTGATACCCATGTAAGTATAGATAAATATAATAAACACACAAAGCATCTGAGCCAGTAGATAACTCTTTACACAGGTGAGCAAGTGGCAATACCAAGAAAAGCACATTAAAAAGGCGTCAATCCTCATTTGTTACCACCAATCTTCTGTTATGCAGGGCTGGACTTGAAAAAATTCCCACCAGTGTTGATTCTGCTTCAGCTTGTGATTTTGCCTGGAAGGACCAATCAGGAAATGGTCCAGGGGTCGCCACGGTGACCGAGCAGCAGCAGCAGCAGTTTGTGCAACAGATGCTGCAGGCCCTGGCTAACACAGACGGGGTATTATTGTTGTTTTCTTAAAGAATATGCATCTGACTATCACACAGCCATTTTCAGCGTAATACCTCCAGGCTGCAAAGTCTCAAGTATGCAGGCAAATGCTCTGGCACACGCAGACTCATACTTTTTAAATGGAAAGCAAACTCAGCCCCTTCATTTCTACAATGGCTGAGGGATGGTCTATCTTTTCTACCTTTAGAGAAACTGAGATACAAAATATGTAAAGCCCACAGAAACTTCACCCTGACCTGGAGTCCCTTTATAGAATTTGAAGAAGGTTTTCATCTTAAGTTGTATTGGATAGTTACAACCATAGACAGTATATAGAATGGACGCCGTCTGCCTCCTCACTGGGTGAAGCCACTTTGAGAACAGCACCCTCTGTTGACGGGCTGCAGTATAGGTCATAAATCCCGCCTCCGCCAGCCATCCTTATGGGGCTGTGGACAAACTTTATTTACACAGAACATACATTTTTGTCCCCCCTGGTTTCGATGTTGACATGTAGTTATTGTAAGACTGGTTCGTGCTCAAGTCCTCTTTTTTCTGTACAGCTCCATTTTTAAAAGTTATTGGGGGTTCATGTTTTCTATGATACAGCCTATTGGCGTTCAGGGATTGGGTAGTTCACCTGGGGGATAAGCTGTTTGAGCCGAGCGTCATCACAGCGACTCTCGGTGACTCTCCCGCCAAATGTGTACAACGCTACAGGAAATGAAAAATAATCTCAGAAATACCGAGAGCTTTTCGTCTTAAAATCCATATACAGGTGGGAGGCGGAACCAAGTTGTCCTTAGTATATACAGTCTATGGTTACAGCTATTTAAAACATGCTCAAAACATTAATTTTCTTAACTTATGAGAAGAGGTCACTGTCTGACTATTTTTGTTTTTGTATTTTCCTGTTTAATTAATTTTTTTGTTCAAGAGCCTTGAGGGAGGGGGTCTATCTGTTTGGAAGTTGTATGTCTGTTAATAGAAAACTGCAAAATGAAGTCTTAAAAAAAAGAATCTGTATCTGATTTGATCTGCTCTCTTTTGGACCTACATACTCTTTTTTTTTTTTTTTTAAATCATATTTATTAATTTCCACTCTTCATAACTTGGCTGTCTTGTCTTGTCAGGTCCATGTCAAGGAGTTCCCGGAGGAGAAGGGCAGCTGAGCTTACTGACTTTCAGACCCTCATCAACACAAGTGGAGACCTCACTACTGCTATACATCTGCTCAGCATCTAACACAAAAACACACAAGTGCTGATCTGTGCTAATAAATATAAAGAAGTGAATGCCCATGTGCCAATTACACGCAGTGCAATCGGTAATTTAACAGTGCTTATGGAAAAAAACACAAAAGACAAGCCATATTTGTATTCCTGTTATTCAAAGACGAGCACGTATTCCTTCTTTAACTTCCCTTTTAAAAAATTTGGTCCTGGCACACACTTGTTCTTCCTGCAGTCACACAGGTCCATACAGGTAACTAAATCCCCCTCACATACTCTGCACTTGTTGCAATTGCATCAATATTCAGAAGCAGGTCATATATTAGTAATCTCAGTGCAGCACTATCAGGCTCAAGCTTCTTCTCATCTTGCCACCTGGATAGTAATGAAAGCCTGGAACACCCAGAGACGGTCTCTCCTTGTCTCAGATTGAAGATTAAAGTATGAGAACAACGTGTTTGGTGCTGTTCCAGTCGTCCCCTCACGACTGTGTTTTGTCCACCACAGGCTGTAAAGATTAGACACACCAAATAATTAAAAAAGTTTGTCTCACAGGAAAGACTGACTTAGTGCAAAACCAAAGAGCGTTTGTATCTCGAGGGCCACACACGCACAGAAACTCTGATTTACTCAGATTATCTTCTAAACTCACTCTCCCAGGAGACCCTTCTTCTCAGGCATGACTACAAAGAAATAGAAAACATCTAGAAAATGACAACACACACTGCAATACAATTAAGACGATTTACCTTGCATAGGTGAGGACCTTTGATGCCAAACTCCTTGCATTAAAAATCTCTGATTTGTTGTTCCATTGTTATATAGCCAGAGCTTATTCTTTTGTGAAGCACCTGTGTGTGCACCATGCCATATTTTTGAAATATTCCTTTATTCATCTTTTGGATTTGGTGTAATCTGTTAAAACAGTACACTTCTATAATTCATGTCCTGTGTCAGTCAACAGAGCTCCCTCAATTATAGATGCATGCACAGTTTTTTTTATTTCACATGAATTTGTGATGATGTCCTGCTTTGTTAAGGTGCTTTTGTTCCCTTCATACCTTAGTGTTATTGTGCTGGTATCAGTCCTACTGTAGCTTTATAAGATGTTATCAAGTCAAGGATATTAAGTGTAAAACTATATGAAACACAGAAAGACAGGGTGCAAACATGTTGTATCAAGTATCACTCCGCAGTCTCAATAAAGACACAAGTGAAATACAAACTGGTCTTCCATTTATGATTGGTAGAAAAAGTCATTTCTCAAAAAAAGGACATTAATTATTTTTATCATTCATTGATACTGCTTTAACAACAGTTAGAAAAACAAGATTTTGGGGTGGGTACTCACTGCAGCTGCTGAATCACAAACACTAGGGGGCAGCTACACTTTAGGTTTTCATATGCAATACACAAGCAGCTATTTCAGTCTGTATTTTTGCTCCTATTTACAAAGAATATAAACATGCTGCTTTGTGAAACTGCACAGAGTATTTCTGTTCCAGTCTGTGACACATTACATGCTTAGAGTGAATTATGACTCTTTACTAAGCCTGCATGTTCAGTTTTTGTTATGTGGAAGACTGGAGAAACAGCTCAAAATTACCATTACATTCATTATATATCAAATAAAACGAAACAGTGATACTGAGCCACTTGAAAAAACACATAATAGTAAATATCTTTAGTATTTTCTCTGTGTTAGAGATGTACTATTTTCCGGTGCTAACATAAATATATGTGTGTGTGTGACTATATACATACGGGATCCACTTGACAACCTTTTTGTAATCTTCTGCTGCTGCCAGACTGAGGGGGTTTAATCTCTTGTGGTGTGTGTTGAAATGTGTGCGCCCTATTTGTCTGGTCGTGTGAGATACAAGAGTAGCCAAAGGGTTTTTTGGGATTAGAAGCTCCTAAAATATTCCTGTTGAGGTTTCAAGATGAATCACACCACAAAAACAGCTCCACAGGAATAAATAGGGGTGTGTGTGAGTCTGGAATAGAGTGTAGGGGCGTCATGTGTTCATGTTCATTGAGGATGACAAAATATTGATCTGATTATACCTTAAGCATAGCAAAATCTTCGTGTCAGAGGAGGAGAACCTGCTATAAAGCGCTTTGGAGCACTGAGGAGGGAAATCTTATCCTTCTTAGCGTTTCACCTGGTTGTGTTGTGAATATTCTACATAAAGATGTTAGTATGATTGTTGTGTGATTTACAGTGCGTGCATGAAAGCTGGCTGTACAGGTTGAATGAGATAGATACATGATAAACTTTTAGATTGCAATTAAGCTAATTCAGCTACAGGAGCCAAATTGAAAGAAACTCATGCAGAAAAGCAGAGATTTTAAAAGTCTACAAGAACAGGTAGAAGAACACAAATATCTTCCAGTCATTTTGAACAACCAAATCGAGTGGAGCTTAATAAATCTGAAGTTTAAAAGACCAAACAGTCAGTCAATATGTGGAGAAGAGCTGGCATGTAAACCATGAATGAACATTTGCAGTTGTTATGTAGTGTAGAGTCGTTTTCATCAAAAATTATATAATCGTGTCAAAGTCAAATAAGATAAACAACTCCTAAAAATTGAGGTAAATACTGTTTAACCAAAACTAGAGACTCCAATGACATTTTTCGCATGCTTGTCTGAACAGTTGAACCAAATATATAAAACAGTTTAAATCAAATATCCTCATTCTTTATTTCATAATTTTTTAATGTTTTGTAAACCACAACTCACCCAGTGTAGTCTAACAAACTTGTGTCACAAACTTACAAACTTTTAAGATTCCACCATAATGAGATCAAAAAAATATATGATTGAAAAACAGCAATCAGGGGTCAGAAATGCACTTAATGTTCTATAAAATATCATGTTACTTGCAAATTAACATTATTTGCATATTATGAAAGACATTGCAGCCTCAAGGTGGCTCTACAAAAGAAGTCATAAGCTGACAAAATTCAAAAGACCTACTCATCTGGGAATCACAGATGTGGGTCCAACTAAGCTTGAAGAGAAATTCAGCTTTTTACTACCTGAGCTAACTTTTCTGGAATCCCAATGCAGCCAACTGTTAGCAAAAAACAACTTCAAGTTAAGACCTTTTCCAGTGTCTGTATTGTTTACACATCAATAAGTAATACCTGAGAAGTTGCCCTCTACCAAATAGCCCCTCCTCGTATATGTCTGCAAAATAAAGGTTTGGTTAATTTTTATTCCTTGACAAAGCTCCATTCACAAATTTGTCTCGGTTTCACTGAAAAAAGTAAGATAAACAGGGGCGTCACTCTGGCTTGCTTCAGTGGTAAGTACCCATGAGAGCAGATGATTTTCTTTTAATTTAACTGGAATGAAACAGATCATGAATTTGCCAAAATAACAACACTATGATGCAGATTTGTTGGAAGTAAATAAGCAAACTTTGTCAAGTCAGGAAATCTGATTATTGATTGACTTTCTATGCAGCATCAATCTTTTTACATAGAATTTGTTCATCGAGGTCAAGGTTTTGTTGAAGACTTGAGGCTCTTGATGTGATTCTCCACTTCCAAAGCCATATCAGAGATACTCTTCCTGATATCCAGTGTTAACACATTCTCCTCCATTGGAGGCTCCAAAGCTTCAAACTGGGAGCGGAGAAGGTCTGCCTTCATGTAATGGCCCATTCGAGCCAGCAGTCTCTGGTAAATAAGATCATAGTCACCATGCAGGAAGAGAAAAAAGATGTCAGGCGGGGCGGTGTGGAGGATCTCTTTGTCTGGACTGGAGGAGGAAGTGAGGGCTTTTGAGCCAAAAAGCAGAATCTGTCTGTACAGACGCTTTAGAGCGGAGCAAACCACGAGAGCATCACAGCCTGAAGACCTTTCTCTGAGAGAAGAACACACACACACTCACTGGTGACATAACTTGTGGACAACATAAAAAATGTAAAAACAAACAGATCAAACTTTGTCTGGTGACAGCTGGCTCGACAGAATAAGGAGGTGAAGGGAAAGGAAAGGGATGCTAAGATGAGCAGATAGGCAAAACAAACTGTAAGTGAGTCTGGAAGCGTGAAGGTAGAAGAAGTCTTTGATGTTGTCACAGACATTTTAAGAAGGAGATGGCTCACTTTTCTGCCCTCCCTACCTCTTCTCTCCACTTACTAAATCTGTCTTTACTCTTCCAAAGTGCCGGTCCTCACTCTCTGGTTTTCAGCCCGATTTTAAAAACCATCAGTGATATTTTTGATCTTTTCCAACAATTTCACACTAGCATATTCTTACCGCTCTCATCTTCTCTGCTCTCTCTCTGAACTAATCTGTTTCTCCTTCACTCTGGTCCTCTCAAAAGTAGGTTAGTTTTCAGTGCATATGCATAAGAGTGAGTGTGAGTGTGTGTCGGTTTGTTTCTTACCTCTCGATGACTTCATGAAGTTTGAGGAGCCAAGGCAGCCTGTCCTGATGGGATGATATATCAACTGGTTATATTTGTGATATAAACACTGGAGGGTATTTTTGTCCTGTTTGGACCAGAACTTCTGCATAAACCACTTGGCTAAACCGGTGCTCATGGTTTTGCTTTTTAACACGACTTAGCAGGTGAAAAGGAAAACACACTCCTGGACTGGTGTCAGTAAATTATCCCCCCCATCTGAGGGGCCAACATGCATTACAGAGCACTGCAGAACAGAGATACTGAGAGACAATGCTCCTTTGAAACTCTTCATTCTCACGAGGAACATGTTGAAAAGCAATTACAGTGGATTTTATTTTTCCAAGTCACTGACAATATTTGAATTCGAACAAGCTTTAAAAATCAATGAATCTTTAGCAAAACAGTCAGGGGAACAAATGGTGGTGACAAACACAGTCATCAGATATGGCACAAACACTGTGATTACAGAGTCCATCCAAATTCAGTTACAACTGAGCTGGAATCCCGTTCTTTCATACGTAAGGGGAGAACATGTTTCTCATGTTCTATTCTGCCAGCACCAACCTGCCAACTCTCGTACTGGCATTAAAGACGCATTTTTACCACAGTCTGACAGTAATCCCAAATTTACATTTCTGCTTCACTTCATCATTCATTCTCAAACTGCCAACTGTTGAGTATTTTTAAAACATGCCAAAGCATTACACAGAGAAGGTCCCAGGGTAATTCTCCCCTCGTTTGAAAGCAGATTTCTGAGTGGGAGGTTATCATCACACACCAAACAGCGCGAACGACAAACTGATGCCAAATGCTGGCAGGGTTTGTTCTGCTTGCGAGCATGTACACTCAACTTTGGCGGGTAGCCAGGTGATTGTTTGGACGTCTCCCTTTATTCGGAAAGTCAGCATGGACAGGAAAAAACAATAAATACCAGTAAAAGCTCTGTTTCCATCCCTGCTGTTTTCACTGTCTGCTTCAGTGAAGATTCTCCAGACACTCGCAGTTTCTGTGGCCGCAGGTCTGAGTGAATGATGTACCCATGACAGAAGACAAATGGCTTACTCCAGAAATGACTGACATTCAATTTGAGCTGACAAGACACCACCATGAACACACACACTCACTAAAACACAGGCACACAAAAAAATACAAAGACACACATCCAGGCTGACCTGGTCTGTTAAAGGTTCACCGCGAGCCATCTTGTCAATGTTCTCCTGTGGGTGAAAGTTATCCCCCTCGTGCAGCGGCCAGCCCAGCTGATGAGTAGACACACACACACAAATACATGACCATCAAGATATACAGTGAGTAAAAGATAGTGGAGGTGTGCATATGTAGAAGGCTGGATTCAATTTTATTAAACCCATTTCAACTGAGCATTATTGGGATGAAAGCCAGAACAATACTTCCAAAGCATAAACAATATAACAGATTCATAAATGTACAATAAATTAGTTTATGTAATATATACTTAATTGATACGGGTCAAGATACCCTTGGAAATTTTGTTTTTCAATCGTGATTAGGAAACCAAATGACTGTTGTTCTATTTTTGGTTTGAAACCAACATTGGACATTTCTTTTTACAGTCTGAGCCAAATGAAACACTTTTAAAGCCGTTCTAGCCCATTTTTCTTTTCTCATCTTCCTCTTTTACCATTTTGACTTGAATATTGAATATCAACTAATGATTCATAGACTCAGAGCTCATTACGTACAACTCTATTTGCCGACATAGTTAAACATCTTGTGAGGAGTTTTTGACAGGTTACTAAACATACTGAAATCAACAGTAATGTCTCTCCAAACTGTGAAATAACTATTGAGGTCCTTGATAACAAAATTCTTGATTTCTATACTCTAATTTTTATGTCTGTAACTGCTGTGATGGGGAAGGTACACTAGAGAAATAGTATACCTGCTGCATCAAACCTTATCTCTCTTGGTGGCTGTCTGGTCCTGCCCAAGGTCTTGATAATTAATCAAACAATGAGCGTGGTCTAGACCTGCTCTTTTTCTTTGGAAAGCGTCTTGGGATGACAACTGTTGTGAATTGGCGCTATAAAAATAAAATTTGATTGATTGAAATTTTGCATGAAGAAACCGAAAAAAAAACTGACCACTTGGCTTTTTTACTTAGGGTTTAAAACAGCAAAATGAAGAGATTAAAGGAAACCCTGACCAATATGCTATATATTTGATAAATTACTGTAAATGAATCAAGTACAAAAGAATACAAGTGATGGAAACTTAATAGTAGTTCCCTTGAATTTACTTGCCTTTTCTGATAGTAAGGCCCCAAAGGTGCTTCTGTGTGAGAAAAGAGACAAGACATAACAGACTGGACTGAGACACTGCAGAAATGTCAACATGAAGACATTTAACCAGGTGAGCGGCTGTTTCTGGAAAAACTTAACAGCCATAAAAAAGTTTTAGTTTCAAGCCTGGATGACCAATGGATAAACAGTTAATGTATAAAAAGCCAATCCGCATCTTAATTTATTTTCACATTTGTGAATTAAAACATTTTTTGGAAAATTTTTATTGGATTAAAATGTTCCAACTTTTTTAAAGTTCTTCTTGGAACTTGAGCTTCATTGACAAAGATCTGTTAGTTAATTATTTAAATCTACTTATTTAGTGATTTATTCATTTATTTATTTAGCATAAATTGAGTGAAATCTTCTTTGGGTTACTCAGCTGACTAACCAGAGAATGCTGTGCTGTGACACTTTGGTCATAAATCACAGCTCTTTAAGTGTTGTGTTGCAGTATGCTTACAGTTGCTGACCTTCAGCCAGACAAGTGTAAAAGTTATGAGAGGGGACACAAACAGCTCATAAACTTTTAACCCTATAGTCTACTTTTTTCTCAAAGATTTGTATTGCTTTTCCATGATGTCTGTTCCTTGAATTAATATGCTTCTAGTGATACAACCTTAAAGGGATATTCCGGCGTAAGTTAGAGTAAAACACACTCTAACACCAAGTTAGACGCCCCCTCGAGAGATAAATGTTGCCGACTACTTGCTCTTCTCGTTATACCAACTTTAGTAATGACCGCAGATAGCAATACAGAGAGCCACGGGCTCAACCAAAACGCCACTCTATAGCCACAAATAATGCTCAGAACATACAGGGTACATATAGGGTCCCAGCCATAGCACTAGCCACCAAACATTTTTTAAGATTTGCCTAAATTCTTTAGCAAAGAGACCAAACACAACTCACCCTCTCTCTTCCAGCAGTCGCTTGTTTGTACGGAGACATCCGGGCAAGTCCATTGACTACGGCGGAGTTCCGCAGCTTAAGGAAGAACATTTATGATTATTGCTTCATGGAAATGCAATCAAACAGAGCCGCTAAGTCGGAAGAACTACCGCGTCTACAGTGCAAAATGATTAATACGATAATTATAACTTCAAGGATAGTTCAAGATAAAGTTATGACCATAAATGTTCTTCCTTGAGCTGCGTCCCCCCGCTGCAATCGATGGACTCGCCCGGTTGTGAGAAGAAGAGGTTGGTAGGCAGAGAAGGTTGGTAGAGAAGCAAGCTGTCGGCAACATTCGTCTCTCGACGGGGTGTTTAACTCGACGTTACGGTGTGTTTGACCCTAACTTGATTTTACGTCGTAATATCTCTTGAAGTTTGTAGAAACTTTGAACATACATACTTCCCACATCCTGAGACTCCCATTATAACGTAGATCATCCTGTCTGTGGATCACCTAACTCCTGAAGGCAGCTCATATCCTGAAATAACGAAAGCAGGTGTGTTTCTTACAGCATATCACCAAATCATGCAGAGCCTCATTGAAACAGCTCAGGAGCAGAGATACGGCGAAACAACATTACCTCTTATGTGACCTCTTCTGCTGCCCCCGTGGTCTACCGGCTGGACATTCATTAATGAAGGAGGAAACCCTGTCTAGGAGTAACGTTGCCTACCATCGAGATTTCTCTACAAGTCCTGTCATGACAATGTTTCCAGCAGCTTACTCCTTGAATGAGGACGAAAATCAGCTTTAACAGAGGAAGGGGAACTACATTAGAACTCTAAAATATCTATCACGTTAAGGTTTCAAACCAAATGTTTGTTTACGTTGGTGTACGTGATGACGTATGACGCATGTCTGCTGCGTGTCCAGTTAAAGAGACAACGCTCTGCTCTGATTACGTCGCAGTAGATCGCCTTTGACGTCATTGTTGATGGGAAAATAATGTCCTTTTACACCACAGCTAATTTCGTTTATGATTACAAAACATAAAAAGGGATAATCCGTAATTTTTTTACACAAACTCATGAATTAGTAATACAAAAAAAGAGAAATGGATGAAAATAGGGCCGTTTTAATGTGTAAATGTGATGCAACCTTGGATATGTTGATTATATTTAGGAACAAATACCCTTTAAAATCGTAAAAGAGTGTCTAGATTATAGATGCATTCACTGTCGCCTGGTGTTTCGGGTATTATTAGGCACCACACAAACGGATCAATCAAAGAAGTCCTAAGGTTCATGCTGTAATTTGGAAGCAGAACAGGGAGGGGGTGAGAGAAGCAGACGGAAAAGAGAGAGAGAGAGAGAGTGAAGGGGAGAGGGAGAGAGAAGGAGAGAGACATCCTCCCTCGTGTGAATCCATCAGTAGGCAGGCAAGAGACGGATGCAAGCTCTCCTCACTCCTGCCCTGTTGCATCCATCCATTCTCTTGCCCATCCATCCAACCATCTCTCCACCCATCCAGCCATCCTCAAGGGCGTCACAGGGAGTAACGAGACCCGAACGGGAGGCGCATGCATGCATGCATGTTTGCGCAAAATCCTCATTGTATGTAGGCAACACTAGCGTCTGCTCTGCGCGTGGATCCGCTGTCATGAGGAGCTGAAACAGGACCGACAGGAGGATGAAAATGCTCCGGTTTCGCAGCCCCAGCATCCGCTCCTTGGACCAGGAGATTCTTTGCACGATCCGGTTACTGGACGACTCGGAGATCTCCTGCAGCATTCAGGTAAGAATGCCTCACACACCTCAGCTTCTGTCTCATGTGGTTCATACGTGGACGCAGCAGACGATTAAACGACACTGAAATCAGTCAATTCAGTCTGAATATTTTCATAATCTCATTTTTAATGACACACACATTTGAACGCAGCTGTCCCTCATTTCCACGCTGTTTCGATTGATCGGAGATGTCGTTTTCCTCTCTCCCTGCTGCCACTGTGAGATATGAGGAGGGGAACCATTAGTGACCGATCTGTCCACATGGAGAGAAGTTGGGATGAAGTTAGATCACAGGTGTGGAAATGATGCTCTGTGGGTGTGGTGACAGTGATGATAGTAACAATGATGAGGGCAGGGAGAACAAATGTTGATGTTATTGATTTCAGTTAGTGAGGTGAGGCTTCATGTCTGTCTCCAGAGAGGAAGAGCTGTCTTCATGGAGGTGGTAATCCATATTGTTTCTGTCTTAAGAGACTCACCCAGCTGATGCAGCAGCACAAAGTATCAATCATACAGAAACTCATATAGCCTTGAGTGTGAGATTTACTCTTATTGCTACAGTGAGAGTTCAAAAATACACCGGTAGCTGAAATAATCAGACTGAAATCTGGACTAGATGAGGGAAAAACACAGCATTTTACTTCTTCACCTTGATCAAGCATAAAAATTAAATCTTGTATTTAATCTTTTATCTGTTTTTATCACTTTTGTTTCTGGCTCTGTCACTGAGCAGCATCTGCTTATGTCTTGTAGCTGGTAACAATGACTGTAAATCAAACAGCACACAAAGTCTTGGATTTGTATTTTGCACTGTCACACCCCCAGAGAGAGAAAGTTCTGGATTCGAACCTTCAGGCCTGCTGAGGTTCCTCTGTGTGGACTTTACATTCTCTCAGTGGGTTTTCTGTAGGTGATCAGGCCTCCAGCCACAATCCAAAACCATGCAGGTTGGGGTTAATTCGCAAATGTGAATTACCAGGGGGCAAGAATGATCAACACATGTTTAACAATACCTGAGTTAAGGACCTGTGCACCTCAGCACTATATACATATTGCACTGCTAGCACCACTGCATTTATTTATTGCACTTTTTATACTGGTTTTAACAGATTTTACTCCACTTGGCTGGTCTGCAAAGGTGCGCTTGTTGTTGTTGTTGCCTTTGTTAGTGTACTGTGTATGAGTCTGTGAGTGGCGTGACCCCTGAATTTCCCGACTGGGATTAATTAAGTATCTATCTATCTATCTATCTATCTATCTATCTATCTATCTATGGTTCACTGATCACCTGCAAGATGAAATCTGCATCAAAAGATGAGCTTTTAATGCAAATTGATGACTGGATGTTTGATGCACAAACATCAAAACCAAACTGCAGACTATAAAGTTTCCATCAGAGGGGAAAAAAAACAAAACAAATGATGAAACTTTTGTCATTCGTAGAAACTTTTTTGGCTGTCTGAACAAAGAGAATCGTCACCCCGTTTTTACACAAATTAATTACATCCTGTGTGGCTCTGAGCTGCAGCATCTGCCAGAGAAGAAAAGTGAAATCAGGTGAACCTGCCAAATTCTGACTCACATGTTGAGAACATCTGCATATTTAATCAAGAATAATGCAGAGAAAATATGAGCAATGACAAAAAAAAAGGGGGCTGAAGCCACATCTCTTAAGTATTACACTAAATCCTTCAAAGCAGCAGCAGCTTCTTTGTTACCCAGTTGAAGAGAGTTTAGAGCACAGTGAGAGAACACAAGCAGCAGCTTGTCTCAGTCTGAGCCGCCTTTAGAAGAAGTCATCAGCTGCCTCGGCCTTGTTGTCTGACCCTGAAAGAACAGACACACTGGCTGCCTGTCAAACTAACTGTTTCTCTGTTTCTCTACGAGTGCCCAATCAAAGATTTACACAAGAACACGAAGAGCACAGAGTCAGGAAGGAGAGAGAGAGAGAGAGAGAGAGAGAGAGAGAGAGAGAGAGAGGCTGTGTCTGCTTCTTTGTGTTTCACATGCATCTGTAGTACCTGTACCTGCTTCTGTCTTTTAGAGCACAAAAGTGTGTCGAACATCTATGTTCACGTCGGAGAACCTGAGAGTGTGACTTTCCTCCAGGAGATGCAAGAGTCACAGATTGTGAAAGTGTGTGTGTGTGTGTGTGTGTGTGTGTGTGTGTGTGTGTGTGTGTGTGTGTGTGTGTGTGTGTGTGTGTGTGTGTGTGTGTGTGTGTGTGTGCTTTTAGCTGAGCGCCCGTGTTTGATAAGGAAGTGGACATTTATTCTTCTAGCTGACTGCTTTTTCCACGGCTTTCTTTTAATGGCTTTGTGTTCCATTCCTGAGCGGCTCCTTCCTACATATTTCATGACATCCTGCGCTCCTCATGCTACACTCTTACTCAACAACAGCACTTCTCCTGTTTCAACCACACACACTTACATCTCTCACTTTATCCGCTTTCCCCCTCCTCCTCCTCCTCCTCTTCCTACAATACTCATGTCTATCTCCCTTATTTTGTCTTCTCTGCTTTTCTCTATTGAGCTGAATAAGTAGGTCAGGATGAAATGCTCTAAATTGGATGGCATCATAAAAAAAATTGGGGATGCAATTGTGCTTTTGAGAAATGCGTCACATCAGAGCAGTTTGTTTAACGTCAGTTTGTGATGTCCTTGTTTCATTTAACTTTCCTCCGGGGCGTCAGCTCTTATCTTTCCAGAAAACAGGATCGCATCAGCTGCAGGTCTCTTCTGGATGAAATGTTAGACACCACCACACTGTCAGTCTGCCCCAGGGTAGCTGTGACTACTAAGGTAGTTTACCACCACCAAAGTGTGACTGTGTGAGCGAATGAATTATGTATCCAATGTAAAGCGCTTTGAGGGTCTCTGATAAAGTGCTGTACGAAATCTGATGCATTATTATTATTATTATTATTACATAAATAAATCCTAATTAAATGAAGAGCGTTAGATTTCTGGAAAAGCTACAGTCAGTGTGAACATTCGAAAGGCAGCAGACTATGAAAATTTGCCCCAAAAGTCGATGAATATTTATGACTCCAGTGGTCATTGCGTAACGCATATGTCTCAGTGCAAGTGCAAAATTATACCAAGGGCAGTTTGTTTTATAAGAAGACAAGGCAGCTGTTGAGAAAGTAGTTCAAACTGCTTGTCTTAAAGTGTATGAGGATTAAATAAGATATGAAAAGATTTGTCAGGCAGTGTGAAAAGATATAAAAAGGGTATTAATGCTCAAATAAAACAAACTCAAAAACTCAAAAACTCAAAGGGAGGCAAACTAGGAGAGACTTTCTGATTCCACCAGAAATGGATCAGCTGGAAGAGGAGGAAAAAGAGGAGGATAAATTGTATTGACAAAAGATTGAAATAGTAAAAACATCACATGCGTCACATCAAAGTTTTGATTTCCAAGGCCACCTTTTCATGTGGAATTTCACTAATGGGAAAAAAGGGGTGAACAAGGGAGCATTTCTGTCTGGAATCTGATCATTGTATATTGCTAAATATTCCCATTTCTACACACTGTAGGGCACAGCCAGTAAACTGGATTTTCAAAAAGAGCTAAGACTGAAAAATAGGAAACGATGTGAATGTTTTACATTGAATTTATTAAAACAGAAAATAGAATAAATTTACAATGACAAACAGAAGAGACCTCAGATTTCTAAGGAGTGTGTCCCAGATAACTTAGTATTGTAGCATAGCTTGGTATCATTTCGAGAAAATCCTGTCTTTGGTGAGAGATTTCATTTCTATCTCAGCTGTTGAACCTGATGACATGTTACTTTAAAGATTTATATACAGTAGACCAGAGTTTAGTAAAATGCAAGTCCATCAAAGTTTAGCTCGATTAGCTCTGGTTATTCTGACCTGGATCATGACACTATTTTATATTTTGGCTTGTCTATCCCACTGTTCCACTGTGTTAAAAAAAAGAACAAGATTTTTGTTCTGACTAAATAACAACAGAGAAAACATTCTAATTAGGGCCTGACTGATTGGGTAGTTGAAAACGCTTTCCTGGTCCAAGTTTGATCAGTCAGTCTTCCTGTCAGCGTGAAGACCAGCAGCCTACAGTATATTAACAGTATATAGTATACTGTAGATATCTACAGTATATATATATTTTTTATAACTTCATAAAAAAATCTTCATAAAAACTTCATAATAATCGGTATCAGCATCTGCCCCCAAAAAAATCCATATCGGCCCTAACTTTAATATCCATACATCCATACATCCATTGTGCTAAAAATGAAGAAACAGTAATACTTTGAGGTCATTGTAGTCATCCTTTGTGCCGGTTGAAAGATGTAGGAAGTAAGAAGAAGAAGAAGCAGACTGCTAGAGCGCTAGCTGCAGCAGCCCTTTGAGGGATTATTAGGCACTCTTAAAACTTACGTTAAAGATTAATTGTGAATCCAAATCAATGTTAGAGTTTGTGCCTCTTCTAGCCAACTGATTATTTTTACCTTCCTAATGATTTTTTAAAACCATTTTCATTCAGTTTTGCAGCTCACAATCCACCAGGGGTAATGTATGTCAAAATAAAAGCAGAGTTTGATGTATATAACAGGAGTCTGTGTGCACGTGTGTGTGCCGCCTGTGTGTGTATGATGATGCACGTGTGCATTTGTGTGTGTCCATGCATGCTAAGATGTGTGTTTGTTCTGTGAGTGTGTCTACAGCCTGGGGGGTTGGATGTGTGTAGCCTGCTGCTCTCATGTTAGGCGGTGATGTAAACTCAGACCTGCTGCAGGAGAGACATGCTGAGATCAAAACACAGTGACCTCCCCTGCTTTCAGTTCCTCTCTTTTTCACCACCACTCTTTTTCTCCTTTTCTTCCCATCTGTCCTCCGCTCCCCCTCTTTGTTTTCTCCCCTGAGCTCTCCACTCCTTCCTTCCCTTTTTCCACTTTCTTCTCTGCCCCACTTTTAGCTTCATATTTGATTACCTTTTCTCACTTTCACATGCCTCCTCATCTCAGTCTTCCTCCACCCTCCCTCCCTCACTCCACCCTCTCTCTCGTCTCCATCCTTCTCTGTGACACATCATGTATAATTAAGGGTTATCACTGTTCTTCATGGGGCCAACATCAGTCAGCTGTCAGTGATGTGATACAAGTGTGTGTGTGCTCAGGCTGTTAATGTGTATGTGTGAAGTTGTGATGACCGTGCTGCACTTAAATTAAAGATTCAAAAGTAGACATTGAGCCCAACTGCAGCAATTACAGACATTAATTTACCGTGCTTAGCAAGAAATTACAGCGCTGAACCAAAATAGCTTGTACTTTTGTGAGGCTGTAATACATCCTGCTGACCGCTTTGTTTCTATAATTATTGGAGTCACCTTATCAATACATCAGCAGTTCAGTCTATTAAAAGATGCTGCAGGTATTGTTTTTCACTGCATCTGCCTTTTTCTCGGTCAAGGAGAAGTGTGTGTGTGTGTAGCAATAGCTGCTGCTGGTCTTTTATTTACTACATTTGTTGTGGCAGGTTGTTTGTGTGCATGTGTGTATGTGTGTGTGTGATGCTGATGCAGTGCGATTGTTTCAGCTGGTAGGCATTATTCGGCACAGGTTATATATAGCATCAGTTTTCTATTCTTATCTCCCTCTCTGGCGCATCTTTGATGCCCCTCTGAAGAGGACTAAAGAGAAATAATCCGTTTTCTGACGCGTGCCTCCAGCTGAGAGGAAGCAGACATCGACGAGACAGCAAGAGGAGGGTACGAAAACATCAAAGGAAATGGGTTAGAGGCAAAGAGCGAGAGATGGGACATGGTTGATAAGACAAAATATAGGATGACACGCTTGGTCACATAACGTGAGCTGTGAAGCTGACGGTAAGAGCTCGGCGTGGAGTAGGAAGGAATCAGAAAGGAGATGAGGTGCAGCAGCATGGAAAACAGGCTAAGCAGATTTTAACATGAAACAAATTTGGAAAGAGACTGGCAAACATGTACAGATTTTTTTTAAAAAGGAAATAAAGTGGAGGAAAGAATGGAGGAAAGGGCAGGTAGGAGGATGTGTGGCAAGGATAGAGAAGACTCTGCAGTGAAAGAGGATAAAGAGTTAAAAGGGAGAGAAATTACAAAGGTGAAAAGAGAATACATTCAGAGAACTGAGAGCATACACTCTCGTCTGTTACACTGGAAATCATTGTTATGTGTGTCAACAAATTTAAATTTACCATCCTCATTGCATCAGACATTTTTTTGAGTTGGATTGTGTAAGTAAAAAACCAACCACCAAACAACAAAACCTCAGAAATGGAGTCATCTCAGTAGAGAAAGAGAAGACAATCTGTAATGAAGAGAACGGAGCGTTCATTTTGTTTCAGTGCAGTCGTAATCATCATCCTGAGTGTGCACATGTGATGTTGTAAAACCCTTCTTGTTTGTCCTCATTGTTAGACATTTAAAATGTGATTCAGTGGCAAAGGCAGGCACACATATACAGAGACACACTAATCCGTGCCTAAGACAAGCAGGAGCAGAAGCAAACAGACCTTTTAAGTTAGCTCAGAGGTTCAAATTCCCCCTCTGTTTCTTCCACACTGATTTCTCTTTTATGGACTGTTTGTTTGTCTGTCTCTAAAAATGGTACATCCTGCAGTGCAAAGATAAGGCAGCTGCTTCCATGCACCCGTCAAGTGCATACACTCACAACAGCAGTGTAACCGCTTCAGCCATGCCATCATCATTACCGTCACACTTTCTCTGTCCTGTGAGCGAGTGTCCAGCTGTACACAGGACGAGAGATTGATTGAGCTTCATTATAATAGAAACCGCTTAAGCTCCATATATCGATGATTTACAGCTCTCCCTCTAAGCCTATTAGTCTGTGCAGCCATGAATGCAGGTCTATAACATGTTTTATATCATGTGTGCTAATTCCATCATGCTTCACGTGTGTCTCTGCAGCACTGTGGGTAAGGTGATTGAATTGTCTCCTCTACACAAGGACAAGGTTAAATTCCTTGTAAAAGGCTGCTCATGAGAGATGGGAAGCAGCACGGAATTAATTTCTAAAAGGCATGAATACATAGCATTGAGGTAGCAGTAGGCTGTATTCTTAAAAAACAAATTGACATTATCAAAATTAATTCAATTAAAAAAACAAATATTTTACTTCACTGTTTGAAATTATTGATGCGCTTACATTTGCCCATCGGAAACCTTAAAAAGTAAAAAAATATTAAACTCTTTAATATCTGTAGTGACAACACATTGATGATAGTTTGGAAGGTGATATACTTTTATTGGAAATGCTGGAGAGTGGATGTGTTTGGGTAACTTCTAATGCTGCGTTCTAGTTACTTCAGAAGTGGGATATCAGAGCTGGGAATGATGCTAGTTGGAAAACCAAGATGGACGCCTATACTTACCCATTGTTAGCTGTTGTTAACAATTGTCTGCTGTCGTTAGCCGTTGTCAGCTGTTGTTAGTTGTTGTTAGCTATACCAATAGTAAACAACGCATAACACAGTATTTTACTCTTACAAACACCATAGCACCATGTTCAGTTAGACGTTGGGCAGTACAACATATACCACCTATTTAATTTCACAAAAACAAAAAAGAAGTGCTAACAAATAATACATAGCAAGAGCTTTAACTGTTACTCTTTACTGTTGATGCACTGCGCTGCCATCTTGGATTATGACATTGTCGTCAAATAGGGGTTGGTGAGGATTGTCCGACTTTCTGAGTTGGACATCCGACTTCAGGGGGGCGTTCCAGATGAATTTCTGACTCTGAGCTCAGGAATTTCGACTTCCGAGTACAACTGGAACGTAGCATAAATAGCTATAGAATTGAGTTTACTCAAAGTGTTAGAAACTTTATGAATGATGAGGTTGAAAATGAGGATTGGGAGACAGGCAGCTGTTAGGTAGCAGATGTGATGTAGTGCTACATCATGTACCTATGTTAGGAACCTATTGAGGCTACACTACTTTGGTGGTCTAGGAGTTCAGCTTCCCTAAAATAGTTAAATGCGGGACTATTTAGTATCTTTTGGGCTATGGTGGATTGACAGTAGAGGGTTAGCCTTACATTTGTGAGCTCTATAGCTCCAGGCCTGAGCCATTACTGTTGTTGTTTGGTGGCTGAAGAGGCTTTGCTCAGCACTTCCTGTTTTGCAGCTCATGAGATCAATACTAGGCTGGAGCTATGTAGATTTCTAACTGGGTATGAAATCATGGCTCCGCTCTGTCTTTGTGCTACCACTCAATGTTTTTCTCTTTTAAATCTGAAATAAATGCAGCTCAGATCCACTAATTAAACATTTACTCATACATGGTGAAGTGATTGAAGGAATTTACAGGGAGCTTTAGTTGTAGTAAGGTCAAGTACCACTTTATAAAGGTTTCCCCTCTTAATATGTGTTGGATGCTTTCCAAAATTTAGCTTCTAGACTGAAAGCGTTTGATCATCTGCTCCTCTCTTCCAGTCTGGTGGTCAGTGTAGTCAGAGCGTTGGTGCCTTTGCACTCAGTTGATGTAGCTTGCATTTTGAATTGATTCTCAGATATTTGCTTACCCAGTTTGTTTTCTTAACTGTGCTTTTATCGAAATAGTCTGGCATTTCACTATATTAACCGGGTGGCTATTTTCCTCTCAGGATATAATAAGCTCAAATCCTGATATAATGTTAAAATACTCAGATCTCACTTATATTAAAGATCCTATGAGAGGAGTTTTGATGTCTATGAAACATATTGAAACTCATATTGATGCCCTCTTATGTTATCCAAAAACTAACAAGACGATCTGCAACAAGGCTGATGATTTGTAAGTGGTCGTTTTTACTGCCTGAAACTGGCGTGGCGGTTTCTTTAGCAGGTAAAGAAACATCAGTGTTTTCTTATGTCTGCATTACATGTTGACAGTAAATGGTACATTTGACTGTGAAAAGTTGGCAGGATCAGATTTTTTTTGTCACAAAAAACATTACTGAACTAAATAATGGACAAGATAAGCAAAGACTGCTTTGTGCCAAAATAGACACAAACCAGAAGTTCCTCTCAGGCGCTCTAGAAACTAAAATGAAGCTAAAAACCTGAAGATGGGATTGTCTGGGTCTGCTCAAGTTGTTACTCCTTAGAGAAAATCCTATCCTGTTGACATTTGACAATCAAATATGTAAATTGTAGTTAATATGTGGAAGTAAAAAAAAAATATGTTTCTTCAGCTGATTGGCTTACCCCTTCACATGATGTCAAAATTAAGGATATAAAAACCACCAGTCTCATTGCTGATGGTCTTGCTTGATTTCGCATACCCTGTTTAGGCGTCATTATAAGTTTTAGTCTGTTTCTAATATCGTCACCCTATTAAAAAATTTGACAATTTGAGTTTTTGGCCTAAATCATCTCCCGATAATGCTGGCTATCTCTGGTAATATTTCCTAAATCTTTAGTTGAAAGGATCATGGCATGATCGTGTAGGCCATTATATGGCCCATTATTTTAATAGGGTGACAATATGTGAAAACACTCCTCATGGGGGTTTTGAATGTGGCCTTGTGTCTTTTTCAGATGACCACAGCTTTTCAATTGCTGATCATTTTAAAAGAAGTAAAACAGAAATGATGACTATCTAGTGATCAACAGCCAACATTATGGGATTAGAGTATTTGGTCTTTTTAATCTGAGCATGATGTCAGCAGAAAATGGCTTTTGAAAGAGTATGGTCAATAGCCTTAAGACAAACATTTTCAAACATGATAAGTTTGATCAAATTAAAACTATTACTCAAGTCCAGTAAAGCTGTGCAGTTCAAAAGATAAATGAGGTTGAAAATGTGAAAAATGTGTAAAGATAAATGAGTCATGTCCCACATTTCAATTTGGAGGAAATGTGCAGCTTTAAAGCCATTGAGTCTTGGGTTTGTATATTACCTTTGTTGTTTAGTGTCAAGAAACACATTCAATAAATTCACATTCAAGTTTCTCTGCATATAGAGAAATTACACCAGAGGAGATCTTGACTGGACTGGCATTGTTATTGTCTCCCTTCATCCTCCTCATTGCTTCTTCCACACCCCACACTCAGCTCATTGATTTGTCTCTGCCGTATCCTCTTCATTGATCCATTAGAGACTAGGAAGTTGACTTTTGGTAGGTGTAAACAAAGTGGCTTTAGAAATACTGGCACTGTTAAAAATAGGACAACAATATTATTGTACATACTGAAAATATTGCTCACATACTCATCCTAAGTGGCAAATAAAGTGTCTAATTTGTCCACGAGCGTCTTGAATCTCAGCTTCATGTCGCTGCAGTGACTCCAGAAAAAGGCCCAAATTAGTGCCTACAAGACAGCCAGGGAGCCTTTCTACGGGTTTGTGTGGAGGTAGAGGAGCATATCATTATCCTTAATACCCAGCTTTTCTCTCTCTCTCTCTTTCTATCTCTCTCTCTCTCTCTCGCGCTGTCCTCTTCATCCCCTTCTGTACAGATAAGGAGTGTGTTTTGGTTTCTTCACGCAAGGATCTCAGGCATTTAACGCTCGTTCTCCTCACCGTGTTTCAGTGCAGCCAATTAGGTATGCCGTGTCATGAAATGAATCGTGCTGAAGTCGATAAGAACCAGTCATAATTGAGCTGGCATGCATATTAATTAAACAACAAGCTGTGTTTAACTGGGCCAGGGCACCCAGGGTCCTAGTGCTTGACTCATCATTGTCACAGAGGCAAGATACACTGTCGTACTTTTTTATTTTTGCTTTTTAATTTAACTTTTGGTTGATTGGAATAAAGTCTGTTACTATACTCAGAGTTCTGATATGATATTATCCAATTACACTAAATGATAACTTTGACAGTGTCCATATTTTTAAACCATGCTTTTGATGACAGTGCCAAACGTCTTCTTTTTTCTCTGAAAGACGATAACCTTGTGATCTGAAAATTCATGTTTTAGTAATATTCACACCAATAATACATATCTAACTGACTTTTTCAGCAGGATATGTATTATTCTTCATGACTGTGTAATGAGTGATGTAGAGTGATGAATTAACAGGCTGTTTTTGTAGTTATGGAGAGTTGTTAACTTACCAAAAGATGATCGGATCTATCCATTCAAACCGTCCCCATTCACAGTCGGTGTCATATCTGAGGTTCGATTACCTAAATCAGTAGCTTCACCCTTTTTCTCCAAGGTCCATTTAACTGCCGGCTCACAAATTTATTGTCTTGTTAAAAGCTCAAGATGTCAATGAACTTGTTTGGCTGCTGCTCCCTGTACAGAAACAGGTGCCAAAAATAAGGATGCTAGCTGATGTCTGGTTAGCACAGTGGAACGTTGTTTTGGGTCTTCATCAGTTCCAGTGTCTCCGTGTTTAGCAGCTCAGAGCTAAATTAGGTGTGCGAGACTTGTATTTGTGAAGTTGTTGGAAAACTTTCTCAAACGAACAACAATATTCATCTGTAGTCTCTCTATGTTTGAGTTCAACACATCAGCTTAAAAAGAGTTTCTCAGCCCAAACTGTTCTTGACTCTGTGAACTTTGAAGGTTAAAACTTTTCTTCTTAGTGTAACAGATGTTTTTGTGAATTCATTATAGGTGTGGGAATGAATAATTCACTACATCTGTATTTTTACTCTCAGCATGCTGATGGTTTTCTGTTTTTCCGGTCTAGTTTTGTCTGGCCGGTCTGCGCCTGAACTCTTGATAGATCTGAAGTCCTTCTTTATCTAAAAAAAAAAAAATGGTACAGAAGATAAAGTTACACTTGAACAAACACATCAAAGTGCACTTTGCCTTTGCTGTACTGAATACACTCCACATTGAGACTCTATTTTAAGTGTGTGTGTGTGTGTGTGTGTGTGTGTGTGTGTGTGTGTGTGTGTGTGTGTGTGTGTGTGTGTGTGTGTGTGTGTGTGTGGGTTCCAAGGAGGCAGAGAAGCACTTTGCCGTCATTAGGTGAGATCATGTAGAAACAGGATGACCATGTTAATTTTTAATGCCCAGCCTTTGGAAACGTTAAATATGTATCCATCCCTTGTTGGACATAATATAGAGTCTTTATATCTCCCTGCTGTTCCACCTTTCTGCTCTCAGTTGATCCCAAATCTCTCTTTTCTTGACCTTTTTTTTTTTTTAGCTCTGTCTCTCCTCCAGTCTCTTGGCTGCTTTGGCTCTGTTTCCCTCTCTGTCTGGTCCGATTCTCTGTCTCCACTCTGGGCGTCAGTCTGCCGCTCTTCTCTACACAAGCATCTGCCTTGAGAACCACACAGAGGAAAGGTGTCCTTTGATGATCTGACAACGAAACAGCTCCTAGCGTGTGTCTGTTCATTCGAGTTCCTCTTTTTTTTTTCTCCCTCTTCCCTCAGTACGTCTGTCTGTTTGCTCTTCAGATTTAACAGCTTAACACTGTTGTCATGGATCAGCCAAAAATCCTGAAGAGATGTAGCCACACATGTGTACACACACACACACACACACACACACGCACAGGCAGGCTAGCATGGAGACACAAACAATTGCAGCATCACCCACTGGGAGGCACATTAGATTTACAGCTTACATTTGTTTCATGGTGATATAACAGTGAACCTGAACCAGCCAATAGGGATGAGCTGCCTTACTGACAGATGATTGTTGCCCCAGTGATGTAACGGAGGACACAGGAGACGTCTACCTCACTGTGCTGCTGCTGGTATGTGTCTGGATCAGGGTCATGCTGAGTTAAAGTTTTTGGTAAATTAACTCTCAGGATGCCACCTTTTGTTTTGAGCAGAAGAGGTAGTTTGGTAAAAGTTAATAAAATTGTCAGAGAGGATTGAATAATAAGTAAGTCAACCTTTGGAGTGTCATTTCCCTTTTTTAGGTGGTTTGATGCGTCCCTGAACCTCTACCCTGAGCCCAGAGCTCACTGATACTTGTCTGAGCTACTGACTGGACTCTTCAGTCCATCAAAACCTCTGTTTACTTTGACTGGGTATTAGCTCTTAACACCTTTATCTCGTGTATTGACAGAAACATCCCAGTACTGTTGCATCCAACTGCTCAAAAAAGAGAGAATAGCTATGAGGTATTAAAGGGATATTCCAGCATAAATTTAATTTAGGGTCAAACACACTGTAACACTGAGTTAGACTCCCCCTCAAGAGATGAATGTTGTTGACCGCTTGCTTCTCTTGTTATACTAACCTTAGTAATGACCACACGATAGCAATACACAACGGTCTGAGGAGCCATAAACAAACCTCAACCAAAACGCCACTCTATAGCCACAAATAACGCTCAGAACAGCACCTAACTTCATCAACAGTACATATAGGGTCCCAGCCATAGCTCTAGCCACCAAACATCTTTTTAACTTTGCCTGATTTCTTTAGCAAAGAGACTAAACACAACTCACCTACTCTCTTACAGCAGCCGCTTGTTTGTAGCGAGACCTCGGGCAAGTCCATTTCGGACTACAGCAGGGTGGCGGAGCTCAAGGAAGAACATTTATGATCATTACTTTATCATGTCCTCGAAGTAATAATCATCATATTAATCATTTCGCACTGCAGACGCGGTAGTTCTTCTGCCTTAGCGTCTCAGTCTGATCGCATTTTCACGAAGAAATTATCATAATTGTTCTTCCTTGAGCTGTGTCACCCCGCAGCAGTCAATGATGGACTACTCCGAGGTGTTGCTACAAACAAGCAGCTGCTGGAGGAGAGTGGGTGAGTTGTGTTTAGTCTCTTTGCTAAAGAAATTAGGCAAAGTTAAAAAAGATGTTTGGTGGCTAGAACTATGGCTGGGACCCTATCTGTACTGTTGAAATAGAATGCAATAACAAAAAGGTTTTACATACATAATACATGCCACAGTGTATGCTTTCAGTAAATTGATGGAAATCAAATGAAACCAGAGAAAACAAAGTATTCAGTTGGTAATTGTATCTCTTAAATATTCACTGTAATTGGATCTGGTACCCTTATTTTTAAACAGTACCCCTCATTTATTCTTTTAGTGAGGCAAAGGTAAAGCTCACCCACAATTTCATTCTGACATTAGAAACATCGTTTTATTGTCGTAACTGAATTCACACTCATTCCTTTCCTGCATCTTTTTGTTTCACAGTAACATCACTAACTGTGCTGACAGATCCTGTCTTGCAGTCCAGTGGAAATGTTTGAACAGCTGGGGATTGTCGTTTGTTAAATATTGATTTGATAATATGCACTGTGTAGTGCGCTGTGTAGTGGTGTATATATATGAACTCCTTCTGTGTTTTCTGCGCAGTGGTCGTTTTATATTTAATTCCGTTTTGTTGTTTGTTGCATTGACCTCAATCTGCTACTTGACTACTACAGCTTTTCTGTCTTTTGTGCTTTTTGCTGCGATCTTCTCTCTGTTTGGATCTGTGCTGTCACATACAGCTGCTGTGTTCATCCTGCTGAGGCAGACGGTCGTTCTCGTCACTGTGTTTTGTTTTTTCTGTGAATTTCGCAGGGACTGTTATGCTTTTGGCTTCTCCGTAAACACCTACAGTAGAGTGTGTTTACAGCAAATAACAGAATTGAGAAATGAGAGCATGACTCACCAAGTAGTGTTTTAAAAGGTTGCCTTGGCGAGATATTGCAGCGCTTTCCAAGTAAAACATATGCGCAGGATTTTCAGTTTGTGTGAGACCTCAGAGGATCAGAGACAGAAGAGACTTACCGCAGTCAGGACTAAACAGGGTCATGTTAGGGGCTGATTTCAGTCCTGACGTACTCTTTGCAGAACATAGCATAACATTTACACCAGAGGACCCATGCTTATCAAAGCCGAAGGGGAAACAGTTGATTTTAAGAGTTGCAAGGGATTACTCGAAGATGAGAGAGAGTGGAGACGTAAAGACACAGTCCCAGATCTCAGCTCAATACAGACAGATCAGTTAGAGGTGAATAATAATGGTATATATAATGACAGTATCATTGTTGAACACTGGACAATGAAGACAGAGGATATGTTCAGACTCTCCCAGAGGTGTAGGTGTGTTGCACCCAGTGTTGGCTAATGTACTTATAAAAGCTTTTCTCGAGTTAAAGTATGAATGTCATCCAAGAAAATAAGTGAGAGTCAGTTCACCTTACACTACTTTAGTGAAAGAGTTGATGTTCAAAAATGTAATGTTATTAAGGGTCAAACTGTTTTCACTTTCAGAAAAACAACATCTTTGCTTCTCAAAGACTCTTCCTCTTCTTTTTGTTTTTACACCATATTTGGATTCATGATGCTCCATCACTGCCACCCTAATCCTAAGGCTCTGCATTTCAGTTCATTTAAAACTATATTTTTACTATATACAGACCCCCAAATTTTTCGTCATTTAATTTTGAGTAACAAAGATTTTCAGATTTTCACTAACCTCCATTTAAGTACATAGATGCTCCCTGAAAGTACTGAAGTACAGTGACAAAGCATTTATACTCCAGTGGTTTCCACCTGTCAGGCACATGATCAGATTTAATTTATGAATGTCGGAAAAAAATAAATAAAATGAAATTTATATTCTGTTTACTGATGTTTCTTTATTGCAAATGGAGTTTTACCTAAAGTCAATGAAATGCTTGTTACCTGTTGGGGCTGAACTGTGTACAGCATGAACATGCTGCATATCTTGGCTTCATGGCTTGTACTTCGGCAAGTTTAGCTGCTTACAACCTGCACCATTAGCAGCTGTCCATCTCTCAGCCTACAGAGTTAGCATCAGCACTTCAAATTTATGAAGGAAAAAAAAAATGTTTCTTCAAAGTAATGTATTTGACTTACTTGTTGAGGAATAGCAAACATACCAGGAGCAATCTTTGCTGATGGAGTGAGCAATTGATGATGTTATCTCCACTTCAAACTATACCAGAGGGGAGAGAAATGCAGAGAGCTGTCTGAATTTAAAGGATGTGCATAGGATAAGTCAAACAATCAGGACTGGTGTGTCTGTCAGATTAAAATGTGTCCAAATGAAATAAGACGTGGCTGATGTCATTGAAATGTCTGTCTCATAAAGGGGTCTGACAAGCGTTGATTGACACTTTTATGTTGTCTTTTTAATGACAATATGTGACCAAAATACAACTGTGCCTCTTATTTTAATAGTGTGTGTGCATGTGTGTATGTGTGTGTTTGTGACGTCTTAATTTATATGCGTCTCCTGTGGTGAATAAATAACAACAAGGACAAACAGACCATTTCCTTCTGAATCAATCAGTCCCGCTTAACTGAGCACAGAATCTACCTCTGTCAGCAGTTAATGGAAATGCACACACAAATACACGCACACACACACGATAAGTGCACATGAGAGAGTATGTCAGGCAAATAATATGACCAAATGTCAATTGTTCAGATGAGGATTTTAATGGTTAGATGTGCAGTCAGCATGCACACACACATGGAAATATCATTAACTTTTATGTGCATGTATAAGAGCAGGAATATGTAGTTATACCTTTACTACACCATGAAGTATTGTTATGTGTTGAGCCACATGGACATTAGCCTAGGGATCAGTGTGTGTGTGCATGTGATGAGAAGACACTGAGCAAGCAGCAGCAGGTAATAAATGTCGAGTCATCATTGATCATTGATCGCTGTGTGTCTTCGCTGAGTTCATGAACTGCATATGGCCTTTATTTACTGGCATGTTGGCGCAGGCTGGGTTATGACCACAGCATCATATTATCACCTGGAGACCTAAAGGCAGCTAACATAGATTTTCCATTATCATGTTCTTTGGCGATAAAAGTACGAGTGCGTCACCCAGGGGGGTTATTTGCTGTGATTATGCTGCACCGAAGGAGTTGGTATCACATGCAGCTGGAAGGTTTAAGAAAATGAATGCAAAGACATCCTCATGTACTCAAGATGGAATGTGTTTTTTGTCCCCACAGAGAGACACCAAAGGTCAGTTCCTGCTGGACCATGTGTGCAACCACTACAATCTGCTGGAGAAAGACTACTTTGGTATTCGATATGTGGACCCTGAGAAACAGAGGGTAATGTACAGTCACATACACATGCAGAACATCCACAAGCAGAAGCATAACAGACTTTTTTATCAACAATAATTTCTTTTTATTCAGCTTAAGTCTATAAAATATGCATAAGATAAAAAATACTGATCTGGATTCTGCAGAGCTCAAAGTCAGGTCTGAAAATTGCCTGTTTGTCACAGCAGAAAGCATGGTTATTGTAAGTTCTACAGTTTATGAAACAATCATGCAGAATATTGACAACCTTTTTTTCTGTTGATTGCTTGATTGCACTGACCAATTTGCTAATTAGGTTTTATGATATTAAAATTGGGGGACCTAAGTCTCATAATCTGATTTTTGAGTTAACAAAAAATCAGAAAATCCTCTTATTTCTAAAGCTTCTTTTCAAGCAATTTGGCAATGGGGTTTCCAAAAACAATACAATGAGGGAAAATATGAAAGGGAAGTCGAAGATTGTTGAAAACAGAAACTTCCATTTAAAGGGATATTCCGGTGTAAAATTAATTTAGGGTCAAACACACTGTAACACTGAGTTAGACTCCCCCTAAAGAGATGAATGTTGCCGACTGCTTGCTTCTCTAATTATACCAACTTTAGTAATGACCATAGATAGCAATACAAAGAGCCACATGCTCAACCAAAACGCCACTCTATAGCCACAAATAATGCTCAGAACAGCACCTAACTTCATCAACAGTACATATAGGGTCCCAGTCACAGCACTAGCCACCAAACATCTTTTTAACTTTGTCTGATTTCTTTAGCAAAGAGACGAAAGACAACTCACCTGCTCTCTTCCAGCAGCCACTTGTTAGTAGAGAGACCTCAGGCGAGTCCATTGACTGCAGCGGGGGAACGCAGCTCAAAGAAGAACATTTATGATCATTACTTTATTATTTCCTTGAAGTAATAATCATCATATTGATCATTTTGCACATCAGACACGGTAGTTCTTCTGCCTTAGCATCTCGGTCTGATTGCATTTCCATGAAGAAATGATCATAAATGTTCTTCCTTGAGCTGTAGTCCGTAATGGACTGGCCGGAGGTCTTGCTACAAACAAGTGGCTGCTGGAAGAGAGAGGGTAAGTTGTGTTTAGTCTCTTTGCTAAAGAAATCAGGCAAAGTTAAAAAGATGTTTGGTGACTAGTACTATGGCTGGGACCTTGTATGTACTGTTGATGAAGTTAGGTGCTGTTTTGAGGATTATTTGTGGCATTTTGGTTGAGCACGTCGCTCTCTGTATTGCTTTCTGCGGTCCTTACCAAAGTTGGTATAACTAGAGAAGCAAGGAGTCGGCAACATTCATCTCTCGAGGGGGTGTCTAGCTCGGTGTTACGGTCTGTTTGACACAAACTTAATTTTACGCTGGAATATCCCTTTAATTTATCTTGTCTCAGCGCCACAACAGAATCTACACATGCAGAAACGAATGCAGTCAAAAAGGAGCTTTAAAGAATAAAATGACTGTATGTATTTATAAAAAAAAAGAAATGTAGAGAAGTGATCTAACCTTCAGTCGGGAAACTCCTCTGCTAAGTCAGCATGTCCAAAATGGGATGGCAGGGTATTAATAAGCAGGCATTCTGTAACTTCATATTGCAAGCTCAAGTGACAACTAATAACAGGATCAGGCTCCATATTTAAAACAGCCCACACACACTGAGGAGACCAGACGCTTTGTCTGAAGAGACGCTCAGCCAGCAGCGAGCTTCATTTAAAATGCATAAAGACAAAGGAACAACATGCAAACATCGGAGAGAAATGTTACAGCACAAAGGCAAAAATATAATAGAGCGCAATAAGTGAAACTCTCCGGAACCCATTCAGCTGTGTTAATTTGCTGTACGAGGCTACAGTTGCTCTTGAGCAATACAATAAATGGTGTGTGAGGGCCTGCAGACACAGCTCAATGGGGAGGAGAGCAGAGCTTTCGCGGTCAGAAATGAATTGCTTGAATTGACTGAATTTATCTTCAACATTTATTGATTATCCACATGAAACTTAAATTAAATTTAGACCACTGTGTCTGAAATAAATCATCGAAAACATGAAGACATCTTTGCTTTAGAGCTCATGATCACTGCAGTTACTGCTCTTAAATGAGACGCTATCTTTAGGCTAACATTTCTCTTATCCTCTTCTTTTCCTCCGTCAGCACTGGCTGGAGCCCAATAAGCCTGTGGTGAGACAGATGAAGTGTAAGTGTCGCCTCAACTCTTTTTGTCTTCTTTTTGTGTGTGTGTGTGTGTGTGTGTGTGTGTGTGTGTGTGTGTGTGTGTGCGTGTGTGTATTCTGCGCTAGCGTGTGTGTGTGTGTTTGTGCAGCAAAGAGCAGCACTTGAGACACACCTGCTTGTTTCTGTTTGTCTATGCGTGCTGGTGGTTGCAAATTCTCGAAAGCATTTTTGTGAGTGTACAGTGTGTGTTTGTTAAGACCCGATATGCGTGCCTGTGTTATTTTCCAGTGAGCAGCTTCAGTGCGACAGGGTCAAACTCTACAACAAGTAGACAGCACCGCAGGGACTCTGATACACACGGGGTTATGACTGCACATAGTCAACAGCATTAAAAGCTATGAGGCATTCAAAGAAGGAAAACGGCAAAAAGACATCAGCATGGAGCACGTTACAGAGAAATGACTTATTTGAAGTGTGTAAAGACAGACGTAGATATACTCACAGTCCATTATAAACCAATGGTGTTCAGGGAATTTACCTACATAAAAGTTTTATTGCCTTATCACCCTTTACACCCCCTGGACTCACAGCTCATATTACCATATTCAGTGAGTAGTGATAGAGTTAGACAATGTTAGACACGACTTTTTCTCAGAAACACTTCAGGGACACAAGTAGAGACACAATAAAGGCAGACAAAGTGACAGGAGTAGGAATACAACAAACTGCTGGAGGGACCCGTGGCCCATCAAGAAAATAAACTCAAACAAAGTGAAAAAAAACACAGACATGGCAGGTAATCACAAACAAAAGACTTGGTGGGCTTCCTGAGTACTTGTCAAAGTCTCCTGAGTTTACTTGGTGGAGTTTGGAGCAAACAGTGTGAGCCTGGGCCAGATTTCTCTAGGATCTAGGTCCTAGTTTAACACTAAGTGGTGGACAAGTACTCTGGTCTTCAACTGAGTAAAAGTAACAGGGGCATGATTTCACTCAAAATCAAAGCAGACCACCAGCAAGAAAGATGCCTGCATTGTAATAGTACATATCTACACCACTATAATTGAGTTGGTGTCGATTTAATCTGGGGGTCCATTAGTCCACTTAAGACTGTCTGCAAAAGCCAAGAATCCTCATTGGGTCCCATATACACAGCAATACCATCAATTCATTCAAATGGTCTTTTATGCTGGGCGCCACACGGCACAGAAAGAAGGGTGGACAAAGAAGAAGCAGCAGACTGCTAGCGAGCCAGCTAAAGCAGCCTTTTTTTTACCGCAGTAACTGTAGGTGAAAATCTGGTATCGTGACAACCCTACATCACGGCACACATTTCCACTGCTAAATGTTTTACATAAATTTGGCACAAGAAGGGGCATGGCTGAGTTTATTGACAGGTGGTTGTATTGTAGGTTCAGCACATAGACTGTATATATACTATGGACAACTTGGTTCCACCTCCCGACGGTATACAGATTTGAAGCCGAAAAGCTCTCGGTAATTCCATGATTTTTGTCCATTTTCTGAAACCAACATTGCGCATTAGCGTTGTACGCATTTGGCGGGAGAGTTGCTGAAAAAACAAACCCCCTAATAACTTTTAAAAATGGAGCTGTACAGAAAAAAAGAGGACTTGAGCACAAACCAGTCTTACAATAACTACATGTCAACACCCCAAGCAATTTATATTCTGTGTTGTAAATTTCTAAAGTTTGTCCACAGCACTATTAAGTTTTACTGGAGGAGGCGGGATTTATGATCTATACTGCAGCCCATCACCAGAGTGTGCTGTTCTCAGAGTGGCCTCAACCAGCGAGAAGGCAGACGGCGTCCATTCTATATACAGTCTATGGTTCAGCATTTCTTATACGGCTCAAACTACAGTCAGGCTTAAGTGCTTAAATTGAAAAACCAATAGATGACATCGCTGAGACTACGCTCATGTTTTATACAGTCTATAAAACATGGCGAGCAAACACTTGACAGAGAGGATAAAAAGCATCACATAATGTTGACAGACGCTATGAAATACTGTCAAACTTTTATCAGATGATCAGTAAAGTTTAAAATACCAAAAGAAAAACACACTTTGGTGGGTATGAGAGAGAAATGCACTTTATTTCTCGAGGCAAATGTTTCATTCTCTTCCTGAAAAAGAAGTGGCTGAAGTAGCAAGGGAAGATTACTCTGCCTTTGCTTCATAAAAAATTTAAAGAGATTTTGCTTTTTCAGCAAACTTCTATACAGGGAGAGAAAATCAGGAAGCAAACATGTTACTTGGAATCCAAAGCTAACACACAGAAGCCTTGTTTTCATTTTGTCACATATCCATCTACTCTGGAGAAATCTGGTTCATTGTACAGTCATATAATCTTCCTGTTTGCATCAATCCAACATGTAATAGAAGCATTAATGTCTTGCTGCAGGATTCAGCAGAAAGTCCACTTTTTGACACGTAGTGGATTAATCGACAGACCAGAAAAAATGTTTGCACCTAAAGTTAGCCGCCTGTTAAATGACTGTCCTGCTCATTCTGTCTCCCTTTAAATTAATTAAGGAGCTATTAGCAGCATATTCGGCCCCATCAGAACATCTGCAAGGGGGAGGGTGAAAATCCGAGTGAGGGATGAAGGGAGAGAGGGAAGAAGGAGAAGACTGACAAAATGGGAAATAAAATGAAATTGAATATGGTAATTCAGATAGACGAAAAAGGGAGACAGTGATGGAAAATGTAGCCAAAGAAAGAAGTCAGATTTAGAAAAGACTTGAGGCAGAAAAGAGAAGGTTGAAGAGACAGTTTGAGATGGAAAAGTCTGACAGAGAGCGAAAGAGAGAAGAAGAGATGAGGGAGAAACATGGAGGATGGGTGTTAAACAGATCTGAGTCGTACTGACACATCACTTCTCCCTGTAGCAGGATTTACTCTCAAATTAGGACGTGTGGTTTGTTTGTTGTTTTCTTTTATTCTCTCTTCATGTGTCTCAGCTTACGTGCACATGCGTCACTTTGGACAAGCGTCTGTTTGCATATTGTGTAAATTCACTTTCACCGAAACCTTCTCCAAAAAACGTCTTGGTCCCTTAAGCCGGAGCAGAAAGGAAGCTGAAATTCTTTGGGAGCAGGTGGGAGGATTTGGTCTTTCAGCATGTATTATGTAGATGTGTGCTGTTTTTCATGGTGGGATAATACCGCAGAGGATGCAGCCATTAAAGACAGAGTGGTGAGGGCACTCTGCACAGACTTCCACTCACATCAAACCATCTCTCTTCTTCTTCTTTTTCTGCAACATGAGCTCATACTTGGTGCACACTTTAGAGTCATCATGGCCAATATGTAATAATTCTGATTTAACATGTCTCATGGAATTTATCTGTATCATATTAAGGTGTTTTTACTCAAACCCATAAGAGACAAGGGCAATACAACCTGCAGAACGACCTTTTAGTTCTTGGCTCCACCATGTTTATCACCATGGATAATGATTACTTTTATATTAGGAGCAGTGTTGCATGCTATTTTTTATGTGCAATATAAGCAGTGAACCGGTCATCACCACACCAACACTATCATCAAAAGACCATGTGCTTTTCTCTATTACACATGATTGTATTTTCTTCAAGTTGCATGTTGTACATGTAAAATAGTGAAAATTGTATTTATGTTAGATGATATTATGCGTCGTCCACAGGCATTTCCAAGAGCCAACACAAAAACTCCTTACAGCAGATATGAAGCACTTTATTGTACAAGTATCACATCTGCCATTGATGGGTTGTTGGTTTTGTTTCATATTTGTTTCTGTAGCTCCTAGGATGCAAATACAGCTGCAAATATAAACACATCTTCTGTGGTATCGTTGAAAATCACTGTCGTAGAAAAAATGGTGGGGAAAGAGAGAAAAAAAAACAGAAACACAGAAGCAGAGCTAGAGAAACTGACTTGAAAATGTAAATGTTGTCATTTACAAGTGAGGGGAATTGATTGAAGCACTTTTTGGTTCATAAGGTTTCTCTATTTATCACATCTTTTAAATGTTATTGCATAATGAGTTGGCCAATTACATTTACTTCTGATGATTCTTCAAAGTGTACATCATCTATGTGCAAATAAGGGAAATTCAAGGACCTCCTTGAAATGCATCATGGGTGCATGAATGTATATTCAGATATATCCAGTTCTGGGATATCTCTGAGACTCTAGGCGAGAGTTTTAAGTAGTTCAGTCGCTTGATCCTACTCTGTAGCCTATCACTGACTGTGGCTGTGTGTGTGTGAGACATGTACGTATGTGCACCTTGCATATTAAAAAAAAACAGGCTGAACTCACATTGGCAGCACGCACACACACACACACACACATATAATCGCACACACTTCCACAGTCCAAAATGAAGAGCTTTAGGACTCGGATGAAAGGAAAGAAACAGACCCTGTTTCAAGTGAGGTTCTTTGTGTGCCTATTTGTGTGTACATGTGTGTACGTGCATTTAAGAGAGATTGTGTGTGATGAGTAATTACTGTAATTATGGGATGACTAATATTGAAGGCCTGATTTCTTGTCTTGTCTCCGACTTCTTTTTCTGTCTAGTTTAACATAATCCTCATGACTCTTATTACCTCTTTTTCTGCACTCATTCATTGATCTCTATTCCTCTCTTTTCTCTCCTCCTCCCCTTAAAACATCTACTTTTCTTCTGCATGTCTTTTCACATGTTTCGTTCATGTTAAACTTTTGTATTACTATTGTAAACTATTGTATTAAAAAAAAACTCCTGCTGTCTTCACTCTCTTCTAAGGTTTCTCTCTTTTGTCCTCTGCAGCTCAGCAGCCGTACACCATGTGCTTCAGGGTCAAGTTTTATCCCCATGAGCCGATGAAAATCAAGGAAGAGCTAACAAAGTAAGAGCTTTCAGTCACATTAAGGGCTTTGTGGGTGACCGGGAATAAAAATAATTTAATATCCGTAATAATTTACCGGAAGTAGGTTAAACTTCAAAATAAAAGCATAGTTTTAAAAATAAACTCAAACAAAACAGGAATAATTTTAAAAAAATAGTGGTTTAATGAGGCACTATTTCTTCAAAGAAGTTTCAGTAACACAGCTGATAATGTTGATAGATCATAAATTTTAACATACTTAGAAATAAATGGTGATATGTAAGTTTATTCTGTTTATCTGTAAAATTTATAAACTATATTTCTGAACAAGTTTATTTTGTGGCTTCACTCTTGTCATGCCTTACTTCAGTTTTGATCACGGTGTTATTTCAAATCTATATATATATATATAAACCGTGAATATTTTTTTCCATCCTTTCAGTGGATTGATATGATATTGTGTGTGATCTGGTTGTCCCCTTTTGTCTCTCTTGCTATTCTTAATGAATCACCGTTGATTTGGTGTTTTGACCAAACAAAGGTAGCCTGGTCTGGGTATGAAAAGCATACGGTAGCCTGGTCAAATCTTTATGTACCACTCCAGGCAGACTTCTTCTCTTCATAGGAACCGCACAGTTCTTTCATGGATCTTGTGAAGAAAAAAAAAATTAGTAAAAGAAACATCTTTTTTCCATGGTGATAGGTGTACCAGACAAACACCTGGAACGATTGGCTAACATCACGAGATAGACACAGTATGGTTTGTTTTAGGTACAAAAAAATAACTTGATCAAGATTTAGAGAGTTTAAGATAACGTTTTTATTTACAGGATAGTCTGGGAAGTCCATGTAAACTTAAGAATAACCTCATTACCCCAAAACACTGCTCAAACACACACAGACTCACACACACACACACACACACACACACACAGACACTCACACACACACACACACACACACACACACACACACACACACACACACACACACATGCTGTGGGAGAATGAATGTCTCTCATTGGTCATGTCCTCCAGCCTCAAGAGGGAGAAGAAGAATGAAGATGAGGCGAGGAAGTCAGCCAGAGAGAGAGAGCAGATAGATGTACTGGCAACAATGTGTGTGTAGATGTATGTGTAGGTGTGTTTGTGTTTAGACACTAAGGGGGACTTGTACTGTCAGAAGGGAACAAACACACAAAGTCTCCTTTAAAGGATCGGACAGGATCCAGGAGGAGGTCTTTTTGATTTAAAATCCTACCGTGTGCTTCCTGTTTTGTTTATTTTCATTTTTTTTATTTCGATGTCTTTGTTCATGGAAATAGGATGCTAAAACACGGCTGACCTCGTAAATATTAATAAAACGTAGATTTATGCAGGAAGTCAGAATGTGCTTCCACATAGATCTATGCTTGTAGGACATTTCGGGGGGTGAAATGCGCCACCAGATTATGCTTCCACATAGATATATGCTGGACAGACGTATGTTGGAGAGGTTGATGAGTAATGTCACTGCAGACGACAAAGATGAAGTCGAGAAGTACAGATCCTTTAATACCCCCAACCGAGGATCTACTCCACTTCTGGGCAACGAGAAAGACTGTCACAACGTCCCAGCAGCATATATCTGTGTAGAGACATAATTTGATGGGGGTTTTCCACCTGCTGAAACTTCCTACCATAATATTAATGCTCATTTCTGCGCCACATGTCAAAGCGCTAGCCCAAACAGGGCGATGCAATAGTTTATAACAGTTGGTTAAATTCACTCATTTAGCTGCACTTTGAGACGGGTTTCTGTGCAACATCATCGCAGGTATGAGCGCGCAGCCTTGGGGCAGAAAGCATGACATTTCTTATTTGTTTACTAGCAGAGTCAAAGAAAATGACAAGGAGCTGTTGTGCTGTAAACTGTACAAATCAGCAAAACAAACGATCAGGTGATATTTCGAAAAGAGATTATTTTGTTCAAACTTGTCAGTGGTCTAGAAATAGATGTTTTTGTCTCATGATAAGGTAACAAAAACAGCTTGTTTTTTTTTCATGTTTAATCTTAAAGCTCAGTTGTAAAAATGTTCAACAATAATATGATGTGCTCTGTGATCCAGTTTTGCGCAAACGTCAAGCACACCTTCACAAATTTAACCTGTAATACAGTAGGTGAGGAAAGCTTTCTTTCAAGCTTTAGTAGATAAGAGTAATGGAACTCAGCAGTTTGTTGTTGTTATTATGACAGCTCTATAAATAGAGTATTCATCGATTATATGAGACAAGCGAGCTCATACAACAGAGGAGTAGCAGAATAAAGGCAGACGACGCTTCCTGTGATCTAAGATGAGAAGCATGTAAATTATACTGAATATATTCTAAGTAGAAGATGAGAAGGTCAAGAGCGAGGAACGGGACGAAGAAAATATCGAAAATTAATTAAGTTAAGGTCAGTCCAAGATCATTTTCTTGTCAGCCATTCTACCAAAACCTCAGTTCAACCTCTGACTGGGTCTGTTAGTAAAACTATGAAGCTACAGCAGCAGTTTTGTCGACTCCATCCATTTTTTATGCCCTCTTTCTGCTCCTTCCCCCTCAGTTAAAAAAACAAGTTTGTATTACAAGTAAGTTCAATCAGTGTTTTGTCGACCCTGTTAACTCATCCGTTGCTATGGCAACGCCGGCCCTATTTAGTTCCTGCACCCATGTCACTTCTTGTCTCCCTGGTAACACAAGAAAAATCAGGGTGGGAGCGCCATGCCTTAAGACGTTTCCATGGCAACACAACACCAGTCACTGCTGTATGATTCCCATAGCAACACTCTATAAACACCATATAAACACAGCTGGATTATTATGACGCAAAAAAAATATGCACGTTGAGTATGTTGGAAAAATTTCACCTTAAAAGGTTTTGACATGTTTCATATGAAGGTTAGATCATGTGACTGTATGACAACAGCTCTGTACTTGTTTACAAGTAAAATATGTGGGTTTATTTTTGTATCAGGATGTAGCTGAGAATAATGTTATCACACTATGAATTAAGTGCACACCAATGCAAGTGTGACAACTCTGACTCTGCAGCCCCACACTGCTGCACTGTAGGCCAAAAATATTCAGATCCAGACAAAAATTAAGAAAAATATTTAGCTTGAATGGCATTGTCATTCTGTCTTTATTCAAAGCTAAGTGTGTGTTGTGTTTGTGTGTCCAGGTATCTCTTGTACCTCCAGCTGAAAAGAGACATCTACCATGGTCGCCTCCTCTGCCCCTTTGCTGAAGCTGCATACCTGGGAGCTTGTATCGTACAGGGTGAGCACAATGACAAGCTTGTGTCAGTTTAACATGTCACAGTTAAAATCATTTTTTCTTTTAGCTCTATGGCTTAAATTTAAAGCTTTGCTGCATTGTCACAACATCTAAAAACACACAATCAAACTGACACAATGTTAAGTGTTGATGTAGCAGACTCCTGATACTTTAACAATTATTTTAATGTGTTAATTTTAGTCCCAAACATTAGGTCCATCCTGTTTTACATGTAGGTAAATGATTTTAGACTTAGACTCGTGCTGCATTTGAGTTACCTCGGAAGTCAGATGTCCGAGCTGAAAATGACGTCACACCCAAGTTACTGAAAGTTATTTTAGCACTTGCCTTCTATTGGGACAAGGCAAGCTTATATTCGGACTAGGCAAGCGCTAAAATAACTTCCGTAGATGAAGCCATCTTGTTTCCACCTCTGATTTTGCTTTTTTCCGACTTTGTAACTGAAACGTTGGTAAATTGGGTGTGACGTCATTTTCAGCTCGGACTTCTGACTTCCGAGGTAACTCGAATGCAGCATTAGACCTTGACTTATTGATCCCTATCTCTTACATATCTGAGTGTGTACTTAACAAATTCTCACTCTAAAGCTATTTTATCTTTTGATTTGTGCTGTTAAAGATTTAATTGCTCCTTCTGTGAAACCTAAACTAAACCTGAATAATCCACCCTGATTGTCTGGTCTCTGCCTCATTCTCTAGTTACAGCTCAGACTCGTGTTGTTAACCTGCACTTTAAAACATCTCAACATCTATATACACCTCTGGGAAGGGGGATAATGCAAATTTCTTCCCCCTTCGATGTATTTAGACCTTGAATCACAGTGTAAAGTGACTTGCTTCAGTATGGATTAAGAGTGGAATTAGCAGAGCTTTATCGTATAAATGAACCCTTTTGGTTTACACATGAACCCCTGAACCATGCAGACACTCTCTGATTGGCTCAATTCCCCAGAGAACAGAGTATGACTGGTTGATTTATCTTGACCCAGAGAGTCTCTGCTACGTATCATTGGTCGCTTTGTTTAACAAGGGCAGGACCCACATTGTCAGAGTGTTGATTACAGAACAGGAGAATAGGTTGAGGATTACTTTTTAATTAAACTCAGGCATGTATTTGATTTAACCTTTATTATGCCTGCTAATTAAAAGGGGATTTAAAAGAGAAATTAGCATCTGTTAGGACTTTGTTCTTGATTCAACAGGGGATATATTTATCTATGTAGTTAATGAGTTTATTGTGTCGTGGAAATGATAATTGGCCGAGTTGAAAAAAAATCAGTCTTAAGCTTTTGTTTGAACTTGAACAACAGCAAATATGGGGACAAACACAAAGTTGTTGATTTAGGTGCGAAAGAAACAGCTTGAAACTTTTGGTTACATCCTTAACTTCCCAGTCGCTACAAACTTAAGTTGATAAGTTATAGTTATCTTTTACTAGTATTTATTTTGTTTTATGAAGTTACACCAAAAGCTAGTTAGCTTAGCGTTTAGCATTTACACATGAGGAACAAGCTAGGTTCTATTGTATTATTTCCAAAAGACATAGAAAAACTTGTGACAGACCAAATTCTGGCACCAAGCAGCTGCCAAACAATACAAGGATTTTAGTCAGACAATTTTAGGGTTGCAGTTAGGAAGATTTTGAAGATTTATCCATCTGCTTCCACCCTGCATATTGAGCTACGCTAAAAATGAGCTAAAATAGCTCCACATTTACAATATTGGCAACTGTGTAATATCAATGTGTTCATCTAGCTGTCAACCACATCAGAAATTATATCATTTCGTGAAATTATGAGGCATTGACAATAGTTTCTAGTTTTTGTTAAACCTTTTTTGAGACATTGCCTTTCCGACATCCCCCTCTGTTTGCAGCTGAGCTTGGGGACTACGACCCCGAAGAGCACCCGTCAGACTACATCAGAGACTTCAAGCTGTTCCCAAAACAATCCCTCAAACTGGAGAGGAAGATTATGGAAATACACAAAAATGAGCTCAGGTAAGACATGTTTGCTGGTTTGTTTAATGGGCTTCTTTGTTGTCTGGAGCTGCATTGCTGTTATCAGATAAATGAGGGATTTTGGTGACAGGCTTGGATCCTGAGTCTTTTGATGTGTGTTTTCACGACATGCTGCAGAGAAGGTTTTCCTCCTGCTAGACAATAAATCATTTTGTTTAATTCTGGCAGGAGGCAAAGTTGGATGATTTGCTGTTCAAGACATAGCAGAAGATGTTTTGGTTTGGGCAAATGAAAGAAGAAACTTGACATTATTAGCAGAGGAAGGGGTATTGTCTAGTCAAAGTTTGAGCTCTACCTTACAGTATTAACGGTGTAAACAAAATAAATAAATAACTTAACCCTGACTATATCAAATCAATCTTTTTTGGGGTTTTCTAAACAGAAGAAATGACTTTGGCTTCCTTGCAGCTGCTCAGACATGGTAAACATCTGAAAACCCTTGCAGCTCCTCTCCTCATTGTGGTAGAAATAGTTCAGGTACAGGAATTAAGACTAATGTTACGTTATTGGATTTTTTTTCTGTTTACTTGTATCATTCCTGCAGCTCATGAATGATGGTGTAAGGTTCCTGAGTGTCACACTTACAGCGATTTCAGAACTTCAAAGACAAATTCCTGCAGCACAGTGGCAGATCATGCTGAGTTCCCACTGGTGGTCTGTCAGACAGGATTAACATGTAGATTAATACTGATGGAGACTTCAGGTGGTTTAAAATTAGATGAAGTGGAATTTATGTCCGTGCCTGGCTGTTTATCTTAGCTGTCAAGCAGATCTTTGCTGTGTCTTCACATGGAGACGGTCTGTTTTGCAGCTCTGGTGAAACTATCGCTTTTCCATATATTGCTGTGTGGTGCTATTTAAATTTGAAACTGCTGTCATTCACAAGAAATAAAACATAAACAACATTTTAACCAGATTTATTCATCTGTGAAATTATAAAATTGTTCAGTTATTGACTCACAACACTGTCATTATTTTGTAGTTTTGCGGCAACATCTAACGCAATGAGGACAGATTCAACTGACTACCTCAAACAGACAGACAGGAAGTGACCTATGTCCTCAAGCATGACAAATACACATCCAAATAAAGTTCTGCCTGACACTATGCCTCGAAGGCAACACAATATGAAGCAACTATCTATTACATGTACACTGACATTGTGGCTTTCTCTTATGGCCTGTTACTGTCAGCTGTTCAGTGCGGGTAATATCAGAGTTCAAGGACACTGAGCGGTAGATACGAAAAAATGAGATGATGGTAACACAGTGAATCAGGGTTCAGTCTCAGCCAGCACTGGGCTGCTTGTAAAAACTGGATATAGATCATCTTCAGGTTGTAAGTGTCAATCAGATCTATACAGAGGCATCAAAATTACAGCCTAGTTTCAAATATGAACTATCTGTTGCTCTGTTTATAATCTCCTCTCCTCCTTTGTAGGAGTCAGTGTGCTGCCTCTGCAGAGTTGAACATGCTCCAAAGAGCTCACAGCCTGGAAACATATGGAGTGGACCCTCATCCGTGCAAGGTAATGTCATCGAACACTTACTCACAGCCTGTCTCTGAGGCCTGGTGCTGCAGATCTCTTTCTTCATGTCAGAACAGTTTTTATCCACACCTCAGTATTTCCCATGACTCATTATAGAGGTCATTAAGCTTGTCAGGGTCTCCCTTCTTTAATGTATGACATGCATTTTATTCATGTGCATTAGGTTAACTCAGAGCGTGAATAAGCCTTCATTTTCACTGAAGTCCATTTGTGTTGTCTGGTATTCAATTTTTGAGCATGACTGTAACAAAGTAGTAGAAGTGTTTTTGCATTTGTCCTTCACTTGTATATCAAATAGACAACCATGCACATGATGACTGTACTTTCTGGACTGTAAGTCGCTCCAGAGTATAAGTCCAGCCAAAAAATACACAATGAAGAAAAAAAAAACATATATTATTTGCACCTGAGTATAAGTTGCAAACCCATCCAAACTATGAAAAAAGTGTGATTTATAGTCCGGAAAATACTGTATCTTACTAGAATAGCAAAAATTGTTAAAGGTGCTACACAACTAATGACATATTTCAGTCAGTCGACTCACATTGTGTTGATGAAAACTTAATTTCAACAGCAGGACATATTTTTCTGATTGGCGTCAAGGCTCCAAACCTCATCACTTCTTGTAGATTGACTTTGCATGCAGAAAATGAGAAGGGATAACTTGATATTTTGAATCCCAAATGGTCAGAAAATGTGGGTAGCTGGTGCGGAGGTGAAGGGGCTGAAGGTTTAAACGCAGTATATGGTGCAGGAAAGCAGTGGCACTTGCAAAGCAGAGGCAGAGACTGGAAGTCTTGCGCCTTAAGTAACCTAACCTGGTGGATACTTGTCAGGTGATTGTGAGAATGGTCAGAAGTCGCTTCCAGCAAGTCAATACCATTCATCTTTTCAAAACTTGGAATTTTCTCCTGGTGTTTTTCTTCTAATATTTGACAGAAGGGACATACTAAATCTGATAAAGAAAAGCAATATTCTACAATCTGCTATTCTGTTCAGTCGGCCAAGTCAGACTGCGAAATATGGATCCCATCCCATGTACAGAGCAGTCAGCCACGCAGATTAACCAGATAATTCTGTCTCCTGGAGAGGATCCCCTTTATCTGCTCGGCCCTATCTGCGGGTTTGTTTTTCATTTGGTTTGCTGACTGAAAAGCATTGTGCACCGAGATCTGTGAAAATAATGGAATCAAAAGATGTAAGCAAGTAAGGAAATGTGGGGAGCACAGAGAGATAAAAAAAAGTCCAGAAGGGAGAGGGGAGGAGGTCTGTGGCTCATGAGCAATACCTTCTTGCACAGAACTTGGTACCCAGTACAGCAAATGGGGGTGTGTGACAAAACAGACAGGTGATTATGCTGCAGGTGTCTTTACCGTGGTGATTATTGACAGCCCACTTACCGCCCTGCTGTCAAAACAATTGTACCCTGTGACGCCACATGCTGCTTCTTACCCTGCATATGTGTTTTTGTGTGTTTGCAGGATTTCACAGGCTCCACAGCCTTCCTCGGGTTCACAGCCACGGGTTTTGTTGTCTTCCAGGGAAACAAGAGGATCCATCTCCTCAAATGGTACAAAATTTGTCACAAAGATTGACCCATCAATAATTTCTCTTCACAGCATTTGGAATGAAGCACACAGGGATGTAAACTTCAATCAAGTGTGGTCAATAACTAGAGATGCACCGATCCATTTTTTTCCAATCCAATCCGATACCTGGGCAGAGCATATCGGCCGATATCCAATTCCGATCCAATACTACTTTTAAATGAATAAACTGTATACCTTTCCCTGTAAGAGAAGGCATCAGGCTTGACATTAGCCTTTTAAAAAAAAGGTTACAAATTAACACAGATATAAATTTATTTATTTTGAATAAATTATTTACTAACAATTAACAAATTGCACGTTAGCACACAGCAAAAAGAAGCAAGACTTTTATGTATTAAAAGAAAAATTAATTGCTGGAACAGAACAAAGGTTTGGCATCATTCATCAGATATCCGATCCAGTTAATTTGCCAATATCGGAGTTGATATCTGATCCAAATATCAGATCAGTGCATCCCTATCAATAACTGCAGATAATTGAATTGTTTACCACAAAAACAATTTGGAGTTTAAGTTGCGTGTCTTTAGTAAAAATCAACTGAACCTTTAGTCATAATATGCCAAGTAAAATCAACCTTAACTTGAACTTAAATACTGCACTCGGACAAATATAAGGGTTAAATTTTACCACTGTTATCAAATTATTGAATTTCCCCTCGGGGATAAATAATATTCTTCTTATCTTAAACACAAAAGGTAAAACTTGTTCTTTTTTTAAGTTTTAAATGCCAAGTTCAGTTTCTGTTTCCCCTCTAAAATCCACCAGAATGTCCTCATGATTGAATGTTTTGCAGGAACGATGTGAGCAAGCTGAAGTTTGAGGGGAAAACCTTTTACGTCATCGGGATTCAGAAAGAGGTGAGCACAGTGTGTCTTCCTGCATGCACAGTCCTCTCCAAGGGTAAAAGACTCTAATTTAATGTGTAGTTTCCTCCACGGATGATGAACTGTGATGCCTTGTACTAAACTGCAGCATGCCCGTGGTCTTAACCTTTAACGTTTGTGGAGTTTTGCTATTTTGGAGAAAGAACAAAAGGTCATGACTTTGAAGTAGACGCACAGTAGGACTCTATGTACTGCAATTATTCTCTGTTTCCTTCCTACTTCCACATGTGTAACGGTTACATCAGATGAATGTGCTAAACAGTTTGTCTGTGTAATCCTGTCCACCATCAGACACACTGTATATATATGTGTGTGTCACTGTTTCAGATCTCCTTAACAGGCAGGATTCACTGTAACAGGATGGTGGGTGTGTTACAACTAACCGCCTCGCTCACATTCAGTGTCCACTGTGGCCCAAATATGAGACTCCTTTAACACATCTATGCAAGCACATGTTCATCATGCATAACAGATAAGCTTAATAATAACACATCGATGAAATAGTCACTTGCAATGCAGGTTTCTTGCATTTGGGACCCAGGCTTCATTTGTGCAATCATGTTTGTCATCTAATTTTGAGTTTTGGTAGATTCTGAGCAGCCGTTTTTGTCTTTAGCAAAGACTGTCTTTTTTCCCTATGATGTTCTTCCCAGACAATAACCATAACGTAAAAAAAAGTCTTTACTTCAGCTAAAGCCAAGTTGCTCTTTAATCTACCAATCAGCCAGCCAACCACCCACATAGCTCCTCTTTTCATTTCACAGGCTCAAACTAGCTCTGTCATCTCTGCTTAACCTGTCAGTCTGTCTGCCTATTTGTCTGTTTTGCGGCTCATGAGTGGCTGAGGATGCAGTTTGATCTTTGTGTTTCTGTCTCTTCTCTCTGTGTGTTAACATAGTCATCAATGGTAAGTAAATACAAGTAACGATGGAAGCACAAAACATTGTTGTACCAGAATCCTTAAATTTGATGCCTCTGTCCACAGTCCTGCTCTCACCTCACTTTAAAACTGGGGGACTCTTTATCCATCTCCACTGTTTTGCTATTTGGTTGTTCTGTGTTGTGTGCATCACTGTTTGTCATATTATTTTGTGAAACACTTATTTGCAAGTCAGCTCAAATAGTGTTTGGTTACATTTTCGGTTAATATCTGTTATCTAAATAGCCTCATAAACTGACTAAACTTAAGTTCAATTTAGGGATATCACAAAATAAAGGCCTGTCTTTGTAATTTGGACTATATAGGAATTATTTTGCAATTGTTTATTTTTCTGATCATACAATTTCATTCATTACAAACAACCTATAATGTCTGCTTTCATTTACTTGGGAAGAAGCATATATGAAACAACATGGCAGGTGGAGTTTTATGACCTGCTGTCACATGCAGAGATAAACAGCAACTGCAGCCAGAGGAGGGCAGCATATTGAAACTTCGGTAACACTTTATTTGATGCCTATCTCTATAACGCGTTACAAATATATGTATAATGTGTTATAATCACGTTATAGCACTGTATAGCTATAGTTATAAGCACTCAAATATTATCATAATGCTTTACAGCAATAATCATAACATTATAAAGCGTTTAATCATGACTTACAAAGTCAGGTATTATGGTGTGTTATAACTGTTAACATGTCACTGACAATGCCCACAGAGATGACGCGATGCAACTGTTGTTAACAGTTATAACACATTATTATACCTGACTTTGTGAGTCATGATAAAATGCTTTATAATGTGTTATGATTATTGTTGTAAAGTATTATGATCATTTATGAGTGTTTATAACTATAGTTATACAGTGTTATAACGTGATTATAACACATTATACATATATTTGTGATGCGTTGTAGAGATAGCTGTCAAATAAAGTGTTACCAAAACTTCCAAAACATTTGCCAAAAGTACTCAGGGAGGAGGAAAAAAGTCTTGTTTAGAGAAGATTAATGATAGATAAGAATTTATTATAGTAAGATTATCCCATCAAAGCAGCACTGAAAAATGGAGAGAGCTGCAGCGCTGATTTAAGAATTACCTTTAAGTTTACCAGAGATTATTCAAAACTTGAATGAGAAAGACAATATTACATGCTCAGAGGTGCTTCAGCTCGCAGGGAAAAATAGACAAATGAGGAGTAGTCTGTGTTTTGTGTGTTAGCAGTGATTGTCTTTGCTCACCAAATCTTTGCCTTTCCTATCTTTGTGAATAAAGTTCACATTTTAAAATGTAAAATGAAAAATAAATCTGGCTATCCCAGCCATCAGGAGCAGATAAATACCGGTAATGAGTGTCAGCTAAAAATAAAAAAATCACCATGCTTCCCTCTTTATATTACATATTTTACCAACTACATTACATGACCTTAAAATTTGTTATTTCTTATTTATTCTGTCTTTTGTGCATTTGTGTGTCTGTATACTTTATTTAGATTTAGATCTTTCATTGTATTTCATCCAAATCTAAGTTACGTGTTGATATGTGGTTTGTTATAAGTTGTCCACCATTTGACGGATCACTGCATGACTTCACTTTTCACCCTCACTAATGTTATTTGTCCTGCAACACATGAACTAAACCGTCCCACTTTGACCTGATAGCTATTTTTAAATGGCTTTCTTTCTATTTCACATGCTTCAGATGTCTTTTCAGTGTTAGTTTAATAAATCTGATGGTCGAAATCAAAGTTTTTTTTAATGTTGCACCAGGGGATAGTCGTGGAAAACAAGCCTGTTAATCAAAGAATTCACCATCAAGCTGCTCGTTCTTTCTTTTTAGATACTTTTACCTTTAAATAGTCTGTGTAATAATAATGAATGAGATGATAAATTGCTCACATCACGCTTTCAGAGCACGCTTACATGTCAGCCAAAGTGGGACCAGAAAGAGTTTGTGAATAATAGTTAAACATGCAGCTCAGGTACAATCACACACATGACCACTGCTGCACATGTGTGTAAATCACTACACAAAAGTAACTGATGTGTGACCGTGAGGGGGCTGAGCAATGCTGCTGACTTCAGGAGAGAGAGAGTAAGAGGTTTTTTGACCAGCTAATCTTCCTCTTTCTATATAGATATGACTTCAGGCTAAGTCTGATCGTGGTTGTTAGTGTTACACGATTCATCCCTCCCATGATATTGATCTCTGTGTTTCCTCTCTCTCCCTCACCCTCCTGTAGAGCAACATTGATCTGGTATCTTGTATCACCAGAGACAGAAGTGAAAACTAGACATTTACAGGAATACATCCCCCCTCCTCCTCCTCCATAAAGACAAAAACGTGTGTTCTGCAGGTTACAAGCTCTTTTACTGCTGAACACTGTGGCCAAATCACTATCTGTCTAACATCCTGCTAAGCTTACCACTTTGGGTCTTTGGGTCAGCACTTTGCCCAGCTTCCTCTCATCGTGTTCAGCACTCCTCTTGTCCTTATTCATACTTTTTTCTTCTTCTCTGTTTTAAATCTCGTTTCTCATCCTTTCTGTCGCCCCCTCTCTCTCTCTCTCTCTCTTTGTGTGTCTCTCTGTTTTTGTCCTTTTCTGCAGAAGAAACTGGTGTTGACATTTCACACCTCAACCCCTGCAGCGTGTAAGCACTTATGGAAGTGTGGGGTGGAGAACCAGGCCTTTTACAAGTACGTCAATACGCGAGCACACAGAGGAACTAACACACGCCTCGACATATTAAGCACATATATTCACCTGTCAATGACTCAGCTGACACTGTGCGTCATTTTGACACCCTAGATGGCCCTTTATCTATAAAAACAAGTTGAAATTTGTTTGTAGAATTATTTAAATTTAATAAACTGTTTGTCATTCATGAAGATGAAGCATGAAATGCCACAGAAGTAACACAAAATGTACCCAAGGTGGCACTGGTGGAGTTGATTGCTGCTTGTCTCACATACTGTACATCTAAATGAAATCTATTTTTACAGTTTCTTAGCACTGCTGTCACCCTCTTTTGTCTTTTTTAAATTCAAGCACTCAAAACCTCTCCCTGGAAATTCACTTCCTCTTTGATTTGTAGCACATTATCACCCTCTCACTCTCGTCGCCTGTCTCTCTGTGGCTTTAATCTGCTGCTGTCCTCACTGTGGAGCAGCTGATCGCTCCAAGGCCATAGCTCAGGCTATTGACTGTCTATCGACACTGCTGATGTGTCAAGAATGGAAACAAGCTGAGGGTGGAGGCAAAAGTGACAGAATATAGACTTTTTTTCTCCTAAAGTCAAGGTTGTTGTAGGAACTTGAAGAAAGGCCATGAATGAGCTCAGGTCTCAGTCAAGGTCTCATAAGGATACAAGAAAAGTAATTCATTGTGCATTAAAGTCACACAATAACAGACAAGGAGGTTTCAGACCCATAATCCTTTTCAGCGTGTGGTTCCAGTACAGTTTAAAAAAAAAGAACAGTTCTCTTGTGGTCTGCGCTGAACACTTTTGCTGCGTTCCAGTTACCTTGGAAGTTGGAGCTGGGAATGGCGCCACACGCGAGTTGACAGTGTTCTAGTAAACAAGTTGGAAAACCAAGATGGATGTTTATTGTTAGCCGTTGTTAGCTGTTGTTTACCATTGTCAGTTGTCGTTAGCTGTTGTTAGTTATACCAGTTGTAAACAACACATAACACAGTATTTTACTCTTACAAACACCATAGCACCGTGTTCACAGATAGATGTTGGGTAGTACAACATATACCACATATTTAATTTCACAAAAACAAAACAGAGGTACTAATAAATAATACATTACGAGAGCTTTCACTGTTGTCCTTTACTGTTGATGCACTGCGCTGCCATATTGGATTATGACGTTGTCGTCAAGTCGGGGTTGGTGAGGATCGTCTGACTTTCCGAGTCAGAAATCCGACCTTAGGGGGGCGTTCCAGATGCATTTCTGACTCTGAGCTCGAAAATTCTGACTTCTGAGTACAACTGGAACGCAGCATTTGAGACGATTTGTTCATGTATAGACATCAACAGATGACTTTGTAGCTTTTGGAGGTATCTGCCAAATTTTGGGACTTTTTTTTAAGGGACTAATTTTGGTATATTACAATATACCCAGCGGTCAGTTAGGGGACACCCTTCTTCTCAGTGTGTGATTCTACATTTGTACGTTTTTGTGATGAACCTATTATAAAAAGAGATGATGTGTGATACTCAATAAACTATTCAGTTTATCACTAAGCAAAAATGTTTGAGTTTAGTTAGTTGTGGCCTTGTAAATATAAAAACCTACTGTATATTCAGTGGAATATCACATATGCTGATGTCTCTTGAGGCTTTATAAAATTGTAAAACTGTAATGTAAGCCCTCCATGAACAGAAGCAATGACTAGGGAAAACTGTTGGACACAAACAAATAAAACAAAAGAGGATATTTATAAATTTATACATGTGAAAATGAAGACAACCTGTAAAATAATGGACTTAAATACTGTGGGGGAGTTATGAGTCTACACTGAGGACCTGCAAAGTGTGCAGCGTGGAGAAGATGCAGAATAGGATGAAAAGGACTGTTGGGGGTAAAGAGTGGTCAGGTTTAATGTAGGAGGTGAAGTTTGACACAATAAGAAGGCCATTATGTGCTTCTCAGTGCCTACCCTCCCCCAGACTGTCAATCACTCTGAAGGTCCACTCCTCTCTCTTTATTGCAGCCCTCAGGTTCACACACACTCTCTTTTAAACATAGTTTTCTTTGATTGTGTGATTTTCTTTCGCTTTATTCCGTTTCTGCTTCTCTAAACCTGTTTTCTCTGCAGATTTTGCGCCATATTGCTTTAAGAATCAGTCAAAAAGAAGACGTAGTCATAAAAGCTTCCTGCTAGCCTGTGCCCGTATAATCCTGCATATTGACTTAATGACAGCAGCTCATGTTGCTCTGAGAGGCAGTCGGGGAGGGAGGGGGATGTCATCTGGGATGTCAGACAAGCATCAGAGCAGCTTAATCAAATCAAAGTGAATTGAGTTTGTAAATGGCAGCCAAGCACAGCTTTGAGAAGATACTGCATGTCTCTCTCTCTCTCTCTCTCTCTCTCTCTCTCTCTCTCTTACACACTCACACACATAAACACACACATAAGAGGACAGGGGTGGACCTACACACTTTGAAACATCTTCCTCTTTTGTTTACAAAGAGTCTAATCTGGGCTCTGCAGACCACCTTAAAGAATATTAAAAGTATGTTATAAGAGGAGTGACAGTATCAAACAGAAACGCAGTGGGCCTGTCTTTATTCTGCTGCGTCTTTGTCATGATGACATTTTTTCTTCTCCTCCTCCTCCTCTCTACCTTCTGACAGGTGTGCGAAGTCGAGTCAGATAAAGACAGTATCCAGCAGCAACATCTTCTTCAAAGGCAGCAGGTTCAGATACAGGTGAGACTGTATTCAAGTTAGTTTTCATAAGAGTGGGCAGACTTTGTTATCCTGAGAAAGAAGTGACGGTAAAAGATGAGTAAGGTGAGTTCAAGGAAAGCAGGGGGGGGCGGAAAAAAAAGTTGATCCCATGAAAGAAGGAGATTCAGGAGACGTGCGAATGACAACTAAAGGGAGACACAAAGATATTAAATCATATTTAATCTCACAAAAGATTTTATGCAAATGTACCCACAGTTTACCAGCAGGTCAACTCTTACTTCTACAAGAGATTCTTGACATCAGTAATTTGTGGTAATTTACGACAAAAATTCCCCACAGGAGCTGTTTAATTATAGGGACTGTTGTTTCAGTTTGAGATATTAACACACCCCTTTGAGCAAATGTTTCCTAATTTTCCATCAACACACTGCACAATCTCATCTCGGTGCATCACAGTCTAAATCCAGCTCTGTTCCTGTGATTTACTAACCCTAATATTGGAGGAAAGCCTCTGCATGAATCTGTTATTGAAGCCGTGTATTCCCAGATCCTCTTTTCAGACAAAGCTCTTCACCAGGCTCACTCTTCAGTCTACTACATTTCATCTGTTTGCCAAAGCAGACAGGCTTAAGGGCTCAGCGATGAGTAACGGCATACTGCAGAGTTTGTTCTGAAATATGAGATATGTACATTTGTGCACATGCAAACAGGAGAGAGATTTGTTGCTGACAAACGGAGGGAGTTGTCATGGAGCGGTGCGGATCACATCTTCGTCAGATTTGTGTTGGACCAGCTGATAACTTATCATCACGCTATATTTCAACAAACTGCAGAGCAGCATTTTTCAAGAACACCCTTGAAGCCTACTCCTCCAGATGTTTCATTTCCCTCTGTAATTTACGACCCAACCATCAATCTCAGCAACAATAGACTAATAGGTGGGCTGGTGGAGCCCGCTGGCTTGAAACAGAGCAGTCAGAGTCCAGAAACATCAACTGCCCAACAATCAGAGTAATGGAGCCACCCACCCTGCTGACAGGAACCAGCCTCCTCAGCTGCATGAAACAGCTCGGGCTGTGAGCAACAATTGAGAAAATACATGTTTGTGTTTGGTTCAGTGTTGTATAGTAGAGAAGTAAGTAAGTAGCAATACTTAAGTACAGTACTTGAGTATAATTTTGAAGTATCTGTACTTTACTGGAGGTTTTTTGTGCATGCGACTTTTACTTTTACTTGACTACATTTCTAAAAATCAAAGTTTACTTTTACTCCACTACATTTCACAGAAGCATCTTCGCTACTGCTATTTTTACTTCGTTACTATGACAGTAGGTAGCAAATCAACATTACCTAATGTTGATTTGCATTGCGCTTGATCATCGTCAGGCAGTCACTCAAGCCCGGGCATGTCGGCAGCTGCTTGTAGGTTGTGCAGTTGCTTGCACTCACCTGAATGTCCAGTAGCTGTTTTGATGGTTCTCATGGTGCCCAACTGGTGTCCTAAGTTCTTTGACTGTTGGAGGATGCACTATTGTTTCTCCTGATCAGTGTTGTAATTAGGGGTCCGTCCATCCGTCCATCCCTCCCCTCCTGTTTATTTTTCTAAGCGGTTGCTTGCACGCACCTGAAGTGTGTGCTTATTTGGGCATAAGAGCCTTTGAAAAAAAAAAGGACATACTTATTTATACTTTGTCTTTGACTTTTTACTTTTACTTGGAGTACATTTACTTTGAGTACTTTTTATACTTAAGTAGAGAGAATGTGATATACTTTGATGCGAGTAAAATTCTCATGGGAGACTTTTACTTTGACTGAGTCATTTTCTGGTAGAGTAAATATACTTCAACTCAAGTATATTTGTTTAGTACTTCATACAACACAGGTTTCATTTCTGTCCAAGATCTACCTGTCAAACTAGATGGTGAATTTGAAAATTTGAAACTTTAAACAACCCGTGTCATACATTTTTGTAACTTCTTTCATCAGGCTGTGTTTGAAAATAAAGATTTTGCGGATCTACGTATATAAAGTGCACAAAGGAGGTTATTGTCTTTATGCAAAAGTTATCTTGTGTGTAAAACCTGTGACCCGAAGTAAAGGTGATGATTTTGATCTTATGTGCACCGATTATGCAATGATTTCATGATCATCATTTAATATCTTGTGCTCACAAGAAAACAATCTTGTGCCTATGAGTTCTTATCTTCTGTGCATAAGCAAAATGGACATTTTTATTTCCTTTGTTTGTTTATTCACAAGATATTAACTTGTGAGTTCAAGTTACCAACTCGAACATGAGATAAATGCTGTGTACAGTATGAAAACAACCCCCTTATGGGACTTGTGGGGCTCTGTGGCAGTATTAAAAAGGATGAAAAAATATGCTAATGACATTTTGTTAAACAGTTGCACTCTTCTGTCCGTGTACTAATTATGTGTTTCTCACTGTTAAAGTGGAAGAGTAGCAAAGGAGGTGGTAGAGGCCAGCTCCAAGATTCAGAGAGAGCCACCAGAGGTGCGCAGGTAAGAAAATGACAAATCACCTGCACTTGTTCAAAAAGCTGCTGCCTGTTCCTTCTTTGCATTAATGAACCCTTCAAACGAGCAGTCTTACATGAAATTACAAAACCAAATGAACAATTTGTGGAGCTGAGAATGTGAAAGAGAGCTTAACCTAAAATCATATGAATAAACAACACGCTGACATGAGAAAGCACTCAGATAGTTAATGTTTGTGTTTTCAGAGCTCAGTTTGGTCAGAGTCGAAGCTTTAACTCTCTGAGCCATAAAAACCTCATCATGAACATGGAGCCGCTTGTACCTGCTCTGCCCTCCACCAACGAGTACGAGGAGACAGCCACAGACAACGGTAGGATGTTACTTAAGACACACACACACACACACACTCTTCTGCCCTTCTGTCACAGGCCCCCCTGGGATGTCACATGGGGTCTCCCTTGTGTGCAAAGAAGCTCATGTACAGGCGTCAGACCGAAAGCTTTAATTGAGCAGCTGATGCTCCCATTCCTCCATCACACTTGTCCCCCTGGAGACATCAAACCCAGTACGCTAAAAATACCCCTCCCATGATCCTCCCTGAGTTTACCACCACGCCTGTGTGTTTGTATCTGTCTTTTTCTGTCTTTTTGTGTGTTTAATCAAAAAACAGACCCATCTTTTGCTTTTACGATGGAGTGGTCAATGAAAAGCAACTTGTTCTGCTCAATCAATTCAATCTGTTTACATTCCTGCAGGCTTCTGTGTTTAAAAGAGTGTTTAAAAAATATAAAACGTGCTTGAATTTTTCTTCTTATCATGTCACTATTACGTTGTTCTCTGAGATAGTGTTTCCCAGGATCATTCAAAATTAAAACGGTGCGTGTATTTATAGCAGCGAGGTGTAAATGAGGGTGATCCATCAGCTGGCCTGTCGACACCTGGCTCAGAGTTGGTCTTAGATTATTTCTTGTCCTCATGGGAGAGATAAAGAGAGCAGCGGAGTTACATTATCAAGCAGATCAGCACTGTCCTGGAGAACCCAGTGAAGCAGAGGCTGAGTACTGTGGTACAGTGAGGCTTTTCTCCAAGAATGCAACACAGCGGCGTTCATTGTTTTCTCTGACGGCATCAATTCAGTATTGTTTCCTGTTACAATTTCTCTGTCTAGTTATCTCCAGCACTCAGTATCACAATATGTTAAAAAAAACTGTTTAGTCATTTCATAAAGGAAAAGCAGATAGTAGGGGAGACCGGGGCTTGTTGTCACATGGGTAAGTTGTCACATTGCAATTATTTTTGCCACCAGAGGGCGCAACTAAAATCTGGAAAACTAGTTTTCTTGCTTTACACGGTCAGTAGTCGTGTTCTGTCTGAGAAGAGAAGAGCACATTGTGAGCTGAGATGAGCGCCAATTAACCATTTCGCATGAACCAAAGTAAAAAAAAATTAACTGTTATATATTTTAAAATAAGCTTCTTCCAGATAAAAATCCTAGCAGTGATATATGTGGAGTTGTTAGAGGAGAGATTAAGGCATCCTGTTATACCTCAGTCATTGTTCTGTTTTAAGCTAACTTTGAACTAGAGCTAGAATTAGCAAACATGGTAGTATGGGGCAACATGTCTCAGTCATTTTGAGGTTAGTTGTCACATGTTTGAAAGGGATTAAATTAACATAGAGAGTCTGCTCATCAGCAGTTGTCATGATGAAATTTTGACTTTAGTTTCACAGAGAAAAGAGTGGTTTAAAGGAGAGGAGAAAGCCACAAGACGTGGTCAGGAATTACAAAAGTAAAACAGAACATGGCAGTGCAGTACCTGACATGATGCTGAGGGCAGTCAGACAGGTGACCCTCGTTAATAAATCAATCTGGACTACAATAAAGGACTTTAATGTCGACTATCATACCTTAGCTCAGTACTGCAAAACATTCACCCCAGCTGAAATACAGAGTCAGACAGATCTCCAAACTCCAGAGCATGTTGCATAATATTTTGTGTTAATGTTTGTTTAATGATTATGATCAATGAGTTTTTCTCGCTCAATGATAAACGTTTTCTGTGTCTGACTTTGATGTTCACTTTCATGTAAAAATAAAATGAGAACAGCGATAATTTGTCCTTGTTTATCAGCTGCAAAATCCATCTTGCCCCACATGATGAAACAACTTACCCAAAGGTGGGGCAACATATCACATGTTCACACTCTCTATTTGATTGCTTATAACTCTGCACTGACACAAGATATAAAAATGACATGAATATAAAATATATACCTGAGACTTGGGCTTCCATCATGTTTATATATGATGTATAAATTACAAGACATATATAAGAGTGTAAAAAGTGTGACAACGAGCCCGGTCTCCCCTACATTTCAATACTGAAGATGATGATATTAATATTTTTATAAAACAAATCCAGTTCCATAGTTTTGGCAGCTAAGCGAGGAGATTTAAATGTGTAAATCCAAGTAAAATGACCAAACTGAGGGTCACATGATCACCTCATCTAACCTGAGCCCATAATATCCCCACATCTGTCCATAATACTGACCTGCTGCTGAGGTTTTTAATCTTTTTATGCTTATCCCATCTATTTAATTATTCCACACCCCACAGGAACCTTTTCCTTTAACAGAGTCAAGCCCCTCCTCTTTGGACACCTTACTACTCTCCATCTTCTCACCCTCTGTCCTTCCTTACTTCCTTCACCCCGCACAGTAACCTGAACAATTCTCTTAAGACCTTCACACGTGTACAGCACAATCATGCTGTTGAGCTATCACTCTTTCTGTGCTGTTGATTTACGCTTCTCTCTTAACGCCTTTCCTGACAGAATTTATTGTCATCCCTCCTCGCTTTCTCTACCTCTCCTTAACTGTCTGTCTTTCACTCGTCCCCTCCCCTCATCCCATTAAGAGGGAAATCAATTCTTCTTGGCTCAGGGTCAAAGAGCTGCAGCATTAAGCATCTCGTCTGTCTCAGTTGGTTAGTTTGGGAGGGGCAGGAGGTGCTCATCGAATCAAAGGCCTCATGCGCCACAAAGAGGATGGAGGCTGAGTAATGACGGCCTGTTTCTTACCATAGCTCCTCACACTGTGGTAAGAAACACTCACTGCAAAAGCCGACATGTTGCCAAAGCATTTTTAAACTTATTTATGGATTAAAAAATCTGGCCCTGAATCTTCTGGTGTCCCTGCTTTTGTAACTGAAGTGATTTGAACACCTCGAGTTTATATTAATGTGGACGCCGCACCTCCATGCTCCTCCCATTCTTGGATGTGATGTGAAGCCAAACCACCGCCTTGATGAGAGCTGGCATGGAGCCCTGTGACGAACATCAGAAACAAAAGAAAACACTCATAGATATAATATCAAACATACACATATCAAACGAGAAAAGTTCCTGAAATTTGCTCCTACGCCTCTGAAAAGGAGCAGAAATTGGTCAGGTGCGTCAAGACTAAAATACAAGCAGGCTGCTGGCGGGATTATTCGGTCATTTAATAGCCGGTATCACTTTGTGTTTTCACAACTGAGAGCCTCGTCATGAATGCCAGCCCATATTAGTAATTAGCATCTAATGTGTACGATGACAGGTCATTCGGTTCATTTGAACAGTCACTGGAAACTGCTGTGAAGACTCTGGGATAAAGTGTCCTCGGGATGCTCCAGGATCCCTGTCTAAATTCAGAGCACTAATCTGAGCCATGAGAGGAAGAACAGAGGGCTGACCCAAGGTCGGTGGTGACCTTGTTCTGTTTGCACAGCCTGCTCCCCTCTTATCTCCCCAATCCCCCCCTCTCTAATACACACACACAGAAACCCTTATTCATACACCCGACTCGGGATGTTTTAAGGGCTTCAGATTTCATATTCATGCATCACATTAGAGGCATGATGCACACTCCTGACATTTGGCACCACAACAAATGAGACGCCGTGAGTCATGTAGCAAGTCCTCTGTTTTTCCTCAAGTCAGCTGCTTTAAATTTCAATTTCTATTCATGCCAGAGTGCCAGGACTTGTTTGTCTTTCATGACAAATCAAGATGTGTTTGAATAAATGGATTGGTGTTTGTCTGAGTTGGTCAGTGTCAAAAACAAACAGAGTGAAACAGATAAAAGCATCTTAAAGGAGGGGAAGGCGGAGATAAAGTGCGACTTGCAGACAGGAACAGAAAGTGATCCTCATCTCATCCAGGGTCAGGCCTGTCCCCCTGTAATCAGAGTTAGATTAGCTGCCCCTCTGCCATCAGGACCACCTGGTTATATTTAGAAACTGCAGCTTTGGGCCTGATCCTTCTCTAATGCCCCTCTACTCTTTGTTAACATCGCTGACATTCACTGGAGGGCCCGCCATGTCTGTATATCAGTGAGAGAGTGTGTGTCTGGAGCCTGTCACTCACCATCTCTCCCTGTGTGTGTGTCCGTGCATGTGTGTGTGTTTCATACCCATCACAGCCTCTGAACTCAGTTGGCAGCCCGGTCAGACTGGGTGTTGGGGTCTTGCCGCAGACAGCTGGGTTGGAGGTTTGTAATCGCGCTGAGAGATGGAGGTTCTCGAGCACAGAAGCAGCAGTGATGTTGGAAGTGGCCTCATGCAAAGCAGTTTGGACTTTGGAGTCAGCAACGAATCCACAATAGGTAGTTCAGGGTTACTCGGGCTGCAGGGCGAGGGGATGGAGGAGGAACAGGCCGGGCCTCTTGAGGTTTTCCACCCAGGAGAGTCTCCAGATGAGCGAGAGTCATCAATTGTAGTAGCCGAGGCCTTGCGGTGCCAAGTGAAGATCACAACCCGGCGCAGTCTTCATCTGCGTATAGCCAATCACACAGCCCGGGATGTTTATGTACGGCTGGTGGGACATGGGGGTCGCATCGCTGAGATCAGTGCTGGACTTCAGGCGAAGACGTTGGAACAGAGTAAGACAAGTTTGCAGAGACAGAAATACACTCAGAGTAGAATAATTAAGGTTTAATGAGGTGAATCTTTTGTTTTGCAGTTTTCATGTTAGTTGGTTTTAACAAACTGTATAACTCTGCAAAAGAAAAGAAAAAAAAACAGAAAACGTGAGCACAGCTTTGTGTCTGTTTTTAGAGTGGTGCAGCTTCAAACGAGAATCCAAATATGAAGGGGCGAAGTGGGCATTACATGTCTGGGATACTTTGGCAAAGTTGTGGGGTTACCGTTTGTTGTGGCAACCATGTGCTGAAAACTGTCAGTGTAATTTGTCCAACACCCTGAGACTCTCAAGAGACCTCTTTACTGTCTCTGTGTGTGAGAGAGAGACAGGGAGGGGAAAAGAGAGAGAGAGAGAGAGAGAGAGAGGGAGGGGGGTGTGCTGTATGTTCATCTAATGTTTGATTGAATGACTCAAGATATTACAGTAACACTTTATTTGACACCTATCTCTATATCGCACTATAAATATATTTATAATGCGATATAATCACGTTATAACACTGTAAAACTATAGTTATAAACACTCATAAATGATCATAATACTTTATAGCAATAATCATAACACATTATAAAACATTTTATCATGATTTACAAGGACAGGTATTATAATGTGTTATAACTGTTAACACTTGCTTTGCATTATCTATGTGGGCATTGTGATAGAGTTGTTAACAGTTATAACACATTATAATACCTGACCTTTATAAGTCATGATAAAATGCTTTATAATGTGTTATGATTATGGTTATAAACCATTATGATCACTTATGAGAGTTTATAACTATAGTTATACAGTGCTATAACATGATTATAACACATTATACTATATTTATAATGCGTTGTAAAAATAGGCTTCAAATAAATTGTTACCAAGAGCTTTATTTTAAGACAATACGTCAACAGGAAAAAGTTAGCACTGGAGGCATTTTTTAATACTCAGATGGTCAATTTTTGAATGAGACCTTTTTTTTATCTGGAGCAACAGCAGAAGAGAGCCGCCACAACACCAAATAATAGACTTGATCATTTGTATCTCTGCTTTTCAAACTCTGTCTTAACGTTGTTACTCCATCTTTCAACTTCCAAACCAACCTATTCATCGTGATTTAAAACCGTCTGTTTAAGATGTCGACATAAGGATGTGGTGTCACTACAGTTCTCACTTTGTAATTCTCCTCATGTTGCTGGAGCTCATCAAACTCAAGTGCCCTTGACCTGAACCTGAATCCTCATCAGGTTACAAAGGATGCTTTACAGCTGATCCCATTCTCTCACTTGAAACCGTGAAGGAGGGGATAAGAGTTATTCTATCACAGTAAGAGGAGTGCACAAGAGGACAAAAGCTATCACTCTTTGAATGGGTCGCAGAGTTCAAGTTTGCTCAAATGGAGATAGTTATTTTTTTACTGTACAATAAGTTATCCCTCAAGTTTCAATCCAACTTTGACCAAGTTGACCAAGGAAATTTGGCTTGTTGTTCAGTTTACTCAAAGGAAGAGCTCCTTTCCTGTTTGAAAGTTGAGTTGAATCCAAAAATATATCCTGACGGTATTTTGGTTACCCGATGAGGTTGCAAGAAGACAAATAGGTCTGTCAACACCAGCATAACTTTGTGTATGAGCGTGTGTATGTGTGGGTGTCGAAGGCGCATGAAAGCTTTTCAAGAATCTGGCACCTTGTGGTGTGAATCACTTCATCTGAGGAGAGACATGTCTCTAAACTAACAAGAAAGACGTCAGACTGGGTTTGACAAGCGAAAACAGCAGAGAAAGTGAGTTTAATGATGAACCTACAAATTCTCACAGCTGACTCTAAAATTTAAATAACACATTTTTTTACGAAATAGCCTTTATTAGTAATAATGTCAAGTTTGTTTACAGCAAGAAATGGACAGCTTACATTACCAATTAGTAAGCTAAAGTTATGTTCAGTAGAGAACAAGCTTAAGAAGTTTGAAGCATCCAAAATAACCTTTCAAATGACCTCTTATTGGCACAGCTGTTTCTCTCTGTAGAGTTTCTTTTATAGCGATATAAAAGTGAGACCATCATAAAGCTCCATGACTCATAGCAACCTTTTTTTATTATTATTCCTTTTATAAGTCTTCCGTGACAAATAAAGTTTGGTTTATTTTTCTTTATCAAAAAAAATCCATCTAGTGCTTTAAAAGTTGTTTATTAGGTTTGTAAGCACTGAAAACACTGATCTGGTTTTCCTCTGTATCCCTTAAATCCTATTTTTTTCTAAACTATCTTTTCAGCTTTGGAGTCGTAATATTTCCTGTCGACGCACCTACACTCACTCAAGCTCCCTTTGTGTTCATTTTTGGAGACATACAGGTTTAAAAAACGGGGAAACTTAAAGCATAAATGTTGAATAAGCTAACATCTGTTCATTTAGAAAAATATGTGTTCCCTGAACTTAACACAGAAAGAGAACCAAACCACATGCAGTTGAAAAAGGCTAGTTTTTTTTAAATATAAGCAGACACACATGCACAGTGGAATTTTTCAAACTCAACTTAGGAGCCCCAGCTGACCTCTGACCCCCTTTGGACTGTATATAACTTTGATTCAGTCAGCACTCTCACTGAACCGTGAAGGTGGAGTGAAACTGATCCAAGCAGAGATTTGTTGAGAGGGATGGAAAAACCCTGGCACACTCACCCACAGAAAAGGTTCCTCCGTGATCCTCCCCGATTCCACAGTGTCAGTGTATGCGAGTTCTCGGTTTCGTGCATTAACACGTGTTCAAATCCAGCTGTTTTTGTTCCTGGGTTGCTTTCATCCACAGGGGCAGATGTAGCTGTGGTAGCACTCAGTCACCCTCGATGCCCCCGTGGTCACTTGTGTTAGTGTGTTAGCTTACTGGCCAACTTTTTGCTCTTTAGCCCAGCTGGGATTCAGGCTGGCATGTGCTCTCTACTCCAATATGACACATGTGTCACCAACATTTTACAGGAGACCTTAAAAGCATGAAAATAATCCAAGTTGTTTTTCTTTTCCCTCACTGAACAGTTCAGCCTTGTATTTAGGGAGCAGATTTGTACCGTGAGGTTAGTTATAATCGATTCAGGCAACAACTAGCCAAGCCTGATGCAATGTTTCAGCAAAGCTACATTCAGATCTGCCTTTTGTTTCCTGCTCATTTTCCTCTACCTCCATGGGTTTTTAGTCGGTGCCCCTTTTTCCAACCGTTGCCTTTTTGCTGACTCTGTTGCCATGGCAGCTGTCACCGCTCACCCCTCAGGTTTTCCTCTTACATCCTTTGCGTCTTTAAATTTTTCTCTTCTCATTTTTGAATCAGTCGGCAAGGTAACTGATTAATCAGCTTGGCCTTCAGTTTCTGTGTGCGTGTCCCTTTGAGTAATGGATCAAAATATCGCAACCTTTCTTTCCAAGCCGCCTTGTGCCAGAACTCGTGGTTACGTAACATCTCAAATCTTTAAACGTCCCATTTTGTTGTCGCCTCATGAATAATAAAAAGTGCAGCCGAGGTTTGACTCTTAAACTCATGTACTTCAAGATACAAGTAAAAGTGCGTGCGTGCGTGCGTGCGTGCGTGCGTGCGTGCGTGCGTGCGTGCGTGCGTGCGTGCGTGCGTGCGTGTAGAGTCTGGATTAGAGAGGTGTTGACTCGCTTGGTCATTCATCACTGCACTCGTACTACCCTACTAATCCACTGCAGAAAAACAGCTGAACCTGTTTTCAACTTACACACACACTTACACAGGCGTTCATTTTCAGATTCATCATGTGACCTGAAGCATTGTTGATATCTGACAAACTCATCATTAAAGTCAACACCTCAGAGTACACACACACACACACACACACACGCACACACACACACAAATGTTCAGTTGTCAGGCTGTGTAACATCTGCTGGACTCGCTGCTACACTGCATTTCTGTTATTGTTTTGTTTCTCTTAGAGTAAATTTAGATCAGCCTGATCTGACAGAATGATGTTAAAACTGTGTCATGAAGTTCACCAACATCTTGACTGTCCTCAGAGATATTCTTCCCCGCCAGCATCAGTAGAACTTATGCAACAAGACTCTGACACAAACTTGTATCAAGCTAATAACTCGGTTTAAATATGCAAACACTTGGTGTGAACAAACCGTAGAATCGCTTCCATTTGTTAAGGATTAAAGTGGCACCCATTGAGCAACATTAGGTTGCATATTTTTCTGGTTCTGGCATTAGATTCCCTTTTCTTTGGAAACACACGAATGCCATCATGTGGCCAAAGTCCTAAACTGCAGCACGTCTAATGACAGCCTGGAGAAGCGTTTTAGGCCCAGCAGCATAAAAATAACTGTCTTGTGTGCGTTTGCGAACAAAGACATTAGGGAACCTCAAAAAAAAATTTAAAATACTGACAACAACAATGTTTTTACGGGGGAAATTACAGGAGCTTCACCAGACTTAGTGAAATGTGTTTTTTGCTGAATCCCTAAAGTCTTGTTTATCTGGAAATTGGCAGTAATGACAAAAATTTAAAGTTAAATCCCCTTCTTTGTCTAAAATTGTGACGTTTTTAAATAGACAAAAGAAAACAGGTTGGCTTTCTTTCAAATTTTTTTGAAAATGACAGAAACTACACATGATTAACTCTGTTACATTGTGCATTTAAAATGTACGGTGCAAAAAACGTACTTATCTTGCTTTCACACTTTTAATCAGATGTTTCTCTTGCTTTTTTACCAATGACCTGTTTTTATATTCCTTTACTGTGATATTTCTTTGCTTTTAAGATGTAGCCCGTTGAGGTCTCTTGACGTAAAGGGGACTACAAATAAAGTGTATTATTATTATAATTATTACCAGTGAATGTGTATAGAGAAATACGGTAGTAATCAGTAGTGTCCTGCACATGAAGTTTGAGTGAAAAAAAAACACTGTGCCAATTGATGGCCAAATGTTTCCAAAACCAAAAAGCTCATCTGTCTCACTGGTTTTAAGGACGCCACATGATTGTATTTCCCCTCTTAGTGCAGGTCCTTTAGATTCCCTCAAATTAATGAAGTTTCCTGATTAAAAACAAAGTGATCTTACAGAGAACAATCTTTGTTTCCCCTCACCAGGTGTTGTTGCTGTGAAGGACTCTGTTGCCCTGTCTCCTCTCAAATCTTCAGCTGCACCCACAGACACAGAGCATCAAAACACTGACGGGGGAAACTCCGCTTCAGGCAATGACCTGCAGCCCTCCCGGGTTTCCATGGAAACCTCGAATCTCCGACCTCACACGCCCAAAGCTGAAGATGAAACAGAAGAAGACAATGAAGGCAGCGGCCCGCTCACCATTTCTGAGCTTGTGTACAGGTCAGTATTAGAGGTGTATGAATAAGTGAATAAATGATTGAATGAATGAGGCAAAAATTCTTACTGTTTGATTTCATACTAAACTTCATACCTAGATTATCTCTGTCTATTAAAAGTCAAACAAATCTTTAGATTTCTCACAAGTTGACCACGTACACTGCAAAAAAGGAATTTCAAGAAAGGAAAACAGCCTCATATTAAGGAAATAAGTCTTATTTTTTGTACAAAAAGAATATTAATCTTGTCAAGCATGTTTGGCATGATAAAATTATCTAATTTTAAGAGAAAATGGCTAACTTTTTCTTGATAAGATATTCCAGCTAATTTTGAGATAGAATAAACCAGAAATAGAGCAGAAAAATGTTTTACAATAAGATCCAGTGGAGCAACAAGATCATTCGTCTCATTTTAAGAGTAAGACATATGTACAACTTCTCAATTTAAGAATGCCACGAAACAAGAACAGTTGATATTTTTATTAAGATTTCCATTGCAGGTCATCTGAACCTGACAGAATCTGCTGCCTCCTACATTATCTGACATATGAAGATGTCAGTAGGCTAGTCTGTGAAACAGACAACATAATACAGTGACCAGATGAAAACTGCAACACAACAAAGAACAACAAAGAACATGTTTGCTTTCCACATGCTTGCTTGTGGAGTAAAAAATATATTTAATGAGAATGTTTTGGTTTCTTGATTTAAGACAACATCACTTAAATTTGCTTTGCTGTTTTAAGAAATTATGTCTTATTTGAATGACTGTCATGCTCATTAATAATCCTAGATTCAAGTTCATTTATTCAAGGGACTAAAATTCTAATTGAAAGTAACTTCATCTTCATTTTTCATCGCTTGCTGTAGAAAAAATTAGATTAATATAAGATTTTCTGTCTAGTTTTAAGTTTCCTTTGAGTCTGTCAGGGCCAAGAAATTTGTTCTTATTTTGAGAATTCTTGTCAAGCAAAAAAAACTTACCCCATTGGCAGATTTTTTTGCTTGATACGAGATTATTTGATTGAATATAAGAATACTTTGCTTTTTTCTGGTAGGACTGTTTTTGCAGTGTATCATTGATCCATGCTTACCTCGTTACATTTGAACATGAGTTAAAACATTTGTCATAATTATATATATTTAGAGTTTTGTCCAGCTGATGTGATGTTTTCTGTTGTTGTTTTATTGTTTCCCTCTCCCCTTCAGCCCCTGTGCCAGCATGCTACCCACCCCGGTGGAGGACAGTGATGGAGGTGTGGACCTCCTCTTCTCCTCCCCTGTGCAGAGCCCTGCCCGGCTGCTAAGGGAGCTCCACGCCGACCCCGACATCCAGGCCCAGCTGGAGGCTGAGCGGGAGAGAGACCGAGCCTACGAACGTACTCGGCTAGCAGCGAGAAGCAGAATGAGTGGCGTCCTGAGCAGCAGCCTGCGCCTGCTGTCGTCCAATGAGAGAGTCAACACGTGCGTGCTCGGCGTGGCCCGCTTCGTTGCTGTGGTAATGGGCGTCCTGCTGGTCACTGTGCCCACGCTGCTGCTGCTGTTGGAGTCGGACATTGATGTGTCGTTTCTCCACGAGATCCGCCAGACACCAGAATTTGAGCAGTTTCACTACGAGTATTACTGCCCGCTGCGGCGCTGGATCCTGTGCAGGATCAGCATGGCCATGGAGAACCTGTGGTCAGACTGAGGAGAGAGAGAGAGAGAGAGAAGTCACTGCAGGGGAAACAAAAACAGCCAAATATTTGTCTTACCATGTAATTCTTTTCTTTTACTCAGTCTTAACAGCAGGTGAGACTGTCTGCCGATGAGATGAGACAACTTTAAAGCAAACAATTTGGACTTTACAAAATAAAAAAAGGGAGAGGTTATCAGGGTTTATTCGATTGAATTACCTTGACACAAATACGCTTGTTTCACCTCTTTGGCAGCACGATTTACTGTCTTTTTAAAAACAAGAGACAGGAAAAAATCATAAATGAATAAAAGGAACCTATTATCTGTTAAGATAAACATTAATGGCCCTAATGAACTCAAGAGAAAGGCAAAAAATACTGCAAACCTGTTGAAGGGGAGAGTTTGTGGTTAAGACGGATGAGCAAAGCGAGGTAGTCAATGTCACAAAAAAAGATCTGGAAAGTAACAACGAGCAGTTGGTTTGGTTTGAAGTAAGTTATTTTTATTTTTTGGTTGTTCACTCCTGATGCTGACGAGCTGATGCAATGACTCTGTGGTTACAAAGAAAAAACATCACAAACGGCTCTGAATGAGCTCGCCCACAGAGCAGAGCGCCTAATTGGTCACAGAACCTGTCAGTCATGACGGAGTGAGAAGGATCAGAGAGAGATATAGGGATTGATTTGACACTGAACGCAAGTATAGCCAGAGATAGAGATATATATATATTTAAAACACAAAGGAGAAAATTGATAATTAATACCAATCTTAAAGATGTTGTTTTTAATGTTTTGTACATTTTTATGTGATCCAAATCTTTCAGGAATTTTTCAGTCAGAGGATCTACTTTGAGCTTATTTTCAAATTAAGAGTTTACAAAAGACAACGAAAAAAAAGCAAATTTATTGATGTTTATTGGGTCATGGGTGTTAATACATTTAAGCTATTTTTTGAGACTACCGTCAGCATTTGTTGACATGGTGGTACCCTGGGTTTTTCCTACAGAGGCTATAGCACAAATCTTTTACACAGACCACAGATTACAACTGTTTCAGATTATGTGATGTCATTTTAGGATAAAGGAGGACGGTAGGAGGTAAACTTTAGTCTGTTCGTGATGAGGAAATGTGAGTTTTGTTGAGCTTTAGGATTTTTTTTCTGCTCACCCACTAAGAGTGTAACTTTCTGTGTGTTTTAAGACTTTTACACACTGAAGTTCAAAATGCTAAAAAGCAGATAGTGTAGTATTCTAGTATCAGATAACCCGATCTACAGCTGTGTGTAATCTAGCTATTTCGCTGGCACAAAATGGAATAAGTGATGCTTTTAATGGCAATCGCTCATACAGGTTGTTTTCTGATAAAGGAAACTTAGACGGTAAAGTTGACAGGGCAGGAGTGAAGTTGCAGGTAAACTTAACTTTCAAAAGCAGATCTTCGTTTTAGTCACAAAACCAAGCTAGGGATGGTTTTAGCCATTGCTGAGGTACCACCCCGGTCAGCATCTCATTCAGATTTGTAAAACAGTTTCTGACCTTTTCACAGAAAACATTGCTGTGGTTTCCCATTTTAGAGTAAGGAAATAGACTTGGATGAGGTTTTAAAAAAACGTAGTCTGACAAATTAGGTTTTGATTTGAAAAAATATAAAGCTGTGTTCATGGACTGTCACTGCTGATGTGGTTGGGAATTCCCAAAAGATCTACAGCCCTGGAATAAGAGACAAAAAATGCAAAGCTTTAAAGTATGATATGCTGCATTTCTGTAAAGCCATTATTTAATTTAAGGAAGTGCAGAGAAACACATAAAAAACACCAGTAACATGTCAGAGAGTGAGACAGGAAGTTGGTAAATTAGGCTACGTTCACACTGCAGGTTATGATGCACAATTCAGATTTTTTTATTAAATCCGATCTTTTTGTGCTTTTCGTTCACATTACAACAACGAATGCGGCATCTAATGTGAACGGTATGCGTCCATAAAGTGACCCGCCTGCGCACAAAGCACAAATTGCTTTCCGCGCTTGTTTTTGTTGTCGAACAATGGTGACGTTTGCCGCATATTGATGACATATAGGTCGGATGAACGCGACCTGAGCGTCCACACTGCAGTCACATCGGATATATATCCGATTTATATCCACATACAAAAGAGGCCTGGGTCGGATTTGAAAAAATCAGAATTGAACTGTTCACACTTGCATGAAAAAATCTGATATGTGTCACATATGGTTAAGAAATCGGAATTGACCTGCAGTGTGAACAAAGCCTTAGTCGTGTTTCATGAGAAGCAGGGTTTGTTAACCAACATTAACTCCCAAGATGCTGCCCCTCATTTTGATTTCCATAAATTGCACCTGTTATTTTTTCAATGAGAGGCACATAGCTGAAGATGTTTCTCACAGGAAAGTGATTTGAAATCTATTTGGTACTGAAATTGGAATAAGATAACGCTGCACAGGGAGTTGATTTCTTTCAATGTGTGCTGCTCTTTGTAACGCTCACAGTTTATGTATTCGACAGTACACAAACATGAGGTTACAGTTGTTCAACCTCTGACTTATAAGGGCCTATGTCCACTAAGTGCATTTTTTCTTTGCCCTGGTAGCACCAATTAAAAACCAGTTCAGCCTTTTTAATCTGAAAATGTCCTCCAAGTCAACGTTCTCGTGTAAAGAGAGGCACAAAATCCCGGTCTAGAATTTTCTGCTAATGCAGTGACAGAATTTTTACCAATAGTTTTGTCAAATTTCGTGAAATAAAAGCAAATATGAAGCAAACAGGACATTTTAAAACGGAATTGACAGTCACTAAGAAGTGGAAGTGCTGTGAGGCATCTGTGAATACCAGTTTGAAATTAAGGCAAGCTGCCCACACAAAGACTTTCATGAGTGGACACAGGCCCTAACTGAACCAATCGGCATGCATAGGACTGTGTCATCTCTTTTGGAAACTCCCAGCCATCACAGCGTAACAGTTCATCCTGCAGACAGTGCCTGAAAATGTAAATGTAGCCTCAGTTGTAGTAGAGTGCCTCTGAAAGAAAAGAAGAAAAGTAATCAGAAATGGATTCAGATGTTTATGGTTTATTAATCTGTTTCAAATTTAGCTGGATCTAGGTCAACTTCTCAGGAAAGGGCATTATTAACAGTTTATGTTCAAAATAAAAATATGTGTCTAAAATTGTATGTATAAGAAAACATGCATCTAATCACATGAAGTTTATCCATAACATTCATACAAGGCTTGCAATTATGAAGCACTGTATGTATATATAATGAGTCTGTAGCTACATGTAAATACAGCTACAGTTTGTCTGTGTTGTTGTAGTCTCATTTCACCCTACATATGCATCCATGTCTTTATAAATGAAAACATTACTCAAAGGTCTTTACTGTGGGAGGTGTAACTGCAGCATGGCTATCATAGTCTATAACTGCTATATTGCTGTCACACGAGCAGCAAAAACAAACATGGTGTGTAGACCATCTAATTTTGTCTATCAAAGCTCTCACACAGGATTTAGATTGTTATGATATTTATTTTTCAGATGTAACTCTCCACCCTCTTTGGTTCTGCAGTGCACATCACTGGCAAAGTCCGTTCATCATAATCAGTCTCATATTATCAGCTGTATTGTCGTGTAACCATGTAAACTTTATGCATTAACATGCTTTACGATATAGTAAATATGCAGTAACAACAGAGACAGGCTTATTTGGGACAAAGCATTTATTTTCCTACTAACAGTTCATGCACTGAGTTTCAATGCTGAGACCAAGAAAGGGCCAAACCACTATGAAGACGTTTCTATTCAATATCACAGACAGCTGATCAGTATGCACTGCTTAATGAATAACAGCATCCTAGAGTATATAACAGAGCGGGATGTCATTATTATGTTTAACTGTTGCTTCTTCAGTCGGGTCTGTGCATGCAGCGAAATGTTTCTCGGTAGAGGTAGAACACAGAGGTTTCTGTACAGGCTTCATTCAAACGCTGTAAGAAAAACCATGTTTGTTCCTGTAGCTTTTCTACTTAATTTCTCTCCTCCAGCTTCCTACAACTAACCCAGGATATCTGTCACCTCCCTCTGCTGACCTCTCACTTTAAACCGCATGTCCTCATCTGTAAATAACGTGTTTATACTTGTGGCTAAAAGAAAAACACTGTGGATATATATTTCCCTTGTTTCTTTCCTCTGCGTGTCTTGTCTGTGTAAAGCGGTTGTAGATATAGGCTTGGCTGTCTTCATCATTTTAGACCAATGCATGTTCTCTGTGAAGAGTTAAAGATGAAGAGTTTAGGAAGTTTTAAGACCATTTCACGTCAATCAAGATCTCTAATTTGATCTGTTTTTATCAACATTTAAAAGCCAAAGCACATCATGCAGTGTGCTTTGGTTCCACTTCGACCTTTGACTGAATAAGAAGTGTTGATCATGTGAGTGTCTTCTCAGTCTATCTTAAAACAGAACAGAAAAGATACTCTATGTCTCCTCATGATAGCTGCATGGAAAATATTAACCAGCTCTTTCAGACCAGCCTGAAAATGTCCGGCTAGTTTCATTGTGCTTTTGCTACGTGCGTGCTTAAATCATTAAACTCAGATGCGAAATGCTAACACATAACCTCATTGCAAACAGAGCATGCTACAAACTGAATTAAGACATGAAGTTAAAGATGTTCAATGAGAACTGAACTGAGCAAACAAGCAGTAGATGTACACCTCAAATCATCACAATAACAAAAAGCCTTTTTGTTTCTCCTATCAAAACACTGTAGCATTATATTAGCTCGTAGCTCATTTATCAGTTAGCAGCCTTTATAAATTTAAAAGGGATTTTCAAGCCCTTTGTGATTTAGCTCTCATTTTGAGCTTCTGGACTTCTTATTCTGTGTTTTACAAACAGAAATAGATGGACTGAGAACAACTTTAGTTGCCTGTACGTACATTAAAACTGTGATAGACAAATCTCATCGATACCACCCACCATGATGATGTCATCTGAGGTTTTACAAATACAGAGTTTTCTGACATGAGTCAAGTATTTACAAAGCTTAAATTCAATTTAATGCCTAAGACACAATAATTACTTTCCATGAATTATTTAAGATTCTAAATATTTGAACTCAGGTCTACTATATGCAAAACTATTGGACATCACACGGTATAAGAGAAAAAAAGACAAATGTTATTATTTCAATGTTGTGTGAGCATGTACAGTAGCAGATTCTCTTGCACGGTCACTTTGTTGTTTTGATTTAGTCAGACTGATTGTTTAGTTGTTTTATTGGTCAGTCAGATTATTAATTTATTTATTTTATTTTTTTGTTTGTCAGTCTCTTTCTATAAGGAACTCTGGGAGATTTAATTTAAGAAGATCCAGAAAAAAAAAATCCCAAGTAACGACCCCCCCTGTCTTCTGGGACAACCAAGCCTTATGAACTTTGTGAAGTGAAAATTTTGAATGTTTGTATGTTATAAAAGAAAACATGGATTGTTTTATATGTTAATACTGCCACAATAAAGATCCCTGATGAATATATATTGAAATAAGTTGTTAAAGGTGACTTTTTTTGCATGACTCAGGATCCCTATATCTATATTTGCTATTATATAGTTGTTAACGGGATATTCCGGCGTAAAATTAAGCTAAGGTCAAACGCACCGTAACACCGAGTTAGACACCCCGTCGAGAGATGAATGGTGCCGACCACTTGCTTCTCTAGTTATACCAACTTGAGTAACGACTGCACGATCGCAATACAGAGAGCCACGCGTCAACCAAAAAGCCACTCTATGGCCACAAATAATGCTCAGAACAGCACCTAACTTCATCAACAGTGCATATAAGGTCCCAGCCACAGTACTAGCCATCAAACATATTAACTTTGCCTGATTTCTTCAGCAAAGAGACTGGACACAACTTACCGACTCTTTTCAGCAGCCGCTTGTTTGTGGCGAGACCTCAGGCCAGTCTATAACAGACTGCTGCGGGGTGACGCAGCTCAAGGAAGAACATTTATGATCATTTCTTCATGGAAATGCAATCAGACTGAGACACTAAGGTAGAAGAACTACCGCTTCTGAAGAGCAAAATGATTAATGTGGTGATTATTACTTAAAGGAAATGATAAAGTAATGATCATAAATGTTCTTCCTTGAGCTGCGTCACCCCGCTGTAGTCGATGGACTCGCCCGGAAGTCTCCATACAAACAAGCGGCCGCTGGGAGAGAGTAGGTGAGTTGTGTTTAGTCTCTTTGCTAAAGTAATCAGGTAAAGTTAAAAAGATGTTGGGTGGCTAGCGCTGTGGCTGGGACCCTATATGTACTGTTGATGAAGTTAGGTGCTGTTCTGAGCATTATTTGTGGCTATAGAGTGGCTTTTTGGTTGAGGTTTGTTTTTGGCTCCTGAAACTGTTGTGTATCACTAACAAGCGGTCGTAATGAAAGTTGGTATAACTAGAGAAGCAAGCAGTCGGCAACATTTATCTCTCGATGGGATGTCTAACTCAGTGTTACAGTGTGTTTGACCCTAATTAATTTTACGCCGGAATATCCCTGTAAATCAGTTTTTTGACCCCACCCACCCTTTGCAAAGAGAGAAAGAATATCTCAGTAGCTGGTCGGTTAATATTGAAACTTCGGTCCTTGTCTCCCTCATGTGGTGTGAAAAGGATGTTACACTTTGTTTAAGTGTCTCTATGGTGATGAAAGTGTCAGCAGCACAAGATTTCCGGGATTTAAGGAGTTGAGTGTTCAGTTGAAATACTGAAGTAGAGCAGAACTGGTTTTTAAAGAAGGAAACTCCTCTATCCAAAGACCGTCAGAAAGCTCTGATGCACTGACTCTACTGAAAAGATTTATACTGAACAAGCAGGAAAAAGGACATTTGTGGGGTAAGAGCAACTACCTTATGGCTACTGTTTTATTGCATCAGTTATCAAAGTCACCGTCTAGTCAATGAGTTCATATACTCCATGGTGAATATTTCTTTTGCTTCTCCTGTTTCATTAGGACATTGACACCGTTAAAGCAACACATTAACTCATGAGAGCTGTAATGGAAGAATGAAGAAAATAACTTATCTGTTCATTTCAATCAGAAAATGAAGATGTAAACTTGCAGGCATGCAGTAAAAGTTCAATTACAAAAAATAATCATGAACCACAGGTGACTTTTAAAGTTCAAAACACAACCATGGAACGCCATCCATCCACAAGAGCAAGTTGTCTTGTGCAGAAACTCCTGGAGGATTCTGGGAATCAAAGGCCGATGAGGGACCTGGAGTTGAGTCTTCTCTGTGAGTCTCTGTTCAGCGAGCAGCAGAAACTGAAGCAGGTGCTGGACTGGGCTCACGCTTTCCTGAGCGGAGGGTCAGAGGTTCACAGTGAGTTCTGCAGAGCTGAGAGTTTGATGCTGGCTGAGAAAGAGGAAAATTCACCGTTATATGAAAGTTCATGTGAAACCACATATCACTATGCCCGCTGTACTGAAGGTGGTAATGAAATTTTTGAAGGAAGAGGAGCAGCTGAAGATACAGAGAAAGTCTGGAAACTTGTGTCCGATGGTCACCTCTCTTCATGTGCAAAATCTCCCCCAGACACTCCCTTCATACCCCTCACTTCCACTCCAGGAACAGATAAAGTTACTCAGCAAAGAAATGTGAAAAGTATGGATGCCTCTGACAAACAGACTCTCAGCCAAAGTGACAAGAACAACATTTTTACAGCAAGCAGTGCACCATACCTAAAGAAAGAATCAAACCGTCCAAACACTTTAAGGACTAAAGCAGCTGAAGAAAGTGAAACACCAGGACACAGGGTGGAAACAAAGAAGGGCGTTGTACGGGAGAAAACTGAGGATGTTTGGATGCAGAGAGGAATGAAGAAGATAACTGAGGAGCAGGAGTCTAGCCCAGAATTTGCAATGTCTTCAAAGAAAACCAAAGAAAAAAGTGAGTTTGAAATGACCCAAGAAAAAGAGAGAAAGACTCCAAGTCAGAGTCATTTAGAAATACCTCAAACTCTGACCGTATATGAGCAGTACCAGTGCTGTGTAGATCAGCTGCACCGCCTCAGACTGAGACAGAGGAAACAACTAGAACCTGCAAGAGAAACACAATCATCTGAACAAACTACTGTGAATCCTGATGTTCAACAACTTTTGTGTGAAAATGAGAGGAAAAACCCTGCAGACAATCATCCAATAGGACAATCAGATGCATCAAAGTACATTGAAAAAATGGAAACACTTGATCATGTACAGACTAAAGACTGTGACAAGCTTAGAGACAGAGGTAAACACAAAACATGTCTGCAGTATGATGGCAAAAAATGTTACAAATCATTGAAGGAGAAGACAGAGAGCGAAACCTCGATAGATTATTTTAGTCGTACATCTGTGGAGCAGCTGACAGCTACACTGAATGATGATGTTGTTGTTGCCGTGGAGAGGACTGCTGCAATCACTGTTGATCCAGGTACTTAAGAATCATTCATTGATTAATCATTTCAGGCTGTTTCATAACAAGCTAAAAACTCCTCACAGGAACTTTAAGACATCACGTGACTTTAAATGGTGTTAATGTGAAAAGGGTTAAAAAGTTTAATGCTAAATTTTAGTCTTTGTCACTCTTTGTGTGTGTCCAGGTCCATGTTTGAAGACCAAAGGAAAAAATCAGGGTTTAAAGCATCACCAAAGCAGTGTCAGAGGACAGAGGAAAAAAGCTGGGAGTAGAGGAGCCTCACTGGGACTCTATGAAAAGTCAAATAGTTACATGCATTTATTGAACAAGAATGAGATACTACAAAGGTAACAGACAAAGAGTCAAATACATACACATCAATAATATTTGCTACTGTACCTTTGGACCATATTTGTCCTCCTATTCTGCATTGTTTTTTTAATTTGCTCTAAATATTGTCATCAAATATAGAAAAATGGAAACAAAACAACTTTATGGGACATAAACACAACTCTACTTGTCTCTCCAGCAGACCTCTGTCATCACAAGTAAATAGAAATGCAGATGCTCACACTCTAGCGGATCAAATGAAGGCTTCCTCAGACTGTAAAGCTACACACACAACGCTGTACGACAACCCTACATGGAAATCTGCAGCTGTGGGTGAGTTTGACACCAAGATGATTTTAAGACCATATTGATTATATTTAACAGTTTCGCTGCATTTTACACATTGATTGTTTTTTTTTTTTCGTCTTTCTGTGAGAGAAGCTCTGATCAGAGGGAAAGTTCATGTGGGGAAAATTAAATCAAGGAATCTAGAAAGAGTTCTGCACTGTTGTTTAACTCAACAATAATAAGATAAAATGTTCTAACATTACAACTTTACAAATATATAACAGGTGCATGGAGATGTGAAAAAGCTAACTGCAAATACAGGGTAAGAACTTTCTTTCTACTCTTCAGATATTATCAGTCTGCACACGGTCAAGGTTTAAAGATGTAAAGCTTCTGACAGAATATGTGAGATATTTGTTTTGTTTGACATTAATAGTGGTACATCTCAGCTGTGGTTGTTATTCCCTATTTCAGCCAGCAGGTGTCGCTGTCAATGCACACTGGTTGTCTCTCCCTGATGAGGTGTGGCTGTCTGTCCTGTCCCTGCTGCCTCTCAGGGATCTGAGCAGAGTGATGCAGGTCTGCAGACGCCTGCACACACTGGCTACAGATCACACACTCTGTGAGTCAACCCCACTCTGCTATTAACACTGAATATATGCAGATTAGGTATGAGACTATATCTGTTAGAGTTTGACTACTCAGGATGAATGTTTGGAGAAAGATGTGCAATAGAAAAGTTTTCAGATTTTTGAGTGAAATAAGCAAAATCACAGTTTTCAATGCCTGACTTACAGGCAGGTATTTCAGTATACACACAAGAGAACCATAGGTAAAATGAATTACTATACATCAATAATTACCTCTATGTCAACCTGGCAATTTTGGATGTTAAACTACGCCATAACTTCCAAGTGTTGGGTAGTTAAAACTTCAGACATGCTTTGTTATATTTTAAACATCATGTGAAGTGAATAAAAACAAAACAAGGTAGGTACTGATGAAAAACAGCCTGATTTAACCTGTGTGAAAAAAACTTTCTGCAGCATGATCAAGCAGGGTATAAATACAGCCCAAGAAGTGTTTTTTTAACTCTACTTTTCATTACATATGATTCTTCATTTTACCCCCCCCCCCCAAAAAAAAAAAAATGAAATTGCCTAATCAGCACAGCAACTTGGTAATCAATAACCAAAACAACTGCCATGTATTAAGTATCAATAGCTGCCTTACAAATAAAGTGTGTTCAAAAGTCCAAAGTTTTCCACTGTGACCTAATAAATCTGAGTAAATGACTAAAACGAAAATGGTCAACAAAGGTACAAATGACTTCTTATTTATAATTTACACATGTAGAAATACCTCAAACTCTGACCATATATGAGCAGTACCAGTGCTGTGTAGATCAGCTGCACCACCTCAGATTAAGACAGAGGGAAAAACTAGAACCTGCAAGAGAGAAACAATCATCCGACCAAACAACTGTGAATCCTGATGTTCAGCAACTTCTGCGTGAAAATGAGAGGAAAAACCCTGCAGATAATCATCCAATAGGACAATCAGATGCATCAAAGTACATTAAAAAAAGGAAACACTTGATTATGTACAGACCAAAGACTGTGACAAGCTAAGAGACAGAGGAAACCACAAAACATGTCTGCAGTATCAAAGTAAAAATAGCTTAAGAAGTGTTTTCATAACTTTACTTTTCATAACATGATTCTTCATGTTATCTCCCCAAAATAAAAATAAAAGTGAATGAGATAAATAACATTGAGTCTTTGCTGTTACATAAGTTGAATGTCCTCAACCTTTCCAACTTTTCCAGTGTGTGTGTGTGTGTTGGGCAGCACATGGTGCATTCTCATGATGTAAGTAGTTCCATTGTGGAGGTGTCCTGCACCACTCCCTGGACAAACACACAGTGAGATAACCCAGAGCTGTACCATCACATGATCTCCACCAGCACATACACTGGAGATCACAGATTCAACCAGACTATTTCCCTCTCTCTCTCTCTCTCTTCATCTCTCTCTCTCTCTCTCTCTCTCTCTCTCTCTCTCTCTCTCTCTCTCTCTCTCTCTCTTCATCTCTCTCTCTTCCTCTGTAGGGAGAGATGTGAAGGTTGAAAACTCCACCCTGACAGAGCAGTGGTTCCTCTTGATGTGCACACGTCGTCCTCGCAGTCTGAGTCTGTACAGCTGCAGTGGACCCTCTCTCTCCTTCCGTGGACTGGGGAGGTTTTTCACTCAGTGCAGAAACTCTCTGGAGGTAAAACTGCTGATCAGAGCTGACCTTATCAACGTGCTCCGATTTATCAACTGTTCAGATCAGTATTGTGTTGATGTTTGCCATCACATGGTTTTACAGGGTGGCCCTCAAGCCTCAAGATTAGACCGTTGAAATCAATTAGCCACTGTTCTTTTTCAAGGAAAGCTATTCTTGATTTACCAGTGACCCACATTTTTTTATTCCTCCTCTGAGACTGAGACTCTATTGACACAACACAACACATAACACAAGAAGTACTATTCTTTCAGTGTGTATAGAGCAGAAATGTCATCCTTTTTACCGTCTGAAAAACAACCTCTAGAAACATGACATGAACATGATATGGATGCTGCTTATTGATTGGTTAGATCATATTGTAGTACCAAAGTTCAGAGTGCATTTATTCTCTGCACTGTTACTACAATGACACAGTTATTAGTGAACAAATCCTCAGTGTTAAAGGGATATTCCGGCGTAAAATTAAGTTAGGGTCAAACACACCATAACACCGAGTTAGACACCCCCTCGAGAGATGAATGTTGCCAACCGATTGCTTCTCTAGTTATACCAACTTTAGTAACAACTTCACGATAGCAATACAGAGAGCCACACGCTCAACCAAAACACCACAATATAGCCACAAATAATGCTCAGAACAGCACCTAACTTCATCAACAGTACATATAGGGTCCCAGCCCTAGCACTATCCACCAAACATCTTTTTAACTTTGCCTAATTTCTTTTGCAAAAACACCAAACACAACTCACCCTCTCTCTTCCAGCAGCCGCTTGTTTGTATGGAGACTTCCGGGCGAGTCCATTGACTGCAGCGGGGTGACGCAGCTCAAGGAAGACCATTTATGATTATTGCTTTAACACAGTAGTTCTTCTGCCTTAGCATCTTGGTCTGATCACATTTTCATGAGGAAATGATCATAAATGTTCTTCCTTGAGCTGTGTCACCCCTCAGCAGTCCGTATTGGACTGGCCCGAGGTCTCGCTACAAACAAGCAGCTGCTGGAAGAGAGAGGGTGAGTTGTATTTTGTCTCTTTGCTAAAGAAATTAGGCAAAGTTAAAAAGATGTTTGGTGGCTAGTACTATGGCTGGGACCCTATATGTACCGTTGATGAAGTTAGGTGCTGTTCTGAGCATTATTTGTGGCTATAGAGTGGTGTTTTGGTTGAGTGAGTGGCTCTCTGTATTGCTATCTGTGGTCGTTACTAAAGTTGGTATAACTAGACAAACAAGCAATTGGCAACATTCATCTCTTGATGGGGTGTCTAACTCAGTGTTATGGTGTGTTTGACCCTAACTTAATTTTACGCCGGAATATCCCTTTAAGCTTCCTGTTACTCGTATTTACCTGAAATATCACTTAAGCAAAGTCATAAAATATATCACCACATATAATGCGAGGTTGGTAACAATGATTAGGTTGTGAATGTCAGGTGTGTCTGTATTATCTAAAGTGTTATGTAATGTTTGCCAGGTGTTAATCACAAGAAGATAAACTGATTGCCATGGCGACAAAACTGTAGCTAAAGATATGTACTTGAATGAATTACATGCATGAAGGTCCAAATAGGACATTGCTGAACTTCTCCTCAGTTCTGTGAAAAGTATTTACATTTGAAGCATCCTAGTTTCCCTTGTCAATAATGTTTAAATGGATTCTTCACTAATTTAAGATACTGTAGCAAGTTATTTATCAACTGATCATACCAGCACTGTGCAAATTCATCTTTAATATGAACTAGAGTTAATTTCAAAGTGTTATTTGTTAATTACAGGAAATCCACATCACAAGTTGCACAGGTCCAGGCCTCCATGGTGACCAGATGCTGTCCCTGATTGGTCAGCTGTGTGATCATGTGACTGACGTGGACATGAGCTGGAGCGGGACAACAGATGCAGGAGTTAAAGCTCTGACTGACTGCTGTTCTCGGTCACACAAACAAATATGTCCCTAAAACTGTTAATGAAAGCCCACTTTTAGCTGTTTTGGTCAAAAATAAATAACATGCTAAAGTCTGATGTATCAACAACATGATATACCTGTGTGAAATCCCAGTTTACTCCTTTTTTCTACACATTTAGATCATGTTGTTGTTGATTTTTAAGGTTTCCAGTATACACAGTATTGATCCTTTATTTATCTTTACTGTAGGTTGAGACTAAAATCTGTTGTCCTGAATGGATGTCAAATCACTGATGACCCGATGAAAAAACTCATCACCAGACACAATACGAGGTCAGTATAAGTACATCTTTATTCATCCATCATCTCTAAAAATGTAGAGCTACTATTACTTGTATGATTGTGCATATTAGGACTGGGAATCAACAAGAGACTCACCAAACAATACCGTATGATATGATGGGATACAACGCCATACAATACTACATGACACACGATAAGTAGCCCATAATAAGAGTATACTTAGTACAGTGATACTGAGTCGATTTATATAGGCTACTGCAAGACAACCGTATAATGATACATAAGACTTGATTTACTGAAGAATACAAGTGAAAGAGGTGATTCATGAAGTCTAACCCTTTACAGCTTTGACTTTCTTTGGCCCGTTAACTTCCCTTCACTTTGCCCTTAATGCACTAAAGACTTTGATGGTGTGGCTGACTGTTGTTTTTATTTAATGTTTTTAAACTTCAATGTGTGTGTGTTTTGTTTTGTTTTTTTCCAGCTGGATTGTACTTGACACTCACATTAGTATTTTGACTTTGCATTACAGTAGATAATCTGATCATATGTGATTTGGATGAGGACTATATCTCTTTTTGTTTCTGCTGTGTGAATGTGTTTTCATTTCAGCCTGTGTAGATTGGAGATGTTCGGCTGTCAGTTTCTCACTCCATCATGTCTACAGACAATATATGAGGTACTTTATTTTCAAATGTAATAACAGGATGTAAACAATAAATAAGCAAAAACAAATGCGATTCATTACTTTGGCCTGTTTCATATATATTTTTGTGTTTTAGATGTGTCCAGACCTCCAACATCTTAACATTGGACAAGTGCCAAAAGTCAACACAGACTGTCTCACAGCGATAACATCCTATCTTAAGCGTCTCATTTCACTAAATCTCTCTGGACTCCTGGCTGTGAGATCAAATTTTGTGATTTAAAACATCCAAAAGGGATGAATCTGTCTTTGAAACTTTAAAAAACTTCTGACTGTGCTGATGGAGTCTCATTTGTACGAAAGAGGATTAGAGCCACACAAGGAGAAAAAAACAACTACAGGAAGAAAATTATGATTAAGTAAATTTAGGTTGTGAACATTGTCGAAATTTCAAGATAAAAAAAAAAATTGAGATTAAAGTCAAAATTTTGAGATTAAATTCAACATTTAGACTTTTTTCAATTTTGACTTTGACTTGGAAATTTAAAAAATCTCCCTCCTGTAATTATTTTTTTTCTTTTCTTGTGGCCCTAATCCTCTTTTTGTACATACATTGACCTCCATGTTTTGATAAATTATCTGCCTCTGTATTTATTGGCTGTTACAGGTTTCCGATGCCACAGTGGACACTTTGCTGCAGAACTGTGTTGAACTCCTGAGTCTGACTCTCAGTTCCTGTCCTGGAGTCACAGACCTGACACTGCACAGCATCAGCAAGTACACACCTTCGATCAAGTGCGTTCAGACAACAACATATTTTAGAGTGAAGCGTATTGGCTTGCATCAGTCAGTTTGAATGTGGTGTTGTTTACCCATTAATTAAAAAATCAAATCTAAACTCTAAATCATTACCAAGAATATGGAGTCATTTGAGCGTGTGGTTGTTAATCTTACATCACCTGTCCTTATCATCCTCTTGGTGTGATCTTATGTTTGTGTGTCAGATCCTTGGATGTGAACGGCTGTAAGGCAGTTACAGACACAGGAATTCAATATCTAGCTCTGGGATGTAGACGACTTCAGCAGCTGGATGTCAGTTCCACCTGCACAGGAAACAGAGGGTACAACACGCTGAAAATGTGGAATAAGTGTAAAATCTAACGCTCACTAACAGGAATTATGTGTGTGACGCAGGGTGTCTCTGCTGGCAAATTACTGCAATGAACATCTGCATACTGTCAAACTGAGTTTCTGTCACGTCGGCACAGAGAAAATACTGAAGCTCTGCAAACACTGCAAAAGGTGAGGACACACACACTCACAGAAATATTTAGGCCTCATTGCATAAAAAATTTCCATCCATTTGAATTACTTAGATTTAACATAAACAGGCCAATAAACTTTATGTGTCGCATATTTGTCAGTCAAATGTAAATGAGATCATTAAGAATTAGATTTTTGTAATAATACCAAGAAACTAAATGTGTTAAGATTTATGTATTCATCATTAATATATCCAATTTGTTTCTGTCTAATAACTTTTAACTAAATGAATCTTGGTTGATCCAGAGCTCATCATATTTAATTCATATTCATACATTTTAACTGATTAAATTGAATTGTTTTCAGAATAGCAGTTTTTTAAAGAAACTTGAATAAATAAATTCTAAAATATTTAATAATTTAAAATTGAATAGATTTAAATACTTAAAAATAAACAGTTTTTCTGAGTGTTGGTCCATAAAAACAGTTATTACCTCTAACACATAATATGCTATGATGAAATTTGATTTGGCCCTCAGATTAAAGTCAGCTCACTTAAAATAAGTATAAATGTAATACATTATTCTTAAATATGTTATTACATGAATCATAACTATTCCAGGAGGCCTAATAAAATCATTAAAAGAGACATCTAAATTATATATGCAGCATTTATATTTGTTATTGATTAATGTTGATTGTTGCATTTCATAACAAATCGTAAAATTAGGGAGTTAAGTTGTTGATATAAGACAGGGGAACACCCTGAACAAGTATCACTGGTTATTTATTGAGCTGACACGCCGAGAAAAACAACCAGTCACATTTGTACCATGTGCACCTTGAAGTCACCAGTTAACTGAACAGGCGTGTCTTTGGACTGGGAAAGGAAGCTCCAGTATCCTGAGAGAACATCAAAAAGGAGAAACTCCAAACACAGAGGCCCCCTGTTCAGAGATTCAAACTAGGAACCCTCTCGCTCTGAGGTGACAGTGAAAAAGTCATATTTAAAAAGTTGATGCTGTCGTGAAAACATGAGAGATCGGTAAAATTTGCTTGGAAATCCTCTTTTTACTCAGTGCAGCTTTCATAAAACAGCAGCAGACGTACCACGAACAGCAGCCTGCTTTCTTAACATGACAAGCACAGTGTGAGAAAAGCAACTTTGTACTTCCAAGCATGAAAACAATGACTGTCTGTTTGGTGGGGATACTCAGAGGAGATCAGCTGCCACGGCTGGTGGTGTTATCATAAAGTGATGTCTGGATTTGAAATTTTAAAGAGTTAATCTGGCAAACACTACCCAAACCAATCATGTGACAATAAGAAAGAAATCGACACACTGTTTGCTGTTACCATGTTGTTTTTTTCTTTTAGGTTGAGGGTGCTCCATCTCTACGGCTGTGCTCGACTCCCCACTGAGGGAGAGATCAGACGAGTAAACACTGCTGTTCAAGTTCAGCCTCTGCCTTGACTCACAATCACAAACATCTGAACACAGCGGGACAAATACACATGACAGAGCCCTGAGCACAATTCCACTGAGCAGCATTCATTGACTCATTATGACTTCTGCTGAAGAGGGATTCAAATGCATTAAACGTATGTGAGCAAAAGAGTTTGACTGTGTATTTTTGAGATTGACCTTTAAATGTGCTCTGACCCTCCAGCATTGAGGCTCTAATTTTAATAGAGCTCGCTAAGATATCAAGTCATTAAAAAGGGGGAAATCTGTGTTGTGAGGTGTTAATTATTTTGTGGTAACTTGAAACTAAAGCTGTCAAAAAAAAAGGTAGAAGAGTGGAATTAGAAGAATATTTGTCTAAGTTTAAAGTTGCAAACATTAAAGTATAGAATAAAGGTTTTGTATTTCCTTCAGTGACTGCGGTCGTCTCCCACCATTATTCACACTCCTGTTTCACTTTTCGGCTCACCCAAAGGCATTTTTTTACTTTGATTCTTGTCACGCCCTTTAACGAAATTTGCAACAGCATCTTCGAGGGCCCTAAAAATATATTTTGTTGTCAGTGGTGTATAAGAGTTAAAAAAAGAAAGAGACCAAGGAGGAGGGAGTTTATATAAGAGAGGTAGAGGAAGGACTGAGACTTATCTTGGAGCTGCAGTCTTTCCTCGAACAGTGATGGGATTTTATAGGGCATGGAGCAAGGCATTTTACTCAGTAACACCTAAAAGCTGGCTGTGAACTTCTCTCTGTTCCTAATCTATGGGAATAATGTCAAATTAAACTGGTAGACTAACTTTTTAAAGCACTTTTAATTTTCTTTTTAACTGCAACCAACTTTAAGCTTTTTTCTTTGAAGAAACTTTGAAGCCACTTTGAAGAGGTCAAAAGCAAAACGATGGCATCAAAAAGGGGAATGAGTGAAGAGGAACGAAAGCGTTTGACTACGCTCTTTCACGCCTACGATGTGGATAATTCGGGGGAGATTGAAAAAAATGAGTTCATTACTATTTGTCAGGAGCTCTGTGTCCCAGCCCAGGAAGCAGATGGCATATTCAACCGCCTGGACGTGGACAAAGATGGTACTGTGACCTTAGAGGAGTTCATCAGAGGATTCAGCGAGCAGCACCAGGGGGACGGGAAGGATGACTCTGAAAATGAGGATAAGAACTCCTCAAAGAGTGACGATGGCTTTCCAAACAATGACAATGTTATATCCAGGTGAGTTAGGAAAAAGACAGTAAAAAAAATGCACCACACACATCTTACTTTCTAAATTCATACAAGCTTTTTTACATCATTGTCTCAGTCTTTACACTGTGGGAGGATTCAGGCATTCAGGTGATGGGGACCTCTTAATAAAGAGCAGTTTCGCCTCTTTCAGTCAGCGTCAGACCTTATATAGTCTCCATAAGAATAACATCTTTAGATATTTACAGATCAGGGATTATGTTAGGTAATACACACCCATTTTGGAGAGAGTTGAGCCAGCAACTCAAAGGGAAAGGCAATCTCTATGTGTACTCCATAATTCATCACTATTCAGGACCTCACTGTCTTTGTATGGCATCAAATCACTCTTGGAGTAGGAGTTAGATGAAAAAGATAATGTTCTTTGCGACAGAGCTCTTTAGATGATACATAACTGCTAACTCAATGCGTTTTCTGATTAGGTTGAAGATTATACACAGACCCCAACAAATCTTTCAAAAAACAGCCAAAGACCCAGCTCTTCAGAGAACACTATGCACTTAGCTAGACTAGTCCAACTGTTGTCCTTAGTAGCTGAATGAGTCTTACAGCTACAGTTTGTTAGCACTGTCCTCTGGGATTTTGTGACCAGCCGTATGAGAGTGACTCAGCACTTAATACTTTAGTCATTATTGTAGTGAGGACAATTTAATTGATGGTGATGATGGAAGGTGCCACGCTGATGATTGGGTGCTGAATCACTGATGTGGAACAGAAAATGAAAAAGTTTATTAACTTTGCACATTGCCTTTAATTTATTCATCAGTTTTTTATGAAATAAATACGACTTAAAGGGTGGGGTTTCCCAGGTCATGGTTTTAAAAGAAAGTTCTAAAAATCCGATATAAAAGGCTAAAAATTGCCAACCAGAAACCTCACAAAGTAAGTAGTAAGTAAAAGTATTTCTATGACAGAGGATTAGGACCTCATAAAGAGAAAAAAAGTAATTACAGGAAGGAGATTAAAGTTGAAATTTTGAGATAAAAGGCAAAATTTTGAGATTAAAAAATCGAAATATATGTCAATAAAGTTGAAATTTCAAGATTAAAGCCGACATGAATAAAGTCGAAATTTTGACTTTTTAAATTCCGACTTTAATCTTGAAATTTCACATTTAAACTCAAAATGGAAATTTAAAAAAATCTCCCTCCTGTAATTATTTTTTTTCTCCTCTTGTGGCCGAAACCCTCTGCTGTAGATTTCCTTTCGTTTTTAAAGTTATGTTTTTGGACATTTTTCCGTCAGTGCACAGGACAGCTGAGGAGAGACAGAAAATGTGAGGAGCAGTGAGTAGGGAAGAAAAACAGCAAAGGGTTGTGGTCTGGATCCAAGGACTACACTCCGTACAAGGGGTGTGGTTAGACCAGTAGACCATCAGCACCTCTAATTTGAGATTTCTGTGACCTTTGCTTAAGCATTTGATCATCTGTTCAAATAAATCAAAATCAATTATACTCAATTTTCATAATCAACTAGGACATTTTTAGCTTTAATATTGCTCAATCAGCTCTTTTGTGTAATTTCATAAACTTTTGAAGGTTGTGTCAAAAGTTTCCCTCCATGAACAGAAACCATTTTACACTGGTTTAACTGGAAGTGCTTCTCAAATGAGTGTTTTTAATATAGATAAAGTGCTTTTACAATTCATTCATTACTCTTCTTAATTTTGCCATAACTGCAGAATATTCTGTGTGTTGGTTACTGCCCCCCCATGGACAAAGTGGTACCTCCTTACCTCTTACATCTTGACTGATGTTGTCCTGCACCTTGTGCTTTCTTATAACGCTCACTCACTTACAGTCTTATCCCTCACTGTGAATATTTGCTGTGAAAAAAAGATAAAGAAGAAGGCTGTTTATTACACATTATCAGTTGTTACAGGCATAGAGAGTTAACACTATAACATGGAGACATACTTGTCACTGATGCTCTCATTTGCATTTGTGTACCTTTAAGAGGCATCAATATTAATTTCAACTTGTTTCATAATCAGTTAAAAACTCCTTACAAAGGTTTCAACTTAAAGCACTGACTTGTAGGAGCCCCTCTTGCCTCTTTTCCCATCAATCTCTTCTGTTATGTAAATCAGAGTTATAAAGTCTGGTTTGGTTCAGTCTGAGGAGCAGAAATACACTGTTGGGTTTAATAATCCCCACGTTTGTTGTCTAAGCGTCATTTGTTATTCTCAGATGTGTTGGTATAGCACGACAACGCCTATTAATGCAGTGTTACTTTTGGATGCTGGTGGACGTACCACCCACGCTGGAAATTTACTAACTTACTCAAGTCTGAACTCAATCAAATTCTGAGGAGAGCCCTCACTGAGGAGCAAAATAGACTCATTTCATCATTTCATCATCTTGCAGCCAAACCAAACTGAAGACAGAGAGTTAAGACGGTCTATAGTCCACAGCTTTCCTTTAGCCACATGTTCCCATTCACAGTACTTGATCATATATGTCAATGAAGCACTATCAGAAAACAGGGTCAGTGCAGGCGGTTGAAAACAAAGTTAATGAATGTAGTGGTTAAAGATCATCAATTTAAGATCATGTTAAAGTTATTTTTCATTTTAGTGCCAAAAGCCTTTTGCCATTAGAGGCCTGTTGGATTGTACTTGAGGATAAGGATAAGGTAGACTTTATTGACCCTGGGGGAAACTATTTCACCACCAGGACAAGAAGACTCATACAGACAACAAACAGCATGGAGACATCAGAAAAACATAGACTAACACCAGATACACAACAAACACAGTAAAGGCCAATGAAACATGATTTAAAAGTGGTACAATAAAAGTCCTTACTTCTAATGCTTCCCTTAAATGGTGTTACTCATTGGTCTCATAGAATATTAAGCCTTATTAAATAGCTTGTATAACCTTACTTTATTGAAATATGGCAAAAAGATTAAACGTTTTTCTGTTTTTCTCAGAAAACATGGAGTACAGCACATTGTGTCCCTCAGGCGGGTTAACTTGATGTCTTTTGAGGAGACTATACACTGAAACAATCTTTGTTTATATCATTTGTCCATTTAACTGAGCTCAGTTAAAACAAGCAGCACTGAAAAAAAAACACTTTCATTTGGCCTGAAGCCCACACCTCTGCTGTGGAAGTGAGAGGGAGGACACACACACCTCAAACACTCACACACAGAGTTGACACTGGTTTGACTTCACCTGAGCAGCTTCTCTATCTGTTGGATTTGGTTTTGCCAGAAAGAAACAAGGATATTTATATTATTAAAGATAACACAGAGATGAAGAAGTGTCCGGGTCTAATATGCAGACCGTCTGAAATGGATTAACTCGGTTCCTTTTGGTAAAACCATAGCAGCTGTCGACATGTTTGGATAGGAGCGCGCTGGCTGTCTGGAGTTGAACTTTGAGGTCCCCACTATCGAGTGAATAAAACCCTGTCATTCTTGAAGGGTCCGTGGGTTCGTCCGTCAGTGGTCATTCACTGAAACGCCTCTTTTCTTTCAGTACAACTCATCCCACCATCAAGCGGATGAGCGCAGAGGAGCAGGACCGACTGCGTTCCCTCTTTCGCACGTACGACGTGGACAACTCGGGTAGTATCGAGAGGAACGAGTTTCTCACCATCTGCGCCGAGCTGCAGGTGCCAGCGGCCGAGGCGGACCGGATCTTTGATCGGCTGGACGTGGACGGGAACGGGACTGTCACCCTGCAGGAGTTCATCATCGGCTTCAACGACAGATACGGAGAGGAGATGGAGTCTGAAGGGGGAGACGTGTCTGTGGCCTGGGAAAACTTTGAGAGTAAGATGGGAGACCAGGCCAAATACATCCCGAGGTGAGACACTCAGACACAGACACATACCTGTCTGCATGGCGGTTACAGATAATATGGAAATGTGGGCTCTCTGGATAATATGGATAACAGTGAGTGCATGTTCATGTTCTCCACAGGGAAGTACAACAAATACCCACTGAGCAATAGACAGCTATTAGACGTCTAGTTCTTTTGTAGACCTAATTTCAATCTTCTAGATTCTGTATATTTTTAGACAGAATTTAGACATTGCACTTTAACCCATTATTCTTTAACTATTTATTTCAAAAAGCAACTGCGAGTTGCATAACTGATGTCCAAGTACTTAACCAAAATAATTATGATATCCATTGAGCAATATACAGTGTAGTATAGATATAGCCCAGATTTAGACTTGGTCTAAATTTAGACGTCTAAAAAAACCTTTCATTTTTAGACCTGTGGTAGCCTGATTTTAGACCAGTTGTCTAGGCTTTATTTAAACGTCTATTAGACCTCTTTTAGACCAAAAATGATCAGCGGGATATTAAATAAAACCTTCACAGGAAAGTTAAATACTCTTCAAATTCATGTGTCACAACTGCACCTGTTTGATTTGATGAAAGAAAAACAATGTCAGTCTCAGACCTCAGTGGTAAGAGCTGCGGACAAGTGTGGTTGAGCATTTGATAGACATATTGGGTCTGTCTTTTCCTTACACAGTAGTCTGTACAACAGTAACGCCTCAGAGCTGACAGCAGACAAGTAAAGGAGTGGACACTAAGAAAGGAAACGATTACAATACAATAGACAAAAAAAGTCAGGAGAAATAATGAGGCAAAATTGGGCAATGTATGAAAATTCATAGATGAATATTTTCACAAACTATAAAGGGAGAGAAGATGAAACAGGTTAGTGGTGACCCTTAACTACACAGAGATAAGGGGTTTGTCTTTTCCACAGCCAGCATTCAATCTGTTAGATAATGAAATTCAGTTTTTCAGGATAAACCTCCTTGAGGGGCATCAGCTTGTTTTTACGGGGGTCTCAGACAGACACAAAAATAAGTAACAGAACACACAGTACAGGACAAAATATACAACAACACAGCAAAGGCCAGACAGCTTCAGACCAACAACAACAAACACTGACAAGCTTCACCACAATCATTAAGTAATTCTTGATATTTAACTAAAATCCCCTTGAAAACTTCTGACCTCTAAATAAAATCATAGCTACCATCCTTTCATTAACCTATCATTGTAGTTTTTAAAATCGTGCATGTTGTAGATATGAATCTGATTTCCTGAATAGTTTAAGGTATGAAATGTTATATTGTTGCATCAAGTTGTCTGAAGTCTGAGACCTTTGTTCGTTTCACTGAGTTTCATTCATCCTGACATTACCATGGTTCTTCCATAGTGGTGGTTGCAGAATGATGAACAAAACATCTCTCTTGCTACAAAGTATACCTGTGTTTTGATTGAGGGACCTAGAATAGAGAGTACCCACTACTGGTAAAACCACATTACTGTTTAAGTGAATGGATATTGTCGACCAAGACCTCAAAGACCCCCGTACAAAAACTGCATGACAAATCTTTGCTCAGAATCATTAGTCACGGTATTTTTTCATTGACACTAAGTGAAAAAAATAAATAAAACATTTCCAGACTTGATACATCGAGTAAATTCCCTTTGTAGACCAAATCAAGCAGTAGCCTTTACTCATTTAATACTTTTAATACTTTAAAAACAGTCTGCATGCAGTTTTACAACCAAGACATAGTTTATATTTGTCCTTAGAAAAACTACTGGTGATTTACATTCAATTAGAACTGTAAAAGATGGAAATAAAAGCTTTAACAAACTCACATATTACCTAAACATTATAATTGCTCATTAAGTTTACTTATATAGTTATTTATCTATTCTATAATACATTAATGTATTATTGAAGTGTGAGACTAAAGTGTTGATGCACCAGAAATGTGCTCAGGAGACTAAAAGCGCTGTTATCACTTTCAGTCTGATTCCAAAGGTGTTTTTGAAGGAGGAAGATACGTATTTGGTGCCATGTAAAATGAAACCTCTTTATTTGCAATTTAAAAACCACATTTCTGAAAACAGCAGAAAATATAATTTTCTAGAATAGTGTATGTTTGTTTCCATTAAATGTAAAGATTCTTTTAATATAAGTCTACTTCAAATTTTATCGTGTAACTTTCAGTTTCTCCCTCCTAAATGAAACACCTGTCTGCCTCTTCTTTTATGATTCGTTAAGAATATGTGAGTTTCTTTATTCCTGTCTTCCCTTTATTATATTCATTGCATCATCTAGTTTTGTTTCTCACATCAAAAGTCAGGTAAAAGTTGGGCGATACAATTAACACCTTTCCACTGGACCCAGTTCTGACCCGGTCAAACCTGTATAAATGAGTGTGAATGTAACATTAGGCTGGTGTATCAACATGTATGACAGTGTGTTTTTGTGGGCCTCAGGCCGGGCATGGGACTAATCCTCGTGCTGTTGTGCTGTGGCATCGTCACATTGATTTCCACAGTGGTGCCATCCACTGAATAGTGTTTCTTGTCTTTATGCAATAACAGTCAGCTGAGAGAGGACTGTTCTGTAAATGTTGCACTGAGCTCACATCAGACAAGTGTGCATTTTAAAGAGGGATGAAAGAATAGTTTGTTAAAATATAACATGGAGGCACCCCGAGCAGAAAATCAATTAAATCCATAATTCTTTACCGACTGAGAATGATGTAACATGACGTGTATTTTGTTCTTTTAAAAAACGGCATTTCTCAGCTGATTGGGCAACTGATGACTTGGGAGCACAACGTTACTTTTCAGAAATTCTCAATGCTTAAAGTTTTGGTTTTATGCATAAACATTTCATGGCTATGCTTTCTTAGAAATCCTTGAGATGTGTCTCAACCATCAAAAAGCTTCTTTCTTGTGCAAGTCCAGTTAATTTTGACTGATGCTTGTAATTAATTTGTCCTGAAGCCTGAGGAAGTATCACAGATGCCTCAGTCATGTTGGTACTTGCCCCATTGTTTCCTGCACTTTCACTTCAGAGTTCACCACTAAACTAAACCACTTAAAAGTATTTCAAAGATTTTCTATAAACTTCAAATATAAAGAAATAACAGAGGTGTCATCTGGATGTGATAGGGCTATTGAAAGTCGATAAATACCTGCTAAAATGACATTTTATTTGTCTGTATATTCTGGATTTATGGCAAATAAAGACTTCATAGGTCATTGTTGACCATTTAGGGAAACTACAGCAGAAAAACAGTCAAATAACCAAACTGCACTCACAAAAAGAAAAGAAAAATAGGGTAGAGATGACCCAACAACAGCGTTTGTGTAAATCTTTCTGTGTCCTCGTTTGGTAAATTCCATTTTGCGGCTCTGAAGTTGGAAAACTTTTAGTTGTTTGTGTGTTTCTTTTATAAACTGGTTGTCTGTGACACTCTGACTCTCCAGTGAGCCATCATGAGTTATTGACAGAAAGGCAACTGTGTCTATATGCATTAGCAATACACCTCGTCCACCCTGTTGGAAGACAAACACACACTCACTGTAGACAATTGACCCACTTTTACCTCCCTGGTGTGACACTTGAAAAGCTCCATCACTGTGTCATTATAATTCCTCTGAATGACGCACACTTGACCTGAGATTGGACTGAGTGATTAGGGTTTAGCTGTTGGAGTTCACACTTCAGGTTGCTTGTCCTATTGGTCCAGTTTCTGCTGTGTGGTTTTTCTTGTTGAGGATGGGACTGTGGTGCACACCACAGGGCGGTTCTGCCGAGCTATAGGCCGATAAAGATGAATTGAGTGTGCATCTGAGACGGTTCAAGTCATTTTCTTGGTCTGCTTTAAAATCTGAATTAGACATGAAGCTTTTGTGTGTCTGACCTTTTTGGATAATGGTGGCATATCTGTGAAGTTACTCGATGAAATGATGCTTTCATCCGCTGGCTATTACAATATGAGATTGTCGCAGTTGTTTTCTGTTAATCACCCAACCAAACTTTTCTTTTTTTATTATTGTCATCATTAATCCAAAAACCCCGCTGACAAAAGTTGAAATGTAGAATAGCAACTCTTAGGTTATTTCATTTTCAAAAGGTTTAAAAGGGTAATTTACAACATTTAAGGGAATGCTGTTATGTATGCTGAGCTACACAAACCAGTCCCTGTAGATGGCCTGATAAAGTGGGTTCTATTAACCTTGGAGGTCAGATCATGTCAGAGCTTTGAATGTGGAGGCCACATTTATGTTGGCTGTGTTTCAGAAAGGAGACAGGGAGTTGCATCACCATTAGCTCCTGTTTGCTAATGTCGGGCAATAAAAACACACTACATGATAGTTTGCACATGGGCACCAATATACTGTGTCCGCAGATATAACAAAACTACTGTTGGGACTGGTTTCAATACACAAACAAAACTAAGTTGCTTATAAACTCTAATTTTACTGTCGATGTAAGAGCAACCATCTTGGGTTTAAAGCTTGAGATTGCTGAAGTTGCTACAACTTGGATTTTACAACTTCTGAGATCCAATGGACTAATAATAAAAAGACAGGAAAGTGGTGTCAATACTCTTTTGCAAACACAAACAAAAACTGTTTTCTTAAAACTTCCTGTTTTTTTTAAACCTCAAAACACTTTCTCCACCCTTTAGTTTTTATTGTAGCTGTTCTTGAAATTGTCATAACTGTACTTTTTTACTCTTTTCAATAAGTAAAACAATAACATACACTAGAAAATTCAGAATATAATCCATAACCTGTATATCATACATAGACAACATAGCTGATTTACTCTTAAGTTCTGCATGAAAGAAAAACAAACCAAGATTCTTGAATTCCTCAAACTGATGTGAGATCCTCATTGTCTTGCAGGCATGAACAAGCAGCCACGTTGTACCAGAACATCAGTCTGACTGAGCCCAGATTGATCCCTCAGCTGGAGAAAGTCATCATGAACTTCACCAAAGAAATCAAACAGCAAACCTCAGAGATGGAGAACCTGGCCCTCGCCATCAAACGGTAAGAAACACACACACACTGTACATAGACACTGACTCACATTTTAAACTTGGCTTACCAAGTATCAGAAGAACCCTGATTGTAAAAGACCATATAAAAAAAAAATACAGTGAAAGGACATCAACAAACTGGCAGGTGCAGAAACAGACAAACACTTTAGACCTGTGCCACATCCAACCATCAGATCCAGTGCAGAAAAAATCAAGTGTAAAGACCAAACAAGGAGAAAGAACCTGGGAGTAAGACAGACATGCACGCAGGTGTGAGAGCGAGGAGAAAGAGATCATAGGCTGGAATTGAACTCTGGCCATCAAGGTTGTAACCCCGATAATCAGATTATTCTATCAACCAATTTGAAGGTGGAAAAGATGAGGTTAAGTTCTGATTAAAAAGGGTCAGAACGTGTTAGGCTGTCTGATCTCTTCAAGGAGGTCACCTCAGATACAACAGGGGAGAGTACTGCAGGAAATAAAAGGTTAAAGAGGTCAGACAGACACTAGAGGGTTTTCCAAGCTGAGATAATATAAAACACAACATTTGATGACAGACAGTCAGAAACTTTAAGTGTTAACATGGTGCAAGTGAGAATAGTAATTCAAAAGCTAAGAAAAACTACGTTTTAAAAAGAGCCAAAAAGACTGAAGTTCAAGCGTCTCAAACTCACTGATAACTGACATGGCAGTTGATATAGTGATTTTTTCACGTCTTTTTAAAAATGTTGATAATTCAAAAGTTTTGCATGACTTTTTGCTTTTTGCAGAGATACTCAAACTGCTGATCCAACTTTCATACTTTGAACCAATTCTGTCTAATATTTCCTGAGTCTATTCTGTAACTCAAACTACATAACAACAAATCTAAATCACCATGAGTCTCACTTTTGTATGATATATTCAACAAAAATGTGTATTAATATTAGTCCGACACTGGTTAATATTAATACTAACGTTTCATAGAGTGTTTTGAGGTAACATTTATAATGAATACAGGCTATAGAAATAGGTTAACTGATTAATGATCCATTTAAGTATATCTATGATTGGTCCATTTGGGATCAGTCAGTCAGTTGCTTGTCTTTATACTCAAAAAGGTGGGATGATTGAATTGTCTTTTGTTCCTGACAAAGCAGCTGAATAGCTGATGGAGATTCAGCACAGCTACCAGTAGATGACATATACAGTAAATTGGGATCAAACCTCTTATCTTGGAGCAGACATAACCCAATTACGCCAGGCTGTAATCGGATCTGTTTTGATCTGAGGTCTCTTGAATTTACCCTGTTATTTGGCAGGGCGCAGGACCAAGCATCAATGCAGCTCAGTGAGATGGAGGAGGAGATGGATCAACGCATTCACGCTGCTGAGAGAAGAACTCGAGAGCAGGTGGGACAAACTCAAAACCATCTTCAACAAATGTGCATCACTTTCAGATCTTGTTTTAACATCTGACGCTCAAGATTGTCTCTCTAGAGTTTGTAAAGACAAAGCGATAAGCAAGGCGTGTGTTCAGCTCTTCCCTCATGTCAAACAAACAGCAGAGCATCAGATTACCGGTCCACACTCTCTGACACACCTGCTGATCAGCTGGATTTCATGATCTGGGAATCACAGATATGAAACATTAGACAGATAAGGCGTTTGAGCAAATTTAGCCTCCAGTGTTTAAAATGATAAGGCTGTATTGAGCTGTGGTGATAAGGATTTATGATGTGTGAATAAAAATGATAAGAATAAAACCAAGAGAAAACAGACATACAATCAACCTGTAGCCTGAATTATTGTTTAACCTGTAATCAGGTTTATAAATACAGAATGAAAGTGATATATATGAAACCTTTTTTATCTCCCATATTTGAAGTGATTGTACCTAAAAAATGAGGTTAATTTAGGGGATGCAGCAGGTGTTGCTTTCAGGGAAATACAGTACATGCTATTTTGTACTTTTCAACACTGTGGCTGATGTTCCAACCGTGTTTGGAACAGTTTTGATGATGAAAATATTGAGTTTTTTTCTAATTTGGTTTATCAAAGTAGGTAGTTTACCTCGTGTGTGCTGCCTTTCAATCCCTTGAGGGAAAATAAGCTACCTTCATGTCCTGAGGAGTCTTTAAAACCTGGGCAGGAACATGAACTCCGTTATCACTGCGTGTGTGTGTGTGTGTGTGCATAAAAACTTATGTAAGTGTACGCACCTCATTGACTCAGGAGAACCTGTGTTTGTTTTGTCATCGAAGGGCACACAAACGTCAAACACTCTCACCTGTATTCTCCCACACTGTAATGTACATGCACACTGAGAAGCTCTTTATTTTTGGAAACTGTAGATAGACAGTTTTCGATACCCAGAAAAAAGTGCCAAAAAAAGGACCCAGCTGTAGATTTTTGTTGAGAAATATCACAAATCTCAATGAGGTTAATGTTTTTCTGTTTTTGTAGGAAAAGAAGAAAACCGAGGCGGCGCTGAGTGAGGTGCAGAGAAATTTTGAAAATGAAGTGTGTGAGCTGCAGTGCAAGATCCAGAGGATGCAGATGGTATGTTTTTCAGCTCTTACACAGCACTCCATTGTTGAGATAATCAGGCTTATTAAAGTGGAAAAGCAACATATTGTGTAACTTAGAAATACAGAAATAGAAATACAAAAGTCAATTCTTCAACAAACATGAGAAAGAGTTTATACTTGACCTTTTAGATACAAACAGCCCACACCTTTCAAAGTTGTTTGTATGACACAGGAACACTGTGTTCATTAGACTGCATTGACAAGAAACCAAACCAGGACTGATTTAAAAGCTGAACTCTCTCCTCCTGAGTCCACAGATTGAAACTTCACAGTTCTCATGATTTGTTTGACTGTATGTGTACTGTACAGTTTAAATCCTGCAATCTCATGTATGTCCTTCTTGGAGTCAAATAACCTTAATCCTATGTTTGAATTTGTTCTTCAGATAGAAGAGAAGTACAAAAGAATCACAGTGACAGATGAGAGCCCAGCTTTAAGGAAGAAAATCAATGAACTAACACTGGTGAGTCGTATTGGGGTGCCTAATGTTGTTGTTTTTTATTTCATTCAGAGGTAGCTTGTTCATAACAAATTGAAATTCTCTTTTTTGTAGGAGAACCAGAAGTTAAAACAGGAGCTGATGAAATCTCAGACTAAAGTGGCCTGTCTGCGAAGTGAGATGGACTCCCTACAGACAGAGCTGACTGATCAAAGCATCACCTCTGAGCGGTACAATCCACGTGTCTTTATTTGCATCCTTCATTTTTTATACTGTTTATCACTTCTGGGTCACCAGGTTAAATCTGTGTGCACTCCTTTAAGGCTAAACCTCAACAAACAGGACCAGCCCTAAAAATAAAGTCTGTATCACTGAGGGAATAATTAAGTTGCATCATTAGCTGGTCGTGTAAAAAGGTTTCCCCATTTGCCTGTGTGCTTTCAAATTAAACAGGGAAGTAAGGTCCTTCTTCTTTTGAATAGTCAGATTTTTCCCTAGGTTTCTCTGCTGTCTTTATGTCAGAGGATTAATTTTATTCTTCAAAATGAAAAGCAAAGGACATTCTTACAAAGCCCTATTCTTCATCTTTTTCTCTCCACTGCACAAACTCACCCACTCTCTCTTCCAGAGAAAACTGTAATTTTAAACCTGTAATTATGAGTTGTAGAGCTGGTTGCTTGTTTCTTCCTCTCCATTCAGAAAACAAGTTTCACACTGGGATGACGATGTTGAAAAAGCTCCAGCTTCCCCGATTAAATAGATTTCATTCAGACCCTTTTTTATTTTACAAAAGTCTCACTAGAAGCTGAGATGAAATGATCCCACTGTTATGAGGTTCACAGACTCACTGATAGACAGAGGCTCCACCCCCTCACTCCCGAGGGATGTTTTCGTTTTGTCACAGCTGATACAGGATATCCTGGAGTTGCCTCACACACACAATAACTTCTTCAGGAGTGTCGCCTGGCAACAGAAGCAGCAGGGCCACCAGCAAGATAGCAGCCTGCCTCTTTGGACAATCTCAGTGTTTACATTGTTGCCTCTCTCTCTGAGGTGTCTCATGTTAGTCAGAAAACACGTGTTATTGCTGACTGAATCAGCTGATTAGCTGTGGAAAATTCCCTTTTCAGTGACATTTAGTGAGACACAGGACGCTTTATTCCTATCGAAAGATAATTATCTTAATGAGGTTTTCTGAATGTCATCATTTTTTTTCCTGAAGTTGTAAATTTTATTAATAATAATCAAACCAATTCATGCGTTGACCAACCAAGATGAGTTTTTTAATTTACTTTTGCTTGCTTGTTATTGTTTCTGCAGAGACGAAGAGTTAATGAAACACTTCTCTGATGAGCGAGATGTCCTAGAGAGTCAGATCGAGATCCTGCAGTAAGTCACGTCAAACTGTTCTTTAGTTTTTTACAGGAGGGTATTGGTTTGAAGAATTAAGTATAGTTTAATGATAAAATCTAAAATATCTGAATATAATACCTATCATTTTGTGTTTGTGTGTTTAGGACAGCTAACAGGAAACTTCATGACACCAATGATGGCCTGAGAGCTGCTCTGGAGAGGATTACGAGGGTATCACTGCACTGTTCATGGAATAAAAAGTCAAAACTCAAATCAATGTCATTCTGTCTGCTGGGTTGATAGACTCTCTATAAATATAAACTCTCTTAATGCTTCTTCTAATGGATATTTAGTTTTTCCTGAAACTCTTGTGTTTGTTATTCCTAATCTATTTTGTAAGTTACATGACCCTGAAGTAATGCCTTTGACAAATCAGGTGTCCTGCAGCCGTCTCTGCTGCTCTCAGATTTGAGAGTTCATTTTCCAGTAGATTGACAGCTATGTGTATCCTGATAATACTTTTTAGTAAAACTATTGGTTTGTTATACCGACAGCAAACTAATTCTGAGGTGTTATGTGTTACAGTCCGGTACTGGGGCCTCACCAGCAGACATAAAGAACAGAAACAGAAGTAAAAGTATCTGCTACACATCGTCGAATGCATTAATGGAAAGGTAAGACCCAGACGCAATTCAGACATCTGTGTTATTGTACAGCTAACAGGACATCATTTTATAATTCTCACTCAAACTCACTTTTTTTGTACATTAACACCAAGTGAAGATTCAAGATGATTAATGCTTTGGGAGTTAAGCTGTTTAACTTTAGACCAGTTTTGTCAGGTTTCATCCATTTGCATCAGTGCAGGAGGTGTTTTTGCTTAAATACACAGCATCTGACAATGAACTCTGACGCATGAGCCGAGAACTTAAGTGTTTTTTCCTAGAACGGAACTGCGTCTTTTTAAAAGCAGAAAAATAAATGTTGAACTGCTTTGGGATATTTATTCAAGGTGTTTTTAAAGATAAGAAGTGAAACAAGGGATTTTGTTTTGCCTTAGAGTAATAAAGAAAGATAAAATGCAATAGGCCACTTATCAAACTGTGTATTCTGACGCTTCAATTAGAAATGTTAAGTTTGTATACATCAGGTAATTGGTGGAAGAAGGAAATCTTTCTACAATAGAGCTACAAGTTTTACTTCAGCATGTAAATGTATTAAACTATGGTACATTTTTTGCACACTAGACACATTAGATTTACAAAACTTCATAGAAAAAACATTTTTTGTTTCCATCAAAGCATCAAGTAAGCATCTAATATCTGTAAACATGTTCTTCAGTTAAATATTACATTATTTAAGGAGACTTCAAACACTTGTTGTTTAATGTGGACTGTTTCTACAGTCTACTCGGGCTTAAATGATTATGTTGTGACAATTGTAATAGTAGTTGAAGTAATAGTAAAGGTATGTACGAGTGTTAGTGTAAACTGTAATCAGAGGAGGTGGGGTGGATACTCAGCAGAGTTCTCAGGCTAGGATGTTGTGTTTGAGTTGTTTGCATCTTTTACGGCTACCTTAAAGTCCCACTCCGATCATATTTTTTTTGTACTTAAAGTGTTCTCAGCTGTCTTTAAAATGTGATTACAAGGTTTTTAGCCAAAATCACATTAGCTGTGTCATCTTCAAGGGCTTGTCTTCTGCAGAGCTCCAGTAGCTCATTAGAAATTCACTTCTGAGTCGTGGGCGGAGACAGCACTCCTCTGCACACTCCTCTTCCTGCTAGCTTGCATCCTAACATTGCCGGTGCAGCAGAAGTGGCAGTGGTAGTATAGGAGCTATTTGGCTCCCGGTCATTAACATCTTTGGGGGCGTAATGAAAGCTAATAACATAATTAGATTTCTTATGAACATTGCAGTCTGCTAACTTACACATTTGTTCTGCGATTGTTCTTTCTGCTTCTTGGAATCTGGCCTGCAGAGTGAGGCACAGGGGGCGGAGCTTGGATTTGTGACATAGAAATTCCTACAATGTCTGAACCTGCTGTTTGGGTCTGTGAGAGGTTCACAGCGATTTTAATGCAGAAATACTCAGAAATGCAAAAATTTCTTCTCGTGAAAACTACTGGAAGTAGAAAAGTGTATGGCCTTATTAAAACTAATAATGGCTCTTGAGCTGCATCTCCAAACTGTTTACCTCCATTGTACAACACTGGAACTGTTGACAGCATTTAGAGAGGCTAAGCTGGCATTACCCCCCAAGTAAATAGACTATTGTTTTGTTTTTTTGAGAAAAAATGGCTGACCTAGAGATTGAGATCATATCACTGTTGGGAAAGTTATCATTGAGGTGATAAATCAGGTGAGAGGCAGAGCAGTCTTCTATTTTTTGTTCGTTGAACAGAAAGTCATCATGGTAGTGTGTTATTCTTTTACGACTCTTTTGTTTTTGTATTTTATTACCTGATCTCCCTTTCAGGTTCTGTCAACGTACGGATGAGTTCCCTCTGTTCAGCCGTCGGCCCAGCGGTGACTCTCTGGCACTGGCCATGTGCGACCCTGGCCTGAGGCGCAGACACAGCAGCGAGTGCGAGGAGGACAGTCTGCCTGAGGTTTACATGGACAGCGGCCTGTCAACACTCAGAAGCTCACATGAAGGCTATGACTCTGAACCAGAGGTCAAAGGAGGTCCAGAAGAAGAGGAGGTGGAGGTAGAGGTAGAGGTAGCGGTAGAAGAGGTAAAAAAGAGGGATGAGAGGAAAACGGAGGAAGAAAACAACAAAAGCACGTCGAATGGACCCTGTGAGGCTGAGGTGAGACAATGACACATATTTCATAACATTCACAGATTTAAAGGAGGTAAATCAATCATAAGATATGTGAAACAGGCTTCTTAGCTTGGTGAGGGGATGAATTAGCATGACAACGATGCTTCAGGCTCTGTTCATGCGAAAGAAAAAAGGACAGGAATAAAACACTGAGCCAGGAGGAACATTTCAGACGTTTTTTGCACTGCACCTAAAGCAGATGCTGAGGTATCACATGAGTAATGTGACTTTTGGTTATTCCATGCCTTGTGTCTAGCTTTAAACTAGCTCCTCTTGTTACAATGACTTCAAGTTATAATGTTTTGAAAAATAAATGAAGGGATAGGGTGATTTTTTTGTCTATGTAGATTTTTCTGCTAATGCTTCAGAGTTTACTTCTGTGTCAACTTCACAGCCGGCTGAAACACAGGATGCTGAATCAGCGATCGGGTCGGACAGCAGCTCTATTCTGGACTGGAAGCCAGCTGAAGCCATCAGTGAGGCAGAGCCCTCGGCCCGGACTAAACGGAAAGCCCTCCGTGCGATCAGTGTTCAGGTAAGACAAGGATATCATTGATTCAGGAGGGGATGGGAAAGATAATTTCAGGAATTGAACAAGGAACTTAAAAATACATGTAAATGCATGCATCAATTTTTCAGTAACTGTGAGGACCAACATTTACTGTTTGACACTATTAAGCTGAACAATCTCATCTATACAGATTTTACTCATTTAAGTACTTTTTAATTGTGTGTTTTGCTTTAACTGTGGATTGTCTGAGTATGTTTAAACTATTTTTTTAAGTATTCAGTAACTTTTTTGCCAAATGCAAGTAAAATCTGTTCGTCACTCTGCCTTATCTTCTCCAGCTTTCTGTATCTCCTCTAAAGAAGGAAGAAAGAGAGAGCACTAATCTGGATTACATGACCTCAGAGAAAGCTTATAGGATCGTATTGGCTGGAGATGCTGCGGTGGGAAAATCAAGCTTCCTGCTCCGCCTCTGCAAGAATGAATTTAAATTAAACACCAGCTCTACACTGGGTAAGTAGGACCAAGTTAAAGCCGCAAAAACAAACAAATAAAAAAGTCTGAGAAGAGGAGTAACATTAAGTTAAACAGCAAATAAATGATGAATTATGAATTCGTAGTTTGAGAAATTGTTATCCTTTGTGTGTTCAGGGGTAGATTTCCAAATGAAGACAGTCATTGTGGATGGCGAGCCTGTTGTACTACAACTATGGGACACTGCTGGACAGGAAAGGTCAGAATATGTGCATGCAGAGATCAATTCTCTAATTTCTTAAAGCAGTGATCTTACTGCTTGGTGTGATTGGTGTATAATTTACAAGTGTTAATCGAGTGCCGTGTAAGCAAAGCTAACAGATGTCAGTATGTTGTTTCTGAGAGGTAAAGTCAATTGACTTTGAGCACATGATGGCACATAGCAGATAAATGGGTCACAAGTTTGTGTGTGCCTCCTGAACCTGTTTCTCCTCTCAGGTTCCGTAGCATTGCAAAGTCTTATTTCCGACGGGCAGATGGCGTGCTGCTGCTGTACGACATCACCTGTGAGAAGAGCTTCCTCAATGTTCGAGAGTGGGTGGACATGGTCGAGGTAAAGCACCACTCTCCAAAACAGCATTTAAATAAGTTATATTTTCAGCAGAAAACTGTGAAAGTGAAAATCATTGATGTTTCTGTAATGTTAAATGTTGCTTGTTCCTCTCTTTTCACATGCTGCAGACATGTAAGTGCTGCTCTGATTGTGCTCTGCTGTTTAAACAGGTTTCCATGTAGACGTTTATTTATGCATGCAGTTTGGGATGTGTACATTTTCTCATGTGTTGTCTTACACATTATGCACACCACTAGCGGAAGGTACCTTTATCCAATCACTGCTATAATAGTAAACAATAAATAAGTATTCAATTAAATTACTTTCTCAGGTTTTTTCTTAGGATTCATACCTAAAATATATATAATATTGATTTTTTCTAAACTGAATTTGTTTAAGTCTAGAGAAAACTTTTTACCTTGCTGTATCTCAAGTCAAGACTCTTTTTTCATGTTAAACTGCATTTTTTAAATTGCTCTTCCTACTGTAAGTAAAATATGTATGACCTTTCACCACCCACAATGTATACTTTGTGGTGATTGGTATCTAATTAACAGTTCCATTTTTTTAATACAAAATATTTGTATTTTAATTTTTGACTTCAAATTTTTTTATCAACTACTTCCTGTCTTTTAATTTTTTTTTTATCTCCATCGGCAGGATTTGTCCTATGAGGATATTCCCATCATGCTTGTGGGTAATAAAAGTGATCTTAGACAAGACGGTGTCAACTGCGTTCCTACGAGCTATGGAGAAAAACTGGCGATGGTAATAATGAAAATAAACACGACTAATGTCTTACTTCACTCTGAATATTTGCTGTATATTCACACAAAAGCTAGAGCTAATGATTTCCTCTCCTGACTCAACAGACCTACAACACTCTGTTCTGTGAAACAAGTGCCAAAGATGGTTCCAACACTGTTGAGGCTGTGCTGCACCTGGCCAGGTAAGATATAGCTTTTCTCAGTCATTTGAAAAATCCAAAATAAAACTAGAGAGGGGGATTTTAATCAACATCATTTTCTGTCATTTTCTAAGTGAAAATGTCCATATGAATGAGACAAAAGTAGCACACGCTCTTCAGGAGACACTTAATAACTATAAAAGTTACCTTAGAGTTTAAGAAAGTTTCCAGCTACGACTGTAACCACCTGCCAAGAGTGGGGTCTATTACCAAAGTATAAATAACTTTTGCTGCCCTCTAGTGGGGGACAGTAAGAACCAGTTCAAAGGGAGAAAAAAGGGAAACCTGTCAAGAGAAGAAAAATGACACAAAGTTCAGAGGTGCCCCTGCAGACGCGGAAAAGAATTTGATGTTTATATTTTCCTGCCAAAACATTAAAATATCTTATCCTAATTTTTCTTGCTCGCAATCATCTTGTCACTTTCTTTACCGGCATGCTGCAGCATTTCCAAGCATGTCAGCAAAGGTCAGGAAACACAGAGGGAAGCCTAAATTCTATAGAGCGGGTTAATACATACTCACCATTATCAACACGGTTACACTGCTGATGGTAAACTTCGAACAATTTAACACCTGCAACAATAGGGACATTCATTCCTTCTTCTGAGTGAGACCTGTTGACTTTAAGTGCTTTAAATTTTAGGATCAGTGTTTTATTATTAATTCGCAGATCCTCAAAAAGTACTCATGCATTTACTTATGTTATATTTAATAGTATATCCCTTTTCCAATTCCAACACAGTTGGGATAGTTGACTGTTTTACATGAGTTGCGTTCTGCTGAGGTTTCCATCGTTTAAAAGGAAGCCTTTCTTTACCAAAGTGCTCTGCTCAGGGTGGATTAAGATAAGACTGGGTCTTATACTGTAAGATGGGACTGAATCTTCCTAGTCTATCCCGATATTTGAGTCCCTGTAAGTAAACAAAGAATACAGTCTAGACCTGCTCCTAATCCAAAAAGATAGGTAGGCATTCTGTCAGTCGAACAGAGGCATTTTTTCTTTAGTGCTATGTCCCTGTAAACTTGAACAAAATGATTGATTTCTTTGCTGACTTTTATGTTTCTTGCTTTTTTCCACCCTGCAGGCAGGTCATCAAACAGGCTACTTTTGATGATAAGAGTTTCAAACAGAAGCTGCCCAGCTTAAACGCTCCAAGGAAAAAGCCAAACTTCTCCTGCTGCAACTGATCAAACTCATCTACACCTCTTCCACATCTTTCTTAGTGTGAACTTAGCACAACTACGATAAGGACTTCACATGCAGAAACCTGATCGAACTGAAAGTAGACACTTACATTTCTGCAGGATTACAGCAAGAGGGAAAAACCACCATCATCATCACTGACCAAATCAATTCATCAGAGAAAGTTGAGATCATCAGAACTTTTAAATCTCCACATAAGTTCAAACTTTTTGTTTTGTTGTGCACACTCATGTTTTGTGCTGTATTGTTTGTGTTTTATGAAGCTGTATTTGTCTAGCACGAATAAGTCTTATTTATGTAATTATACACTTTGACATGAGGTCCTTCAACATTATTTAGTATAACTGTAAAGTTTGCCAGGACTACAGCCAAGGTCCTGAAAAGTACATTAGAGTAAATGGTGAAAAGTAAGAGAGACAGCTATGAACATCAAGAATCTGAACAAGAGGTCTGATAACTCGTCATCAGGGAAAGTTCTGTTTTTAGGGAACATCTGAGGTATGTTGGAGGATGGGAAAAAAAATAGTTTAATGCTTAATCATCAATATCAAACTTTATAGCAAGTGAAGAGAAAGACTTGATGACATGAGTGAGTAAAAATTATGGAGGGCTTACAGTTCAGTTTCAGTTGTGCAGTATGAGATGGATTCAGACATTTAGGTGATATCAAAAATTATTTTCTATAGCCCTTTCCATATTGTCAGTTTAAGAAACATTATTAAAACCCTTGCAATGTCTTGCCTTCAGTATGAATGTCACAGAGGCATGATGAGAGCGCACAGTCATGCTCCTGCTGTGACAGCTTAGGAGGTGGTAGCAAAAGAGTGGCAGAAGTGAGGTGCAATTACTGTGAGCCTGCAGAGCTGGTAGGGTGGAACTGCTCTGTGTGTGTGTGTGTGTGTGTGTGTGTGTGTGTGTGTGTGTGTGTGTGTGTGTGTGTGTGTGTGTGTGTGTGTATGTGAAGCACAGTCCAATGTGAAATGACTCCCAATTTGCGCCGATGTAGAATCAATATTGAGTCTAGAGACATAATGATGCCAAGTGCAAAGGGCTTCCATTATATTACCCCAACAGTGTTAGATTTCTTTTCAATTCACTTCTTTCTGAACGACTATTTCATGCGATGATTCACAACTTGTAAAGTTAATTCAGGGTCAAACATTCCGCAACACTGAGTTAGATACCAGAGAGATGAATGTTGCCGACCGGTGCACAACCATTTCTTCATCATTTCCTTGAAGTAATAATCACCATATTAATCATTTTGCACTGAAGACGCGGTATTTCTTCTGTCTTAGCGTCTCAGTCTGATTACATTTCCATGAAGAAATGATCATAAATGTTCTTCCTTGAGCTGCGTCACCCCGCTGTAGTCCATAATGGACTGGCCCGAGGTCTCGCTACAGACAAGCGGCTACAGGAAGAGAGTAGGTGAGTTGTGTTTAGTCTCTTTGCTAAAGAAATCAGGCAAATTTTAAAAAATGTTTAGCGGCTAGTGCTGTGGCTAGGACCTTATATGTACTGTTGATGAAGTTAGGTGCTGTTCTGAGCATTATTTGTGGCTATAGAGTGGCTTTTTGGTTGACGTTTATTTATGGCTCCTCAGACCGCTGTGTATTGCTATTCTGCGGTCGTTACTAAAGTTGGTATAACTAGAGAAGCAAGCGGTCGACAACATTCATCTCTCAAGGAGGTGTCTAACTTGGTGTTATGGTGTATTTGACTCTAAATTAATTTTACGCCGGAATATCCCTTTAAGTAATGTTTAAGGGAAAGTGTAATGGAAACTGGCCTAGGAAGGGGGAAATTTCTTGGCATGCCAGCAGGGGGCGTATCGAGAGGGGCAGAGGTGACATGGGCTGCCTTGAAATCTGATTGGCCACCCTAGGTACAATCCCCGGATCCTAACCTGTGAATGTTTTTTGCTTTGTCAGATACAGGACCTCTATTTTTATGAACTTCCTGGACCCTGTCCCACGGGCGACTTGTAGTTTTCTTTACATTTAAATATAATATATTTTCTTTTGTTGGCACTTTAAACTGTAAAAGATTGACAGCATTATACAGCTTATACATTTACAAAACTTTTTTTTTTTCCAAGTTGGACAGTATGCAGATTTTGCTTCCAATTTTTCTAGGTACTTAAAATTGTGACAATTGTGACAAATATCATTTGAGTCCCTATGTTGCCACTGTATGTTTGTGTGCATGTGTGTGCATGACTGTGTGTGCATGGAAGGGGGTTGCCTGAACACAATTACTTTCTACCACCCCTGCACAAGTCTGTGCCTGATTTGAGACATACTGGGAGGGGTCAGGACACTCCCCTGCATGACAATATGAATCTTATTTTACTTTAAATGTGTACATGTGATTTCCAGTATGTGTGACTCTGAATCTTTCCTGAGAGCAGCAGCATTTCATCAGCCTGATGAGCTTCGTATAGATTTGTTCATATGCTTCTCATACCTATGAATGAGTCTACTTTGAGCTAATGTAAAAAACTTCAGCTATCAATAAGGATCACAGGTAACTTTGTGGAATCAGTTATTTTGTCACATACAGAAAGCTCTGAAATGTATTTTCACATGCCGTATGGGTCACAGTCTTGCAGTCCAGCTGGCTCAAAGTGTCAGACTGTGATTGATAGGTAAAGCGAAAGAATTAGCAGTTTTCTTATTTTGCACGTAAACGTACACTTTTTTTTTTTTTTTTGCATGAATGTGTGTGAATGTCATAAAATATACCTGTGTATGCAGCTAACAAGTCTGTCTATGAAAATGGTTACTTTATCAATAAATTTTTTTGTCTAAATGCAGTGGTGGAAACTTTTAACCTTAAACAATGAATGTAACGAGTAAAACTCATAGAGAGCAAGTGGTAAAGGTCGACAGCCACCTACAGTGCTGCACTAAAATATCATTACCTCAACTTAAAGGTGGGGTAGGCAGGACCTGAGGAAGTGCCAGTTTTTGTGAGAATTCTTTAATGTAAACACTACCCCTCCCAACCAGTTTTCCCCTCAGTTCCTCCTCTTCCCTCCCTCTCTGCTCCAACAAGCCCCGCCCACAAACAGACGCTCCTGCTCGCTCGTATCCTTCCAATTAAATTCAGATATAATGCAGATAAATACTTCAGAAAATAACAAATGGGGCCCAGTCATTTGAAAGTAAGACGCATTGGTGCTACTGTAGATGCCAACAGACTATCAGCAAACACAATCTTTGCAGGACTTCTACAACTAGGATAAAGTGACATAGTCCAGGACCTGAGGTAAACAGTTTAGTGGCGCTACAACACGCAGCAGGTCCCGTTTGATAAAAAACACTTCTGTTACAGACACTTGGCTTATTTTGTTAAAGTGGTTTACCTGTCCAGCAGAAAGGTTACAGGGTCCGTAAGATCCCGAAGCTTCTCCCATCGTTTATCCTTCACTGACGAGTGACCCAGCTTTTTAGCTCTTGTCCGGTCTACCTCCTTTTTAAGCGCAGTCGTGGCTAAAGGAGGATTTAGACAATTTTCTGTACTTTTTGGTTAGTTTGTACCGTCCGATATTGTAGCACACTAACTTTATTTGGGCTTGTGAATGTTAATCGAGGACGTAGAGCGTGCCCCACAACACGAAGGAGCAGCGACTGCCTAACAACCAATCAGATTGAGGCAGGCAAAGAATAGCTTTGTTTACAGTCAGAAAGAGCGGACTGCTCAAAAATTTAAAAATGTTGACTACACAGACATAACAAAACACAGCGATATCATTACATTACCAAATGTCATCAATAACTAATAGCTATTGATAGATATTAAAAGCTTTTCTGTATATAAACCACAAAAAAAAGATGCTTCTTTAACGGAATCCTGCAGACCCCACCTTTAAGTATAGTAACTCCTTAATATGGTACTATCTGGCCATTTACAACACTTTATGCTCATTAGGTCAAAAAGGCCTTTAAAACAAAACAAATAGTAATTCACAAACTAACTCCTGATGTTACATGAACCATGTAAACTTTTCAGGTTCAGTCCAGGAGGGCACCCCAAGACCTGAACACAGAAATAAGAATTCTGCCATGAGTACCGTGCCCTTCATATCTTTCTTCCTTTCTGTTTTTCTGTCTCTAATACTGAAGCAATCTGCCCTCAATAAAGAGGCACAAAATGAGTCAAATCAATGCATCTGATAATTTTGCTTCTCCAAAAGACCCCCCTGTTGGCCATACTCCCTGAGCGTCTGCCAGGGTCTCAGAGCATAGCTGTTTGAATAAATGCAACATATGTTAGGGATATTGCACCACGTATTAGTTTTTGTGTGTGTGTGTGTGTGTGTGTGTGTGTGTGTGTGTGTGTGTGTGTGTGTGTGTGTGTGTGTGTGTGTGTGTGTGTGTGTATTTAGAGTTGGCACAGGTCCCTGTCTCCACCTCCCATCTGTTTACATTGTCATGTGCTTGATGAGGCGAGACCACTCATTTGTCAAACAACATGTGGGGTAGCGTAGGTGGGGATGGGGTGTGCGGGGGGAGCAGCAGCTGAGAGTGTGTGTCTGTGTGTGTCTGTGTGTGTTCTGTGGTAACAGGGGGATAATTAGATAAGGGGACTGTGTAGCAGGAAGGTTAATGACAGTAATGAATATATTAGTGTGGAGGAGCAGTAGCAGGTTCTCGTTACTGTTCTTCCACTGAAGGTTCAGAAAAGGTTAGATACAAAAACAAGACAACCTCGAAAATAGTGAACAAGAAATCTCCTCTACATAAATCCATAAAAACACATTAAGTTCCCACATCACGACATGAAAACACATTAAATTAGTTATATTAAACAGCAACGATATAACGATTGATATAAGATCTGAGCACACATAAATTAAAGCTTTTAAACCTCAACAGCCACTCCTTCACACTTACACACACTTATACACACATGCACACACACACAGGCTATGTTCCTGGGAGGGGTCGCTGATTGAAAGATCACAGTGTTACCATCTGGAAAAGGTCAGAGGTCAGAAAATGGAATGACTGGTCACTCTGATGACATCTGGACCAGCAGTCTGTCGATCCAAATCCATCCTCATGTGTCATACACACACAAACACACACAGTCTGGTGCAATCGACAGATATCCATCATGTTTGTCATGTGGTTTTGACAAAGCCATCAAAGACACAAATCAGTTTGTCTGATAACCTGTCTCGTTCTTTGTGTTTGCGTGGAGAAAAAAAGGTCTCAGGACACATTTTGTGGTTATCTTAAACATAATTCAAATTTATTTACTTACCACAGGACACACAACTGTATCATTTGGGGACACTTCTCTCGTATAGGCTTAAATTATTTTAATCCTTACAGACTTTAAAGCTTTCTGCTTTGGAAACACACAGATTTACCACCCAACAAAAAGAAATTAATGTAAGTTTTCTGAGTTCATAGGAGTGCTGCTGGTTCATACTTACTGTGCTGTTCCATTTCTGCAGGCAAGAGGGCAGCAGCCTCCTGTAATACAAGACGGTGAAACTATGTATTCCTTTAATTCTATGACGAGTATATAAAGCAGTTATATCATAAACATCAAGTGACGGTTCCTCATTATTTAAATTTATGATGAACTTATATGACCATTGATTTGTTAGATTTTTCTGCTTTTTCAGCTCTGTGGCAGGTTTCATTACTTTACAGTATAAATAACCGAGTCAATGCTGTGCTTCCACTTCTGAGAACATTATAAAACAGAAAAGCAGGAAACATATCTAATGACTGTGAGGACGCCTCAGCTGTGTTTATCTCAATGACCGCTCAATTTGCTCTGTAGAAGGACGGGCAGGGATTAGTGGCCGTTTTATAATGTGTGTTAATCTGACAGATTAGTGTGATTAGGTTAATCTGAGAACGTGTGTGAATGTGAGCGTAGATCTCAGAGTGTTTTGACTTGGCTGCTCCACAGTATGATTCAGACTCGGTTTTCGAGCCTTCAGAGAGTGTCTGCGGATGTCTTTGCTGATAAATTGATATGACAGTACTTGATGAGTGATGTCAGGAGTTGCCAGGCTGAATTCTTCACAGTATCTAAACAGCTTTTTGTTGATGTCTTGTCAATAATCTCAAGCTGAAGTCAATGTGGACAGAGTGCCTCTTTATAAACTGAACCCCCTCAGAGAACACACATCAGTGCGCCTGATCGAGGAAGTGTCCCCGCTGCAACTTTGGAAAACGTCATTTCGACCCTGATCTCGCCTGATCTATCTGAGCCGTAGCGTGAAAAACAGTTTGTCTGCATTTACATTTATCTATCGTTGCACGCAGTTCATTGACATCTGTGTGTTTGTATGTGCACTCACTAACATAATGACCTCCCAGCCAGCAGAACATTATAGAGATTTCATCCAGAAACTGAATCGGCATATTGATCACCCTGTCACACATGAGAGCAGCCGATATCGACATGTTGTTTACTCAGGAATGTAACCTAGATATGCTTTGGATCGCCTGCCCTCCAGCTTATCCCAAACACTGTTTCTTTGCTCAAGGTAAACACCAGTAGAGGTGCTTCTGTCCTTTTCCCCACATTGAAAGGACAAAAACAACCAATAATACATGTTGAAGTCTGACTCTGTATCCTTCCCCACATCTCTCTCTCTTCTCGATTATTCCTGGTAGATATGAATAATTTGAAAGGTAATTCTGTCAACTTTAACAGAGAAACACTATGCTTTTTGTGTTTTATATTGTAAAGATTAACAAAATACAAATAAGGGGTTATTTGTTTAATACATGCGACTTTCATAGGAATATTTATCCAAAGGAGACTCCTACCTTACACTGAAGAATGATATACAAACTTTAAAGACCTTATAGAGTCATGTTTAATATTATTAGTTCGTTGCTATATGTTAGGCACAGCAATAGAAAATTGGGTACTACAAGCACTCACTGTATTTAAATGTGACTCCTTAGAAAACCACACCCACAGATTGAGACATAAATTGGTTGAAGAGATGCAGACACACAAACTGTCATCTCTGTACACCTCTCATCCTGAGTAGACAGACGGACTAAAACTCATTGATATGATCTCTGTGCTTTAACCCAGATCCATTACTGCGAGCTAAATGTATTATTCTTGAACAAAGATGATTTATAGGCAGTTATACTGTGCCCCTTATCTCTCAGCTGAGACACATCCAGTCTGATTCGCCAACAATGTCAAAAAGCATCAACGTCCAACCTTCCACACACAACATCCATTCGCACACACGCACACACTTCGTGCTTTCCCAGATTGCCCATGGTTTGTTTGGTAGCTTGCTGTTTTGCAGTTCTCAATTACACTTAACAGGGAACAATAGCTCTTGCACACACATGGACACACACGCATGCACACGCACACATATACACAACACACTTATCAAGTGATTAACTGTCAAACTGCACAGCCAGAGTTCAGCAAAGGTCAGGATTGATTTACATAGACAGATGGAGAGCCCTATTACAATGTGTGTGTGTGTGTGTGTGTGTGTGTGTGTGTGTGTGTGTGTGTAAACCCTGTTACACACAAACACACAAATACATACTCTAGTGCACACACTCCCCTGATACACACGCACACACTCTGGTGTACTCTCTCCCCTTCCCCTGTGGCCCTGCTTGGTGCAACTAGTTCATGTTACCATGGAGATGATGAGCTTGCTGTACATCATGATGATGGGGTCGTGGCACAGTGAAAGGTCAAAGGTCGTGGATGGCATGGTGTCTGTGTGTATGTGCGTGTGAAGACTGTCCTTGGGGGGAAACTCTTATGAGAACAAATTATGGTAAATCAACAGAAAAAAAAAGAGTGACGATTAGTTATGAGCAGAATCAGCTAGTTAAAAACCTTCACACTTATTCATAAATCTAAATGGTATTGTAAATATTCGGGTTTGGTAAACATTAATACAACAAAGTCTGTTACTAATCTTCCTTTAGCATTAATTCCTTCAATGACAGAAAAAAAACATTAAAAACACCGCCAGATAGTTTCGACTGTGATAGATGTATATCACCATTTCTTTCAATTGGTCAAGATTTTTGACACTTGTACTGTTGTGTGAGGTAATTTCAGCAGCTAATTGTAGGTGAATATTAATTTTATTTCAAAGTGAAATATAATTTTTTTTCTTTGGTTCTTTCAACTAATGTGACTGAATTCTTTGAGCTTCTTTGAGTCTAAAATTGCTTTTCCAACCCTTACTATTAGCGGTTTTCCTTTACAATGACCTTGTTTGTGATACTTACACTCATGATAAGTAAAAAAAATCCTCAAACCTGCATTCTTTGTTATTTTTCCTTTAATATCGCTGATTTGATTCTTCTAGCCTCATGTTTTGGTTCTGTATGTTTGAACGTTGATGTCTTACATGATTTGTCAGTGGTTCTCCCCTCCAGCGTGAGCATCTCTTTGCTCTTGCAGTAAATAAAGTGATGCTGATGTGATTCTCATGTGGTGCTCTGCCGTGTGCTTGTGTGTGTGTGTCAGTAGGAGAGAATACTGAGCAAGAAAGAGAGAGAGCGAGATAAATGCTGCTGTCTTGCTGTGTGGTGCGCTCCGTCACTTTGATAAATCTCACAGCGAGCTGACGACACCTGCTGACAGCACACTAAAATCTGATTGGCTGGAACAGCTCCAGGTCAGGGGGATGCTAATGGATATGATGTGGACAACAAATCGCACACAGCAATGGCAACGCGCACACACCAGATACACACAAGGACACACATGAACAAATAGGTCACGCACACATGAAGAATGTTGTGCACACACTCACGGCATCACCTTCCTATCTGACTTTGTGTACATCATTAGCAGAGCAATTTTAGCCAATGATGGAGTCCTGTCTCTGTCACCTGATAATCAATTAGCTCATTAGCAGTGATTTCACATTCTGCTTTTTTTATGTAAGCGATTCCTGGAAGGAAATTAGACTGGAAATAATGAATCCAGGACGCACACGGATTCACTTTAGCGAGAGCGTTTAGATAAAAGCACGAACTGTGAATGTAAATAAACGATTTAGTCAAACATCAAGAACGTACTTCTCCTTTTGACCTTTCCACCCACATAAACACTGATATTACATCCTCCTCTGATCTCTGTTTTGATTTGTGATTTATCATGTAGGTCAGGAAGACACACGCTCTACCCGTTCCCCTTTGCGCCTCCTCTGAGCATCACAGATCGGTCACCAAGCATCAAACACAGTCTGATTTCCTTCTGATTTTTTTTTTTTATTCGATTTGAGAGAAATCATGCAGAATGAGCCAAGGAGAAAAGGAAAGATTTAAACAAAGAGAATACAACATGAGTGAAGCATCAGGGAGAGTGGTGAGGAGATGGAGAGAGTCATGGTGTACTCGATGATGAAACGCTGCTGCAGCTTTCGACCTTTGAAGAGCTGGTGGAAAAATGTAGAGACAACTTCAAAAGAGCAGCATGAAATATACAAGACCAGCACCAACACCAGCAGGAGCAGCACTACTACTACTTTTGCTGCTGCTGCTGCTGTGGCTGGAAAAGCTTGTCCCTCAAGGTGTGCTGTTTTTTTTTTTTCACCTGCTTGTTTTCTGCTCCTGCTCCAAACCTTTGATATGTTCCTTCACAGGTCAGATAAGAACTGCTTTCCTCTGAATCCCCCCGTGAAACGCAAGCTGTTGGAATACAGATTGTTGTCTTTTCATCCTCCTGAACTTTGGCTTTTTTCGCAGCTGTAGGTTTTTTTATCTGTTGTTTGAGAGAAAAATGACAGAGAATCAGATGCAGCTCTTCTTTGTGTCTACCTCCCCTCTTTAAATCCATCTCTCCCTCCATCTCCTGCCACGCTTCACATCCCTCACTTGCCCTATCTGTTATCACCTTACTGCCTCTTCCTACCCTTGCACTGCACTACTCAGTGTGTGTGTGTGTGTGTGTCTGTGTTTGTGTGTCTTTTCTCCATTCCCGTCCATCTGTCAGTCCGTCCCTCTCCATTCGTATGTGTGTGTATGTGCGTGCTTGGTTGATGCAGATGAGACAGTGATGCATGATTTGCCGCAAGTCTCTCTGTTAAAGGACATCAGATCATCAACCACACACACACTAGCACACAAGCAGACAAACACACATATGCAGACACACACTTATACACACACATGTGGCGTCTGAGGAGATAAGGGAGTCTTTGAAGGTGGAAATTAGTTTTGGCGCCCGGCTGCTCCTGTCTTGCAGGTCATGTGACTAAATCCTCCAGTCGCACCAACATAAACTGATAAGGCAGCAACTCTGTGAGTGTGTGTCTGTGACAGTGTGTGCGTGTGTGTATGGTGTATGACTGTGCACATTTACCTGTGGTGCACACATTAAACGAGAGTGTGTGTGTATGAGTGTGTGTGTTTATGGATTCCATTTATCCAGTGTTCGTCTCTTGTGGCAGGGCGAGGTAATTGGTGGCAGATAAACAGCGCTTAACACACAAACACACGCACACACATACACAATCACACACACACAGAAATAAGAGGGGATTTACAATGTGTAGTTTGGAGCCTAATTGCTCTTCAGGTCCCTGTGAGAGTGCTGCCAAAGCCATTAGCCGCTGCTATTCTCAGAGTATTCAGTGTGTGTCACTTGAGTGTGTGTTTGGTCTCTTGAAAATGAGCGTGTACATCACTCCAGTGTGTTTCTGTATGCGTGTGTGTGTGTGTATGCCTTTATTTGCTTCTCATTGGTGCGTGCGTGCCCGTAGCTTTAGTTTTTTTTCTCCTCCACTTGGCTTCCCTCCAAGCCTGAAGAGCTAATTGGAATTAGAATAACATTCCTCAAAGGCCGCTCGTTTAGTGCCGGCGCTGAGTGCTAACGACCAAGTAGTGGGTGAGAGGAAGGCGGGAGAGAGCACCCTAACGATCTGCGCTAACAATGTTTTATTCTGATTTTTAATGAGGGGTAATCACTCAGCTGGAGAGGAAGAGCAGAGGCAAAAAAAAAAGGAAAAAAATACAAGAGAAAGTGAAGGGGGAGGAGAGCAGTGAGGAAGAGAGGTGAGGAGGAAACAGTAATTATCTCCTCTCTGAGCTGTGAGTCACAGCCCGTCTTGCGGTCTCTCTCTGGGAAATTAGAGATGCACACTAACTGCCTTTATTCAGAGCCGGTGCTACCTGACAGCAGCATGACAACAAAGCAGACTCCTTTTTTGTTCAGTTATCTCCAATTTTACGAGATCAATAAACAAACAGCGCAGTCTCAGCTACCTACATTCATTAGTTCTTGCTGTGGTCAAACAGGGGCCTGCTCAACTGACAAAACATATCGTAAGTTACTTCAAACAAGGACATTTTAATTTAACAAGTGTCTGTTGTTCTTACAGTTGCTCTGCAAATAACTGGGTTGTTGGTATAAATTTGGATCCTCCAAGAGGTTGATGCTTAGAGTGTTGTTGTATTAAACACATCCTAACATAACTCTGTCTGACCCCGACACAGAGGCCCTGAACAGTGTTGTTAACAGTACAGCAAAGATCGCTGTAATTACAAGAGTTCTTGGCTTCCTTGTATACCAGGGCGAACAAAAGTCCTGTTTTCCCAGGACATGTCCTGTTTTCACGTCCTGTCCTGGCCATCCTGGTTGTTTTTTATAAGGTGATGAAAAGGTCCTTGTTTTCATTGTTTTTCATTGGGTCACTAGGATGAAGAAAACTAAAGATACAGATATTTTTTGTTAATATTTTTTGTCTATCTGAATTTGTGTCTTTGGTTACAGATAGTATTTGGTCATATAAGGCAGGATCTGAGGAAGTGCCAGTTTTTGGGGGGAATCTTGAATGTAAACACTACCCCTCCAGCAAGCCCCGCCCACAAAACAGACGCTCCTGCTCGCTCGTGTCGTCCAATTAAATTCAGATATAATGCAGATAAATACTTCAGATAATTACAAATGGGGCCCAGTCAACGTGAAAGTAAAAAGTGTTGGTGCTACTCTAGATGCCAACAGACTACCAGCAAACACAATGTTTGCAGGACTTCTAAAACTAGCATAAAGTGACATAGTCCAGGACCCGAGGTAGACAGTTTAGCAGCACTAAATTGATGTTGACTGGCTTTTTAGCTCTTGTCCAGTCTATCTTCTTTAAAGTGCCCGTTGTTCCGCTAGAGTCTCTGGTATTTACTTTGTTTTCTTGCTTGTATTGGCAGTCGTGGCCAAAGGAGGATTCAGACAATTTTCCATACTTTCTGGTTGTTTTCTACTGTTCGATATTGTAGCACGCTAACTTTTTTTGGGCTCGTTCGTGTTATTCAAGGATGTGGAGCATGCCTCACGACATGATGAAGCGGCGTTCGCCTCACAACCAATCAGGTTGGGGGAGGTGGAGAATGGCTTTGTTTACAGTTAGAAAGAGTGGGCCGCTCAAAAAATTTAAAGTGTTGACTACACAGACATAAGAGAACACAGTGATATTGTGATATTACCAAATGTCATCAATGACTAATAACTATTGACTGATATTTAAAGCTTTTTTGTATATACACCACAAAAATGGATTCTTCTTTAACGGAAACCTGCCTACCCCACCTTTTACTTGAATTAACATTTTCTCTCATAATTGCAAAATGAAAAATATTTGGCTCTGTAAAATATTACCACAGGGGACCTTAGGGTTTCTGTCAAGCCGACTTTTATAATTAACACAGAGAAAAAACACATATGGTGAATATTTTAGAAGAGAAAAAAACAACATAAGAAAGCCATTTCATTATACAATGCATATTACTATCTTCAGTACGTGGTTATCTCAGCCAGTTTCATGTTTTAAAGGGACCTTTGATTGATTTCTTGAAATAGACTGGGTGAGACGTCGATATGTCAGAAGCAATTTAAACTGCAATTTTCTATACGCCGTATCAGAATCTTTATTTAATGTTAGACATTATCTGTACTAGATTTGATAAGCTGTCATTCAGGGTGTGAAAAACATGTCATTTAGAAAAGATGATGGTTGCGTTGGCTTGATGAGCGCCAGTACTGATTATTTTAAAGTGCCAATAATCAGTATAATTAATCTATCTCATATCAGCACTCTCTAGGATTGGGCCAATATTTAATAAAATCTATAGTGACAAACCATTTTTGTTTAATGTGATCAACCTATCAGTGTCCTCTAGTAGTGAATGTCGTCATCAGGGCCAGTGAAACACCATTTTACTGCTATTTATGTAGCATCATTTGTATGAGAGCTATAAGCAAACAACAATGCTTTGATTACTCAGCTAAATCATACATGACAACCTGGTGATAATACCGTTCATTTCCAAACAGAAACACAGTTTGTTTAAGCATCTTTAGCCTCTTAGGCAAATTTCTCTTTATTGATGTTAAGGCACTAACAGCATGTGGCTAAGGTGGAGAAAAAATTTACAAAATGACAGCAGATAATATGCCATGTTTACCATCACAGCATTTAACAAAAACACTTAAGTTTCCCGTCTGCCCACGTGAGCTAGATTAGCCAAAAACCCATGGACTGTAAGCCGCTGACCAATTAGGCTTTTTAAATCCAGGATCCCACTGGGAAGCCATCAAAACCTACAGTTAAACCTCTATTATCGACAGACTGTAAACTGTTAAGATTTTTCACCGAGCCCAACTGAGCTTTAATCAATACAGAGCATGGGAGGGATGGGGAGTAAAGGTGAGCTGAAAGATTTACAAGAGAGGGGGAGGGTTAGTGGGACGACAGGAGCAAGGGAAAGACAAAAGAGAAAAAGGAGAGAAATGAACAGAAAGACAGTCTGATCCAGAAAGATAGAGAGAGACAGACAGAGAGAGAGGGAAAGAGAGAAATGGAGTGATGTGTACAGCCGTACTGGAGTGTGAAACAGATGCTGCTCAGTGGAGAGTGAGAGGCCGATGGTGCTTGTAGAGTGCTTAGAAAGGGCAGAGGCTGAATCGATTCACACACACATACACACACATCTCAACTGTGTGTGTGAAGTGGGAGGGGGAGAGAGAAAAATAGAAGAGGGAGCAGGGGGGAAGGGGAGGAGAGTGAGGTGAGTGATAGTGGCAGGGAGACGTAGAGGTGGAGATGGATCAGCAGAGAGATGGAGGCTGATTATTGCTGTGCACTGACAGAGTAAAGGCCCCATGGGGGTGATACAACTACACACACACACTGACACACACTGACACACACACACACAGGGTCTTCAAGTAAACACATGGGCTAACACACTCACCCGCAAAGTGATGGAGATGGAGCTGCCAGAGTGTAATACAGTTAAAGCCCCATTTGTGCAGCCATAGCCACTGAATGTCCGCACCCCCTCCCCTCCCCTCCACTCCACTCCTCCCCCCGGCTCTTTCTCTCTTCCCCTTTCTGATCGCCTTTCTTGTGTCTCCCCTCCTCTGATCATATTTAACTCCCAGCCTAATTCTCTGTCTCACTCTGTCTTACCCCCTCCCCTAGGTCTCCCCCTTTTCCTCCCCCGCTCTCTCTCCCTCTTCTCTGCTGCTTACTTTATCATAGCTTCTCTCCACATGAGGGGATTCTCCGGACCCTCGGAGCAGAAAATGGAGGCTAGTGGAGAGAGACAGCAAGAGATAAAAAGAAAAAAAAAAGTCACACTGGCAAATACGATGCAGAGACACACGTGCACGCTGACATACATACATACAAAATGTTGTTTTAAAGCTAAACAAGGGTCAATATTAGTTCACATGCTTATCTTGTATTGTACTGTATTGTTATACCAGTTTACAGCAAAAACCTGTAAAGACAGGTCTCTATTGAAAATGAGACCCTGAGTCTCAACAAGACAACCCATATTTAAAGTTTAATAATAATAAAAAGGGCTAAAATATACAAGAAATACGCAAAAAGAAAATCTGAGATCAGGCTCTAAATTTTGGCTTAATCGATCAGCTTAAACCTAAAAAAGCCAGTACAGCAGGGTGGCTTGATTACATTAAAAATCATAATCACAATCATTTTGATCAGTATTGATTAAAAAAACAAAGGTTACCCTGGATCTGGCATCCGTATCACACAGCCACATCTTAAAACTAATCATTCTTAAAAAAGAACACAGTAAGTGGAAGAAGAAACAATTCAGCCTACCTTTTCTGTTTACTAAAGCGTGTCTTTCTGTCTGACTGGATGTTATCAATGTTTTATAAAGTCATATGAACTTCTGCTGACAGGGACAATGGATAAATTCTTCAAGTTACTTGAAGAGCTTTGGCCTAATTTTAGTTGTAAAACTCATTAAATCAAAAGCCAGATTTCAATTCAAAGTATTTTTTACTGTGTCATTAAGAATTGAAGGATTCGAGCTTGTTTACCTCCTTCAATTTAACGCAGGCTGCAGATCTCACAAATCATTCAGTCTTTTTAAACCTTGGTGTAACATCCTTTAGGAATGCAAGACCAGTGTTTGTATTTTATCAGGATTCTGACCCATGTCTCTCTCTTTTGGCCGGGCAGTTAGGAGATTGTTAGCTGTACTGGGGGTTCGGGACAGACAGTTTCACTCCCAAGGTCCTGTGCTGTTTACCAATTACCTCGGTGGAGTTAGCTGGAATCTGCTGCATCAGAATACAGCTGAACTGTTCTGCACTACAAGATGTTATCTGCACTTATTTACATCTTGTTAGAGGAGCCTTTTAGCAGTCTAGCAATGGTCTTTATCCAGAGCGACACCCGCAACTGGTGGCAGGTGGTGCACTACAGCTTAGACACAGAATACGACTGGCATTTCAGTCATCACATCCCTGCATGACCGCATGTTTGAATTTCTATGACACAAAATCCAAATCTGACCAGTCAGCATTTTTTTTTTCACAGAAGTTGATTCAAATCTTATGAGTTGCCAATAAACTTTGTTACAACACTAATAATCCCAGAGAAAATATAAACATATCAAATGTCAAGACAAACCAACTACCTTCAGAGTGAGGTACATAAAAGATGGTGCCATACCCCTTTATCAATGACATTAAATTTGAAATGGACATGTAGGATATTGGGTTATTGTTGTGTCAAAAATGTAATCGATGATCATTTTAAAGAAGAGGTTTGATCATGATTTTCTTTTTTTTTTCATGATTTTATTAATACTCCAAGTCTTGGACTCTAGCCTGACTTGAGTCCTTGTTTTCAGGACTTGTGTCTCGACTTGTTCTCAAGCAGCGATGACTCAGACTTGTACTTGGACTGAAACACTAACCGCATTAGGACTTGAAAAATCAAGGGGACACTGGCTTAAAAAGACTGTTTTAGTAATTATGTTAGTTTTTTATTATTTATTCAGTTTAGTCAAGGGCTGGCACATGGTTGGCTTAATTAGTGTCAGGTCTGATTCAGTTACAGATCCGACAAGAATAAAGAGACTGTACAAATCTTTGTGTTTCTTTCAAAGATGATGAAGTAATAGCAGGCAAGAGAAGAGCAGGGCAACAGGTTGGACAGATAAAACAACCATAAGAGGGTAACGGCATATCACTGAGACTTAACTTTTATGCCTTTTATCTGTCACTTATTTGATCACAGTTTGTTTGATCAATCACTTATTTCAGTTTCAGTTATTCGATCACCTTCGTTTACAATCTGTGTCCTGTTCCCTCTCTCCTGGTTTTGGTTTACTCAGGTGACTACTCCACTCAAAGCTCCCAGAACTGAGTGTCTTTCACTTTCACGATACCAACTCTTCCCAGATAGGAGCAATCAGCTTGTTTTCTGTAAATCTGCGAGTTTTGCAGACCTTGCTGACAGCTGTGTGTTCTTTGCAACACTCAAATCCCTTTGCAAAAGTTTTAAAAGAGCTCCTAAACACATTCATACATTTTCTTTGGCTATATTTCAGATCCTTAGTTGAAGGTTTAACATTGCCTTAACAGAAGAAAAGATAAGGACAAGCTTTAACTATGACAAAAATCTGACTTCCATTCCTATCCAGTGGTTCTTAATTGACCGGGACTTGAAAACTGAGGACTCAAGGTTATGTGACTGGACATTTTTTTGTTGTAGAAAAAGTAAAGAATTGTGTTTTTAGTACAAAAAAGGGTAGACCTCTTGTTATATTAACCCCAAAGGGACTAAAGACCTACTTTGATGAATGAAGAAACCAGTGAAGAGACAAAAACATAAAGACAACTGCACAGTTATACTGATGGTACTGTACTTTAAAGATAAAAGGAGGAATCAGATCATGGAGCTAGGAAAGAAAACATATATGTTCTCATTACTTTTTCATATGCAGTGTGTTTGTTTTGTTTCTCTCCTGGTAGTGAGTGAGACAGCAAGTCAGCGCCCAGAATAAAGCAATGGAGTAAGAGCGGCCAAAAATCAATGAAATAAATGGTTGATGTTTCACAGTCTGACAAAAGGACGGGATGGGAAACTAACAGAGTTTTATCAGAAGAAGAGGATTATGGAAATCAGGTTGTGATCTGCGGTGCGGTAATCCCCGCCGCAGCGAGCAATCCCATAAAAAGTGTTAGTAAGATTAACCAGCAGATTAGCCACGTATCCACGCACATATTTAACCGATTAAAACCCTTGAAAATCCGGACTCAGGGGAGGAACTGCACCGTTTAGGATCTGTATCCACTGTTAGCTATTTCCTCTAGCATAATTATGGAAAACTTTGTGCGCTGCCCTCCTAATGTGAGTGTGTGTGTGTGTAGTCTAAGAGCCAAGGCTAAAAGAATAAAGACAAGGGATTAACATGACCCCAGACTGTAACAAAGGAGGTTTAATTTCCTTTGCATCCCGATGATTAATGAGAGAGTTTATTATCCTTCTTTTTTCTACCTAATTGTAGAGTATAAATGTAGAACCAGGGCTTCAAAGTGGGACAGAGAGTAAAGGAAAAGAAAGACAGCTTTCTCTGTGTGTTTAACCCTCTGAGGATGACCGTGTGATCATTAAAGCAATCAATGATTGAGATCAGTCCAAGCTACTTTATAGTCACAATTAGGTGATCAATACACGATGTGTTTTCAACCTTCAGAATGAAAGGGAGGTGTGCGTCTGACAATGATTTTCTGATCAATCCACCACAGCAGGATGAGAGAGTGTTTGAAGCCATCACCAGTTAACAAGCTCAGTTTAGACTCAGAAATCACAAGCTGCTTCATGTCAGAAGAGCAGACAACAAACATAACAAACTACATGACTAGTAAATGTCCAGAGTCAGTAAAAGTATACTTTCTTTGTTAATACTTAGTAAAGAAAAAGTGATAATATTATAACCATAGTTCCTTATAAATACACACATAGTCTCTCAGCAATTTATTGTTGTGAAAGTTTGAATGAATAGTTATTTTTATCTTTTAACCATTACCAAATACTGGAAAATATCATTTCACAAAGATGTGACAGTTATTTTATTATTAAAAGAATAAGGAAGCCTATTGACATTATTTATTCAGTAGTAGGGCGGCAGTAGCTCAGGAGGTAGAGCGGTCGTCCAATAACCGGAAGGTTGGCAGTTCGATTCCCCCCTAATCCAAGTCTGTCCGTTGTGTCCTTGGGCAAGACACTTAACCCACCTTGCTCCCAGTGTGTGTCCTCCACTGGTGTATGATTGCGAGTGTTGTGTGTGTGGTGGTGGTCGGAGAGGCCGTAGGCGCAGAATGGCAGCCACGTTTCCACCACCACCAAAGTGTGACTGTGTGAGCGAATGAATGATGTATCCAATGTAAAGCGCTTTGAGGGTCTCTGATAAAGCGCTATATGAAATCTGATGCATTATTATTATTAGTTGTAACTTCTATTATATATTATAATAATGATAAAAACAATGGTTCCTTGATTTTAACTATTGACACACACTGAGGGCAGATGCATTATCAGCCTTGGCCCATTACCCCAGCAGATATTTGGCATTTGGGAGATTATCTTTCTCCGTCTTTGGCTCATAAGATTAATTTTAAGATTTTTTTGTTTTTTTCTGTTTATACACCATGCCCCGATAAAACAGTCAGTTCAGAGATATGGTGGACACTTCCACCACTTCCTATACAGCCAGTTAACACAGACAAAAGTTTGGAGGGAAAGAGCCACCCTGTTAGAAATGAATAATATAAATAATGAGTACTAGACTAAGATACAGGTAATGGGGGCTTGATTTGGAGGAGGAGGTCATAAAATTGAAATGTATGTAAGTTAAGAATATGTGGCACAAGCACATTTAATTTTTACATATCTATCTCACATAGCAAATACATACAAGAAGTTTACATTTACTACGTATCACATTTTGAGTCACCACAAAAAGCTGCAATAAGTTTACAAAGAACTCTCACTGTGGGCACAAACACTAGTATCTTACCAGAGTTAAAAACTTTGTTGTAGATTCATATTTTCCAACACACATAACAGAAGTAACTTACAGTTAGGTAACATCCAATCCTAATATCCAATTAACTGTCCATAATATCCATCTGTTCATCCATCAGAGTAAGCAAAAAGAAAAAACCCTGCAGTCATAAGGGGGCAGATTCGCTGAAGTAATCAAACTACTTTCAAAAATATATGTTTTCTTAATTCATGTGATCTGATACATCCAAATAAAAAAATGTATTTCAGAGTTTACTAAGAACATACGCAGTGAACCACAACCATATTCAATGAAATTAACATAAAGAATACAGTTGATAAGTAACAAAGTGCACTGTTGAGTTTGTTTGTGTCACATGTTAAAACAGCCTTAGACAGTGACAGGTAAAAAGTAAGATGAATTTATGGTCTGAATAAATAAAAATATGTGACAAGAATTTAAGGATCTTTAAGGATCGAATTTAAATCTTACAATGGGTCATTTGTATGATGGAGATGTGTAGCCATGTTGGAGAGATGTCTTTGGCCCAATGTGGTATCTTCTCATGGGGCCCATCATCTGAGCTGCAGATGTGCAAATGGTGATTTCAAGACTTGTAAATAACGCGGCATGGCTTTACTTCAAACCTTCACTAACAAACAATGTAATAATTTTACCAGTAAGTTGCTTGAAAAGAGAGACAAAGCTGAATATGGAATCATTGACCAGTGAGAGGTTCCTCTCAGCTTACAAGCCTTTATTACAGATACAAAGGACGTCCTCAATTGCATCCTGTTTCCACTGTGACATGGTGTTAAGGAAGTCGTTTGTAAAGACTTTGCTTCTTGACAGTTGCATAAAATGCATATTCTCCTGTGTTTAAGCGACTAAATGAGGCTTGTAGAGGATGTAGATCCTAATTAAGTCTCAGTGACTATGGCAGGGAATGTCCCAGCAGCTGCAGTCTCTGTGGAGGAGAGCAGGCTGGGCTGATGTTCAGCTGCAGGTGGTGACTGATGGATTTTTTCAGTAACTCCAACTGACAGCCAGCTTCAGGTGAAGATGCATAATAAAGATGGAAAAGCCTCACATGCTCTCTCTGTCTCACACACACACACACTCGCACACACACACAAACATGCACACCCTTTTATCTCTGTCCTATTGAATAACTCTCTGATGCTTTCCATATTCCATGCGAGGGATTATTACAGCTTACCCACAATCCCCAGCAGCTGATTATCCAGCATGTTGACAGGACAGAGTTGTGCTATCGCCCTTGTGCAGCAGTCAACTGTGTGTGTGTGTGTGTGTGTGTGTATGTGTGTGCGCGTGTGTGTGTTTATAAAGGAGAGGAAGCATACTGTATTTAATGCGTGTTTGTGTGTAAGTTTACTTTTTTTATGTAAAGGAGGGAAGCAAAGATTTATTCTGCATTTTAACATTTACCAGTGTGAGGAAGTTGCAGTAAGGAAAATATTTACCAATTGTGTGTGTGTGTGTGTGTGTGTGTGTGTGTGTGTGTGTGTGTGTGTGTGTGTGTGTGTGTGTGTGTGTGTGTGTGTGTGCGTGCGTGCGTGCGTGCATGTGTGTGTGTGTGTTTGTGCTCAAGGCAGCAGGTGTTTGTGGTTGATACCTGCAGCTCTAGCAGTGCTGATCACCCCAGCATGGCACCTCACCTTGGGAGGGAGACAGCTCTAAGCTCATTAGCGCGTGCAAGCACACACACACACTTACACGCATACACACACATAAAAACACAAGTACAATGCACAGTGGGCTACCTGGAAAGGTTGGGATGAAAAAAATTGAGAAAAAGGGGGAAAAAGGCAAATAAGCTCAGGGGACAGGGAGCAGAGGAAAAGAGAGAAGAAAAGGAGGTTCGAAAACCTCTGAAAAAGACGAGAGAAGAGAAAATGAAAAAGAAAAAGAAAAGGGGGGTAATTTTTCAGTCAAGAAGAATGAGAGGAGGAAAAAAAGATGGGAATTAAAGGAGAATAAGTGTAAGTAAAGAGAAGAAAAAGGCAGGAGGCTATTAGACTGAACAGAATACAATAGTTTGAAGACCTGGTGTTGTTGCTGCTGCAGTTCTCCAGCTCATGTGTGTGTTAGTCTAATCAAACCTGAGTGTGAACTGAAGCTCACTTTACTGGTAACTACTTCTGCATTTAAGCCAGTAACAAATCCTGTAATTAATGACACAGCATTAGTTCTAGTTAGCGATGCAAATTCTAAGTATTGTCGATGAACGATTTCTGGGAATAACCTGGCTGACAGCTGCAGCTCCTGCTGAGCATCTCTGCTGGGTGCAACAGCATTCAGTTGGTTTGCAGTGATGCATGCTTTTAACTTATAAGACTACTCGGGGAGCTCAATTTGAGACCACACGTTATTTATCTCTACCTCATAATCACACAAAATCTCTCTACAATCAATTACATGCTACTGGATTCTTATCTGTGGTCTTTCTCACTGCATCACTTAGACTTTTCTTCTCTTCTTTGGTTAAAGGGATATTCTGATCATTTTTTCATGGAAATGCAATCAGACCGAGACGCTAAGGCAGAAGAACTACCGCGTCTGCAGTGCAAATTGATTAATATGGTGATTATTACTTCAAGGAAATGATAAAGTAATGATCATGAATGTTCTTCCTTAAGCTGTGTTCCCCCGCTGCAGTCTGTAATGGACTGGCCCGAGGTCTTGCTACAAACAAGCAGCTGCTGGAAGAGAGTAGGTGAGTTGTGTTTAGTCTCTTTGCTAAAGAAACTGTTGTACTGTTGATGAAGTTAGGTGCTGTTCTGAGCATTATTTGTGGCTATAGCGTGACGTTTTGGTTGAGGTTTGTTTACGACTCCTCAGACCGCTGTGTATTGCTATCCTGTGGTCGTTACTAAAGTTGGTATAACTAAAGAAGCAAGTGATCAGCAACATTCATCTCTCGACGGGGTGTCGTGTGTTATGGTGTGTTTGACCCTAAATTAATTTTACGCCGGAATATCCCTTTAAATATGCTATATGCCGTCAGTGTACATCTTTCTCTGCTGCATCAAGTGTGGAAGAAACTAGAAAAATTTCATAATAATTTTAACTTTGTCATATTCTCTAAAGCAGTGGTTCTCAAGTCCAGTCCTTGAGGCCCACTGTCCTACATGTTTTGGATGTTCCCCTGCTCCAACACACCTGATTCAAATGATCAGCTCGTTATCAAGCTCTGTAATGGCTTCATAACGAGCTGATCATTTGAATCAGGTGTGTTGGAGCAGGAAACATCCAAAACATGCAGGACAGTGGACCTCGAGGACCTGACTTGAGAACCACTGCTCTAAAGAATTATGGGGGCATTAAATTAGTTCTAATAAAAACCTTATATCTGTGCTGATTTTGATTCCTCCCTTTCGACACACTGGTACCTCGTATGTCTTTACTAGTCTCTGAAAATAAATCTTATCCTGTCTTGTTCAACAGTCATATATATCGCTCACTGCAATTATTTGTTTTGGAAAAATAAAAACCAACTTTCTTTCTCAAGTGTCTGGCCTGACACCTACCACTAACAGTGTGGTCATCACATCACTACTGATAAAGACTCAGCCAGTCTTATGAAGAACCATATGGAAAGAGTACCAAGTTAAGTAGCAAGCTTTGTTGAATGAAAATTAGAACTACTGGCCTCACATAGAGATATATTGTGGATTATTTAGTCATTTGGGTTTCTGTATTTCCGTCGTGTTTTATTTCTCTGCTTTAAACCCAAAAACACAGTTCTTTGAAAGTGAGCACCGCCTGAAATGTTCCTTGTGTCCTGAACTAGTCCTCCCAAATGTAGAAGTACGAGTACACCCACATCTATACTGTACACGAAGGCTGAGCAGCGGAAAGAGAGAGCACCTTTTTTGTGTGGCGTTGAGATAAATAGGATTAGGGATTTGGGAGATTTAGGAGGAATAATCCGTCTGTGTATCAGAGAAAGGCAGCAGCGGTGATGATCAAAAGAGAACGCTGTGATTCAGAGCTCAGAAATCTGCGGATGGACTCAAAAGTTGGAGTGACATTTTCTCTTTTTTTTTTTCCCTCCAAGGATCAGCTTTCATTTTGTCACTGTGACTGCAGTAATTGCCACATAATCACCTCGTACTGTAAAAACTCGGTGTTTGTGCGTGTGCATGTGTCAGTGTGTGCGACACTGAGAGTGAGAGCCGGGGATGGACAGAGAATTATATATTCACAGTAATTAATCAGATTTACAGTTTACATCAGGGAAGAGAGAGAGCTTTTCTGTTTGTTGTGGGTGTTAGTTTTAAGCAGGGGATTGGACTTGGTGATTTAACACACAGTTGATTTGAACAGCTGCTCTGTTTTGCACTATCTATACTTCCATATCAATACCACATAAGCTTAAAAAAAAGACAAAAACTCACTTCAAACCGGCCTCTCTCTGCAGACTGAGTCATTCCCCGTTTGTTAAGAGGACCACCAGGCTTCTTTATTCCTCTCTTTTAGCCTCTCAATTGCTCTTCAGGACCACGAAACACAGGAACCTGAGAGCCATCGGGAGAAAAGAGCAAAACAGTGGAGCAGATCATGTGTTTGACAGGGGAAAAAAGACACAAACCTGTTAACCCCGCAGAAAGCTTAAGTCTCAGAGCAGAAAAGATGGAGTAAAAGCCAGGCTTCCTTTTTCTGGTTGAAGGATTTTTAAAAGCTGAGGTAAACAATACATACATTGATCAAGTTTCCACTTGTTGGACACACACAGCTGGGGTCTACTAGATAGAAATCATTAAGTCGAATTCCCTACTGTGCCAAATGGAGTCAGAAAGCACCCTGCCAAAAAGTTAAATAATTCCCCCTAAAACCAATGCAGTAGTTATGGAGAAATATAGCCAACACCTGCCTTGTAACTTCAAAAAAATCTAAGGGGCTGGACATAAAGTGTGGTTCATGCTGGACTAAATTCAAGTCACACGCAAAATTCTCTGTTACTTAAGTATAAGAGAAAAGAGGACCACCTAAATATTCTGATTTGACTAAATCTCTCTTAAAACACTGTGGATAAACTGGCAAAGAGGTGGCATAAAAGTTTGACTGACTATGCAAATACAGCAATGTAGTATAACTACAAACTGTCAATGATATTTCGTGATTACATTTGTCAAGTTTGTATCCAAAGCTGACCAGGCACCAAGAGGAGCTGAAGCTCAGAGAGAAAGGCCTGAATAGTGCTGCTGGACAAAGAAGGAACAAAACAGGTGCCCATGTGAACTCACCGAGAAATTAGACAGAATATTAAACAAACAGGACTTTTTCAAATGTAGACATACAACATAATATTTTTAAAAGCTTCGTGTCTTTGCATGCTTTTCTAGATCCAGGTTGACATTTAAAGAGGACTTATACCAAGTGAAGGCAACAGTGTAACAGCAAAATAAATTATACTGACTTTTAAGGGCCAAAAAAGCTAATCCATAGCCAGACAATGCTCACTCAAAACCTAAATTAACCTTCAAAATAACCAAGGTTACCATGTTGTAAAAAAAAAAAAAAAAACATAGTTTAAGTTTAACCATGCTGTATGAAACTAGTTTAAACTAGATCTGTATTGCATTGCTCTGTTTCTATATTGGTATTTAGTTTTGTCACCTGTCATCCTACTGGTTGTCCCTCCTTCAGCGCTGAAGTGTAATTCTGTGTTTAATCCGTCTCTTCTCCGACCTGCTGGTCCCACCGTCTGTCAAAACTCATCGGCTGCTTCTCAGTGAGGAGCACGAGCAGCGCTTCAGTCACGAGACTGAAGATTTCACACCTTAAAATACAACGTGAACCGTTTTCTTCATCCATAATGAGCTCTGAAACCCTACAGCTTGTTGTGTCTTAGCCTAGCTGAGCGCACTTTCGTGGTTTCACAATGTAGCGCAGTGGAACACGATTTGGCCTCAAAGCGGCGCGTTTGAATTTCAAAATTAAAGTCGTTCCGGTAGCTCACTTCCGGTCTTGCCCTGGGCCACGTGACTCGTATTGTCACGGTCCTGCACCAGCGTCTGTAATATTCGCTACCATATTAAAGCTCATGATACACAGTTTTGACCATAGACTGTATAAAGAATCTATGGTTTTGACTAATCACCAAAATATTAATATTATAAGAGGGTCTGACCATTATAAAACCAGCAATTATCATGAGTATATGAAAACCATTGGGACAGACTAGGAGCTGGTTATATTGCGGTATTCTTGTACTTCCTGTTTGGATGTGTGAGATATCAGAGAGGCTTTGTTCATCTCCTAACCATAGACTTTATATAGACTGGACGCCGTCTGCCTCCACGCTGAGTGAAGCCACTCCCAGAACAGCACACTGACAGGTGACAGGGTGTAGTATAGGTCATAAAGCCCGCCTCCTCCAGCAATTCCTATGGAGCTGTGGACAAACTTTATAAATTTATTACACAGAATATAAATTTTTCTCTCCCCTGCTTGCGATGTTGACATGTAGTTACAGTAAGACTGGTTTGTGCTCAAGTCCTCTTTTTTCTGTGAAGCTCCATTTTTAAAAGTTATTAGGGGGTTCATGTTTTCTATGATTGACACTTGATGCAGCCTATAGGCGTACGAAGATTCCGGAGCTCAACCAGGGATATGCTATTTGAGCCGAGTGCAATCACAGCGACTCTCCCGTTGAATACGTACAATGCTACTACGCAAGTGGTGAAGTACGTACAACCCTACTGCGCAATGTTAGTTTCAGGAAATGAAAGATCGCGGAAATACAGAGAGCTTTTTGGCATCAAATCCGTATACTGGCAGAAGGCGGAACCAAGTTCTCCACAGTATATACAGTCTATGCTCCTAACAGTGAATAAAGTCACTGAATACTCATGTTACAAAAAACACATTTATTTTCTAGATATTTGAATCATTTTAGATTAGCTAGCATTAAGACCATTCAGTATTTCTCCTGATTAGATGGTTCTTTTCCATGTAAAAGACGTACAAAAGTTTGTTATTTCTATAGCATGTCCTGTAAGAAAAAAAACAAATATATACATTTTTACAATCATTCAAGAGACAGACTTAAAAAAAAATAAGAAAAAAAAAGCAAATTGACATGAAATGAATGAGCTTAAAATGGCTGAAACTGACTGACCCCTCCCTGACACTGACATACCCCTGACCCTTTGTTTAATACTATCCCTGACATATAACAATCTGTCTGGTAGTTTTAAATTTCGTGTAAGTGAAAGACAACCTAACACAATTGGGACTTTTCAAGGCAATGTCACCGTTCACATTCAAAAATATTAGAAGACACATGACTGAACTTAAGTATAAAGGCAGATCTGTATTTAGGATGAACTTTGCTTGATTTACATTGTTAAGTATTCAAACACAAAGTTAATTTAGTACTAGTAAGAGTTTTTTTTTTTACTGGTACACTGGTAGTTGCTCTCTTAATGAGGGATCTCTAACCATCCATATAGTAAGACATCTAGTGTTTCAAAGAGTAAGAGAGGGTGTGTTGACTGACATTGTGGTGTTAGTAACCTTTATTTCAAATATGGGGGAAATCAACTCCAGACCATTCATTTTCAATTATAATGTCCTCTACCGAGGGGTTAATTTTAAAGGGGACCATAGGCAAATGGCATTACAATAAAAGCAGGGGACACAGTTTAGTAAGTAAACCTATTTTCAAGGCTATGAGTGAATTGTGCTATATGACTTGAGCAAGAATCGAAAGACTGACATGTTGATAACGTGATGGTGTGGGAACATGGGCTCAATCAGATGAGGCTGGAGACATGCACTGTGGGGCACAGGGACTGAGAAACCATTGTGTGAAGGGGTTAGGTTGCTCATAAATGACAAGAATACAGTGTTTTTCAAGTAATAACTCACTCTCTTTAGCTCCTATTTACTTAAGATTTCTATTAATTGGTCTTTTAACCACCATATGAGAGAGAGAGAGGAGAATAATGAACAGAGTTAAGACTTTTGTAACATTTAAATTATATTCTCCTGTTGGGTTTGGTAAACTGTTTTCCTCTATCGAGTACATAGGATGAAAATTCAGAATACACTTTGACGCATGATCGGGATCAAACATCCCATCACCAAAAATTAACAACAGCATGATGCTTAACAAACATGGGCTCATGTATGTCTGAATCCGCGGTGGTGGTATGTTGTGTGTACTGAGCATGTAGGTGGGCGGCTACCACGGTTACTACAGCGCAGTTGTTGAAGATAGGACTTACTGTTGAGACAAGAAAGGTACTTTTCAGACAGTGTAGGCGTTTCAGAACAGCAAGCTGAGGTTCTAAGGTCAGAGAGTCAGAGCTGAGGGATCAACAGGCTGTGGGCATTATCGGTCTGGAGCCAGTATCATTTTCTCAATCCATGTCCACATTTTAATGCTGTTTGTCTATCTGTCCGCAGTTTGTCCACATATTCAACCACCTTACTTGAGGGTTCTTTCAAGAAAAGTGACACCCAGAAAAGAGTTTTTCAAAATCGGAGTTAGCTCCAGTCAAACTGCTCAGCACACCTTTTGGTTAAGTCAGTGTTGGGTCACTTGTAACTGATCCCGGTGGGTTCCTCTGCAGAAAGCTGGCGAGACACAAACATCCAAATAGTTCCTCTCCTTTCATGAAAATCCAGCGGCTGTTAGTTCCTCGTGGACGTGTAGCTGCATACTCGGGCACAACAGATGTGTGCATGTGAAGGGTTTATTTCCTTTCTTTGCAGGTGTAACAAAAAAAGTAATAGAGGTCCCTCTGTCCGCAAAGTCTGCTTCCAAGTGGAAGTTTCTAGAAATATGTTGGTCATGGAGGAAAACAAAGTTCTTCCTTTCTTCCAGTATTTCTAGTAGATGACTTCATAAACAGTGGCCTTTTTATCCCCTGAGCCGGTGACTATGTACTTGTCGTCCACAGATATGTCACAGCTTAGCACTGAGGATGATTCTTTAGACTGAAGAATAACAGAGAGAGAAAATTCAGACTCATTTTAGAGACAAATTTTTAAAGCAAATAAAGGAGGAACACAATTTCTTCTGACTATGCAGGACAATATACTAAGAAGTTTGACATCTAGTGACATAAAATATATTGTTTTAATATTAACTATGTCAAAAGCCACAGTAGCCATAATAATCTGTCTGATACAGTTATTAAAAATATGCAAATGCAGCACAGGACAAAAGATGTGTTCCCTCATGAAAAGCAGTGTTTTAAAGCGGCAATATTCACAACTTGATAAGTGCAAAATAAACTACAAATGCACATCACAGAGTTCTGCTCAGTGTCTTGTGTTTTGTAATATCCTGCCATTGATGCACTGCAACTCTGCTAGAAATGATTTGTCACGTTAAAGCTAGAGAAGCCGCTTCAGGGTCTATCAAGCAACACATCATATAAACTCTCCCAACCTGGAATATGCTGGCCCCATACGGTGTCCTCCATGCATTCAGTAGGTTATCCTTTCCTGTGCTCACAAACCATTTACCTGAGAGACACATGCAAACACACATTCAATTAGCATTTTCAGGAAGAACGCAGACATCAGTGATAAAGATATCTAAAACAGAAATCAAATTGTCCACGTTAACAAAATATAAACAGTAAACACAAAAGGCTTTGTAGAATAAAATGTAACGCAACAGATAAGATGGCATTTAAGTGAAACCACAAGGGAAGGGGGCCCCTAATTGCTTCATAGTTGAGGTACACCTCAATACTAAGCTATTTGAAAGAAAAATGCCAAAAAGAAACTTAAAGTTAAACACAGTCTGTTAACTTCCACCAAACAGGACATCATTCATTTTAAAGGGGATGGTGTTAGAAAACAAACGAGCTGAGAAAACTGAACGCAGGGGGGGCTTAACAGACAGATGCATTGATAGATCGGTGCTTACCACAGTAGGCAAACTGCAGGGAGAGTACACAGCTCTCATGTAGATGAAGCTGGTATTTATCAGGCTTGGTGACATGAAGAACCTCCACGTTGCTGCTCTCCATTCCCACAGCCAGCCACTCTCCAGTCGGACAGTAGCCGAGAGAGAAAATCTGTGTGGAAAAGATGGCAAATATTACTCGCGTTTAATTGAGCATAGAGATTCAGCTTTACAAATCTAAGCCCCTGTGAAGAGCTTTTGATTGGTTATCAAACAGACTGAAATGAACAATGATACATCTTCAGTAACAATGAGACTCACAATTTCTAGATATAAGATTTTAAGCCTGCAACTGCAATATCTAATGTGAATGACGGAACCTTCTTTCTGATTTCCAATGCAGTTTATCAAAGGGAGTTGGTAAGAAACTGTGTTCGAGCTCCGACTGTGTACCTGTGATGTAAAGTCATGCTGCTGCAGCTGCCGCCCCTCTCTCAGATCCCAAGAGCGGACTGTGTTATCGAGGCCTCCAGTCCACAGCTTGGTGCCATCGTTGGAGATGTCAATACAGCTGGCTCCATCTGTGTGGCCCTGGAACTGCCTGTAGGATATATACATACACACAGAGCTGAATAAAAAGCAACACTTTAAACAAAGACACGCTAAGTCTCAGGTTGCCAGAGCAGTTGATAAGCTGATCAAATCCATCCATACAACTTTCAAAGAATAACACTTATATTTTCCTTTTAAACAAACATGATGTATGTACAAGTTTCTCTCTTACCTAACCAGTGTCTGGTTGTGTAAATCCCAAACTGCAATGTTTCCGTCACTGCAGCAGGAGAAACAGACCTTGGAGTCTGGGCTGATGGCTAGAGCATAACATGCCGGCGCTGATGATGTTAATTCTGCCTTAATCCTCGGGGTAGGCGTGGCCAAATCCCAGATTGACAGAGTGCTCGCCTCGCCTCCCACAATCAACGTCCGACCATCAGGAAGCAGTCGACAGGAGCGGATGTAGTTATCGCGGTTCTGATGTAGCACACACAAAGAGTGTATTTAGATCTTTACTTACATTTACCACTACATTTGTGCACATTGACAGTGCAGTTTTATGTGGTTAATATCTTCTTTTTATACACATCAAGTCTGAAATCTGCCGACTCACCAGACAGTCAAGCTGTGACACTGGGCTCTTGTTTCCTGGGTGACTAATGTCCCAAACTTTGACACATCCCTTCCCTCCAGTGTAAACGTGCCTGGTGGGGTTGCTGATGGTGACTGCACACACCACCTCCCCGTGGTTCAGTGTGTTGATCTGACGGGCGTGGCGAGGAATCCCCGGACCCACCAAAGCATCTGGGGGGAACGGGACTGGTTGCATCTGTCCGTCAGCCGCCACGTGAAAGGAGTAAGCACTGATGATACAAAACAAAATAATGATGGGACTTGGAAGAGGTTTCACTCAAAAGTAGGGTTTGTTTCAAGAGGGCATTTCAGGTCCTTGAACATACAAACAACCACAAACACACTTACGGTTTGCCACCAGGGATCCCTGTCAGACTGGGAGGCATTCCAGGAACTCGCATGTGAGGATGAGGATCAAAACCAACCTTGTGAAGAGAACAAAGACATTTTTATGAGCACAGCGCAAACACACACCCATGGGCATTGGCAGAAGATGCACACAGGTCAATAGTAACCTGCGGAACCGAACACAAACACTCATGAGCACAAAGCAAACACGACACTCTTGAGCACACACACCCTTTGAATCTGAATGACAAGTTTAAGAGTTAGCAAACACATAGAAGCAGAGCTGTCACTGCTTGTGCTGCCCCCAATCAAACGCACAAACACACAGTGACGCTCTTCACACACACACACAGTGGGTGAATTTCTATCGAGTGTTGCCCAGACACAGCTGTGAGTCTACTAAACCTATTTAAACAGTGTAATGAACACTTTGTAAATACAGCCAAGAGTGATGAGGTGATTGAAGGTAATGCTCACTAGCATACACTCTGTTTAAATACTATCACACTCACACTCGAGAAAAGCAGCTGTGCAACTATTGACAGTTTCCACACTTTCACATATAAAAGTAGTGCTCATTAAAAGGTGTTCACGCCCGTAAACTTCAAACACAGCATAACAGTCAAATTAATCAGAACTTGCAACGCCGATAAACACTAAAAAAATAGATAAATATTCAAAGTAAAAAAAGACATTTATAACTAAAGTAAATTAACTGACTAAAGCAGGACTTGCTCTGCAGACTTCATGATTGAAGCACAATTTGACAGAATTAATTCAACTGCAAAGTAGCTACAATCACTGTCACTTTCCAAGATCAGAGAAGGGATTCAAGAAAACCCGCATCACACACACATCTCCTTTCCATCTTTTTTAACTTTCAGAAGCAGCGTTCAAAGAGATAGAAATGTGAACTGTAACTTTGCCAAAACAGTTCTCTCTACTCACCATTGGTGAACGACCATAAGCAGCAACAGCAGCAGCAGCAGCAGCACTCATTTGAGGTGACATGTTGTGCAGTCCGGCAGCATAAGCCGCAGCCCCTGCAGCACCGGCCAACTCGCCATTCATCCCTGCTGCATGAGGCAACATACCAAATGCACCCGGATATGGGCCTGGAACAGCCAAGGGGGTCCGCAATCCTGCAGCTTGGGAGGAGAGGGGAAGAAGGAGAATGAAAAAGTTAAAAAGTAGAAACTAAAACAAGAAAATACAAGTTTAAAGTCACTTAAGTATCGAGCCTTGACCCTGCAGACATATGGCTAACCATCAAATGTTGCTGGAAACACCACGGTAGATTAGCACCCTTTGGCATAGCTTTTTTCCCAAAAAATTATAATAGATCTGATTGAAACAGAGCCTTAAAGGCAAAGAGTCCTACATCATAAATCTAAAAATAGACCAAACATTTAATTTGTTTCTGAGAACTATCATAAGACTTACTTGGTGCATGTGGTATCTCCATTGAAGGTGGTTTTGAGAGACTGGGCCGAATACCTGGAGTAGAGCTTGGACCAGGAGTAGAGTCACCTCTTGGCGTGGGCGTGCTTGATTTTAGCCCGGGTGTACCTGCTTTGTCTCGCTGCAACATAGAGACAGATAAAACGCTTAAAAGTATATACAAAAAGTGTGTAACCACTGATATACATGTCCATCTATCAACTGATTTCTTAGCTTTTTTAACACAACTTTCTCTACCATTGACATCTCTTTGGATTTGAGGGAGGAGGAGCTGGCTGATGATGCAGTGGAGGCTGGACTGCAGGGGTCTTTCTTCAGGAGACGTGCTTTATCCAGGCCGTTTTCTCTCGGGGAAGGGAGAGGTGTGCCACGAGGGGAGGCGGGATCCTGGCGGGAGGACGAGACGTAGTTGACAACATGCGCAAAACGTTTCACAAAAGTGATGGTGACATTGATTGAATATGGAAGATTCCAGACCCAACTGTAAATGTATCAGTATGCAGTTATTGAGGAACTGCACAAATTTCAGCAATAACAAAAAATATGAAACCACTGACCTCGTTTGAGACATCCACCACTAGATTATCGTCACTTTTTTCCCCATCACTGTCCTGCAGATGAAGAGGATTTGTCAGCCCAGACAGATTCTTGAGAAGAACTTAGTACACATGTACTTTTGACTTAACAAGCTGGAAAACAGGCTTTTGGAAGGAACCTATCAGTTCGAGTTAAGCTGAAATAATGCCATTGGGGAGAACCTCTTTCAAAATTCATCGTTTGACTTGATGAACTGAAAAACTAGAGTTATATTCTTTGCAGAAACAAAAACACAGTCAGTAGAACTGTTCTTACATAGTGGCTGGAGTCCTTGTCGTCAACCTTGCGTTTCTTGGTATCGTTCGGAAACTCTGGTCCGTTTCTTCGTTTATCTGAGTTTCGGAGACTTTCTGGCAGCAATGAGTTACTCTGCAGATGAAAGCGGAGAGGAAGGGGAAGGACAGAACGCAGCGGAGAAGAGTCGAGGGAAGAGAGATTAAAGAGAAAAAAAAAAAGATAGCGTAGAAAGCAAATAAGACGAAAAGAGAAAGGAGAGTTTGGAGGACAAAGGAGAGAAAAAAGGGGGATTTGCAGTGGTGAGACAATTTTTGCTTATACAGTTTGGCCTGTGAGCAATCCGCATGAGCTCACTCAACCGTCTGATCCACCTACAACTAATTACAACCGCCTTTCAGCTACGTTTAGAGCAGGTTAGAAAAACAGACTCTTACTTGCAAATAGGTTAATAGTTCACAGCAGCATGAATTAAGCGGCGCTAACACTTTAACAGCAGCCGCTTTTCTCACTTGACCAAAGCCTGTCACAGCCTCGCACAAACCCACACCTCTGAAGTTGATGATTACATTAAGTGGCTCTCAAAATCTATCAGTGCTCCCTCTCCTGGCTCTGACAAGCTGCACTGGCTGCAGTTTGCGAGTGTGTGTGATTGTATACGTGAGCGTGTGCACAATGTGTAATTGACTGTATAAGCCTGCGCGTATGATCGAGTGTGTACCAGACTGTGTGTGTGTGTGTGTGTGTGTGTATTACTTTCATAACACTCATGTGTCCTGAGACTTAACACACATGTGCACAGAGATACACACACACAGGCGCACACACACAAAGCTGCCCCCTCCAGCCTCCTGACCAACGGACCCCATTGTTAATGGATTAAAGCTTCATGTTGAGTCCATTATAGTCTCAGCCTGTCAATGAAATGTGCATCCAACATACACAAACACACATGCGCGTGCACACCTCCACCGAGCATGCGCTTAGACTTTGAGGGGGGAAAGGGTAAATGAAGGAGGCAGAGCTGAGAGGAGGGGGGGAAAGAGAGGGAGGAGGAGGAGGGTGAGAAAAAGGGGGAAGGAGGGGGAATGAGATTAGAGGACAGAGAGGATGGAAGGAGGGTGTGAGACTGTGGAGGAGAAGAAAGGGTGACAAGAGACGAGGGAGGGGAAGAGACGGGGAAGGGGGTAGGGGGGGGTTTGTATTCTGCCAAAGGCCCCCTTCCTTCACGCCGTCTCCCCTCTCCCTCACCCACCCTCTCTCCCTTCCTCCCTCCCACTTACCTCCTACCCCTTTATTGAAAGGTTTTAGTGAGCTGAGCACAGGAGCACTGACCCGCAAAACATAAGCAATTTCCCCCCTCTGTCTCCCCCATTCGCTTTTAGCACGGTCTCTCGCTCTCTCCCTCACTCTCTTACACACACACACACACATACACACACACAAGCTCAGTGTCATATGACTGCTGGTCCCCCCCTCCCCTCCCTCTCCAAAGCCTTCCCTCTCAATGGTGGTGATATTAAACACAATGAGAGTCTTTAAGCGCGGGATCAGGGGCGGTGGGAGGGGAAGAAGGGGGTAATCTGCTCACTGAGGTGTTAAATAGGCACAACAATGCAGGCTAGGCTGGCGGAGAGTGTGTGCGCGAGTGTGTGTGCGCATGTGTGCGCGGGCGAGTGTGTGCGTGTGACCATGCTAAAAAGCTCATTTGGAGGAGAAAAGAAACCTAACAGTTCAGAGCAGATCTAGAGCAGAACTAAATAGGCAGGCCAAAGCTATCCCCCAGAGATCCCCGAACGCACAAAAGTACACACACACTTTTTGGAAATGGCAGTCAAAAATATGCAACTTCAGGATGAAAACTACTTGGGTGTGAAACGGAGGTAAAAACAGCAATGAGCTTTTATGCATATAGAGGTGAACTCCAGCAGTCCCTGAGGGGGAAATGGTTTGGGTTTCTGTTTCAGCAAAAGACACATAATGAAAGTATTACTATTAAGATAAATAGAAATGAATCGGATATGAGCTCAAGTTTTCCAATCTTAGTTTTTATGGGTTCACTTCTGACTGTTGAGATCATGTTTTCAATATGTCAATGGCCCGAGATGAACTTGGCTTTTAATGGGATTAACAACATTGTTCTTTGGGTCTTTGTTGGTATTTACTGATACTTTACTGGTATTTCCAGATATTTCCAAACCACCTACCCCCGACACTTACACAACTACAAGTTTGATAACAAGCGTGGTTCGGCAAAATGTAAATATTGTGTGGTTTACTAAAAGAGGATTACTTGAAGTTTGTTTGTCCTGTAGTTTGAGAAAGGTACCAACCCCAGAGGTCAATCAACTGAGCTGCTTCGGACTAGTCTCACTGTGGAGCTCCAGTCCACCAGAATGCTAACCGCTTCTAGGAGCAAATTCAAGACCTCTCAAAACCCTAAGTGTACTTTCGAGAAAGACGAGGACGAAAGTGAGCAGCTTGTCGAAACAGCGAGCATTGCTGCAGAAAGAGGAAGTACTTACTGTGCCGGGCTCTCGCTCTGTGGCCGTTGGAAATATGTAGATGCAGTTTAGGTCAGAGGGTTGGGTGTTCAGCAGAGCAGAAAAAAGATAAATATAAGAGATGAGAATGAATTAAAAATGCAAGGGCGACATATATATGTGCATAATTAATTACTGAAAGTTTGAACTAAGAAGCAGATATGACCACAGTTTAAGTTTTAGTACTTAAAACTTTCATCTCAACAAGAGCTTTAGTCATTGAATGATTCCAGTTTTTATTTCAGATGGTGTTCCTGTGGCGGAGGAAGCATTCACTCACCTCTCAGGTGCTCAGGTCCTCCTGGATGCGAGTCAGGTCCGGACAGGTGAGGCTTTTTATCGCTGCCATCTTTTCCTGCCAGATGGGGAGGGATGGCGCCAAGTGCTCCAGACAGCGCCAGGAGACCGGCAGAACCACCCAGCTGAGAGGGGTGGAGGCCGGCGGGGTGAGGGGTGAGGGGCACAGGTGCACCACCGTGGTTGTGGGATAGATGCTGCTGCTTAGAGACAGGCAGGAAAAGCAGAGGAGGGCAGAGTTGGTTAATTGATAGTTGAGGAATGATCTGGGACATTTATGGATGCCGAAACACAGATTTGGATTGCAATATATGGTGAATTATAAACACAACGCGAACAAAAACATCAGGATTAAGTTTCTGATTTAGCCCTCAGCAATGACCATATGCCTGACACCAAAACTCAAGTGTCAGTGAGCCACACTGACTGAGCCATCAATGGGAGACAATCAATAGCACTCTGTAACCCAATAAATGGAGACTCCTGGCCTTCCTGAAGACTTCAACAGATGGGACAGTTTCTTCAGTGTCTGAGTTTACACCACCTCAACAAGCTGCTGCAGTCTACAAGGTGGTGAACACATCCTGTCCCCCCTACACACACTGCCTCACACACACACACCCTCCTCCCTCTGGGGTCAAACACTGAACAATACTGACAGCTGGGATCACAGCCCAGAGCTCGGGGACGTGGTGGCAGGAGAGGGGGTAGGCAGAGAAGTGAGGTGGGGAGGGGGAGCAGAAAGCCCCAGCTGCTGCCTTCACTGTCAGGTCTAGTGAGAGAGTACGGCGGCTGAAGAGAGAGAGGGGAGGAGAAAAGGAGAGAAGAGGGTCAGGGGGAGAGAGAGAGAGAGAGGGAGTTTGGCTTGCAGCCCTGCTCTCTCTTTCACACCAAATCAGGCGCTCGTCTGAGCGTGAAATGCCTTTGTGTTCCAAAACATCATTATTGCCTCCTCAGACAGTAGCCGCGGGAATCCAAGCTCACTGATTCGCCGCCGGGAGGGGAGGAGGAAGGAGGGAGTTGAGAGGAGAAAGAAGGGGGGGGGCACAGGAGGCGACTCTGCAGGGGTGGAAGGAGTGCTGAAGGTCAAACCGACTTTTATCTCACCTAATTGACTAACCCACTCCCCCTCTCCTGAGCCCCCGCCCTCTCTTTTCCTCACTATCCATCCTTCACTCTCTGCGTCCTGCCCCCATGAATGAAGGCTAAACAACGAAACAGTCTTTTAGCCTCAACCCCCATGCCTGCCTGTACACACAGACAGATACACGCATACACTCGATTTCCCGAGTTGGCACGCCTGGCTTACAATCAAACATAAACACACCCACACGTCACACTTGATCACACTAACATGCATACACAGAGTCTAGATAAACAAGGCAGACATACACACTCAACCATTCTACCCCTGCCTGTTGTTTTTCGGCGGATAACAGAAACACATGCTCTGTTTCACCCAGACGCACACACAAACAGATGCAAAAACACACACAGATACACAAACAGGACCCCTGATGGGAGTAAATGGAGGGGAAGTATTCTGCGGAGGGAAAGGGGAGCCCGGTACGTCACGGGATGTTAGTGTTGATGTAGCTGGTGTGTGTGCATGTATGTGTGTGTGTGTGTGTGGAGGTAGGGGCAACATGCTTCATTACACTCATTTAACTCACAAACAGGGTGAATGACAGGCTGGCGTGGGAGACGGGAGGAGAGGGGAAGAGGGGAGTGTAAGGGCAATGCTGTGACCCCCACCCTCCCCTAACCCCCCTTTACAAACACTGAAATCCTGCAATTAAGACTAAAACAGCAACTGCCAAATCCAGCTCCCCCCCATCACATACACAGACCCCCATCAGTCCATGCTAAATAACAAGCACACCTCATATTTAACTCTCTGAACCCAATGCTGACTCTCTACTTGGCTGATACTCCGAAGAACCCCCCCCCCCCCCCTTTGCCACATTCCCCTTTAACTCAGCTCTGGGCCTCACCTCCTGCCAGTCAAACCTCTGCCTGGACTCTTTTCTGTCTGGCAACTTTTTGATATTCGGCATACCGCTTTGTGACATTGAGCTAAGTTTTAGCGCAACTGGTGATTTGAGTTGTCGTTTTCCTTTAAAAACAGTATCTGATGTGGGCTCACAATCTCACAAAGTAAAGACATCATAAATTTGCAATTGCAGGTGATTAGGTCATGACACCAGTGCAAGGGCCAAGCTTGAGTGATGACTTCGAAGATTTTAAGTGATAATTCCGAAAAGGAAAAAAAAAAAGTTGATGCATAAATCTGAGTGTAGCGATGCACTGATCCAATATTAGATGTCGGTATCAGTCCCGATACTGAGGAAAATTCGAGATCGGGTATCATGACGATGGGCCCGATGCATAAGGGTCGATCTATTCAGTCTAAAGGTCCTTACACACCAGGGCCGATGCGAATATAGAACGCAAAATTACGAAATATTCTCGGGCGAAATTTGACGCGCCTCACTATACACATCCTGCCCGATGCGATTTTGCGACTTTCCAGGGGAAAAAAGACGCATCCCGGGGAAGACTTTTCCCAGGGAAAGTCCCGCCTCCTTTACCTCTGATTGGCTAGAAAAGCTGGAAACGTCATCACACACTTAAGCCCAACAGTCAGCACTTATAGCCAATCAGAGGCGATAATACAAGCACATGAAAACTATGGTAACAACGGTTAGCTTACATTAGCACAGATGAAAGTTAAAATAAAGACGTTTACCAAACTGTTAAAGCACACAGACCATCATCATATGAGAGATCCGATGCTATGTTGTCCTTCAGGTCGTTATCTTTGTAATGTTTGTGTCTTTTATCTAAAAGCACTCTGTTCTCCGACACGTAAACAATCAGCCGGTCAGCCATGTTGGATGTACCAGTGAATCAGACGTCGCAACAACACTCAATCTGATTGGTCAGAAGTGGACACACAGTGTGTGAAACTTTAGAAAAATCGACCATGATCCGAAAAAATAAATGCCACAATATCGCAGGACGGGAAAATGTCGCTGATGTGAACGCTTGTATTGACAGGATACGGGTTCGGAAAAAAATATTGATGTCCGAAATAATTGCACGACAAAAACGGTCCTGGTGTGAAAGGACCTGTACTCTATGCTATGCCGTGAGTGGTGTCCACAAGTAAACATGCTGAGCGGATGCCAGGATTGTTTTCAAAATGGAGCGATCAAAGGGGTCTGCTATCTTGAACTTCATCACAATACCTCAGCCTACAAGCTCGACGTCCACTTGCAATACCTGCGCAGTAAATGTTCGGAGGGGCAGTGTTAAAACTTGATCGGTATCAGCCGATACTAAACTGTAGATATCTGTATCGTATCGGAGATGAAAAAAGCGTAACAGTACATTCCTTTCTGAGTGTGAGTTGTATGAGGAGTGTCTTTGTGTTGTTTTTGTAGGACAGAAGAAGTGTAAACATTGTTGATTTCAATATAGAGTAAGTAGAAGAATACACACTGTCGGTGGAAGCCCTGGAAGTCCACGTACCCCGATGACGGCATTGAGCTCTGCCATGGTCACCTGTTTGGCCCGCTCCACAGCTTGAACCACCTGCTGCTGATGCTGCGAAACACAAAGACACACATGATGTTTTTTTCTTTTTTTTCAGATTAAGAGTAAAAAATCATTTCCAGAGACAACTAGAGAGTACGCATTTAGCCCAGAGAATAACAGTCTGTTAGCTCAATGTCACACATACTTACCTCCTGTGAGAGGAAGGGAATGACTTGTGCACAGATGGTGTTTAGTCTCTTGGCAATCTCAGTCTGAGAGAGAGAGAGAGGGAGGGAGAGAGAGAGACTTCATTGTTAATAACATAATTACATCCATTTAGGAATGACAGCTGTTCAGTAACAACAATAAAGTAATACAAGCATACGCACACTGAGAAGTTCACTACTACTCTGCAATACATCACGAAACCCATACGCTTCTCGTTACACACAAATCCAGTGTCTGCAATTTTCGGCATCACGAACGCACAAACACCAAAATAAGATTTACCTCCTAATTATCAATGTGAGCTCAAGTTTCCGTCCTCCTTGTTTTTCTTTTGCTCTTTCTACCCTCTGTGATCTTGTCCCTTTTCCCATCAGCACTTCAACATAATCTCATCAGCTACTAACTTCATTTGCTCTCCCCCAGTATCCATGCCAACACATCCGCCTGCCCCTAAAACCCCCCGGAGGTGGCAACAATTGGCTGAAACCAGATACCCCCACAGTGGCACCAAATCAGATAAGGGGACTCATATTACACATCATCCAATCAAAGTGATACATAGAAGGCGAGGGTGAAGAGGGAACTGGAGCAGCCATGAAATGTAGTAATGGCTCAAAAGACCCACAAATCCAACATAAATAGACACATGGACACACAAGCTGGATGGGAAAGCTCTGAGTCGATGTGTGTAGTAAGTATATGAAATCTAAGAAAAAGTTGCGTGATTTTCATAATCATGGCTTGACAGCTCATGAAACTTTAAGCCATGGAAACTCTTCTAACAAAACTTCGGTTACATGACATTCACAGACAAATAATCTGACCAACCGTTACTAAACCTGATGTAGAAATAACTGTGTTCTTCAGGCAAGTAACCATTAAAAGTTGAAATAAAAAGCACTTCTCTTTTTCATTAAATTTCAAGATATCTATTGCTCCAGTTCCCTTTGTAAGTACTTTTCAAAAAATGAGCCACTTCGCCATTTTCCTCTCCCATCAGCTTTTGCGAGAGACGAGCGGATATTGCTCCAATTCTTTTCTCATTAAAAGGTCAAGAAGAGTCACCAGACATGCTATCGGCTCTGTGAGGCAGGAGATTTTGGTACAGCCGTCCTTCGAGCTAAATTTGCCTCGTCTTAGTTTAGCCTGTTCAGGTCAACATGCTTATATTTAGCATGCAAAACAAGGCTAAACGGAGTCAAATAGCGGGATCAAGTATCAAGACAGTGGGGCAAGAACTGAGCTAACCTATCGCTCTTTTTATCAATATAACCAGTGCTTACTATGTTACACGACAGCAACAGTTTGCTTCAAGAAAGTACAAAAGAGCTTTCCCATCTGTAACTATGATGACATTTAAGACATAGCTAAGATACCACTGTACTTTGTCAAAGATTTTTGGGTCCTTTACCAATAAATGTAAGACTTCTCCGTGTGATTTCAAATTTCTTCAAGTTTAATCTTTAGAAGACTGAGAGGACAAAGTACGGCCAGATAGGAGGAAAGTCTGGGGATCATTAAGTCTCTACAATTCGGCTTCTGGGGACCATAAATGTGTCAAATTTCATCTGAATCCATCTCTTCATGTTTCTGTCTGGACAAAAGCAGGGAAATGATGCCATGCCTCAGGCTATGCTGCTTGTATTATGTGCCACTAAACACGTTTTATTGTTCCTGAGATTGCCCTCTTATGCGGTAGCACAAATGCCCTCATTGGATCAGTCAGTCAGTCACACACACACACACCCATCAGCATTAAGTGACCCTGCCACAGTTCAGCCAATTATGTACTTGGATGAGCTAAATAAAGTACTTGCCCTTTCAGAACGCGTCTTGAACTAATTGAATAAGAAGCTGCATCACCTATAATATAACTTAGGGGTATATCTGTCGCTAAAAAAAGACATTTCCAGGTAAGACTCGAGTTTCAAATGACACTACCCAATAGAAGGTAAATAAGGTGGTTAGACATGTCTCGGAGAAGGTAAGTAACCAAATTAGAGGTAAATGTACACAGAACAGCTTTGACAAACACCACACGCTATTAACTTATGCATTAAATAGCAATCATTTTTAGAAATTAAAGGTTGTATGAAACTAGAAAAAGAAATAAATCCACTTTTGTTTCTGTTCGTCATTTAGAGGTTAACTTGTGAATGAGCAATGTAACATGTCTGATATGAAAGGCTAAAGGTATACTGACATAATGTATGTGAATTAGCTGCAGGCTGTGTTAACATGACACACTGATGGGCAATCGCTTATCTATTCGAAAAAAAAAAATTAATTTGAGATTTATGTTGGGACCGATGCCGACACCGAACATTGGGGGGGGGGGGGGGTTAATTTTTTTTATGAAGTTATAAAAAAGATATATATATACTGTAGATATCTAGAGTATACTGTAGATATACTGTAGGCTACTGCTCTTCACACCGACAGGAAGACCGACTGATCAAACTCGTTAGCACGGCTAACAGTGTAGCAAGGCTAATAGCAGGTGGCTAGCCCTAACATTAGCTTGCGTATTACATGGTGCTGCACCGTTAACTCGGTGTGACCGAGACCAGCACAGCGGGGAACATCGTGAAGTGAGCTGAACTGAAACTTGTTGACTTATTGTGTATTTCACAAACTAGTTTATTTACCGTTGAAGCGGACCACTCTCCTCTGTACGTCCCTGAGCTGCCTGCTTCAGATCCTTCACTCTGCTGTGCTGTGAGGTAGTTAGTGGATGAAGACTGTCATGAGGTACAGGACAAGTCGGGGAACTTTTCAAATGGCGCAACATTTTCGAAGTGAAACCGAATCTTATTCGCCGTATTTTATTTCTGAACATATCTGTGAAAATCGGCAGGAGGTGAGTTTTGGCCGATTACCGATTAGTCTCAAACGGGCTAAAATTGGCCGATTTAATCAGCTTGCCGATAAATCAGTCGGGCCCTAATTTATATTACAGTTAATAAATCACAGATGTCTCTTCTCAAGTTGGTATGTGTCTGTCTTTGCCAGTCTGTGCAGCATTCACGTGATAAATCTTGGCATTGTTTCCAATACGTTTTGCCATGTTTGTGCATCCTGAGTGAGTACATGTCACAACTGCTTCCAGATGACCAGATGAAGGATTCCCCAGTAGCGAGCTAATGAGTTGCTGATTTTAGCCAGCCATAACCCAATCTAATAATATTCAACTTATTCACAGCCTTGAAGGAGTTATTTTAGGCGAACCATCATGTACTTCCATTCGCAGAAATGGAAGTTGGAAGCCTATAATTACCCGTGCGCTGAGGCTTACTGATAAGGCAATCTTAGAATAGTTGGACCAACTACTACCAGGTCAGCTCAGCTAATCTTACTAAGCTAACTGACAAAACTAACAAGGATCAAATAGATGAGGCCACAAATACCTGAAGGTGCAATCCCCAAGTGAGACATTATTACAAAGCGTGACTCAAAGGCCACTTCAAGGAAATAAGTTGAGACACTAAAAGCTCACAACTGTCATCTTCTGAAAAGCCGGAGTGGGGAGCTGCTATGGTGCACCACCCACATAATGATATTCAAATAATGAAGAGAGTGAGCAAACTAAAGTTGAGGAAACAGAAAGAAGTGTGCACACACTATGTGCTAACAGAGAACAGGCTTCCCATTACACATATAATTGGGGCATTACTGACGCACCACATACACACACCCCTACCTCCCCAGCAGGAGGTGGGTTGTTCTGAAGCCCTCATACCCCCCTCTGACAGAAGCTTGTTGCTCTGACAACTGCAGCCCAAAGCTAATGACCTCCCCTGGAGCTTTAGTGTGGGCCAGTTTCTGTGAGAGTGTGTTTATGTGAGTTTGGACAATGGCAAGAGATGCATCTCCCTCACAATGAAAGAGCAGTTGCTTCACATGGACATAAAATGAATAAGGAGCCGAGGAAAAAAACAGCAGGGTGGGGTATAGCATGGGGGGGGGGGAAGAGATTCCAAAGAAAGGGAGAGTATTTGAGTGTAAAAAAAAAAAAAAAAAAGAGAGGAGAGAACAACACAGGGAGAGGAGAGACGCAAGAAAAAAAGTAATGAAGGGGAGTGTGAGAGAGTCAGTGAAGAAGCATCTCCACTCCTCAGTGAAGCAGCCAGGCCAATCCACCTCCAATTTCCTCTGGTCTGACTGGTCGATAGCTGTGGTAATTACTGGTAAACGCTCTGAGCCATGCACCACTCCTGTGGGGAAATGTGTGTTTGTGTGCATGAGAAAGAGAGTCAGAGTTTTCCCTCCTCATCTGTGTGTCTACTCAAAGTGTTTACCTTTTTATGCGCCTGTGTATGTGTGCCCATGCATAAACATGTTTGCCTTTCTGTGTTTGTGTGTGTGTGTTACTGTGCATGTGTTTAATTGTCCCTGTCCTTATGTGTTTGCATAAATTATTCATGGCTGAACATAAATGTCCTTGCCTTACATCACAGTAGGTAGGTGTCCTTTCTGTATTTGCATGTCTACACACTTGTGCATCAGCCTTACTAAGGTGTGTGTTGGTCTGCTTTCGCCTCCCTGCCTCTTAAAATGGGAGCTCTACTGTCTCTCCTTTGCCGGCCTCGGCGTGATCGATTCTTCCGCCCTCCCCAGCCCTGCCCCTCTAATGTAATAAAGCAGGCCGCTCCCCTAGACAGCACCAATCAATCTACAGAGCCATTCATCCTGCCTCTGGGCTCAGGCGGCCAACCCTAACTGGGGAAATGGAGACAGAGCCCCATCGATCACAAATAAACGCACATCTACACACACGGGCATACAGTAAAACACACAGATGCACGCACACACAAATGCATTTGCACGCACGCAAGGACATGTCAACAGACACACATACACACACTAAACGTATCAAACCCTGCCATGTGAGATGGGGGAATAAGCAGGTCAGACGCACAGACACAGATAAGCTTCCATACCTGTTTGTGCATTTCGATATTGAGGCCATAAGACATCTCATAGTACTGTGGAGGACACAAAGGAAGATGATTAGAAGATTGTCTCATCGGGTAGCAACTTTCAAACATCCGCACCAAATGCCTTTTAATCTTGCAGGAGTGTTTACTATGGGCAAATAATTTGGAACCACATTCCAGCCCATGTTTGTTTCTGTGTCAGACTAATGGTGTTAGACACACCCTAATCCGCCTTTGACCTGACTTGTTTCAGATGAAGTGGCTATTAAAGAAAGAAGAGATAAAGGCACAACCTTTTACATTTAATCCAGCGAAATGCCAGGTCTTAGCCAATCAGAATTGGCTCGTCACAGAGTGCAAAGTCTAAACAGTCTTATTTAATCTCTCAACATTATCATCAGTATATTAATGAGGAAAGCCATACTCAGCAAAAACAGATACTTCGACTTTATTGCAACATTTTTTGCCTTCTCATTTGGTTCAGATAACAAAATATGTTCAATTAATATCGCCACTTAACAGCTGTTGGCAAAAATTGATTGCAGGTCTAAAAAAAAGACGCCATCTCTCCAAAAACCTTGTGTGTGATTTGTACTTTTGCAGGATCAGTATATCAAGTGTCACACAGCTCTTACCATGACATAGTGTCTCTGCATCTCCGTCTTTTCACTGGCCAGCTTCTCACACTCCAACTTGAGGCTGTAAAACACAACAATAGTATAATCATTCACTTAAAGAGACACTTCTTTAAAGAGGATCGGGTTCCTCTCGACCCACAAACTGGATAGCACCTCGGTTTCCTATAGACACCCATGACCAGTAGAAAAAACAGAACTGTGAGTTTTTTGCTTGCTATCGAAGCACGAGCAGATATCATAATAAACCAAATCTGTTCAGGACACAAAGCCTAAATTGGAGAGGATGATTCTATCTTTCGACTGTAGGATGTTTAGCTTTACTTTTCTTTTTGTATGCATAATCAGGATGTGAAATGAAGAAAAAACAGCTTTTGAGGTCAGCAGCTTTCACCTGTTGCAGCTGAAAGAAGGCGAAAGCTGACCCTCCCGGAAAAAAACAAACATGTTACAGTACGTACTCACAGAGCGCAGAAACACAGAACTGCATATATACTGCTGCTGGTTTTACCCACACAACTACACACTAAGGGGAAAATAAGGAGTGATTTATGAAACCCTGAGCCCACACGCCACCCTCTAGCGTTCACCCATCACCAAGACTTAGACCTACCGCAGTGTGAGTGCTGGGTCATATGTGTGTGTATGTGAACCTAATCCAGGTTTACAGGTTAGCAGAAGGCCATAGCTGGGTTTTGTTCATTATGGTAAGGGGGATGACTGTGGTCAGGGTGAGGTTTGGTGTTAGAGGGCAAACGACAATGAGAAAATTGGCACATCCTTGCCGCCCATACATAAACAAAGAAGACATGTGAATAAGTGTGTTTGTCTTATTCACCTGTGGTACTGAGCCTGAAGAAACTGGAACTCCTCCTTGATGCGGTCCAGTGATTCTGGGATGGTGAACTTGAAGGGCTGGCCGGGAGCCTGGTGGGGCGTCTAAGGTGCACACACACACACACACAGTTATTCACATAATGGTGCCTCCTTATTTGGCCAACAATTTGCATGTGATCCTTTCCAGGCCTCACGTGTAATGTCAACAACCTTTAATTATTAGCCTTTATTAAACAAACAATGCCAATATACACCACATTGCCATGACACTATGAACACCTGAGCAATCTACCACAACACTTCTGCTATAAATTAAACTTTTATGCAACTTCTGCATTTTCAGTTTGAGTTGACATGGCCAGACTGGTGATAACTGTTCCTTAAACTAATATTTGAAGTGAGTTTTGGTGGTGTATTGAAATGTGCACCCTATATTTTGCTTTCCTCATGTTTGTTCATGAAGTAGACACAACACAAGTACCATATTTGAATATAACATACTCCAGTAATGCACCACCCACTTTGTCTTCAAAAATAATAAAGAGGTACAATAATTACATGTTTGATCATGGCAATAAAAACTAAAGCTATTGTATTGGATTGCATTAGATTGCCAATGTGTTTATAATGTTATAGCTGGGGGAACATGTAAGAGAAATAAACTTAGAATATGAGTTAAGTATAAATGATCTTACAACTATTTTAAAAACCAGATTGGGTTGTTTGTTACTTTCTGTGAACACTTGGACAGTCAGGTGTACAAGTATAAAGGGAAAATCGGCGAGTCTTACCGGGTGTCGCCCCTGGGGAAACATGCTCTTCTTCTCCTGTCGGATGTAAACCGTGTCCTTCCTAAACCCCCGGTTATGAGGGGTATCAAAAGAGGGTACAGTGAGGGGTACAGTGAGGTGCCGCAGATCACGGACACGGATCCATCGGCCGTTATTTCGCAGACCAACCGCCGATAATTTGAAAGAAAAACCCAAACCGTCCGAGTTCACCGACCGTTTAATGTGTATCCCCGCGCCTCTCCTCTCCGGGTCTCTCCTCCACTCCACCCGCAGCTCGGCCGCTAATCAACCGGAAAAACACGGGAAACGGCTCATTAGCTGGAGGCAGCCAGCAGGAGGGGGGTTGAAGGGTACGAACCAGGTGAGAAATGAAGAGGTTTGAGGCACTTCTTTTCACTTCTTCGTTGTTAGTTTTGTGTAGAATCCAACGAAGAACGACGAAGAAGACAAACAAAGACGAAGAAGTAAAGCAGTTAGCCCCGCATCATCGGACAGCCGCGAACGGTGGAATCAGAGCATCAGAAACAAATCCAGCGTAAGTTAATTGCAGAGAAGAGTTCCCACTTGACTCGCCGCGGTCGCTTGCTGGCGGTTGAACAGTCAACAAATACAAAAAAAAATACTTCCCCGACGAGTCTCAGAAGCAAACCTGCATTCAAAAAAAGGTTCAAGAGAAAAAAAACAGGAAATGTGTTGTTAGTTTTGATAGCAACAACTCCCAAAGCGGTAGCTACAGTCCTCTGTCCAGCTCTGCTTTACCTCAATGGCAACTTTCTCACGCGGTTTCACGCTCCCAGCTAACCGAAACTAGAGGCCCTCCCACAAAGCGACAGCAGACCAATCAGAGCTCCGGCTCCACGTGGGGATAGTAATGTTGATTTTACCACTGGCCAATCGTCGCTCTTCTAAGTGCCCCGACTCAGTTGACCTGGTTGAGCTACGCAGAGTCTGGCCAATCAGAGTGCGGTAAGGAGCTGCTACTCCGGAGGCGCGCTGGGCGGGCAGTTCTGTGTGTGAAGGCAAGTTTCACCTGTCAATCAAAGTAACGTGGGCTCAGCAGGCGCAGGGTTGAAGATGTGCACATGCATAGACACACGTACAAACAGATCGGGAGAAACGATTCAGACCTCTTTCATGCACATACACAACCACATATGCAAAGGCACACACACACACACAAACAAACACGAATGCAGTCTTCTTAGTAAAGCTGCTGTGAACCTCCCTAACAAGTGTCACGGTAAATCAACTCAAATATCTCACTCTATCTCGTATATCTCTAATGCATTATAACGCAGTCTGCACATTTATGCAGATGGACGTGAACTTAATGAGCGTTCAACTTCTCTTGGCAGAAAAATAATCTAATTATGCATTTTTGATGTTGCTTTTCACATGTTTGTTTGCTGCTGTTTTCATCTACATTCAGTAATCAACAGTGAGATCCACACAGACAGTTCATGAAGAAGGGATCCTAAAAGCTTAACCTAAAATTCTATTGTGGTGCATCACTGTTAAATCCACCACTATGTCAACTCAGGAAACTGTATTGATCCTACTAAGTCATGCAAAAAGAAAAGCTTGCAAAGGGGAATCCTGACTTTCTGGTCGGTGTGATGCAAAATATGAGGAACAAAAGATCAGTTATGCACAAACAGAAAGCAAATAGCCAGTACAGGCAGAAATGTGGAAATAATACTTGATATTCTGCCATAAGAAAGTCTATTCAACAGTCAAATGTATCACATACTATACTTTTTAAAATTAATCACATAAGAGCGAGGGCCATTCCAACCAAGTAGCAGTGCATGTCACACACTATTTACATGCTGTTGTGCACACACACACACAGGCCTTGGTTTTCTTTATAAAGAGATTCACACACCTCATAGAGTCTGAGTTCAAAGTAGAAAGTATAGAAGAGTTTAATTGAGTCAGAAGATAAAGTTAATGACAATAATACTATGAATGATAAATTTACAATAACTATTAAATCACTGTGTGTTTGTGTTGTATGTATTTAGGGGTCATATTTGTAAATACCAGCCCTTTAACATCACAAATGGGAAAATTTGTGACTCAACTGTCAGTTTCTCTGTTATAATTCAGAGCAAATGAGTAATAATTTGGCTCGTAGTTTAATGAAACGCCTTTGATTCCTCTAAAATCACAACCATATTTGCCCTTTATAACAAGAATTATTCTTGTTTTTTGAGATAAGAGGATCAACGGCTACTCCGCTCAACACCAAACCATAACTACAAGCATGTGAAAGTCACAGCTAGAGTTACAATAATGTCCCCTTGTCCTGGACCTGTGGTCATGTATTTTTGGGTAATTAATACCATTAAGATCTGAAATACCAGGCCAACTAATTAACTGATGAATTGCTAAAAGAGTGACCAACTAACGACAGCTGTGGCACCATGTCATGAGAGGTGAGATTGCTCAAACTGGGTTGTAAAGCAGGCTGAAGGTTTTCTGTTTGCTCCACTTATCTCCGTCTAAGCAGCCCTCAAAGCCCTGCAGCTCCAAGCTGACCCGCGATTGGCTTAGAGAGCTCAACCCCTGACCCTGTGACCTCTGACCTGTGCAGTGGCTGATCCAGTCCATATGAGAGACTCCTGACTGTGACCAGCCGTGACCTCCCCAGCTCTGGTAAACACACACACACACATGCACACACACACACATACATACACAGGTGCCATTCAATGAGTGATACTGTTAGTCAGCGTGCACCCATGTGTGTGTTTGTCTCTTTCTTTGATCCCACTTTTGTCTCTGGCTTTGTATGTGCACTACTGAGTTCACCTTCTCCCTATGTCACCCTCACTCCCGGAGCTCAACCTCTCAGATTGTCCTGTAATATAATCCAATCACAATGTCTAGCCAAATATTAGCTGTGGCTCTCAGGTTCACTGAGAACACCTGAGGTCCTTTATGTAGCCTAGCCTTATGTAGAGCGTTAACCAACATTTTTGTGAACTAAAAAGTTCTTCTTAATAAATTTGTGTGTCATTATATATGACCTTTTCTGCTACACACTGCTATACAGGTGATTTTTTCACAGTTTCATTGTATTTTAATAGACATACAACAAGGGAATTCAGGGCAGCTAATGGTGTAACATGGCACACAGAGTGGGATCAGGACTTTTAATACACATTTTGTTTATTTTTAAGCATGATGGTCACTATATAGATTTCTTGATTTGACGAATGATTGGTCAGGGCCATTCTTCTTACATCCAGGGAATGTCATCAGGCCAGTCTTTCCCCAAAACACCACAGTCCTGCATTATTTTGCCGTACCATTATTAAGAAGAGAAGAAGTCATCTTCTAATCTTAGGCTGTTTCACTAGGTCATATTGTTATTCTGACACTATTTCTATTCACTGAGCAGCTCTTTCACAATATGTCCATGTAGATTCTCATTCATCCAGGTCATGGTTTTCTTGAAGACTTAAAAAAACAGGCAACTGGACTATGTAGAGTCCAGTCTTTATCTACACAGTCCAGTTGCCTCTTTCACAATCTATCTTTATGTCTTCTGCATCATACTCCAAATCCTTTGTAAGAGAAACTCAGAGGCATTTGCTCAAAATTCTTACTTTGAAGATTTTTACACTTTAAATCTGTTAAAACCCTTCAAAGACAGTAGAAGATCTCACATTTTTGTCGTAGTACAGACCAGCTCAAGACCAAATGCACCACCAGCTAAACCTGAAAAGTGGAGTCTTTTTGAGCCCATGCAAAGGAGTTGTCACCAAACTTCTGCCCAGACTGTGGAAATAGGATTAAAAGCAGAACATAAAACAATGGCTGAATGTTATATTACACTGCCCCAAGTTCCTATAAAAAGAGGTAATCGTTAAAATTTTGGTCCACTGCAATTTCAGTTCTCTAACAAAGACTTTGACACAGCAAATAACACAAGTGTACAAGACTGTGCCTTCCTCATCTGCACAGGGAAGCATCTACTGAACTGTATCATTATTCATTATTTGTAGTGAACAATGTTGCTTGAATGTCACCTGCAGCCAAAAATAATGGATTGGCTGTGTGGGACTTTGAGTTATGTAAAACCTCTTAATGTCATCATGGTTAATGTGATGTTCTCATCAGTAGCTGTAAACTTTTGACACCTACACCCTGCTAGCACAGTCTAGTGTCTTGCTCGTTTGTATGACTGGACCCTAACCTAACTGTTGAAGTACAACTCACTATACCATTAAACTTCAACATTACAATGCTGTAAATTAGATGCACACTGATAAACCATCCCTCAAAAGCTTTAAAAACTTGCTACTTACACAAGAGTGTATTTTAAGTGCTACATCACTTTGCCATGCATCAAACAGGATGACAGATAAATGAGGAAGGAAATGTTGTTTCATAGCCTGTTAAAGACTTCTTTATCTGGGCTTCAATGACTTATTGTTTAACAGATTAACTTGTCTATTTCAGTAGAGAGTTGAATACAGAGGTTTAATCATTCATGTTTAAGTATTACAGAGGCCCTTTTCGCTTATGAACTCCTGGAAATTTCAGGTCAGCCTTCTTTTATATTCTCACATTGCCCTTAGCATGAAGATTTCCCTGACTGACAGGAGGGGGATAGGTGTCTCAAGAAGCAAGATTGTTTTTTGCATTTATATTGATTCTTAATATCAAGGAAAAGGGCTGCAAACAACAAATAGGCAAGCAGAAAACAGTATGAAGCAGCCTTATATGCATAACAATGTACCTATTGCATGGTATCATAATATCACCATCCCTGTCCACTCTCTCATGACCATGTTTCCTGATTTTTCCTGATGCATTCTCTCGTCTGCTCACCCCAATTTTGTTGTGAAAGTTTTACTAGGGGCCAGCAGGAAAAAGTCTGGTCTGGCTGTTAGTATTCATACATTCACCTCACTCTGGCAATTTCAGGAGATATTGAAGAGAAACATGCTGTTTGATTTGTGCGCAACAGTCAAAAAACTGATTGGAAATAAAAAGTTGATTGGAAAAAGGGAATTAAAAATGTATGAGAATTTTCAACACACTGCTAAAACACCGATACTGTAAATCAGCGTGGTGATGTAATGTATTTAAAAAGAGTAATTAGGAAAGTAATCGACAACATACTGTACAAAGCAGCTTCAATTTAATGAATAGCCACATTACATGGCTGTGAGTGTTGCGAAAGTCCTCTGAGGTAATGTTGGCAGCACATTTTGTTAACTCAGACTACGGCCTGTGCAGTGTGTACAATATGATTAAGATTATAGGATTAAGACTTCAAGGTAACCATTAATGGCTTACTTTGCTTGAGAATATACAGGGCTACTTAAGGAAAGGGTCCCATGTGGTGTCAGGATATAAGGTGTGAGTTTCCTCTTTGTGTGTTACTGAGCCGGTCCAAACTCTCTTTGTCATATTTTCTGCTTTACTGATCAGACAGCAACAGTCCCCACGCAAATAGATAATTGCACATGAGCTCACTGGCCATCTGATTTCCTTAACAAATAGCCCATTCCCTCATTCACTTCAAAAATCTCTCTCCGCCCTCTCTCTTTTTCTCTTGCAGTCATTTGTTTAGAGTGTAGAAGCACACAATTAGCCTCTGCTTTGGATGGGGTACAAGAACCTGCCATAGAAGCCTCATTTGGTTTGCAAATGCCCCATTTCTTTCTGATTTTAGTGGCTTAAAACAAATGGTTGAGCTTTGTTTGTAAAGGGGGAAGTGGAAGAGGAGGAGGGAGTGAGAGGAGTGACATGTGGGAGAAGTGGCTATTTTAGCAGTGACCCAGTCATCTCTGCTGTAGAGGAGAGAAGAGGCTCTCCCAGATAATGACTGAACAAGCAGCTTTGTGTGGGACGACAAATGGAGTGATCCCACTCTTGTCCCACTTATCACGAGAAGAGCGTTGGTGTGATGTGTGTGTGTGTGTCTTTGTGTGTCTGGGCTTATATGCAAACATGTGTGTTGCTTGTTTGGGCTGTGTGTTATTTGAATGTGTGTACATGCACATTTGGTTAGTTTGGTGTGTGTTTGTGTCCACATGTGTATGTGAGGACAGGGTGTTAAAGAGTGTATTCATGGTCATGAGATGGTGTGTGTGTCAACAGCAGATGATTTGCATGAGGGTTCTGGCAAAGCTGTCCTAGGGAGCCTTTTTGTTTTGTTTTGACTCTTGTGTTTTTAATGGACAACCAAGGACATCATTTGAATACCATCATCTCGTCTGTCAGACACTTTCCCTAGATTCTGGTTGAGGGACTTGAGGGGCATTTTATTTTCATTTTATTGACCAGGAGACCTTGGGTGAGATTAAAACTCGCTTTTTAAGTGTCTTGGGCTGAGGAAGGCAACAGCACATTAACAAGTCCAGCGCTGAGCTTGCTTTACTTAACTCTTTGAAAAGCTGTTGTTGTAATAAAGTTAACACGATTTAGGTCAAACTCTCCACCGACAGTATGTGTGTGAGAAAATTACTATATTCATCAGTAGCACTCCAGTTGAAAATCTATATTATTTTTTGTTAGTTAAAGCTCCAATTTTCAAATCAAATATTGACATTAAATGATACATCTGACTGTCAAAAGTGATTGCTTAATCATGTAGAGTGATCCGGCCACAGGGGGCGCCAAAATTGACACAAACCATAAGTTCCCCACAGGAGCTTTAATGTCAAAACCCCTTGAAGGGTAAATGTATTGCAGAGTTTATTGCCATAGATACCCTGTTTGTTTTTATTTTCTCCATCTTAAATCTCAGATTTGTCACATTTGGTTGATTTACAAGCTAATAGCACCACATTGTGCAACTTAAGAATCATCCAATTAAATCCATTAAATACAGAAAAAACACGACTATACACTTGAACTGTCAAATATATCGCCCATCTTGAATATTTGCTGTGAAAAAAAATTATTTAGTTATTTTAATAAGACAAAAGCTGACAACTACCCCCAGTAGTTCTCCAATACTGTTTAGATTTTGTTGGTTTCAGTGTTTTTCATCTGCCTCATGGTTTTCACATGCAGTGACTTGAAGAGACATGTGCCTATATTGTTATTGCCCCTACAGTGAATTTAACTATATATAATTTGAAGGAATTTAAAAACACCTGGCTGACATATACCGATGTTAGATTTTTAATGATACGGACCACAGCATGTCTTCATGTTTTAAATGAAAAGTATGTGCACTATTAATAGACTTTCATTTCACTGAGGGAAAGGAGATACAGCATAAACAAGTTTCCTAAAAGTTGTTTTTATATGATCATAAAGCTGTAAATGTTTTTTTTTTGTCTGTCAGCCAAGACTTCTTATACCCTCTTTACCAGTTTGTCCCAAGTGTCCAGTACTATTAGTTTCTATGCTTGTGTACGTAGACTGCATAAAAATGTTCATCAATCTGTTTACACTGTGGATTTTTAATAACAAGTGCACTTGAGTGTCTCTGAACGTGCTGTAACCTTGTTGGATTTAATTGCACAGCCTACAGGTATAAACCTTTTTCTCTAAATCTCCTCCCATACTTGAGTAAATCACAGCAGCCTCATGTGCCCAGACTCTCCCCGTGTTCTGCTCAGCGTTGGTCCACAGATGACATCATCATCTTAGTGTTTGGTTTCAGGCCTTCAGAGAGCGAGCACTGTTTAAACTGAAACATCATGATCGAGATAACACATGTGAACATGGTTTAAGTCAGGACTCCACTTATCAGGATCATCAGTGTGATCAGAGAGCAGGAAGCACTTCTGTGACAGAACATGTTTAATAAAATCACGCGATCAGAAAATGAAATCATCCTCGGTTTTTATTGATCACTATCATGCTTCGATTGTGCTTCACTGTGTATG